AAAATAAATTAGTTTAGTTAGTTAATTAACTAAAACTAATTTAATTAGTTAATTAGTTACTAAAAACTAAATTAGTTTTAGTTACTAAACTAAAAACTAAAAACTAAGAACTAAATTTACAACCCTGGTTATAAGCACTTCTGTCGCCGTAGGCAGTTATAAACATCAAAGCACCGCCTTAATCTAGGAATGCTAGATGAAATAACTGACCGAGCTGCCGATGTTTACTACTCACCTAAATCTAACTCAGCCAACCATTCCTTTCGTTCCATATCCAATCCACATTCACTGCAACAAATCTTTTGCAGACTACGTAGTACCAGATCTGAAAATCAGTAAATTACGCCTGTTGACTAGGTATCAGTCCCGATTAGCTTCAATCCAACATTTAGCTTTCATTTTCGCCACCTTTTCTCCTCTCACTCTCCCCCTCTTTCTTTTTCTTCTCATCTCCTTTCTTTTTGGGTGAAGAATTTTTGAGAGATCATTTGAGACACGAATATTGATATATAAAATTCAATTTGGTAGGAATTACTGTTTGATCAATTGAAGGGCACTGAAGGTCTATCTGCATACTTTGATAAAGTACATAAGCTTCCCAGAAAGAAAATATAAGACTCTGTCACTCGTTGCTTGAAAATTTTCTCACCACAGGTAGTCGATGTAAATACTGTATTCTATAGAGATAGTCCTATATCGTTCATGGCCAGTTAAAGAAAGAATGAAGCGTGTAGTTGAAGCCGTTTACATCACGTCTCTTCTCATAGCCTCAATGAAGTCGATGCATAGATTACATATGCGTATCTGCTTATCTTCAATTATATTAGAATGCAAAACCTTTACTCAACGCATGCGATCTCAATTCGTTCATTAAGCTCATTTCCAGTGACAAGACAACTGTGGCTATAGCTAGCTTGTTGCGAAATGCACATCTGTGTTACTTAGCCTGTAAAGTTTATGTTATTTTAGCGTTCGGCGAAATATCCATGCATTCTGAAACAATTGTCCATGCCATGGTATTAGGAGATCAATCAATTAGCCACGATTATTTGAGCCTAATACTATTGCGTATATTTCTCTATACTCAATTAATAACTCTATGTTTGCTACAAAGGGAAGTTCATGCCTTTCAAAGCGGAAGCCTAATTTATTAGCCGTTACGGATGGATACGCTGCACATGATGTGATAATCCTACAACAAGCATCGAAGAAATGGGACAGCATACAGCAGAAAACACAGCAATCTTGATTAGCCGTTACACGAGGCTGAATTATGTATGCCAGACTCCGTTAGTATTAGAAATTGACGGCGCATTCTACCACCTTATTTAATGGGTAATTTATATTGAAGTGGGGCGAACATTCATTAGCCGCCATTGAAGGCTATACTTCATGCCTTTTGCAAGCTCAGTAGAATTTACCCTGTCTTCCCGAATGCAACATTGCTCGGATGACGAATCTAGAAGAGCATGAACGATCGATATAAGATGGTAGTAATTCCCAAAACTCACAACTTTGATCTCCAGCTAGTTAACCATACACAGTCTTCAATACATTCTGTGACCGTATCAACATGGCGGGACGTGTATTTGCTACTTTGGCTACTTTGGCCGCATTGGCAGCCTCTGCCCCTGTCGTAGAAGAACGACAGGCTTGCGCTACCGTTTGGTGAGACTGGATCATGTCATGTTCCAATAGGTCTATACATACTAATGCCAATGAAATAGGGGACAATGCGGAGGCCAAGGTTGGTCTGGAGCAACGTGCTGTGCTTCTGGTAGCTCGTGTGTCGTCTCAAACCAATACTACTCGCAATGTCTTCCTGGCTCCGGAGGAGGTTCGAGTTCCTCTACAGTCGCTTCCTCCACCCGTGTGTCAAGCACGACAGTTAGGTCAAGCTCGACGACTCCTCCACCAACCTCGTCTACAGGGTCACCACCTCCAGTTGGATCAGGAACCGCCACTTACCAGGGCAACCCATTTTCTGGAGTCAACCTCTGGGCCAACAAATTCTATCAAGATGAAGTTACCAGCTCTGCAATTCCCAGTTTGTCCGGAGCCATGGCCACCGCTGCAGCGGCCGCTGCTAAAGTACCTGCGTTTATGTGGCTGTAAGTGCTTCAGAGATCCTAATAGTCTTACAAATGCTGACTAGCGATGTAGGGATACCCTTAGCAAGACCACCCTGTTGAGCTCGACATTGGCAGATATCCGTGCCGCAAACAAGGCTGGAGGCAACTACGCTGGTCAATTCGTTGTATACGACTTGCCTGACCGTGACTGCGCCGCTGCTGCCTCCAACGGAGAGTACTCTATCGCGAATAACGGAGTTGCCAACTACAAGAACTACATTGATACCATTGTCGGCATTCTGAAGACATATTCCGACATTCGGACCATTCTAGTCGTTGGTAAAGCTTTTCTTTCCTGGAAGAGACGTTGTATATGTGCTGATCTGTCATTATTTAGAGCCTGACTCTCTCGCCAATCTTGTTACCAACCTCAACGTTACGAAATGTGCAAACGCTCAGTCTGCTTACCTGGAATCCATCAACTATGCTATTACAAAGCTGAACCTTCCAAACGTTGCCATGTACCTCGATGCCGGCCACGCAGGGTGGCTTGGCTGGCCCGCCAATCAGCAGCCAGCGGCTCAGCTGTTCGCCAGCGTGTACAAGAATGCCTCATCACCCCGAGCGGTTCGTGGATTGGCAACCAACGTTGCCAACTACAATGGATGGAACATCACTTCTGCCCCGTCATACACTCAAGGAAACGCCGTTTACAACGAGCAGCTGTACATTCACGCTTTATCACCCCTTCTTGCTCAGCAGGGCTGGAGCGGCGCTCAATTCATTACCGATCAGGGTCGCTCCGGCAGGCAACCCACCGGACAGCAGGCGTGGGGTGACTGGTGCAACGTGATTGGCACTGGATTCGGCATTCGCCCTTCTGCCAACACTGGAGACTCCTTGCTTGATGCATTCACTTGGATCAAGCCCGGTGGTGAATGTGACGGAACCAGCAACACATCTGCGACACGATACGATTACCACTGCGGCTTGTCAGATGCTTTGCAGCCGGCTCCTGAGGCTGGTTCTTGGTTCCAGGCTTACTTTGTGCAGCTTCTTACCAATGCCAACCCTTCATTTTTGTAAATCGAGATTAGCTTAGCTGCTTCTATTTTCTTTAGCCACTCATTTGCTTCTTGATGAGTCTTAAAAGCCATGTACACTAATGTGAGTGGCAATTAGTCTTGGACAAATATACGGACACTTTCCAATTTTCATGTATTGTAAGACCTGCGTGACTTCGAACTTCTTGATGTTTGTGGGTTATATATACCACTTCTCCCAATACATATAACATGTTCGAAGACAATATCATAAACCATCGACATATACAATGCTATATGACACTCAGACAAACCCGTATAAAAGAATAAGAGTAATTAACCATTCCTTGTGTATGCCTATTTAACGGTTGTATAATAGACATTCTGATGATTTCGATACTTCTTGGAACATCCTATGCCAACCATTTTGCACTTTTCGGTTGGCCCTCATTGAAAGTAAAGCAGTTATAGCCATCGCCTACTTCAACCGTAACTCCCGTAACCTCATCAAGACAATTGTTGTCACTGTAGAACGCTACATTCTGTACATTGTTGTCAAACTGCTCGCCCCGGTATTGAGAGCTCGCAAAGGACGCAGTTGAGCTTGTACAGTCTCCTGGTTGAACGACTGTTGTTTCAACTACTATTCCGCCTGCGCAATTTGCGTTTGTGTAGGAGTTGAATAGAACTGGATTCTGAGCGAAAACTGCGGAGCAGGCGGAAAGAAAAAGTATCTAAAGATAAAGGTAAGATAAAAGAAGGATGTTTGCAGAGTTAGCTGGGTTACGCACAGTAATCTTCATTTTCTTTAGTTTGCGAGAAATTGGTCGGGCTTTTGTATGAAACAGATGTCAGGATGATCTTGATGCCTCTTTTCAACCGCTGCTCAGTCCAAAAGGACTTTGCTTTATAGACTTTCCGTAGGCCTCCCTGCTAAATTGCCTTATCCTAATTCGACAAAGGGGCTACAAATTCCGCATATGAGATCCATATAGTATGTCCGTTTAACGTAGTATTCTTCCAAGAATCGGTATATCTAATGTCTCCGAGTTTCCATAGGGCTGTAAGTAGTGCACAGGGATTGAGATACTTTGACGTCGCATTAGCAAGGATGAGTTAATTGAATGGAACTTTTAGCCATTTAGGCAACATGCATTTCCTATAAGAGGGATAGCATTGGTATTAAAACATGCTAGATGAAGAAGCATAAGGAAAGCGAATCTGTATATTTAACCACAGAATGATTTTAACTGTCGTCGATAATTGTGTAGTAGGGAAGCCAAAAAGAAAATACGGAGTAGGAATGATCCACCGCTTCCCCCTCTTTGCCCTCGGTTCAACGAAGATAAGATGAGTAAACAAAAAAGGGTGATGAATGTTAGAGCTTCGGAGAAATAAGTCATTTTCCTTTGAAAGGAAAAAGGCGTTGTTGTTAAATTAAGTTCTTATAAATTTCCTATATGAAGACTTTCAAAACTTCAACCAGCGCTAGAATTGCCATTGCCTGGCCATAGGGCATAGGCGTGATCGGAATCTTTTTGTAAAACTCCAAGTTAGATCCCATGCCTGTTCCAAAGGACGTGTTTAGTAATTGCCCATCTGAACTGATGTTCTTCAAAACGCCTTGTACAGCTTTGAATGCGACTTCCCGATGGTCCGACTGAATAAAACGCTTCCTATGCCCCTTCAACAGACCGAAGGCGAAACCAGCTGTTGCACTAGATTCCACGTACGACCCTTCTTCTTCCGAGTGGTCCAATAATGTGCGCCAAAGCCCGCTTGGGGCTTGCAAAGTTTTTAGAGCCTCGCATTGTGCAGTGAATGCAGACTTGAGATGGATATGAAACGGATCGTCGGAAGCTAGATCTAACAATTCGAGGAATTCCGGGATAACAATAGTGAGCCAGCTATTTCCGCGCGCCCATCTTGCTGACGCAAAGTTATGGCCTCCGTCATTGAAAGTCCATCCATGGAAAAAGAGGCCCGTCTTGGTATCAAACAGATACTGAAGATGGAGTAAAAACTGATACTTTGCTTCTTTCACGTAGTGGGGGCGACCCAGCACCAGTCCGATTTTGGCCAAAGGCAACACGGTCATCATGAGGGTATCATCCCATAACTGTTGGTCATTTTCTTCCAGATATGTAATGTGTTGCATGCCTCCAAATTTGGTTCGCTTCAAGTCGTGATATGCCCATTCCCCCCAGCTGTCTAACCAAGGAAAGTAAGTGGTATTTCCTGTCTTCTCATAAACGTAGGCCAAAGTAAGAAAGGCTGCCATAGTGTTGATATTCTTTGTCGTGCCGCCTGAGTCAAATCTGTTCTGGAACCAGTCTTCGATTATCTGTAGATATTTTGCATCACCAGTAATCTGGTAGTAATGCCATATCCCATAGAGGCCAATGCCATGCGTCCATTCCCAATCGTTCCATCCTTTTGTGTCTATAACTCGGCCATCTGCGAGAGTCATAAGAAACTCTCCAGTCTCATCTTTGATGTTGACCAGGCCATGGATCAGAAGTTGTATTGTTGAATGTATCTGTTTTGCATCAAATTCAAGTGCTGTAGAAGACATGGTTCGTTGTGCCTCAAGATGGCTATGCAACATTGATTGGTATGACGTAGAAGTGTGGGCGGTGAATAGAGCTGCTACAAATCGGTGACAGTTGGATATCAAAGGGTTATTTCATGGAATACTGAGAAAATAACGCGTAGCAGCAGCATGCCTCCTCGGGAGAAAGTTACCAACATCGGCTCGGCACATTTTACAGCGAGCGATGGATACACGTAGAATGATAATCCGGGGTATTAGACTTGGCGGATGGGAATTGCCCCGCAGCGCTACAAGCATAACAGTTTACTCTATTAACCTAGTCTCGTAGAGCAGGTATTTGGCGGCATCCAATAGCAACAAGACTCTCATTGGTGGATTATATAGAGAGTTACCTACATCTTGCCATTGAGGTAGCATACCTCGTCCTTCGGTGCGAATAGAAGCGAGATTTTCACATGCGGCTTCATTCGCTCTACACTAGATCTCGTTTTTAAAGCCGTAGCTAAGGCAATCAGCCGGTTGTATTGCAACCCCGATGCTGATCACCTGCTGAGGGGAAACTCTTGGCATTACTCGGCGGGCCGTGGTAGAGTTGAATAAAGCATCGCATTAACCTATCTTATCAGGCGCACAACGTGGGACAGCCGGAATCGAGCTCTCATTTCAACATGGCGCCACTAAAGCTGACTCCTAGTATCAGCGAAATTGAGAACAACATCAATGCAACATTGTCAAATACGGTTGAGAAAGACCACACTGATTACGAGCAAGTTGATAAAGAGCTTGCCAAATACATTGCAGATGCTAGAATCACCATTAGCCACGAAAAGAATGTCGAGTTGCGTCGGAAAATCGACCGACGTATCCTGGTGGTTATGGTATTGACCTATTTTTTGCAAGCCATCGATAAGGGTACAATGTCTTTTGCTTCTATTATGGGTATCAAGAATGACACGCATCTGAGTGGGCAAGATGTAAGTTAAGTCATGCCACTATGTAAAACCATCCTTATTAAGTTGTCCGTGCTATAGTATAACTGGTTGACAACTTGCGTCTTCATAACGATCCTCGTCGTGGAATACCCTCAAAACTATATACTTTCCAAAGTTCCGATTGCCAAGTATCTTGGCTTTAACATTGTTGCGTGGGGTTCGGTCTTAGCCTGCACTGCAGCGTGTACGAACTTTACAGGACTCGTCGTAGTGCGCACCTTACTTGGCCTTTTCGAATCAGTTTGTCAGCCATCATTTGTTATCCTCTCTTCAATGTGGTACAGGCGGGAGGAGCAAGCTGCTCGTGTTACTTATTGGTTCGTTTACGGCATCGGACAATAAATGCGAAATGCTGACATCTTTGAACCCAGGTACATGATGAATGGCGCACAGCAAATCGTCGGTGGCCTCCTCGCTTACTGTTTTAGTCTTATTAAGACTGGGCCTTTACAGTCGTGGAAGTGGCTATTCCTCATCTATGGGGTGATCTCCATCATCTTCGGGCTTTTTGTTGCATGGTGGATGCCTGATTCGCCTATGCGAGCTAAATGCTTCAGCGAAGAAGATAAGACGCTCATGATCGAAAGGGTCCGAGACAACCAGACGGGCATTCAAAACCGAAAATGGAAGAAGTACCAGTTTATTGAAGGCCTGAAAGATCCCCAGATCTGGGGCTATTGTTTGATTCAATTCTGCACTACTTTACCTACATCGGGGCTGGGCGCTTTCCAAGGCATCATTATCGAAAGTCTGGGGTTCACAGTGCTACAGACCCAATTGCTAGCCATGGTGCTTGGATTTTATATCATCATCGTACTCCTGGGCTCAACTTACTTGGTTAAACTCACTAACCAAAATCTATATATAATGGGCGCATTTGTAATCCCGTACGTGTCCATTAATACATTCAAACGATGAGTTGGAGAAAGAGGGCTAATTTATGTGCGATATAGATCTTTCATCGGCACCATCTGCCTCATGACAGTCGCTCTAGATACAAAAAGTCAAAAAATTGGACTGGTGGTCTGTTATAATATTACCATGTCATTCTGGGCCGCTCAAACTCTAGCATTGTCTCTGCTATCGCGAAATATTGCTGGGCAGACAAAAAAGAGCGTTGCTGTCGCTCTAAATTTCATCTTCTGGGCTACAGGCAATGCAATTGGTAAGCAGCAAGAAAGAGCATGAGCCCAAGTTCAACTCTGACGCTAATCCACAAAATAGGCCCTCAAGTATTTCTTTGGTGGAACGCTCCTCGATACTTCATTGCTTTTGCCACTCACCTTGGATGCTATACTTTGCTTGTTATTGTGATCATCTCCTTGCGTTTTTACCTAGTGTGGGAGAACAAGAAACGAGATAATCTGGCGGCTGCTGGAGTTTATCAGGCGCGAGATGAGCGAATGCTGCATGCATGGGAAGATTTAACGGATAAGGAGAATGTTAACTTTCGCTATGTCTTTTAACGACTGGCAAGTTTATTTCTGGGCTTAGTTTGACATAAAATTTTTACGTTTCTTTCCTCTTGACGCCTTCAGCAATTGCAATCGCTATATAGTATCACAGGCCGCGGTATAGAATTAGCTCAATCAACTTTTAGCTAGTACATCATTTTGGAACCAAGTAAAGTTGCTCTGCGATCACAGCTACTAAAGCAAATTTGAATCCCTTTAATATCCTGTAGCTTAACAATTCAGACATCGTTCACTTCTATAAACTGATCGCGAAAAGTCTTTTGGAGGCCAATTATTTACAATCTATTGCACCTAAACTTAGGCATTCATTTCAGCATCCTCACCCTGCCAACCCTCAGTCGTGTTCTTCTTCATGCGAACAAATATAAGATCAATGATGAGACCGCCAACAGCAAAGCCAATGGCCAAGTATGCTGCAGCTCGGTATCCCTTCAACAAGTTCGTGGCGTGCGGGTCAACATATCTTTCAACAGTCCCAGCGAATCCCAGACCAGTGCTCATTCCATAAGTGAAAAGCATACCAATAAGTGAGCCTGCGGCGCCCTGATGACGTCTTGATACGCCGCTACTTGCAATGATCTGTCCTGCTGCGAATACCATGTCCCCAGTAAAGGCCACGAGAATCATTGCAGGAAATATCATGGCCCAATAAGTCTGGTGCACTGGCGTTGTTGCGAGGAGGATATTTGTCCCTGCCGCCCCTACACACCCGGCTGCGACAAGGAACTGGGCGGGCATTCTAGGTACAGCCCACGCTGCCAAAAATGCTGCACCAACGCCGCAGATGGCCATTGGTATCCACACGCAGCCTAGGATAACAGCCGAGTAATGGCGGATGTTGAGAAGGAAGACCACTACGTACCAAAGGTAAATTCCAAGGCTCATGAAGATGAGGAATAGAACCACAACAATGGCACTGAATGATGGCGCCTTCCAAATATCAACTGGTAGTATGGGAACTTTGGCATATCTGGCTTCCCACAGTATAAACAATGCGAAGTGAAGTATGGCGATAATGAGCAGAATGTACTCGTAGGGTTCATCCCAACCAACTACAGGTGCTTGACTGTGACGTTTATAAGTAAGTTGGGTACCTACAAAAGGGTACAGGACTACGACTGACTTACTTCCATACAATGTTGAACAGGATCAGTCCGCCAAGAGCCAAGTAAGATCCAACCCAATCGATAGAGCCTGTGGGATCTAGAGGGAGATCCTCTTCTATGACAAGAATGGCGATTCCATACACGACGAGCCCGAGAGTTGCACTGTGGATCGGTCAGTAAATACATTCCCCCTTGCTTGGTATGCCGGGCTTACAGAAAGAAAAACAGCCAAGTCCAATGAAGCCACTGTATAAAGATCCCGACAATAACGCAGCCTCCTGCTCCGCCCACCGGGCCCATAGAGGCAAATAAAGCAAGGGATAGATTTCTCTGTCGACCGGGAGGGAAGGTAATAGTCAACAACGCAACAGCATTCGGCACAATCAACCCACCGCCGATCCCGGCCAGAGCTCTCATGATGCTGACACTAATAATGGTGCCTCCGTAAGCGGCTGTGGCCATATTCCAAAATACCCACCATGCACATCCAATCGTTAAGAGCTTCTTATGCCCAAATACTGCACCGATTCTGCCACTCACGAGAACGAATGAACCCTGAGTAAGAGGATATGAAGAGGCAATCCAAGCCGCTTGGGCCGGCGTTACGCCGAGAGAATTCCCAATGATACTTGCACTCACTATACCACTGCCAAAGTCCATCATCTGGACGAGTTGCGCGAGTACAACAACAGTAATGAATGCATTAGCACGCTTTTTGGAGAGAGTCGGAACACGAGAAACGGCCCGTTCTAGGCTAGAATCGGTTGCTTCCATATCCGCGTGAGCATTTTCCGAGGGGCTAGAAGACATTCTTTGCTTTTTCTCGTCGTCGTTGGAAGCCACCTTAGTCACTCCTAGATCTCCTGGCAAGTTTTCGAGGTTCCTTTCCTCGGCATACTTCGTCTCTAGCCGTGTTGAAGATGAGTTTTGAGTGCCAACTTGGCTTTCTGGGTCCTTTTCTATCATGATGCTGATGTGTCACTTTATTGAGCGAAATAAGATGAATGTAAAGACTGGTAGATGATAGAGTAGAAGTGCAAAGACATTATCTGTCGAATAGGCTATGGAAAGAAGCTTTATAAAATTCTATCTGTTACATTTACTTCAACTCTCCATTTGTCACAAATCGCAATTACTTGCCGCAGGACGGATAAAAGAGAAGTCGATGGGTCACATCCTAGATTTGCTAAGAGCTGAGGTCCAGCCGCTGGTGCAGCCAGCAAGGGGGCCATACCACGTTCCGATTACGCCATGCCCAAAATACTTTCATATGACAGTCAGGAATTCGTGGCAGTACAAGAGCAGGTTTGGTGGGCCGAATATGATTATAAGTGAGGATACGGAGAAATATCGCCGAGGGGGTCCATTTCGATATCACTGATCTGTGTGGCGCTAGCTGTGGCACGAATGGTGGATGTAGCATAGTCTTCATCATACTACTCAGTAAGCTCATTAGTCTAAGATGCATCCTATATTATAAGGGGATCTGACTGAGTGGGGTGCAGAGCAGCCCTGCAGCCAGAGAAGGAAATGGGTTGTCCGCAATCTTACTTCCATTCCAGGAAACCACTAGTGGTGCCACAGCCGTTGATTCATGCGTTATGGTCATTTTGAATATACTCTAATTACCCTGTGCTGTGCCTATTGGGGACATTTTCTCCTATCTTTGGCCTGTTCCCAGAAGAAAAGACCTAAGATATAGGAGAATGACTATGGCAGTACAAATCGGGGAGTGTTGATATGTTGGAAATTGCTAGCAATATCTAATGGAAGAGTATAGCTGTGATGTTAGATGATACATTCCCGAATTACAACTTCGTCGTTAACGAATACCATGAAGCCGCCATATACGATGCATCACAGCACATGATATGTAAGAGTAATCTACGTAGATTATTATCTTTGGAGCAATCTTGAGTGTAGTAGGCAGTATGCAAGTCTGGGGCGATCAAACTATCAAAAACGAAGAGGCCTCTCCAGTCGGGTCACAAATTGGTTCTTTTCTCTATCCATCTCTACTTATTTTGCCTAGTTGATCGTCAATTTATCCTCTTTACCTGAATTCTGGTTTAACAAGATCAGCAGTCGTCAATTTACTGTACATTCATCTAACAGACCTTTTGAAGCTACCCTCTGTGAGGAGCGATCTATGCCTGTATATATGTTCACGTTCCTACAGTGGTAATCATTGTAAAGTTTGTTACTATGATAGTGTATACTACATGTCATCATTAGGCCGTTTGTTATCAATTTTGCAACAATGCTGGTTGACTAAGAACAGGGAAGTAGTTAAACTGATCTCAAAATTTCATATTAGCGTTCTCCTATCGCTAGATAATGCCTAAAATAACCCAAGCAAAAGGATCAAAACCGCTGGGTGACATGAAGCTTATATAGAAAACAGCAATGCATATCGTTCATTTACAAGACCTTTATCGACCCTAATGTACATGTCACAAACCAGCTGAAGTAACTAACGCCTTCAATCTGGCATAAATAAGAAGATATGCTTGAGAAGAGCATAACTGCTCAACGGAGGTTACATCTCTAAGTCACCACTTCTGCTATAGCTACTGACTTTTAATGGGCTTAACACGTCCTGGAAACGTACTTAGTAAAGCGAGATTTTTCTAATTGGCTACAACACTCGAGGTTTTAGGCAGGAACCTAGAAGCTATTGCAACCTAAAACTGTTCCTACAGGTACCCAGTAAAGCCCCGCCATTTGCTTCAATTACAGTAGCTGGCATCAGAATGCTGAAGGGCGGCTTAGGAAAATCCACACCCGGTCAGACGAAAGGTGAGCGTTATTCAATATCCTGGATCTCAGTCCAATACTTACAGTATCACATCAAGTTTCTTCAAGTTTTCGCAGCGGCAAGAGTTGCTATAGCTATGGCAATATCAGGGATGTGTACATTGTGCTTCGTGTTGCTCGACTCTTACGTCAGAGCAAGCTATATCCTGATTTTTTCCAGGCCTACTCAAGACACTCAGCTCCCTTGAGTTAACAAGTACATGGGGCGAGTTAAGACGTGGGCATTTTGTAAAGCTATCTTTGAGAAGCGGCGTGTACTCTGTAACTCAAATTTGATAGCACGAAACTATAATCCACGTGAGCATTTTAGTTGCAATGTCTCTCTTTCAGTTGGTTGCGGACCTTTGCTGCATCATCTAGTATTTTCCCAAATAGTAAATTATGGTTGGGTGCAATTTTCCCCTTTCAGTTAGGTCTGGGCACCTGAGATTGCTATCGTAAGCGGACGTCACGCCAATGCTCTTGATTACCAACTTGAGATTTTGCTATATTAGGAACTAAGTCCATGTAAAATCCAGGAGCTTACGGAGACTTTGCATAGATCTTCAGATATCCTCTGCCATCGAACCTTGCGCACCCTTTAGCGTGCAGGCCAATCTGCATGTCACGGCGTCCAAATTACGCACGTCTTCGTCAATCCGTATTCTTTGGGCTAAAGCTTAGTTCCTTCTACTTTGAGCCGATAAGAGCCAATTCCACCCTCTAATAATCTTGCTACATGGACTTGATTAATTCTATCCAGAAGGGAGCCGAGATGAAGTACCAACCAGGTAAGCCAAACCAATCCTGAGACTGATTGATATCTTGTGGCTGATAGTTTCTCAGACACCTCTTTTCGCTTCATTGCGATTCAAAGCCCGGCTGCTGCGAAAGACCCTACAACTAGACGCTTGGCTCGATCGCATGCAATTAAGCAAGCTATTAGAGCAAAGCGTGAGCTTCAAGAAAAGCAGAGTGCTAAGTCTCCTAGCATAACGCACGAGAGTCCACACAGCAACACGGCCGATTCTCCATCCTCCACTACGTCAGCACTCTCTCTTTCGAGTAAATTATTCGACCTGCAAACTATCGACGCTTCGAGACTAAAAACATTGATAAAACAGAGTAAGCAACACATACATGTTGGCCGTTTCTCTCGAGATGTATTAGAATGAACTTAACAACAATCCCCGGCAGACTCGGAAAGACAAGCGGCTGAGCCTGTGTTCAGCTTGAAAGAGGACGTCGTCGAGTTTCAGGCATTCGAATCGGTCTTTCTTACCGGCGTTGATGACCCTGCACTGTTGAATGCTGTTATGCTCACCTTCGCACTTGGAGTGACCGATGGAAATATTAATCAAGAATGTCTCGGATATTTGAATAGAGCAACCAAGTCCATTCGCGAACGGATGGATCGTCCAGAGAACGCTGCTTCGGTGGCAGTCATGGGAGCCATTTTACTCCTCGCAGGCGTAGAGGTCTGTAGCCACCGACTAATGCCATGCGAATGATCTTATACTAAGTCTACTGAATAGGCTCGACTGGGGATGCGCTCCCAAGTTCAATTGCACATGAAAGCAATACACCAACTGCTCCATTTATGCAGTGACGAAAATATCTACTTAAATGGCAGTATCAAACGTGCCATTTTCTGGTAAGTTATGACAATTATATAACATAGAGAGTTTGCTAAGACGGTCGCGTAGGCAAGACTTAAACTGCTCCGTTATAGCTGGATCTCCTCGACTATTCGATCACACGACATTTGTTGAACTAGAATGGAGAAGAGATCCATTCACTCCGAATTTCTATACTCTTGCACCCGGTTTCCGAGCACGGGCTCACTTATTTGGTGATGAATTCATTAGAGTATTGGAAGACACATATGCGTTGCAATGCATTCGAGACTCGCCCAACTTTGGTTGTCGTGACACTGGAGAGATGATGCGATACGATAGCCACCAAGGATCGGTTCAATCAAGACTTATCAACTTGCCAAAGGATTCTGTGTTTCTGGAGTGCTGTCATCTTGCGATATACATCTCGGCTTGCCAGCTATGCTCAAAAGCATGGAAAGCTCTGTCAATTCCTGTTAGTGCACTGCACCTCCTGCGCTTGATCCTTGTTCCGTCTCGCGTTTGAACTTTTCGGTGAAGAACAATACTCACAAAGCTCAATAGGGTCATCTGTCAATTGTGTTACTCGAAAAACTGCAACAAGCAGATATAAATGGCGTTTGGGACAACGACCCTGATTTCTTCCTGTGGCTCCTATACACCGGCGGAGCTTATCTGGCTGCCGGTCCAACACGCTCAGCTTATATTGCGCTTATTAACCAAAAGTTCTCATATGGATCTAGGAGTCCATACACTTCATTGTCGACAGTTCTCCACATATTCAAAATGTTCGTTTGGTCAGAGGAGGCGTTCTCGGCCGAAGTCGAAAGATTCTGGGCAGAAACCAACAAAAAGAAACGGGGAACATATGATCGAGAGTAACTAAAAAAGAAAAAACTGCATAATCCTCGTTTCGATACCTACCTAACAGGTGCTGTCAGTATGAACGCAGGCGTTCATAAGCGCCTAAGGAGTTAACGGCGTTTATATGATCCCCAACTATGAAGGTTTATGGCAAGATAAATAAGCCGAACATGATGGTTTCGAGTATGTTAACGCCTCCGCCATATCATCTGCTCAATATTAAGCCAGACGAGATAAGCTAATTATTGTTTTCCAGGCTCGGTTGCGCTTCCAAGAGATTGCATTACACGCGATGCCACATTTAATGTATAATGCGGACTTCCTCCGCCACAAATCTACATAAATATGTTTACTGTACATATGCTGTTCTGAAACAGTTAGTTTTATACTAGGAACGCCGCAAAACCCGTGTTTTCTCGTCGTTCCAATAAGAGGACAATTAGGATGACGATTGATACACGTGCCACTAGTTCTTCTAGTATATTGACCGATCGAACGTAACGACAACAGCTTCTGTAGAGGGAATTGTCACTGTGGCCTCCCCTTTCGAAACTGGTAGTGCCTCGAAGTGAGGCCGACCAGATTGCGCAAGTCGCCCCCGTGTATAATTCCAGCTAAGTCCACCCCACGATATGTCAGAATCGGCGCTGGCTCCTGGTCCAAGAAGCCTCTGTACTGTGGCGCCTCTTGATCCAGAAGGAATGCGTAGTGAGACTTTCTGGCTTGGCCGAGGGTATTGAGTGGTAGAATTCCACTCGTCAAGGTTAATCAATACGTATTTGCTCAGCTTGGAGGACTCATAAACGCCATACGCAGAGAATTTCCACAGCTCAGGTCCGAGGTGAATAGGGAGAATTTGGACTTTGGGATTATGGCCAATAATATCTGCTACGACAATTTGGCCGTAAAGCGGTGGTCGGACGTAAGGCTGCATGTTTCCTGTAGGTACAGGCACCCAACCCGTGTATCCAAAGGTGGTGCCCTGTATTAGATTAAATCGAGAAATATTCTGTTCTTCTAGTCAGAAAGCCCCGCCTTTGCAAGTGAATTATTTATAGGACTCACGTACTAGAGACATCCCATACATGAGATAGTCGATCAACCATAACGAGCTGCCGAAAACACCCTCTACCTGACTCATGAGCAGGTTGGTATAATCACTATTCGTCTCTCCCAGCAAGAAAGTGACATCTGGATAGTTGGTCTTCAAGTACTTGTTGGCAGGAGAGTAGATGCTAAGATTAGCCACAACAGCCGTGTGGTTCATGAAAGTCTCTAAGTGATGTCAGCAGCATGTTAGGGTGGGCGAACAAAGCCATCAACGTGTGAAATTACCCTGGAGTCTGACCCAAGCCTGGTTACCAGCCGCGTAACTATATCTGAGATTAGCTGGTGTGTTGTTGAATTGGCACGCAGTCTGTCGCTTACTGATGCAGAGACACTGATTTAACATGATGGGTTAAATCGATACCTCCATTGAACGCATTTTGCCTTTGTTGCAGTTAGTCTCCGGTTTGTTTAAATATGACATAGGGCGTTGATGCTAACGTGGTGAAAGTATTGAGTTCCGCGTTTGCAAATACAAGAGCCTGGAAGAACCTTTGTTCGTCTAGGCCGTACGAATTCCCCTTGAGGACGTTGTCTGAGATCGCATCGGCGTATCTGGTCCACTCTTGGAGATAATCGTTGACAGTATATCCACAAGGACGAACAGCACACGGATAGAGATCCACTTCATTGCCAATCTCAAAGTCGATCAAGTTGCCTTTAAGCGTGTTCATTACGCGCTTGCAGACTTCCATTGTGTTGTCAAGTCCCCAGCTGGCATTGTTTGCAAGATTGGCCTGGAAGCTCCACAAGGATCCCGGGAAGTTGTTGAAGGCCTCGAAGTAAACTGGGCCAATGTATACTGCCGACGGAATGCCATTGGCGCCCGTGTCTACCTGAATTGATAGTTCTTGGGACGCATTGTAGTAGGTGCGATCTCTGTTATCTAATATTAAGACTTTGGGTATTTTCTAATTGGTAATGTTGAACTTACGCAGATGTACCACCCACTCGAATGTACGGGCGCTTCCCAGTCTTTGTATATAAAAGATTTAGAATATCGCGAGAAAACAGGTTGGGGTGACTATTATTTCCTATAGAAGCTTACTTAGCATTGATAATCATTTTAACAATTATATTTCGAGCTTCGAGAAGTATTACCAGCAAAGTCAGGTAGCCAATGCGCCGGAAAAGAGAAAGAAGCGAAAGCATGGTCCACGATTTGGGAAGCGCCAGAGGGAACCGCGTCAGGAGCCGTGACTTTCATTGCGGAACCAGGGGCCGCGACCACTGCTGGAAGGAGAGGAAGTGCCGCTAGAAGATTGTACCGTCTCATTTTCAACAAACAGTCGAAAAACTCAGAGCGGTGTTAGATGAGATGTCACTGGTTGCGGTCTCATAACGTGGGATATGTCAGGCTTTATACCTACGTTGAGCAATCACAGATCTTTATATGCATCAGATCCGAAGCAACCCCAGAATATTAAACACCAAACAAATCATATTGATGAAGACATTCTACCTAGGCAGGTCGTCATTGTAACTAAAACCAAGGAGGTATAAACACTCCACAAACTTGCATTTCGGAAGTTTGCAAATAGTCAATCGAGGAGAAAGCCTGTAGAAGATTACCATAGACGGCATGGTAGCGGTTCTCGGTAGAAATAAAACGGAGTTCGGCAGGATCGCCGCGAACAGGCTAGCAGACAGGACCTGGAAAGAATGGCGGCTTTCGGGCCTCCAAACTCTGGCATCGCAATGAAGTAGGTAGTTGACAAATGCAACCCTGTCTATTCGTCATCTTCAAGCCTTTGGACCTTACATGATGAGGTAAAAAACTGTATTTTCGATAGCTTTGATTGAGAAAACATTTATAGCTGCCTGAACAGTGATTGTTTTTTTCCCCTTGGCAAGCCTTAGCCAATTGATAATACAGCAATGCTCTACAGATGAGGATAGCGTAAACATGGCGGCAAGCTCGCAATAAAGAGACGATACGAAAAGATACCTTCATCAACCCTGTTGCGATATGATAGATGCTGGACCAATAGCACATTTGGAATGACTATCTCAACTTTCAACGCTCAGAATGCAACGCTGGTGTGATGGTAGACTCAGATCGAAGTATTTCCTCCGATTTACCGCGTCCAGCGAAATCAGCCCAATTTCAGGCTCTCACTTGGAGTAAGGCCCGCCAATCAAGAAAACAATTAAAGTTAGCAGCTCGCCAATGCTTTTCACCAACCAGCGGATATGTTGCAACTCAGGAAAGCTACTATTGTACTGCGCTCTACCGCATAGAATATCTCAAATGAGGACAACTTCTTTCCAAGCAATATTCTTAGCGTCTGTAGTCCTAACAGCCTCCTTTAGAACCCTCCCCAGACCGACTCTCTCCGCAGCTTTAGTACCGTCTCCGCCAACTTTTTTCCACTCTATCATCATAACGTGAAACTCCTCGTAATCTCGGTAGCCGTTGAACCTTTTGAAAGGGTGGTCTTCATGCGGGCGTCCCCAGTCACAGTAGTAATTTGCTTCGGACAGAAGTAAAAACTCATAGGACTCTTCAGCGCAAAACTTGGACTTCCATACTTCATCAAGCAAGACGTACCCGCACGTTTGTAAGTCCTCAGTGTACAGCAAAAAGACGACGCGTCCATTTGGCTCCCAAACTGGATCAACAGAGCCATAGCGAAGGTAATGATTCGAAGGTTTCATGAACAGCTGAACTGAAAGCGTCTGAAAGCATAGAGGTTGAAGATAATCGGGAATTTTGGCCAGGTTGAGGCATACGGCAGGTGGCGATGAATGACGAGTTTTATAAGCTGTTATGGTTGGATCAGAGCTAGAGTGGCGACCATAAGGATTTATGTTAGTGGCAGCCTTGGAGTCGTAGCCAATCTCTGAGACTTCATGATATCCGGAGGAAGGCCAAAAAACACTCCCGGCTTTTCCTTCTCTGTTACGCTCCCATACCAAGTTTTCGGTTCCATTTTGGTTTCTATATTTCCAGTCAATCCAAGTGCGTGTTCTGATCCATTTTGTTATCACTTCTAGCTCTTGCTTTAGGTCTGGTAGAGATCCATACGATGCAAGTTCCATGGTATCTCCATTCCACCGCACGGCTCCATGCCACCCAGCCCAACTCCAGGAAGGGAAGCCTTCTTTACGGCTCATTTTCCCAGCCGGCTGCCAGAGAAGAGCCAGATCGAAAATAGACGCAGGGAGTCCGTGAATCATTTCCGATGACAGTGCTTGGCCTAACACAGCGCCCATGCCGCTGAAGGCCTTTAGTGTGTCGGATGGGAAGGTCAAGGTCCTCAAAGTATAAGCTTGTACAGATCGGAAATACATGACTGATTGGGGTTGACCCTCACGGATATACCTGGATGTAATGTCTGGGAATCTGAGAATGTCATCCGGGCCCAATTGGTTGCCTTCATAAACGTCTTCCCCATAGACATGAGAAGGGCAAGCGAAATATAGTTGGTGGTTTGCGAAAATAAGCGCTCGTGTACTAAGCTGCTCTTCTTGATAGCTTCAGAAAGTTAGTCATACCACTACGCACGCGAAAGTTTTCCAAGCAGTAATACGCACGTCCATCCTCGCGATCTATATCTGGCTTGGTCCAAATACGCGCTGTGATTAAAGCGACCCAGAACAGGTAATCCGGGCGAAAGCTCTGAGCGAAATTGATGTACTTGACGAGGATTCGAAACTCCGGGCAGCCCTCTCGAAGCTGCATTGTCTTCTGCAACGAGCAAGACCATCGTCGCGTATCTATATATTGAGTCCATGGCTTCAATATTGGCAACCGCATTCTGTGCATTGTCTTGTAGTATACACAAGCTATCAATCCAGATGTAGCGCTCCCCTAATTGACGAGTAAATAGTATGGCATCTTGAATTGTCGGCGATAGCTGGTTCCAGATGTCTCCAATTGAGCCTTTCGTTCGCAGCTCATTAACATTCTGAGAAGTCGTCTTGAAAGCTATACTATTGCCCCATACATAGCTTAGCGCCAGGTATCGACATGGATATGTCTTGCCAATCAGACAGTTGTCAACAACATCGATCACCATGAATCCATCAGGTAGCTGGGAAGCTCGCGTCGCTTCTATAGGGACGCTTTTGCAATAATGCTCCTTTTCACAAAGCTCAACCCAGTTTTTGACTAGATTTACGTCGATCAACGCATCAGTAATGACCCTTGCATCCCCAATCATAGGCACCTCATCATCTCTGATATGTCTAATGCTGAATTCGAGCTTGTCGACATAGTTGTTCGCTACAAGCCAGAACACCAAACAAGCATTTGGCAGGTCGCCTGATATGGAAGACCAAGTGCCCTGTACTAAAGCTTCATCTTGCAAAAATTTGTCAGTGCCCGGTCCATTAAGAAACGCTTCAGTCAGGAATCGGCAAAGTGCGCAGTCGGTACGCGCTTCGACTTCGACGAACTTGCCCAGTTGATGGACCCGCCGCTCTTTGTAGGGAGATGAGCGGAAGGCTGTCGGGCTCACATCAAAACTCTGACACTTGTCGCAAAATCTTCCAGGTTCCTGCATATCTTGCGCGGAGCAGCTATGCAATCAGCGGAAGTTGAAGAAACGAGCCGCAGGGCTCTGTACGGGGCTATGGGATGGTTCTTGGTGCGGAGAGCCTAACAAGTCCATGACATGCCTGAACAACACACGATAATGGGTGCCCAAGTACGATCGCTGCCCACTCCACTTATGGAGTAACATGGCGAGCTATTGGCGCTGATTATCGCTTGCGGGCGCTAAACTCCTGTTAACCGCAAAGCTATATCCGACTTGTCCTCTGTATTGCTCTGTAGTGCTGGGTATACGGAATTGTGTTTCGCGGTGATTCGTTTATCAACGACCATTGCCACCGGTGACGTGCAAAGAAGCCCCCTTTTTTGCAGCTGAGGATTCATGGACAGCAGGCGGCAGGGTTGGACTCAATTAGATGCAGCTTGACTCGCATGAAGAAATTTCTTGTTACAACGCACATCTCTTCGGCCAATGGTGTAGCGAGAGAAGAGGGGCGAAGAGCGCTGCGGGACACGGAACCAGCAAGCGAGTTCCATCTACAAGATCCATTGGTTGCTAGATGCTGCACGCTGCTGCATGTATGAACAACAGCGCCTGAATGCTGCCGAATGCACCTATTACTGCGCGCTACATGGCTTATTGGCGCTGCATACTGCCACGTAGTATATGGTGCTGCCCAATGTGGCTTGTAGGAATGGATAGGGAGCCACGTCAATAACACTCCGTATTACCTGGTCCCTCAATTTGTGGATAGCGCATTTTTGAAGCAAGAGTTGAAGAATATAAAGAGGGCATTACCAAGACTTCTACAAACACTTTTTCTTGCGCTGCAATTAACACCGTCTCCTATCAGTCTTCGCAAACATCTCTCCGAAGTTCCTTCTTCCTTATCAACAATTCACAATGGCAATCGTGAGTCTGCCTAATCACACCCAAAGATTCTACGGCAACTAACATTATAAAAACAGCAATCCGTTCAAGTACGACCTCAAAAGGCTACCATCGCCGACGAGATTGAAACGTACGATAATATGCACCTTGCAAATTGGCAAGTGAAGCTAATTACTATTATAGTTATATTGAGTCTCTGATTGGCCAAACCGTTTCTACTACCGCCTCCATGGTGCCTGTTTTCTCTTTCCGGTGAGTGGAGATGTCTCTCGATCTTGGGGTGAGAAACTTGGAGCTGACTTGAAATAGAACAACAGAAGAGAATGTGCAGAAGATCAAGGAGAAGTTTGGCGACCAAATCATCGTTGATGTTGTGTAAAGTCACATGGGAAATTCGACAATCAGATACGCCATCAACTGTTATATGAAGGCACAGCCGTCATATGAGAACGAGCAGTACGACAATTCACAGCGAGATATATAATATCTGGGGTTCAACAGGACAGAGTTAGATAGGGATGCAGAGAGTAAACAGAAACTCTACTGGTCATCGGCAAGATACATACAAAAGCGATATAAAAAAAATCGTACTGAAATAAATATAACGTATATGCACCATGTCCTCGCAGCTCTGGCTCACAGATGTGCTTTTGCCCCGCTTATGTGATCATGGCAGCACCCCTCTTTTGAAAGTGTTTCTGCCGCTTCAGCAGTCAAATCATCATTGGACTGTGGGAAAGAAATCTTCAGCTTTAGCGTATTGCCTCTACACAAGAGGCGAAAGAAGTCTGCTTCTCTAAAATTTGGCTTTATAACTTGGCTTTGGATCTGCACTGCCCTGAGCCATTTATATGCCTTTTTATTTATTCAAGAGTGTGTCGTTGTTTGCCGAGTCTTGGGTAGAGCGGTCTGACTACCCCTCTTCTCCAAGGATGGCGGGGTCAGCTTCGGGATAACTCATAATTTGTTGGAGCGGTCTATTTAAGATTAAAGGGCCGGCGTTGATTGGCGTACGTCAGCCTTCCGGATCGCATCCAAATCTCTATTTATTAAGGGGGCATCCAACTTGAGGATTCTATTCTCAATCAGGAGACCAAAGGAATTGCAGGTTCACCAGTTATCCTGAGCCCCTCTACGTAAGCACAAGCATTGCTGAAAACACTATACATCTCACAGCGGTGCCCCTATTGTCATCCATATCGATATTATTGCCGCCATTGTTCTTGAAATGTCATACGACAAAGGGATATTACTTGCGTGCTAATATTTAAAATATATCTCGTCATCAAAGGAGCCGACTACGAATTATATGGCACCAGATATATGAGGTTGGCTTACACATTAAGGCTGTTGAAGAAGTAATAACCGTCAGGCTATATAATAAAATAATACGCTGGACTCTATCGCTTCATAGCAGCATATTGAACCTTATTTGGCTGAATCACCTTTTCGTGAATTGAGTCTAGTGGGGTCCGTTGCATCGAGGCTTTTGCCGACCGGCTATAGCGCAGGGGCGAAACACGGACTGGCCATCTCTATGTAACCCTGCTAACGTGATGCCACAGATTAATCTGGCAGTATAGATTCCCCTGCATATAGGAGTGCGCGGCTGATAGATCATGGTGCACCTTGTAAGAGCCTCAACGGCGAAATAGGTCTCATTCAGGCTCAATCAGTACGTATATTGCCTATCACAAAACATGATAGCCTGGATATTTTAGACTCATTTATCTGACTTTACACTTCAGGTGGTTATTCCTTTGCAGGGATATTATGGAGAAGAATTTCAGGAACCGCGAGATGGCTCCTTGGGGCCAGGTTGTTGAGATCTTTAGCTCAGATTCAGATAGATGTTGGCACGGACTACTAGAAGTATAAAGTCTACTGAGCAGCCCAGACAATGAGATGTTGATGGAAACAGTACCAATCAAAATACATTCATTGAACCACTAGTTCCTTCTCTCTTCCACTGCAGAAAAGAACCTCTACAGTCCCTCGGGAAGGCTTTGTACTGCTCAAGTTTCGAAACTGAGAGCAAGGCGGACTGTGATACGCCAAGGTATGTGTTTCTTGTAGCTTGAAAATGTTCTTCAGCCAAAGCCGAGTTCATACGGCTTCAAAACCCACTCAGCTATTAGAATAAACTCTTGCTTACCATGTATACCAGTGCCGCCTTCATCCGTTCGTTCCTAGATTTACAATGAATAAACCAATGGGCCCGTTGCTACTCGCTGCCACGCTTATGGCAAGCGGTGCTATCGCACAGACACAAAGCGTTTGGGGACAATGTGGAGGTACGGGCTACAGTGGCCCAACGAACTGTGCTTCTGGTTCTGCATGCTCTACATTGAATCCCTATTACGCCCAGTGCATTCCAGGCGCAACCAGCTTCATTACCTCGACTACCTCGACCAAGTCTCCTGGTTCTGGGTCAAGCACAACCTCTTCAGCTTCTCAACCAACAGGCTCTGGGCAGACGCGATTTGCTGGTATCAACATTGCCGGGTTCGACTTTGGCTGCACAATTGATGGAACCTGTGTTACTTCACAGATTTACCCGCCACTGAAGAATTTTGGTGGTACTAATAACCACCCAGATGGTGTCGGCCAGATGCAGCACTTTGTCAACGATGATAAATTAAACATCTTCCGTCTACCTGTTGGATGGCAGTATCTTGTTAACAACAACCTGGGTGGAACATTGGACTCCACCGCTATTAGCAACTATGATCAGCTTGTTCAAGGCTGTTTAGCCACTGGATCGTACTGTATTGTCGATATCCACAACTACGCCCGTTGGAATGGCGCAATCATTGGCCAAGGTGGCCCTACAAATGCTCAATTTGTCAGCCTTTGGACGCAATTAGCAACTAAATATGCGTCTCAGTCAAAAGTCTGGTTTGGCATTGTGAACGAGCCGCATGATGTGGATATTAACACTTGGGGTCAAACTGTGCAAGCCGTTGTTACTGCCATCCGTAACGCCGGTGCCACAACGCAATTCATTTCACTGCCAGGAACCGACTTCCAGTCCGCTGGAAGCTTCCTCTCCGATGGCAGCTCTACTGCCCTGTCCCAGGTGAAGAATCCTGATGGTTCGACGACAAACTTGATCTTTGATTTCCATAAATACCTTGACTCTGATAACTCTGGTACTCATACAGAGTGTGTCACCAACAACATCGCTACCGCGTTCCAGCCTGTCGCCACCTGGCTTCGCCAGAACAAGCGCCAAGGTATTTTGACGGAAACTGGTGGCGGCAACACTCAGTCATGCCTTACGGACATGTGCCAACAGAACCAATTTCTCAACCAAAACTCCGACGTCTTCCTCGGCTACATTGGCTGGGGTGCTGGCTCATTTGACAGCACTTACGAATTGACCTTGACACCGACCCAAAACGGAAACACTTGGACTGACACTGCTCTGGCAGCAGCTTGCTTTTCTCGCAAATAGATTTCAGGAGATTGCAGGTGCAGTTAGTCATTCCGTGTCTTTATTGTTTATTTTCTTTTATTGCACATAGTTTTTATACTTGCTACTTTCTGGTTCGCACTATTTGGCATTAGAAAATGTGAATATTACACCGATCTCTTCAACTACTTAGTATTGCTCCACATGTGCTATAGACCTGGTTGAAACCAGCCACCATGGTTGTAGAGTTTTGCCCAGTGTGCGCCTACTATATGTGCCATTATACCATCCTCGCCCATTTGACCGTGACGGTACACAATTGATACGATCCATTAAATCTATATTTAGGCTCCAAACCACGTAGCACTGTTACCTAATCCTCTTGAACAATTCTCTTGGCTACATTTTTCATTGTTTCTTGAGGAACAAATCTGTACGCACTAGAATACATCACACAGATTTTATTATTATAATTATATCACTTCTAAAGCTGCATCACGACAGCTTCATGTACAACTGCATCGGAAAAAGAAGTGTATCCTTGTCCCTTAACGAATGTCGCGTTCCAAGGTCCCTGCTCTTTCTGGTCAATCAGTTGACTGTAAAATACGCCGTGCGCATCGCCGTCAATTTCGCCGTAAACCGGATCTCCATCCAGTTTGCGCTCATCAGCATAATAAAACCTGTATAGCCTCCGTTAGAAAACAACCAGATTTGTATTTCTGCCATAACTCACTTGTATCCGGATTCTTTGTGCTCTTCTGCGAAATAATGCACCAAGTGTGCCGCGCCAGCCTTTCCAACGCCTTGGGATAACAGTGGTCGTACGACCATGAAAGGGAGTTTATTTCCGGTATAAATGAACGTCTTTGACGACTGCTGAGGTAGCTCAGCGAAAGATTTAACAGCCAATTGCGCCGCAACATACGCAGACACAACATTGACATTGTTATCGGTTTGGAAAGCTGCAACTTGTTCCGCAACTGTTAAAGAGCCCGCCAGCGCAAACGAAGAAGCTAATGAATTAGCTTGAAAGTTAGACTTGCCCTTTGCTTATCATTGAATATCTATCGCGTGGAAATGACGAGACGCACCATTGTATACCACAACGCTTGGATGTCCAAGTTCAGTAATAACTTTGGAGAAAATATCCTCAACTGAGGTTGGATTAGAGAGATCGGCTTGAATCTGGAGATAATCCTTTTCACTTTCCGAGTCCTTCTTTGTGCGGGATACTATTGCAACTTTGTAACCCTTTGCTGCAAATGCACGAGCAGTGGAGGCCCCAACTATGGGTCCATAGCCCAGGATGAGAGCAACGTTTTGAGTCATAGTGAAGTAGTGTGTCAAAATCACGTAGAATACCAAGTAAATGGTGCCAGTATCGTCTTTTTTCATCTTACCTCGTGCTTCTTATACTTCTTATATCAGCGATATATCTAATTGGTCGGAAGCTGGCGTTCAGCTATCTTACCAATCAGCCCATGGTTCGCTCCGGAAATAGTTGCACTCATTTTGTAATGCCTTGAATACCTAGTGCAGCAGGTCCCTATTGCTGCCGCGACTCCACTTCATCCACTAGTCCCTTTCTGAAGCTTGATGGGCCTCTTCTGTTGCTTCAGAACTTCTGATGAAGATAATGGTGATGATGTCGGAAAAAGTTTCTGGCCTTTACACAACAGAGGAGATGGATTTTCGTTGACGCAAGAGAGTAGATTAATAAGATAATATATGATTAAAGTGCTTTTCACTCGGATTATATATAGGCAGACGATGGGGACGTGGGATATGAAATTGAACTGAACATCATCAATCTCTCACTTCTCAAGAACTTTACTACTACAACTATAATCAACATGGTTTTCACCAAGCTTATTATTGCTGGAAGCACCGGCTTAGTGGCCGACCAGGCGATCCGCGCCATCTTGGCCTCAACCAAGCCCAAGTTCGATGTCACTATATTGACTCGAGCCGATAGTGGAAAGGCACCAGCATCCATACCAGGCGCAAAAGTTGTTCCAATCGACTACAACGACCATAATGGCCTTGTGAAGACTATTAAGGGGGCTGATGCAATCCTATCTTTCATCTCTGGCCCTGTGTCTAAGGCTGTCGACCGGCTACTTCTCAAGGCGGCACAGGAAGCTGGGGTTCGACGCATTTTCCCATCGGAGTACACCTTGGACATTCTGCATCCTAAGGCAGTGAGTCTCCTGACCGAAGGCGGTAGCTGGCCCGACGATACTTCACCTGTTGTTACTGCTCGGATATTCACCTCCCTCGCCAAGGAAGGGGGGCCGACGAGCTTTACGACCCTTATACCGTCTGCCTTTATGGATGGGTGGTTGGAGGGAACTTTTGGCTCGTTCGATCCCAAAAATCGCAAAGCCACTGTTCTTGATAGCGGAGACCACTATTTCGCGGGATGTTCACTCCCCTTTCTCGCGGCTGCTATTGTTGCTGTTCTTCAAATGGACGAAGAGAAGACTAAGAACAAGCGCATCCCCATTACTGAAGTGCGTGCGACCATGAACCAAGTGGTGGATACGTACGAAGAGCTCCTCGGCGCCAAGTTCCAGAGAGATCGAGTCACGACCCAGGAATTGCTGAACAAGAGGAATGCAAACCTGGCTGCTGGAGCTCCGTTTGTTGCACTTTTCGACAGCATCATCGTGGGTGCATTTGATGGAAGTGGAGCGGGCGACCCCGAGGGCGGCTTGGAATTCGACGGCGATGGCTTTCTTACTGTGAAGAGGAAGACCCTCAAGGAGCTGACCACGGAAGCTCTCAAGAAGATTGGAGCCCTCTAAAGGAGCTAATAACCACAGTGCCCAACACGCCTTACACTACTAGAAATCTTGAAGTAGATGATGTGCTGAAGATGCTGTGATATAAAAGCTGCAACATACAGAATAGGACAGAGAGAAACAATAGAATGGTTTATATGTCGCAAGGATAATGTTGGTAAAATAGTGCCTTGATTGCAATGTTTAAACTCTTTTGTGCTTCTTTTACAAAGCTCCCTCCAGCCAAATGGAGCCAGTTAATGACGTTTGAGAATTAATCAGAAGATAGGTCATCAAATGTTTTCTACCCTACTTGATACACTGCTTACCTTCGTAACCAATACTTGCTACTGAAGCGGTGAATCCTTAAGGAGACTATATTATGAACATATCCATTCTGAGATACGGAATGCACATTATTACTAATACTAGTATTAAAACAGCCAGCCCTGCGTGTGTACATTTCTTCTTACCAATAGACTGCTATTGAACTCCGTCTCACTGTCTCACCGTGCTTGCACACCCATTAGTCAGCCGCTATCTCCGGAGCGCCGATGAATTGCGGCTGCGCAAAGCTTCTACCCCTAGTTCAGGTATATCCACTGCTGGTCCTGCTCATAATCTATTTTACAAGCTGAACACACGACGGCTAGGCTCATTTCATCGACGTTTCCAGGTGTTTTTACAAAAATAGATTTGGCAGTCAAAGAGATTCTGACAAGCGGCCTTTGCTATACCGGCCGAGATGGGCATTAAAGGATGCTGGACGTGTAGAGGTGAGCATTTCCCCTAATTCACCAAGTCATGGAGACTGAACCGGATTGCTTCTCCAGAGCGCAAAGTGCGATGCGACTTGCGCAAACCTACTTGCGGCAACTGTGCGAAGACGCTGCAGTCCTGCAAAGGCTATGGCATGCAACTGTCTTGGCCACGGGAGGGAAATAAGCGACGGGCAATTGTACTCGACTGTGGCTCAAGAGCGCCCGCAAGAATATCCCGGAGACATCGGGGGCGTGGTGTAGTGTTTTTGAACGTCTCTTCCGCAGATGTTGCACTGTCAGATGCTTTGGAAGAAAAACTTAACCTTGGTAAGCCATCTCTTATGCCAGCCGCTGTGCAACTTCAAGCAGGTTTCTAACGTGTTTCTTATAGCCGATTATTTACACGGGTTTGCAATACCACGCTCACTCCACCTTTCACCATTTTCGCTTTCGGGAGATGACGCATATCTACTCGAATATTGTGAGTAATTGACAGCTTTTTGTGGTACCAAACTCTCTAACTAAAATGGAATAGTCCAAGAGACCAGAGCGCGGATATTAGCTCCCATACTGGACGAATCTTTGGCATATTTCGTATTGCAAATGGCAATGGCCAATCCCGACTCTTCTTTTAACTTGGTTTTAGAAGGAATCCTCGCGTTATCATCTGTATTACTTGCAGGGCCCTCAAAGAGCCAATACCACAAGACGCGGCTTATTTCGATGCTACAGAAAGACATAACGCGGGTCGACAGAGAAAGCGTCATCCGAAATCTGATCGCCACTATGCTTCTTTTTCAATGTGAAGTATGTAAAGCTTCCCTTGTATATTTAATTGACAAATGCTGAGTAACCTAGATTTGCAATACGGCTAATCCTGGAGGGCTTTGGCGCTTCTATATGTGCGGAGCGAAGAAAATCATCTCGGCTGTTTCGCCTTTAATCACACTCTATCAACATGACTGCATGCCACTGATGGATTGGATTTATTACCACGAGGTCATGGCAGAATTCAGCATCCGACATTGGGCAGAAGCGGATGCTATTGATAAATTCTGCAAAGGACCTCAAGCGATTCGGCCTGGCAAGATATTTGTTGGGAGTTCTATGGTAAGTTGTTTGCTCATTTTTTAAAGGTTGTCAGCACTGAGATAGTACGATAGCAGATTTCCGATGGAGCTACATGCCCTATAGCTGTTCTCGACCTGGTCCGACACATTTGTAAGCGACCGCCACCTAATGGAGACAAAAATATACCGTATGACAATGCCGATATGATGCGCATCCAGTATCTTCGACAAGATCTCTACGGAACCATCGGAGAATATGGAACTTTTCACGGAGACTTTGAGTCATCACTCAGCAGGCAAGATATGATCAATTCTCTCTATCGATACGCTGCGTTGATATACCTGAACCGTACCGTATCATATGTTTCCACATCTTCGTTCTCGCATAGACGATTAGTGAGAGAAGGCATTTTGCTTCTACAAAATCTTGGCTTTTGTGAGGGCACGTGGCCGCTGTTTATTATAGCCTGCGAGGCTAATGAAGATGAGCAACGTCTCCAAATATTAGACATTCTAGCTAACACGCGTCGAGAACTGGGGCAGCGATCAGATCATGTCGTTTTAATTCAACACATGGTTGAAGCTGTATGGATTCAGAACGATCTCACTATTGAAAGCGATGTGAATTACGGTAGGATACTCAACGCGGTTATTTCTAAGGCTCCAGCGCTACCGCTCTTCGCATAATATATCTCTTAATATAGATCTAATATTGGCGTCTCTTTCTTGCACTTTATTCTATTTATGCTTTAGTCTTCCTACCTACACCTTGCTTATATGACTGATACATGGGTGAACCGTACGCATTTGACTTTAACTTGCTAATTGAACTCGGAATGTGTCCAGTTTCAAGAGAGTTTAGCGTCTTTATTCCAGACATAGCCAACCTCAGGAGGCTCTTCACCCGGATGCTCAGCTCTAAAGACCTCTAGTCGGTGATTATAGCGGTCCAAAATTTCCTTTGAGTTTCTTCTCTCATCCAGCCATTCCTCGACTTTTGTTTTGTCTCGGCACGTGTGTGGCAAGGCAAAGTTGCCAACGTATGTGTTTACAGAAGGCATGTATACTTGCGTTATGGGCGTTAAATCGAGACTGCACTCGGCCACTTGACGAAGGTAATTGAGACAATGGTCTATAAAATGAATAGTTAGGCAAAAGTGATTACATCGACAGAAAAGTGAAAGTAGCAGTACTAACGAATATGGATCCGATGCATGCGTCTAAGATCAGTAAGAGAGCTGTTGAAATAATATTCGCTGTCAAGTGTTTTCCGAATTTCGTTCTTTAATTAGAAGTTAGCATAGTTTGTTAGCTGCATATCAATGTCTTTTTGTAACTCGGCACTCACAACACAATGTAAGTTATGGATATATTCAGGTCTTTCGTTCGACTTAGTAAAGATTGTATCATTTTATACGCAATCAACAAACATACGCCATTCGATGCCCTGAGATCGGATGTGCATCTGATTGTGAACTGGTTGTCTCTGCTTCGGCCGCAGATATTTCGACAAGGTTGCTGCCTAGTTCATATCCGAGTGTGTTAGCATAAACATATTCATTATACAAGACAATTCTTCAATCATGGAATGGAAGTCAAAAACCATGTATCAAATTGTCCCAGGCTTGATCAATCTGTTCCGATGGTGGCCCATAATACTCAATTCCATCGGGTGCATTATCCATATACAAATGACCATCAGCAGTATATCTTAATATTCCGCTGAAAGTTACTTCTTTGATGTCAATCATCTGGCGGAAAGGGCCTATATACATTAGACTATAATAATCACAAAAGATAGACTATGTAGGAATTTACCAAATTCTGTGTCATATCCAGTTTTGATAGGGCCATAACGCCGCAACCGTGCGTCGTAAAGTAATCTAGTAATCATAAAACAGAGCATTGCTGTTAAGGTCATCCATGGTACTGGAGACCAGAATAGCCGCCAAATCTTGCTGACACGCTCGGGCTGAGGTTCTAAAAAGTCCTCTTCTTCGATTTCTTTGACCTGACTACATCTCGCGGAATGACCCCAAGATTGCGGACGCATGTTGTCTTTGACAAGGTTCAGTCAACGAGGTGTTATAGGATGTGAGAAGGAAGCGCAAAAATAATACATCAGAGTGGTCTTGAGTTACACTACCGATGGAAAAGCTCATATAGTGGCCGGTCAAACTGAGACAAATATCATGGAATTGTAGCGACTGCCGTTGGCGTTCTTGGACGTCTTAATTAACCGTGATATATTACTGAACTTGCATGAAAGTCAGCGCTATTGCTAATGATAAAGTTCTTTTTCTTATTTTGAAGGAGTGGCTACGACTGCCTTCGGATATTTATGTAGTGAGAGACAACAGTATGCCGCGTAAGCAAGAACCTGTGCCTTTGATCCCCGTATCTCATAGCATCATTCAGTAGGTATCGGGATGCCATATTCCTCCGCAAAAACGGCTAGCAAAAGGCCTCTATATTGACCAGGGTAGTCAAATGTCAGAATCGCACTATAGAATTATAGGAAAATATATCCCGTCGATTTGAGCCAAATATGTACAGATTCCGAGGCTAACAGCTCAAATCCCAGTACAGCGTTCCACATTATGATGCTTGGTGAATCCATGAGCGCCCTCTCTTAACAAGTCTCGTAGGCCAATAGAATGTGATATATTGTATGAGACTCGGATAGTTCAACAATATTTGGTGCTTGATCAGGATTAAACAAAATGATGAATGTTGGATCTCACTTAAACGGATTGAGTTAAACTAAAAACATCAAACGGGAGATGAGACCAGACAGAAATATAAACGATGAAAGAAATATAACCGAGAGAAGAAAGATAAACGAGACATTAGCACTGTTCTATGCCCTTCCACTGTATCATATGCCCGTTGATAATGGATATCTGGTATTATTAGTACATAGGTGGGTATATGTTCAAGAAGGTTGCGTGGGGTCTGTGTCAGAGACCTATTGCTTGTTTTGTAAAGACGTTCATAAGTCTAAAGTCATACGTAAAAATTCTAGGCGCCCACTTGGATAGAGTATGTTGGACGGTTGAAGTTCTCGGAATCGCCGGCTCGGGAGAGAGCAGGGTTGCAGAGTCGAAGCCGTACACAAAGTTTGGGGTAAAGAAGTTGGCAGTCATATTGTAGCAGCGGCGGCATGGGAGGTTGACGGGCGTGATGAGAATTCGAGGAGTGCAGTAGGGAGTCACCTGTCCCATTTCGTTGCCACAGTCGCGCTGAATATTTCCACAAAGAAGTTAGTTGAAGCAATCTTGCGCGATTTTCAATTTAAAATCTAGGCGGATATTTATTCTTGGTATGGGAAAATTGTATCATAAATGTCATATTTCATTGACGATCCAACTCGTATAGACAGCGGCTGCTATGTAACCAGGCTCTATGCTTCTTCCAGAGGCATCAAATTCACATATCAGCCATTAAGAATTGACAAACAGAAGTTTCTGACTTTCAAGATGAAGGCAGCATCTCTCCTTTCCATTGTCTCCGCCTTTATTGCGGTAACTGCTGCTTTGCCAGTGGCAACTAAGTCTGTACGTAGAACTTCTATCATGGATGATTGCCTTTACCCGCTCATTAACTGGTTGATAGGCTGCAAACTTCGAAGCTGTGAGTAAGAGACAAGGTTTCAATGGCAGTTTAGGCGGTCACGACTGGTTTATGGAGGAAGATGAGAATGAAGCCACCAAGACAAAGAAACAAGGCTTCAACGGCAGTCTAGGTGGTCATGACTGGTTCAAGGAGGAAGATGAGGCGGAATCTACGAAGACGAATAGACAAGGCTTCAATGGTAGCTTGGGCGGACATGACTGGTTCAAAGAAGACGAAATAGATGTTAACTAGAAAGTAACTGACACTGGTTTTACTAAACGCAAGAGATATATTCAAGGAAGCTGGGCTAGATTGATGTCGTGCGAGCCTTGAAGATAGTTGCGATCGTTCTCTACCCATTCGATGCATGGATCAAGTTTTCCCCAGTGAATCCTGTTCTTCCACCGCATGGGCAACAGGATCTTCTGTCCATTGCGATACCAAGAAGCCACGGCAACTGTTACCAACATGACACGCGCATCGTCGGTCCGATTGGGCATGCCCGCGTGCCATATGCGTATGTCGCGGATGATAAGTGAACCTTTGGGAAGGCTTGCTTGAATCGGCGGCCGCACTTTACGGCGCTCTTCAACGAGCTTGTCCGCAAAGTCGATGGGCACACCAAGGTCCTTGGCTCGAGCTGCTTTTTTCTCGAGGGCTATAGCAGGGTCAGGACCGTCATCCCCGTGTCCGTTAATAGTGAGTGCCTCCAGCGCTGGATCGTTGTGTGTGCCAAGCCAAAACTCAGTAGCCCCATTCTCAGGCGACGTTGAAACCAGGTTGATGTTGACACAAAAGCCAAATGGCGTGCGGGGATACCCCAGAGCCATGTCGATATGTACAGGCTGGCGTGCTTCGGCTTTCAAGGCTGTATTGGCACTGTATAGACGCACCTTTGGCTTAGGACCCAGCATGTGCTCAAGAATCTCGGCAGCCCACGGGTTTGCAATTATGTCGTCGAAGATATATCCTTCTTCGGGCACAGGCTCTTGCTGGAAGTTTCGCGTCTCTGCGCTGAAATTGACGTGGGCTTTTTGGCGCGTCTTTAGTTGCTCTGCATCGGCAACCATCCGTTCATTGAGATGGTCTAAGTGGGCTGGGTCAACTGCATTCTCAAGGACCACCAGGCCATCTGCATGCAAAGCTTCAAGCGCAGTCTGTAGATTATAAGATCTCATTGTTTTTGTTTCAAGTTCTTCATCAGTCAATCTGATGATTCTTGGCTGTTCGCCTTCGCTTGTTAGTGTGGTCATGGCTGCTGATCCGCGCTGTTTTTCTTTTCCTTTTTGTTATTCGATCTGTGAGTTCGATAACACAATTTCCTGTCTTCTCCAGCATCTGAACAATCTTCAAATCGAGGACCAAAGTGTTATTATAACTTCGTTCGCTCGGTTCTCGGATAGCTATCCCAATATTAGGGTTCCGGTGACTTCATGCGAGAGCCGCCGCGTTTTGCCTGGATCATTCCTATTGAAGTAAAACTAATAGTCCTAAGGGAGCAGCCTTACCAGAAACGACATCTCCGCTATCAATAGCAGTGTTACACGAATAGTAATCCTTGGTAAGTGGTGGGGCGCAATCAGTCCGTCTTTGGAGTTCCGTAGAAGCTCTTAGATATGCTCCATACAGTAAGGCTGGAGCTGGTACTGCAACCTAGATACGAGCTACGATCAAAGGCACTGTTACCTGTGCCTTGAAGAGCTACGGCCAGTATGTCGCACATTAGTTGCGCTAAGGATGAGCTATCCTAGTTCATTTGTAGTGCTGATAGCGGATACCGCCCTGAGCACGTTCAATCTATATAACATAGCCCAGGACCTTCTCCAGCGGCAAGCTGTGAATAGAATAGGATTGTATGGGCCTGTTTTTGCGCTTCCTGTGGTTGAACTTCTTTTTGGGGGTTGCGTTAAGACGAAACTCGCTCTATTTTCCTCCGTTCATTATTTTTGCCAATTGGTAGCTTTCAAGAGCCTAGGACATTGCTACACTTCAAATATCTACCATGACCATGTTGGAGAACCCTCCTGCCAGCAGCCCGCCAGAAATTATTGGCTATGTCGATCCGTGGATTGCCAGTCCTGGCAGTACAATCGATGTTAAGGTAAATCATCGGAAGAAAACCACAAATTCACCTCCGCCGTTTGACATGCCTCAAAAACCTCTATTGAGCTTCGTTTGTCTAGTCGTTTATTTCGCGGCAATGGCCGACTCGCGGCTGCCTTATACGTACTAAAATAGGCTCAATAGGTTTCGTCAACAGAACCAGACTTAAACTATCATGTCACTCGTCTCATTCACGGCCCCCAAGGTACCGATACGTCAGGAATGAAGCCTGAGATCATCTCGTCCATATTGCCTGGAAGCTGCAAAAGTCGATATCAGGTTGCGCATCCAGGGTCCTACGCCATTATTTCCAACAGAGATTACCAAGTTGGATCCACTGGTTTGGAGTTCAGCCTTTATTTCCAGTCGCATCTTGTTGAAGCGAAGCATGTCCAAACCCTCGTTTCAACTCTTGATATATCAACAAAGACTGGATACGCGGCAATATTGACTGCTGGAGGATTCGTTGCATTCTGGATCGGAACAGGCAAAAACGTAGAAGTGGTGTCTACTGAGTTTAAACCTGATCTAAAAAGATGGATCGAGCTCCGTTTCACTATTCGAGGAGCGGAATTTGAGTATCAGATCAGTCCCAAGTCTACCTTTGCAGACATTCCTCAGCCGGCGAGCAGCGGAGAAAAGACCCTTGACTACGAAGCGGCTATTACAAAACCATGCATTTTAACTCTATCAGCAATGTTTGCCGATGGCCCTGTTGAAGCATCCAACCATCCGATCAATTTTTTTAATGGTCGCATTGATAGCCCTACGATGAGATCGGCTTGTTCCAATAACCACATACTGGCGAAATGGGATTTCTCCTTGAAAATGTCAACTGACAGCATCGTTGATGTGTCTGGAAACAGGGCAGGGGCAGAAGGTCGCCTTATAAATGCGCCTACAAGGGCAGTGACGGGACACGATTGGGATGGCATGGAATCAGACTGGACTAAAGCAAAATACGGTTACGGAGCCATTCATTTTCATGAAGACGACCTTGATGATGCGGCTTGGGAAACTGATTTTTCGATAACCTTGCCCGAAAACCTCAGATCTGGTGTCTATGCAATCGAACTTGAAGCACAGAATGGCAGTGCAAAAGATACCGTACCGTTCTATATACGCCCTACACCAGCTACAAGTGCAGCGCTTGGAGCAAAGGTTGCGTACATTATCTCTACTTTCACTGTGAGTGAAATATTCCCTTATATCTCGCCTTATATATCATGTGATATAGTATACCTTCATACTAATCCGAGTTGAAAGTATCTTGCCTATGCAAACGAGCACGTGTTTGACCGGGCGCATCTGAAAGACGTCGTAAATACTACTTGGAAAGCCATACCAGATAAGCATGCGGAAAAAACAGTACGAAGGAACGATTTAGGACTTTCTTGTTACGATATACACAACGACCGATCCGGAGTAATTTACTCAACATCTAAAAGGCCAATTCTGAATATGCGTCCCGACTACATCAGTTGGAATTTTCACAGACCTCGAGGTCTTAGTGCTGATTTGTTAATGCTAGAATATCTTGAGAAAAGTGGCATTCCATACGATGTTGTCTGCGATCATGATCTGCATACTTCTGGAAAAGCCAGCATTAGTCGCTATGGCACCATTATTACTGGTTCTCATCCAGAATACCATACTGTTGAGAGCCTTAGTGCATATGCAGACTTCATCAAGGCCGGTGGTAACGTGATGTACCTTGGAGGAAACGGCTTCTATTGGAGCTGTGCCACTCAGGACGACTATTTCCATAGAGTCGAGATTCGCAGAGGAGGAGAAGGAATAAGATCGTTCACTAACCCCGGGGGTGATCGCATTTTCAGCAGTAATGGGCAGTCGGGTCTATTGTGGAGGTCTCGAGGCCTGCCTGCTAATTGTTTGTTCGGCGTCGGCTGCTGTGCAGAAGGTCCGGTAAGTTGCCACATCCGCTTATTTCTCATAAACGAGAATCTTGTATTTAACAATTTGTTGTAGGGTCCAGGCGTGCCGTATAAGAGAACAGACGCCGGGAAAGAAACATCATTCGCGTGGATGTTTGATGGCATTGGAGAAGACGAGCTGCTTGGCGAATTTGGCTTTGGAGGTGGCGCAAGTGGCGATGAGATGGATAAATGCGATTACAAGATTGGAAGTCCACACAATACGGTCGTTGTTGCGACTAGTACAGGACACCCAGACAGATTTGGGATGTTTCCTGAAGACATCTCATTCCCTTTCCAGAACGTCCTCGGCACTCAGACCAGAGAGGTCAGATCTGACGTAACATACTATGAAACGAACGGTGGCGGTGCTGTTTTCAGCGTTGGGAGCATCAATTGGCTTTGCTCGCTGGGATGGAACCATTTGCAAAACAACATCGCACGCCTCACAGGAAATGTTCTCAAAGAATTTGTGAGCAGGCATAAGTAACTGTTTCCAATCGCTTTTTAATTCTACTTAAATTTGTTATCTTGCCTAGGAAAAGAAGAGATTATATCGCCATACAAACGCTGAATATAGTCTAGGTGTAAGTAAGTAAACAATACAATTTAGGTAGGTAGGTAGCGCTTGTACTTTTATTGAATTGTCTCCAGCTATTTTTTTTTTTTAAGCGACAATGGAAGAATGAATTGCGTATATACTCCCTATTCATTGCTGGAAATAGTATACTATTTTCTGCTTTCAGTCTCAGAAGTCGGCAAACGTTCTATCGTCCTTTGCATGAGATGTCGTTACATATATAATAAGTCTGGCATTTCATCGGTATGGTAATGCACAATTTCAGCAGTAGGCAGCGGCTGATTCTGTCTGGCAGGTGATCGGCCGCCCACACGTTGTCTAGGCGAAAAGTCTGCTATTGATAGTGATAACTAGAGCAAACCGGACGATCATTGCGGAATGGTACTTTCTTCAATTCGCCTCAGAATGAACATCATCTTCGTGGAAGCGCGGAGTTACCGTGTTCAGTATATTTCCTCGATAGCTAGACTTTACTTGAAATGGAAATCACAACAGTTGTTTCTCCTCACACGCTATGATTAGCGCGGCCAGCTGGGTTCTATCCACAAGACGGATTCACTCCGCGCTTATACGAAGCGGAGTGTGCTATCTCGGCGCAACAATGAGGGTAAGACGGCATGCTCGATCTAAAATCGATTGTTCCTTCTGTCCGACAGCGGAGTCTATTATATTCTGCTCTATGCGTCTTCCCTTATGTGTTGAAAGTGCTCAAAAGATACGAACAGCTTGTCATCTTATAACATAAAACAAATGCGGCCACTGGCGCCGCGAATGAACCCAAGTGGGATTAAGGCGGGAACTGCATCCAACTTATAACGACCAAAGAGACAGCGCCAATTGGAAACTTCATTCGAGAAGAAACTTCTCACTAACTAGGAATTTGATACAATCTTATGCCTGCAACTATTGGCCCTTCAAGCACTAACATATGTTCAGTGGATCTTAGACCGTGCTTCACAGCCCAAGTCGCTCCCTACCTAGATAAACAGCGGTCTCTTCCTCTATTTTGCTTCTATCCAACGAACACCTTTGGAGATTTTAGATACTTGCAAAATCTTTTGGTCTTTTCAAATTTTCTGTTTTCTTTTTTAAGCTTTTAAAGTCTACCTGAAAAATGAATCGACTTGGTTTAATCCAACCTGAAGAGCTTGATTCTGACCAAAAGCCCCTCTATGATACTATTAACGAATGCACGAGCCAAATTCCGTAACTCGTCGCCTTTCCCTTGTTACTATTGTTGTCACCTTCTAACAGATATGCGCCAGATTTATCACCAAATATCCCACTGGGGAACTCGTTGGGGCTTTCGGTCTACTCCTTCACAACCCTTCTTTTGGCGAGCAATGGTTCAAGCTTGACCGTGCTGTCACTTCGCTCCCTGCGCTGTCACCAACTGTGAGAGAAGTTGCAATATTAGCTGTTGCCTCACGCACTCAGTGCGCGTACGAAAAATATGCCCACTTAGTGATGGCAGAGATTAGAGGTATCACCCATGAAGAAAGCCAAGATCTCATAACTGGGAAATTTCCAGAGTCGCTAGGAAAAGATGAAAGGTTAGCATGGGAAGTTGCGAATGCATTGGGCCACCCTGGGCCCTTAAGTCAAGAAATATGGGACTTGGGATTGCAAAGAATCGGAAAGGATGGTATGATGTCTCTTATTCACGTCATTGGATTCTATCAGTATATCTCTGTGTTACTGAATGGATTCGACGTCAAAGTGCCAGACTTGGGTTGAAGCGATTGAAGTATACAATTCTCGAGAGCGAGGCCAAAGTCGCACGTACAAAAAGCCATAGTTGCGTCAATTCTGGTTGTAACACTTCGCAATTTTTCCCTGGAAAGCAATAAACGAGATTAAGCTAGTATCTTTATCTTTTACTTGAGCAAATATGTATATCACAATCTATCGCCAACACTTCGTCCAACTTCGCAGCCTTGGTGTCTACCTGAGCTACTAGAGACCAATGGCACAGTGTGAATCATGCCGTCCACGCGAGACCAAAGAACCCGATGGATATCCGGCACGCTGGTATGAGAGTAATGGTGGGCCGTTGAAGTCCTAGCGGTCTTTACGTATTAGTTATCAGCGGAGCGCTAGCGGATCCTACTTCTGTCATCCATCCTCTCTCAGATCCTAGAACGTATGCCAAGCTGTAACACGACGAACATCACTGCAGAGGTATCTCAGCATCTACAATCCTATTGAAAGGTCATTTACTTTGCGAAGGCCATCGAAATTTACCGCTGCTCCATCAACTTGAGACAATGTGACACCTTAACTCGCCTATTGGCTTTCTTCTTCTTCATTTGCCACTTCGCCTTTTGGGGGTAACCAAGAGATGTCATCGAAAATGAGCTCTGGCAACACAATAGGACGAGAGAAAGGGAAGAGATCTAGGTCTGGGTGCTGGACGTGCCGGGAAGCTGGGTACAAATGCGACGAAGCGAAGCCACTCTGCGGTCGTTGTGTAAGGTTAAAGATTCCCTGCCAAGGCTACGGTTTGAGGCTGAGGTGGCGTCCTCACAAAGACGCAAAGAAAAGAGAGGACCTTCGATCCCGACATGATGAAAACCGACGTGAACTGGTAGTGCCGCCGCCCAACAGCAATGAAGCACAAGCTGCCATCATTTCACCACCTGCAGAAAATACCGTCACGACACCCAGTCGTTCCGGCTCGGACGGTTGGGTGTCGGATGATGTCTTCTCACCTCACGGGCGCAATCCATGCGCATTATTATCTCCAATGAGTATACAATCTCGAGATGATGATATTCCAAGCGAGATTTGCTTAAAAGATGGAAAATCCGACAACATGCGAAGTCGAGAGCAGCTGCGCGAAGCTTCAGTACCGCGCGATCCTCCCTACTGGGCTCTTTACTTATCCCTTGATGACTATCACCTTTTTCACCATTTCACCACTGTTGTTTCTTCTTTAATTTCCATAAAACCTACTGATAATCCCTTCCAAAAGCATTTTACTAGCATGGCTTTACAGAAGGGTCCTCTTCAGTCCGCCATCCTCTCAGTGGCCGCCAGTCATTTGGTAGCAATTTCACCGCGTAAAGACACCGAGATTGTTGCCAGAAAACACCACAGGATAGCCATACAGTCTTTGTCTATGGCGCTCAAAACCCCGACGGAAAGATTTTCTGATGCGATTCTTGCGACCGTGTTGATGCTGCAAGTCAGGCGTCAATTTATGGACAGCATCGAAGAGGCAGACGAATGCCATCTATCTGCTGCTAGAGAACTCATTCGTTTACGCAAAGGGCTACCTACTGCGCCCACGTCATGCTTTCAATTCCTTCTCAGCCTTTTCAGTTATTACGACATATTGGGATCCATTGCCCACGCGAGGCCACCTTTCATTCTTGATCATCACTATCTCTGCTCTAACACCTTGGCTCCGCTTTTCGACAGTGCCTTTGACATTCTCCATATAGCATCGGACATCAGCTCGCTGCAGTCGATGAAGAGTGGCGCCATGACAACATCAAATGAAGAAATCCAATCGCTTATTCAAGTGTTTGAACACAAACTCGAAACCTGGCGACTACCTGACGATACCGCCGAAAATCTCGATCTTGCCAATACTGCGATCGCATATCACGCTGCTGCATCTATCTATCTATTTCGTGTGGCATATAATATAGGCTCTCCACACCCGCGTACCTTACACCGAGTCCGACTCTGCTTGGATGCAATAGCGAAAGTCCCCATAACGTCGCCACTTGTATCTATGCACGTTTGGCCGTTGTTTACGGGAGGATGCGAGGCTATCGATCCGCAGGATAGGTTGTTTGCAGTTCAGCGGCTTAAAGAGATGTACAGTATCAGGAGAATTCCCTCTCTCATTCGCGTTCGAGAAGCCATGGAAACAGTTTGGAAGTGCAAAGACTTGCAAGGCGGAGATAGCAGACCTGATCTCATGGTTAAGCTAGGATGTCTTGAAGCTTTGGACCAATTGGGTCTTGGCGTAGAACTAGTTTAAAAGTTCAATATGGAGAGCTGGACTTCAAATTAATAGAAAGGGATCTATGTGTAATTGATTGGAAAGCCAGCAGCCGAAAAGGGAAACTCCGGCCACAGTAATAGGTAGCTGGAAATCTGCGAATAGCGGATGCATATCTAGATCGAAGCGAGCTGTGGCGGGGTAGTGGCATCGTCTTTCGAGCTCATGATCATGAGACGCCTAAGAGAAAGTATTACTCCAATGTTTGATGCTCACACCCCCCAGAGGCCACATCCTGCTTGTGCTCCTCTCATGAACTCTAGACATTTTAAACGCCGATGTGAGCGATTACCCTCAATCGGATATGTAATCGAGAGCTACGGTTGCTTGATTTAATTGAGAGTATAAACCGCTAAATCTTGACCCACTTCAAGATCAATTATATGGCATTGCTGAAGCCGAATTATTCCATCTCATCTTCGCCCAAATGATAGCAAAACGTAAATATTCGTTATTATTATTCAAGTCTATGTACTTAGTATATCATGATTGAGTAGCCGCTGCGTTTATATGCTGGAAAAGTATTTGATGTTGAATATATACTCTTATAGCGATTTAGCGCCTACAAGAAAAGGGGCGGTTGGTGCTTCCGTCATTTGTTTCGCGAATCTACAACGGTGTTAGCTAAACTGCAAAGCACAAAGATTGGTCTGTTGTACTTACGATATCGGCAATAGTGGCATAGGTGCCGGCAACTAAAGCCACTACTCCGATGATAAAGGCCAGTATGCTTCCAAGGGAAATGAGGATATTCTTTCCTGAAAACCATTCGCCCCTTTTGCAGAGCAAGCAGAACCACATGATGGCAGGGATCCAGTAGGAAAATCCCGTCACAAACAGTGCGGAGACCAGAGAAAGTAGATCGGAAAAGATGGGGATCGCCTCAGCAATGACCCAGGCAATGATGGTAAAGATTGCAGCCTGTGTAATCCAAGCAGTCCAGCCCCTGGGAGTATTAACGTATTGAATAATGGATTTCTTCCATAACCGGCCGTGTATATAACGAAGTGCCACTGTCGAGTTGATAGATCCGGAGATGTAAATAACAGGAATAGCGATGCCAAAAGTAATCTTGGAGATTAGTTCACCAGATGACAGCAAAGCCGGAGCCTGAATCGATGGGCCGATGAACGCATAGCACAGCGCTCCGGTCAGAGTATAGATGGTGATCTGGGCGATACCTGAAGCCCAGATGGATTTCATATAGTCTGTTGGAGTGTGCATCTCGTCCATGAAGGAAAATTGACCGATCGCAAAGCTGAAAGCAAAGATGATATTGCTAACTGCCACAAACCCCTCGGAGAAAGTGGTCCCCTCCTGAGGCCAGGTTGACCACTCTACACCAGAAAGGCCGCCAGCGGAATGTTGAGCTTTGACGCCTGTAGCAATGATGGTGATACCAATGGCGATGATGATTGATGCAAAGTCGATGTAACCAAGCACGGCGATCTCGGTGAATGAAGGTGGAATGGCAAGAAGGAATAGGATGACCGCTGACACAGCAGACCAGACAATGGAGCAGACGTGATTGTTATTAAGGGTGCCCAAAGCGATGCTTCCAGTCAATGCATGGGAACCCACAGACATGACAAGCTCGAGGACCATGGCAATACCAAATAGTTCATAGCCAAAGCGACCAAACAAGAGTCTTCCGGCGTCGGCATAGTGTGAGACCTGTGGATACTTCAACTTGACTTGTCCCACCAGGTAACTGGTGAAGATTGTAATCATTCCAAGTGTGATTGTCAGGAACACTCCAGGGAACATGCCGAGAGTGTGGTAGGCTGCTGGCAGACTGAGAGCTCCAAGGGCAATGGCCTCGACGATGGTGACGATAGCCAAGCGCTTCCATCCCAGCCGATGGAAGTGCGCGTTACCGTCCGCAGCAATCTGCTTCAATCGGCTGTTTTGCAGTTCATCGCTTGTCTCTCCGAAAATTTCATTATCAGAGCCAGAATTAGGTCCGACTTGCTGATTCTCAAATTTTGAGGTTTCGTGTTTTGGAGATCCTGGGGTGCGAGCCTCAAACTCTACATCATTCGTATTGCCAGCCATGACAAAGATCGAAAGAGCCTCCGCTATTACTCAATTATAATAACAGTGTCTGGGGAAGAGAGAGAAGGGAAAAGACAACTCCACGCTTGAGGAAAAAAGAAAACGGCGGGCCAGCTAGGAGAGAGGGACTTTTAAGGAAATGGGCTCGGTGTGTAGAAGGACTAATGGTAAGTTCCTCAGCCGAGACCCATCCATATGCCGAAAAGCCGCCAGGTTTAGGTGGATGTTCATAATCAACTACGTAGATAAGAAATGCCCCTGTCTGGGATTACGGTTATACTTCGTACTCTCTCCACGAATACATGCTGGTCTCGACTCCGGATGCTTTCCCCCGCAATGCAAGATGTTTAGAGTCTGATATTAAGTCTATCCACAGTATCCTGGATATACTGGGGAAACTCTGCAAAAGCAGATTTAGATGCCATCGTGAGTGGTACCGGTCCAAAATGAGACGATGTATTCCGTCAACCTGGATGATCAACCCTGCTACAGCGGCAGAAAAAATTTCTAGAAGTTTTCGAGTCATGTTCTAAAAACGTAAAAATTTCCTAGTTTGGTGGAGAACGCCTCTTATGGCACGAAAGACCAAGTGCCGTATGTGGGACGACTTGTGGATGCCGTTATGCTATAGAATCCATCGTCATCGCAGTCGGTACGAGTAAAGTGGAAATTGAGAGGATTAAGTGTCCTGTGAAATACTCCATTTCCGCTATTCTCGCCGAAAGACGCCGCGTGTGCAAATAAGAAGCTGCTCGCACGGAGTTCATTGAACGGGAACTCGATTGTGGCTTGTCCGATGACGCTTGCAGCGTATACAGTATTACAGGCACCAATCTGAAGAACATCGGATAGCGGCATCGAATCTCAAATCTATGGGGTAATAACAACGCTTCATGCTCTTGACAGGGCGCGTACGGCACTCTGATTACTATACAATTCGACCATATCCAGACAGCTGCAAAGACATTTCCGCGCCCTACGTGAGACGACCATCTACATGTCTTCTGGAAAAGGCATGGGGCCTTCAAGGTGTGCTGTATCCAGCTAAGATAAGCGTGGACGGCCAACATCATTGGCTGTGGAACAATTGGAAACGATGAGTGCCGAAGCTAGGGCGTGTCTAATGTGTGCACGGGCCGGAGCGAGAGAAATTGTGCGTGGCTTATCCCGGAAGTAAGCGACGAATTGCGCCTCTTGGTTCTTCTCTTCCCAACAAAAGACTGGAATCGTCATCATGTGCACAAGGCAGATACTGTGAGATGGGCAGTTGCTCTGCTGGAGGACAATTGATAGCTGGATAGCTGGAAGCAAGCCTTCCACGCTTTTCACCTCTTTATGCGAGACGTTTCGATGAATGCGGCTGAAGACTAGCCAATGCATCTTGGCAGGCACAAAGACTGGGTCTGCGCTAGTTAAACGCGTATGAATCGCGGGCTCTAGAAAAAATTGCCTGCGCAACTCTGGACCCTGATAAAGTTGACAGTAATCCGCAATGCGACGATAAAGATTACGACAAGTTATCAAGTAATGGCAGGCGTTAGCGTGTTGGCTACAGATGCGATGTAAGCAGTAGTAAGCGCGGTATCCTTCTCTCTGACATGCTATCGCTGAGTTGAATAAGGACTACTCGCTATGCTATTAGTATCCCGGCCTCATTTGCAGAGCATTGTTGCAATGGCGTAGAGATATCCTCGGTGTATGGAAGACGTCTAAAGCAATCTAATCCACGACCTACTGGAGTTAGAAGAGGAGGCGGCAATCTTACCCCGTGAACCTTGGAGCGTCGCTTACCACAGGGTCCAGAGTCCGAGGCCACCATCTAGATGCTACGTTTCCGAATTCATTGTAGGGCACGCCCGGTGGTTATCGTAGCAAACGCATTTCCACTGCTGCTACTTTCTTGCACAAAGTAATATATAGAGTATGGGATAAGCTCAATGGATGATTAAAAGCCCCAGCGATATGACGGACTGCTCTCCACAGCTCGTCCCTTATCTTTGGTAACGGTAAATCTTATTTTCCCTAGCGGGCAATACCTATCAAGGTACATTTCCGGAGCTTCAAATATTAAACGCCATAGACGCCATAGACTCCATTTCACTCAATCTCTTGAGAAGTGCCATGTAAATACTATGACATAGCCGAGCAGTACCTTAACCAAAAGGACAATGATGATGGAGAGCCGCAAGGAGATCCATAGGGACGACTATCACCAATATTCAGAATGGTGGTATTTTCATTATCAATGGGGGCGATTCTTCAGCTCCAGCTATATCTCGCATCCTGTATCATTCCACGCTTTGGGTTCCAAGCCAAATAACTCTATTCTATAATGGGGATATCATGATAGGTACTATATGTACAGCTTGCGCGTCGTTTCTATATACAAAAATTTAAACGACGCGCTAGTAAATTCATTAAACAAAACATTTTATACGCCAACGCTCGAATCCATTAGAGCCACACATCATTTCAATGCGCCAGGCTAGTTCTTCGACACCTTGCAGCTCTTGGGGTCGGTATCGCATGTGCATGTTGACTTTGCGTAAACCCAGCCAGTGAGGCGGCTAAAAATACAGTTAGCCGCAATGTTCCTCAATTCCGGAGGTAACCATTAAACTTACTTGGCAATGTCGCTGACGTAGCAGTGAGTAGCAATGTTGCTCTGCAAGTCACCGGTCTTCGAGATGGAACCAGAGTTGTAGATGCGGGCAGCGCGGTAGTAATCAGAAACATCGCCCCGGCCAGATTCGTTGATACAGTGGGCCAGACCAGCACCAGAGGACGTGCCAGCTGTACCTTCCATGATCATCTTGTAGATCGTTGATGTCGGGCAAGGCGTTGTGAGCTTTTTGTTGTCGTTGCACGAGGCATCTCCGTTGTGGTTTTGCATGAGGCCGGGATTGCGAACGCCCAGGTTGGTGGTGTTGACTCGCGGGCATCCGTGCGATTCTTGCATGACTATAGCCAAGATGAATCGGTGATCGACGCCTGTAGCATTGGCAGCCAGCTGGATACCATTGTAGATTGCTTCCTGCATGTCACCATCATTAGTCGCAAGGCCATGAAGCAGTAAGTACAAGTACTAGGTAATTAAGAACGCACGATTTCGTCATCGTTATTGTTGGGAAGACGCCAGTTGAGGTTTTGGCAAGCCCACTGCAGTGTGAGTTTGTAATTCTCAAACATATTCCCAAACGAGACCCAAGAATCGATAGACGGCCACCCCGCGGCGGTTGTTCCGTTGCCAAGGTAAAGCTTGTAGGAATCGGTTCCATTTCCCTGGCCGTCCCAGACGTTGTCATTGTCGAATCGGGCAACACCCTTGAGGGTAACATTTCCATTCGTTGAACGACTCTCGATGTTGACGCCGTCGGGAGCGGAAAGTTCGCTTGAAGAAAGTACCGATGAAGGCAGGGCTGTTGCAAGGCCCGCGCAAGCAAGTAATGAAGCAAGAGAAAACTAAGAATCCGCTTAGTATGGCGTGTGCGTAAACGTTCCAAAGCCGGAAGACTGTACCTTCACCATTGTGAATCCTGGAAAAAGAAGCAGAGCTGCTAATGAGCACACAAGACGGGAAGTATGCAGTTACAGTAGTCGTTTGTAGAATTTCGATGTTTCCGCAACTCTAGATGAACATGGAGCTTCATGCATGGGAAATCCACTAGATATATACGGAGTAGTGTAGACATGATTGTATATTTATAGACGGCATCGTGGCCCAGCTGCCTTCTCCGGCTTCCTCTTTCGGTCATATTCTGCTGTACATGCTAGGTCCGTCCCAGCCTAGCCGTGCTCGTTGAAGCCACTCGTGCTATCAATAGTAGTTCGTCGTTGCCAGGGATCAGAATCCGTCAGATACCTTCACCAAGGCACCCTGCATTCTTAGCCCTGGAGAGGCTCAAGGTCGCTTATGGGCAGGGTATCTGATAGGTCGGGTCTAAGCGCTAGACCAAATTTTCGGGCTTACTCGTATACTCGTGGGAATTTCTTCGTGTTTGCAAGCCTAATACTACACCGTAGCTCGTTACGGAGCCGCAATTTCCCCTTTTTTTCAAGGCTTGAATACTTTCCGAATACTACCTACTTCTGCACGCCAACTGGCAACAATCTGCCAATAGGTATTTGACTACGAGCATCAGCTGGTCTTCACGAGACGAGGCATCTGAGTCCCAGGTGTGAATGCCATACTGTCTGAGCACGTGAATCCAGCTGCGGCATTCAACAGCAGACTATAATAGTGCTGAGATTACTCAACATTTCAAATCATGGACTATGCCCGTCCTGCTGCGTGTATATGCGTTACTGCCTGAAAGTCGCATCTGGAAATTCTTCGGATCGCTTTTAGTACGCAAAAATTGTTATAGAAATATGACAAATCCTACGCTTCGTTCTCGGCGCCGCGCTTGGCCTCCACCCTTGGCTGCGAAGTGTATCCGGTTGCGCGATTCCTCGGCCGCTGGCTTACCCGTGTTTAAGGCTCAATTCAGGCCCATCAGCCGCAGGAGTTGCTCTTGGCAGAAACCGGCGGTGTGCCACGCCTATTCCTGGCGTGAGGCTGAGCGCCGTTGAAGAAACAAGCAGCCACCGAGATGGAGACCGAGAAAAACTCAAAAATATCCTGCACTAAGGGTTCAGAGGGTTCACACACAGAGGGCTTTCTAGGGCTGTTCGCGTATTCTCAGTTTTCGATCCTTGTTTTCTGCCACAGCTCGGTTCGGTTCGCCCGGGCGCAGCCACGTTCCTGACGATCGGCCAATGGCTGATGCTAGTATCAATACTAAGCAGATACGTTTTGAACGTTGAACCTGGGCTAATCTTAGCAATTCGCGAGTGTTCGTAAATCGCGGCTAAGCGGCCATCTCAGACCCTCCAGACCCTTCGTACGGCATGGAGAGAGCTCCGTCCTCTCCCCAACTTCGCGCAGTTCCACATGCCGCATAACAGGGAGAGACCTTGCCGGGATACCGTACTGAGTAGAACCCAAGAAATACGAATGCAACGTATACTACCTATTGTCGTGATTACGGGGCGGCAAAGGTAACATCTCCTTTTCATTCTCGTACTTTGCTTGGCGTGTTCTTTCCTCGCAAGCTCCTGAAAAGCAGCCTTTGTTGTTGCGTAACGTACTCAACGCCCTGCTACACCTGCCAGCGCTTGGAGCGAAAATGACTGTTTTCGTGTGCCTTTGCTATTGGCGCATGTGCCGAGGGCCGCGGGCTTAGCTCTTTGGTGGCTGGTCAGCAATATGGAAACAGCAAAGCCACGATGCTGCTAGCGTCGGACACAATCTTCTCCTTGAGTATGGCGTACATGTAAGCTAGGCTGTTACAGGAGCGGAAACCACAATTTTGGGCAGATTAACGTGGCACCAACGGGCAGTGAGAACGTTAATAAGCGTCGGATCATGTGTTGGCTTACTGGCACATGTCAAGTTTGGAATCCCAGCGAGGTGCGGCTCAATAGCCAATCATTGCACTACGCGGTCCAATGGCGAGGATGACTTTGCAGAGGATTCTCAAAGGATTCCATTGTTGAATCCATATCTATTTTATCAGTCTGCGCTATACTTGAAGGCAGGCTGAATTCATCTCGGCATGAAACCACCCATCGTGAAGCTTCTCACGAGACATTTAGATCTGACAGATAGTCAGAAATGCCATATTCGCCCACCGATTTTTTTTTTTTTTTCTCCTTCTTCTTCTTTAGTGTCGTATTGCTATTTTGCTTACCGCATACTTCATATATACTTAGGGTGAAATTTTCTCGTGTCTATTACAAGAAGTTCACCGCCCATTTCTCGATTTGCGATTCTGTTCACATGTAGCTTCAGTCAACTTGACCTTTATCATTCCACTTGGATAGAAGAGAGGTAAATATAGAGCTTATATGCATTGAGATTTAACATGCCTTGAAGCGGCTAGTGTTACTATGTTCCTATTTTTGGCTACTTCCCCGGACATGCACGAAGTTGTCAAGCCAGGGACAGGTGAACTATGCCATAATGCTGGTTGGCGTAAAATTTTTAAAGTAGACTGCTAGCTCGCATGTATGGGCTAGAGCTGGCGAAACGGTCTAAATTCCAGGCCGGTTATCTAGCCACTGCTGTTTCAGTTTAACTGACGATTCAGCCGCTTCGCACTTATCACGCAAAAATCTTTCATGCCGGAGTGTAAGCGGAGCGGACCTAGAGAAAGGGAAAAGAAGTACCGACAGAAGCTCTATGCCAACAAGCACCGACCTTTACTCCTACAAATATGGCATAAACGTTAAATTCTCATCCGCCCTTACTACTCGCTTATGCCAAGATAGTTGCTGCGGTTTGCTAACTATTTCTAAGTAGTCCGATCTTACACGCAGCTTGTGGCACCTCTCCCGACATATGCCGAGTGGCACCAACTGTCGCTTCAATAGAAATAAAGTATGAGCTAATAATAATGATATGTGAGATATTCTTTGTAATATGTATCTCGAACGTTTCTTTTAACGGAGATAGACTCAAAAGACTGCACCGCCGTGGGCGGCTATTCTGACTACTGCAGCTTCTGGCCCCCTGCCTTTGAAGCCCTTGCATCGGCGCTTCAGCACTTTCCTACATCTCGTATGACCCAAGATCTCAGAGAATAATTCGATTAGCGATAATGTAGTCTATGCAGGGCCAGCATGCAAATTAAAGCGTCGCCCTAGAGCTAACTGAGTACCGGGCACCTGGGTGTGTTTCTTGGCGTATGGCTGCATTCCTGATTCTGATCTCTCAATGGAAGAGCACCGCGTAATCAGGTATTGCATAATCATAATAGTACATGCACTCAGTATGTCTTACCAATGATGCTAAAATTAAACCGGAAGCTCGAAATTTGTGAGACATATAGGCTTGTCCTCCCACCTGCTGCTTTGCACCTCTCATCGGCTTCTATGTGGCGCCGTGATTTGACCGTGAACTGATATCAAATTATACAACTGTATTTCCTTTTACTTTAAAGTATATTGTGAGTCGCCGGAGCGCATTGAAGCGATTGGCAAGTCCTTCTGGCTTGGTCGATAGTGTGGAGGCAGAAGTGTTTACTCGATCTCTGCTAACCTATACCATGGATGTGAGGTTCGCTATGGCTAACAATTAAACAAGAGTCTAACCATTATCATGAACAAATATTCCGTAGAAATCCGCTTATAAGCTTCCAGTGACTTAATTTCTATGCCTTCTATGCAATTTCTTATTTCTCGCTTTGTGCAAACTCTGCATAATGAATCTGCTGATATTTTATAACAGAAGGAGAAAGATAGAACAAAATGTGAGTCTACTTCTAGGGGCTTGAAAGACATGGTTCAGAAATATTAACAGCAGCTGCAGTCTGCATATCATCAGTATAGCCACCTGTTCATTTGGCCAACACCACAGGGCCGGTATACTCAGGGGCACGAATGTACTCTAGCTTATCGCCATCAGCCACCAGGTTGTCCCACCAAACGTCGATATCTTTCTTGAAATGCGCCATAACCTCTTCGTCGCTAAAGTCGATCGTCTGATAACCTCGAGCAGTCAATCTGAGCTGTGTCTTGGCCATGCCAAGATCCACAGCAAACTTGCCGCCAATATCGTCATTACCCTCCACAGGCTTGATGGTTCCTGTGACCTTCCCTGACAATACCTTGGTAGGCAAATCCGGCTCGGCGGCAGCAGGTCTCGCAAACGAAACTCCATCGATAGTCTTCAAGATCTCCAGCATGGCATCAACCGTTCGAATGCCGCCAACCAAGAACATCTTGAGTTTGCTGTCTGCTGGAAGACTTTCGCTGACGACTTTGGCCCATTTCAAAAAGTAGGCTTCTCGCTTCTGCGTCGAATCTTTCTCCCACTTCATGCCAAAATTTTCGTAGTTGCCTCCGCTTAGTTCAACAAAGTCAAAGCCTTCCTGTTCAAGCCCGCCACAGACTTCTTCGGCTTCCTTCGGAGTGACTCCTGCGTCTTGGAATTCCACGCTGTTAAGCTTTGCTCCAACGACGAAGCTGGGTGACACGCGTTTTCTGATAGCTCTTGCGATATCCGTAATGAATCGCAAGCGGTTCTCTACTGTTTGAGTTCCATATTCATCAGTGCGCTTATTCGTCCGTGGCGATAAAAATTGTGCGATGATATAGCCATGGGCAGCATGGAGCTCAATGCCATCAAAGCCCGCCTTATCCAGATATTCGGCGGCATACGCAAAGCCCTCGACGATTTCGTCTATCTCTGCTTTGCTAGCAGGATGTGGTTTGCCAAAAGACATGCCCATCTTTGGTTCTACTTGATAGTTAGTATATCTACCTCGAACTTTTATCGAAAGTTCTCTTACCTAGCTGCACATCAGATGCCGATATCGCCTCTGGATTCAAGCGAGCCTGAACCTGTCTTCCCGGATGGCTCAACTGTCCAATGATCAAGCTGCCGTGAGCTTTGGCTGCTTTCGCGAGCTCCTGAAACTTCTCGAAACGAGGACCGCTCATTGGGCAGTCGGTGGTAATGATCATGTCTCCCAAATCATCCATTGAATCAAAGGAGATATCCATGTTTCCAGTAAGAATAAGACCCCATCCACCTTCTCCCCAGCTAGAATTGTCTCATTATCAGTCATCATATCACATTATTGATCCGTGAGAATCTTCCATATCATACCGGCGATATAGTTCAATAGATTCATCTGTTGGTACGCCTCGCAGATGAGGCACTTTCGGGTCCCATGTAGCCAATGATTCAGCCATAGAGCTTTTCATGAATCGATTCAATACTCTACGGCCAGAAGGGTAGAGTTCAAGTGGGCGACCCAGAGGTGCAGGGTCGACAAGTTCCGTTCCATAGCGCTCGTAAGGCATGATGAATAAATGCGTGGGTGTTAATGTTTTTTGATGTTGTGATCGATATTCTTCGTGTATGCGTATCTATATCAGTCCAATTGTTGAGACCATCATACTCTTTATATATAAAACTCGCGAATACTAATACTGAACGATCGTCATAGCGACTGTCTCGCAGCGAGCATACAAGCCCCATCGTACAGATCCGACTAACTGTAGATGGAAATTTGTTTAAGAGATGATGAGTTTGCGGCATACCCTGGCGTTTCGGTATTCCAGATCGCCCGGGAGGTAGGTAGTATGGGTGTCGTATTCCTACTGGGGTATGGGGTACTTGCACACGTAAGGTCTATTCAAAATGTCTCCGAGAGCGCAAAATTTGCGTGGGTACCCCATTTCTTTTTTATTTCCAGAATGAGCAAATGAAACCATGCATCAAACGGACGTGTCCTTTCCCTCTGAGATTACAAATGCTAGTCCATCGGGCGTTGTTCCTTCTCCTTACCTAGGCATGAATCATTGCAGAGGCGAATGTCTCAGTGCTGCATAATGTTCTGGAGCCACGCCCTTATTGGTGAAATATACGATTGCGGATTGTGGATTACGGTTATAAATCCCGCCTTCTTAGCGCTCTTTAACTGAGACCCTGATTCGAGTCTTGATTGCTTACTGCTGGCGAATTCTCAGAATCTTGGTAATCCTTACTGGCTGATCACCCATGAATTCAGCCAATAGATGAAGCAGACACTAGGTGTTGTGTAACGACATGCAGATTCCATCAAAGTATGAGTGAGATTACGGCATTTGGCTGTGCGAATAAGTTTGCTTTGGACTTTCATGTTATCCGTGGGACATTATTCATATGCTTGAAACTTATATCGTATCATAATTCAATATAACGTAGTTGCACTATATGAAATGCTATTTTATTCTTTGACTGACGCTCCAATGACCAAGTCTGCAAAAGCACTATAGCGTGTCGTGAAGTAGAATATGCTTCTTTACGTAGCGTTGAGCCGGAACCAATGAGGTCGGGCTTGCTATGTCCGTAGTCTTTTCAGGTATTAGGCTCAGCGAATGCTGATTACGTCAAGACTGTTTGATAGGCTATAGGAAACACTTGCCTCTATTTCTCCGAAGTGTTGTATATTACAAAGCAATCCTAAGTAACAGCACAAAACACAGAGGGCAGATAGAAATGGGATCTGGTTGAGGTAATTCCCAAGCTAACCATGCCGTATGCTTGTTTTGATGAAGTAGTGAGTGGTTATCAGATTTGTGAATTACAGCGTATGCTGCCAAGCTCTTCCGGTTCAAGCCACTTATCACCGAAAGATTTTGAAGTGCTTTATGTTACAGCGCCGCTACCATTATACCAAAAACTATACTTTTCAATAAATATCTACCTATGCCATTAAATCCAGGAAGTAGGAATGGCATACCTAAGATGAAGTAACTTACCTCTGTCGCTGCACCCTGAGGCTAATGCTTGGTTAGTTCATCTTCGAAACTAGCGCACGACCTAGCCAACTCGAGCAATTCTTAGACAAAGAAAATTGACATATGGAGAGAATCGCTAGTGGGACCCAAGTAAGTGGTAAAAACCGCGTCACGGACAAATAAAAAAATCTCCTTGCAGTCTATGAGGTAGAGTTGTAAGTTATTACTGGGTGTATTCCACCAGCGCTCTGAATCTGGGATATTCACAAAATATTCACGCAATTTCCATTGAATTCTCATTCAAGCTATGAGACCCTTCTATCGCATTCTCTTCTCCACTTGGCATGAAATGGACGATGATGTAGGACGAGGTCTTCTGTGAAAACCTCACACAGTTCACATAGATCCACCCTGCTTGGCTCTGGTGCTACTTAGTCAAGCATTTTCTTTCCTTCTTCTCTTTTCTTACAAAGTTAATAATTCCACGACTTTAATAGCATCGAAGGATCTTGTCTACTGATAATGTCCTACACGCATAGCTGAGTACGTGTATGCAGCTGTGAATTACTAAAGCATTTTCTCATTTAGGAATTGCCTGTTCTGGATATTCTCCACTTTAGGTAAGCTTCTTTACCACCTGCAGCCTTTTTTGCCCTGTTAGTTAAGCAACTCTCGCAAAGAAGATGTCTCAGCCATAGAGCATTGGTCAGACGGCCGGGAAGCGCGACACTATATAGGAAACCTTTACAGAAAGAGCAAGATAGCTATCTGCTTGGTGCAGTCATGTTTAGAATCCGTTTGGAATTGATTTGGAATTATTGGAATTGAAATGAGATAATGAGAATAATAAATAGGCGAAACAAGTCGGCTGAAAAGTATTGCTGCAGAAAACAACTAACTTGGAGCACTGTTTTACAAACCAAAAGAATAAAGCCGGTCAATCGCTTAATTATCAACAGCTAAAAAAGGGAAGTATTCTTAAAAATTTTTTTTTTGCCAACAAGATAAAATGGCGCTTCCTACGGTACAAAAGAAATGGATAATCCAGGGAGGACAGAAAGGACTTGAAGAGATTCAATTAATCGAGGGACCTATTCCAAAGGTCGATGATTATGGAGTGCTGGTAAAGCTACACGCTGCTGGCCTGAATCCCCGAGATTTTGGAATCGCAACGCCTGGTGTTAGTGTAATCTCCATACAATCTTCTATTTTCTCCCCTACCTCTTTCTTTTGCCACCGTATTAATTCACTAACAAATGTTTACATGCGTAGCTCTTCGCTTTCAGCGTCAAACTCCCAGTTGTTGGTGGATCAGATGGCGCTGGTGAGGTTATTGCAGTGGGGCCCAAGGTCACAAAGTGGAAGCTAGGTGACAGAGTTGCAACATTGTTTAACCCAGGACATCAAGCTGGCCCAATAACTACAGAGGCATATGATATGGGAGGTCTAGGCGGTACTATTGATGGCACTTTCCAGCAATACGGGATGTTTCAAGAGACTTGGCTCGTTCGCATAGCCCCCAACCTATCGTACCTGGAAGCTGCATCGCTATCAAATGCTGCTGTAACGGCGTGGAATGCTCTCTACGGTCTGAAAGGGCTGAGAGCAGGCGAATGGATTTTAGTACAAGGAACCGGTGGTGTCAGTTTATTTGCGGTGCAGGTGAGTTCTGACTCTACTAATCGTACAATAAGGTGTACCCAATTGACATGAAGAATGCATATAGTTCGCCAAAGCAGCTGGCGCAAAGGTCGTTGCTACGACATCATCACCCGCCAAGGGAGATTTGCTAAAGCAGCTTGGCGCTGATCACGTCATCAACTATAACGAAAATCCAGATTGGGGGCTGACTGCACGAGCGCTTACTCCAAACGGATATGGCTTTGACAACATAATTGAAGTTGGTGGTACTGATACTTTATCTCAAAGCGTCAAAGCTATCAAGTTCGAGGGTGTTATCTCAGTGATTGGTGCACTTTCAGGGGCAGCACAAGGTAATAGTAAGGTAATTGACGCGCTGTTGAAGATTTGCACGTTCCGTGGCCTTCATGTTGGCTCCAGGGTCCAAATGGAAGAAATGATGGCTGCAATAGAAGCCAATGAGATTCAGCCTATTCTGGACGAAACAGTTTTCTCATTCGAAGGGTTGCGAGATGGCCTAGAATATTTGGTAAGACTAACTCGTGCTCAACGAGACACTTATGCTAACATGATCATAGGCTGCGCTGAAACATGTGGGCAAAGTCGTCGTGAAAATTGTATAGAACACACGGGTTCCTAGAATACATATAGCTAGGATTTACTATCGCGAAAAGACTACTCTTTCTCTAATGCCTTATAACGAGCTAGTTCCTTTACAGTTATTGCTAGAACTGCAATGAGTAGTATTATCCTCTGCTTTGTAACTGAATACTTGTAGTATAACGAATTGTAATATATGAAACCCAACTTCCTTAGTTACTAATTAGTAATCCTGCTGAGAATCCAGTATCTGTAGCTTACGGTAAGCTATGGTGTCAACTACTGTGGCTTACCATAGACTGCCTTACCTAGACCTGACCTAATATTGCCTACCTACAAATAAATTGCTAACGGTTTTGATTATAATACCATGCTTCCAAAATAAAAGTATTCGCAGATATATTAGGGGTGTATATGTTCCGCGATTATTTTCGTAAATCGTCTGGTTTATCCTATGTCCCGGACTCCTACTATTCGCAACAATTCTTTTTTTACCGGTAAGTTTGGTTGAAACGTTCTTTTAAGAAGCCTATCTAGCTTCGTTATCATATAACATAGCTAAACGATGTCAAGGATGCAGGAGATTGGTAGGAGTCTGCAACTATGGCTTCACAACCGAGCAATACCTCTGAACCGATGGTTTATCATGGATCTTGCCATTGCCGGAAAGTTAAATTCGCAGCGAGCTTCGAATTTTCGAGCACTCCACCTCCAGTTATTACCAAATGCAATTGCACAATGTGCCATAAAAGCGGCACCTTAGAACTGACTTCACTGCCAGCATCCTTTAAGCTCCTTACTCCTGCTGATCCGGACGGACTTTCGAAACTTTCCGACTACACATTCTGCCACAGGAAGATCCACCACTACTTTTGTCCCACATAGGGCGTTAAACCGTTCCTAAAAGGAAGCTATGTTATGGACGGGCTCACTGTCAATTTCGTCATGGTCAATCCACTTGCACTAGACATGGATGCTAATATCAACACTGCGAATAATGACGGAGAGTATGGGGTTTTTGACTTGAGAAAGATCAAGACGAAGTATCTGGACGGGAGGGAAGAGAACTGGATGGAACCGTTGAAAGACGAGCCCTACGAGGGTGGGGTGTGGTAATGAAACCATTGACGCATCAGGAACACAGTCTTGTGAGAAGAAGCTAGGTAATGTAGATACCAGAACATACAAGAATATACATTCGATTAATAACATTGTGGAACTGATCTCCAAGTAAGGTTCTATTAGCGAAAAAGCTCTATTTTTTTGTGCTCAAGTAAGCCTGCAATACAAATGCCTGGAACGGTCTTTTCAATTCTTTACTCCGTATCCAAAGTCGGATTTTGCGACTTCTAAACTAAGACACAGCTATAATAGCTACATCCCTGCGGTCTAGTCGCTGTAGTAGCAAACTTAGGGGTAAAGCCGGCTGTTCAACAAATAATCAGTAGAATAGGGGCAAAGCCGGAGTCGTCTTTCTATGTACTCGAGCTCTTGGCAAAGCAGGTAGACTTAAGGCGTCCTTCAAACCCTTCCGAATTAAACGGACGGTAAGGATCAGAACGGACACATGTGTGCGGTTTTTGCTCGTATTCTGTATTCGCACTTTGTCTAAGACCCCTGTTGGGTGTGGGACGCGCTTCAATCTGAGATACAAGTGTTCAGAATGTATGGTGCAACTTTCCCTACTTCCCTACTGTCACAAGGCGGTTAGTGGTCCACCCCAAGGATAGACGCCGGCCTAGTTCAACAACAATATTGTGTAGCGCAAGCTTGAACAACCCTTTGGAAACACTTGTTCACTAGCGTCGACATCGGCGATGCCTGCAGCCAGGGGGGCGCACCTACAGTAACAGACAAAAAGGGTTCGGGTTAGGAGGAACGGCAGTTGACGCGGCCGGCAACGTAATTGTTTAGAATCCAGAACATTTGCCACCACAGTACGCCCAATATGGAGCCTTTCGTAAGACTTCGTTCCTCGTCTTCGCTCGTTACCTGTTTTACTGCACTTCATGTGCGCATTCCCTTGAAATGGTGGAGTCACTGCCTTTAAACCTGCGCCGGGCGCATACGAAATCGAAAACTGGTTGCGCTGAATGCAGAAGGCGGCGGGTGAAGGTACGATTATTGTCGTCAACGCCGCCAGCGCTACGAACCTCCCCTCGTTGCGAGATGCATACGCGCTTGGTTCTACCTGCTTTTCAAGACGACTCTAACAACTCTTCTCTTTCGATATAGTGTGGCGAAGAGAAGCCGAGTTGCAGGCATTGCCTTCGGCGAGAAGTTCCGTGTCTGTATTCGTGCAGAACGACAACGACAAGGGCAACCTGTCCGACAAGACCAAGCTCCCTGAGCGCAAGTGACGCTCATGCAACCCCAAGGTCACGATCGCCCGCGTCGTCGTCCGCGGCTCCAACTCTATTCATCGGTGCCGAGGAGAGACACCGGGGCGTGCCAGAGTTTACCATCGAGGACATGGCGCTGTTCCACCATTGGACGCTGACGACGAGTGAAAGCATTGCGGGATGCTCGGGTGTCGACTACTACTGGCAAACGGTGTTTCCACAGATTGCGTTTCAGCACCCTTTCGTCATGTACGGCATCCTCAGCTTGGCGTCGCTGCATCAGGCACATCTCTACCCGGAAAGCCGACAACGGCTCATAACGGAAGCCGCCCGATATCATAACCAATCTCTGCATGGTCTCAGGCAAGGCATCGCGCAGATCAATGACGACAGTAGCGATGCTTTATTTGTTTGCACATCGTTGAACATTGTCTACGTCTTCGGCATATATGGGAAACTCTACGACGAAACTGCAGGCGGTGCCGGTGCCGGTGCCGCCGCCAGAACATCGCGAATCTTAGGAGCCGACTGGATTCCTATGGTGCGAGGTGTTGAGGCCGTACTGCATCCGACGTATGAACGGGTGCGCCTTGGACCGTTGAAATCACTCCTCAACCTCGGAAATTGGGAGGATTCAGACCCGGATAGGGCGCAAGTGGTTGACGATGACAGCTTCCGCAACCTTCAAAATATATGGGTCGAGAGTGGTGACTGTGAAATTTATAACAAGACGTTGTATTTGCTTCGGAAGTGCCATGTATTCATGAAGCAATTCCACAATATAGACGCCAACACTTCGCAGGACACAAACTATCACAGGAAAACATCTGCACCGCTTATCTGGATGCACTTTGCTCCCGACGAATACTTTGTGCGGCTGCATCAACGGCAGCCACCTGCTCTGCTAATATTTGCTTACTTTGGCTCGTTGTTTCATTGCTTGGATGGGTATTGGTTTTTTGAGGGTTGGGGCAGAAGCATTGTAGGAGTAGTAGATGAGTTATTGGGAGACTATTGGGGCCCGTGGTTAGAATGGCCAAAGCAGTTTGTAGGACTGCGATAGTAACCAAGGACTAAGCGCTTATTTTAACAACAGCTTATTTAATCTCCAAGCAGGCATATCTAGTATCCAAGAATATATATATATATATATATATACATATAGTATAATACTGTGAAGCACCTTATGCTATAATACTTCCTTGTATGAGCCCTGTTAATCTTGGATACTAAATAAGCTTGCTTGAATACCAGATAAGCCGTCCCTATTGTTATTGCATAGTTACAATCAACAATAATCGTGTATGTGTTTAGTCATGGTCCCTAGAGTACTATAGGATTTCCCACATATGCAGTCCCGTTCGACAAATACAGCCTATGGAATGCATGTTACAAACCGTATTTCGGATAGTAAGCCCCTATTCAATATTCAACCCTAATCTACGATGGCTTTGGCCGAAAGGACTCGTGCTGAATTCATATTCCACCGCTTTGCTCTTCATCTGCGCCACTAGTACACTTAAATGCACCATATAAAATAAGTTCATGACTAAGAACATTAGCAACACATTAAAGATATATAAATAGGCTTTGTGGTAAAGGAGGTAGCTATCAAAGCCTTAGAGATACTCTATAACCTTAAATATTAATTACACTATAATTAGTATACTAGTGGTATAAAGTGCTATTATATGCTTTTCCTATATAAACCCGCTAGCTAGGCGGATAGCTAGCACACGATAGGTTAATAAATAAAACGATGCTGCGACTATAATAAATAAACCAAAGAACGCAAGCTGCATAAAGAGTCTAACAATTATAATATGTGAACCTGTTTCTAAAGCGGATGGAGTGCCAGATTCCTGATAGCCGCCGCCTTAGTCGCATATATATTAGCCATGTCTTAGGAAAGGGCCGGGAAGGTTGCTTTACTATATGTACCACCACCTTGGAAGAAGAATGAAAGCATGTCTCCGTAAACGAAGATCTTCGTCAACCATGTCTTCCAACCAGTGCAGTAGGACTCTCCATTAACACGAGAGATGATTCTGCCAAGTTCCATATTAGACAGTCGCAGCAAAGAGGGCAGGAGCGACGAGAAGTAAGAGGGACTGGATGATGTAAGGCCCGAGGTCCCAATTTGGCAATTGCTTGCCGGAAGCAAACCGCGCCCCATTGCCGACGGCCTCAACTGAAAGCAATAGGTGTCAGTGAATACCTGGCTGAAAATCCTCTAAGTCAACTAAAGGTGGGAAGGGTTAAATCTTACAGATGCCACCAACAATGACAGGAATGACGAGCCAACAACGAGCTCGAATTATCCGGTAGCCATGTAGGCCCGTAATTCCAACGAAGAAGAGAAGAAACAGCATAGCATCGCCAGTCGTGGGATTGTAGTGGTAGAGCTTAAACTGAGTCTCTTCCTCTCTTTAAGCGATACGTCCATTATGACTCGGACATGCATGGCGCAGCAACGAAACTGAAAAGCTAAGGAATCAGATGAATTTTTTGCGCAACTCAGCGAGAGTTGTACACTTTTAGCCAAAGGCTATTAGATCTCATTTGCTGCCTTGTAGCTGCAGAGCAGTTCGTTCAAGTTGGACAGAAATTAGGACCGAATAGGAAACAAGCTGAGTGAAGAAGAAAATGAAAGTTGGGAAACTAATTGAGAGTACTGAGCGAAGGATGGCGAGAAAAACTACAGATCAGGAGGGTGAGGGTGGTATCGCTGCTTCTTTATACAGGACCCGTTTACGGAAGACAGTCTCGTATCGGTCGGAAAGGCTGCAATTGCGAGTAACTTCAGGTGTCGAATTCTTCAGACTATTAGCGCAAGTTGCGACAAGCTCAGCCAGGTGTGTTCCTATGGTGTGTGATACCCTTGGCAGCTAACTTTCATACTGCGAAGAGACATATTCCGGCTGCCAGCGTATGATTTAACCATCTGAAACGCCTCGTATGTACTTCAGATTCAGTGTGCCCTATTCCTGGGACTAAATTTGGTAATTGTAAGTTTTGCGTGCTATCTCTCTGATGTTCTTGGTGTCCGTGCGGATTAAGTGGCGGGGCCTCCAGGAAGCAGGTTAGTGAAGACCAGCTGGTTTGTATTCGAACCAAAGACTGTTATGCCACATTGACCCTTCTCTTCCAGCTCCTTGTAGGCGATATCTCCGGGTACATGCCCACTCAACAAGGAAGCTATCTACGTTCGCTGATTACACTCGTCGGGGATTGGTAGAGCGGACGGCGTACCGGTTCGTGCCACGAATGTCCTCGCGGTTGTCGTAGAAAACTGGTGACGCTACCTGACAAGTATGGACCATGTATATCTTTATCCTGTTCCCTTTAAGCAATTCCTAAAGTAGTCTTCCAACTACCTGCGATTATGCAGCCCCTGAAATAAGGCTCGCGGTGGTCCGTGACCTAAAAGTTGGTTTACCGTGGCTGTGTTTCACTAGTCAAAGCTGCTGTGCTCTGGTGGATTTCGTATCTCGTACTCGTAGTTCGTATGTGGCAGCACGTATATAGCCAGCTGCTCTATCATTGTATTCCTTCCATGTAGGCGCAGCATATGCACCCTCGAGAATGTGTTCCAGATGCCCGGACGTAATCTTTCCCTCTCAGCCACGTCTCACGTTCAAACAGACTGGAATCCGAACTTGAGACATGGAAATCAATACCGGGATTCTACTGTAAGTAGTTTTAGGCTGCGAGTTCAAATCTTACCTGATGATGGAGATAATAAATAGGGGTTACCTCGAAGGCAATTACTGTCAAGGGCAGGAGGCTTTGAGTAAATCACCAATTTCCTAAAGCATACTCTTCTAATCATGAACAAGAGTCAGTTAGGAGAGTCTGTTGACTATCAAAAAAAGCGCTACTTTTTTGCCAAACCAGTCCTCAGTCGACGCCGCTCCATCTTCTCCGTTAAACCGGTACTTGTAACCCAGATGCAATATTTCGGGGACCAAGGAAGACCTCAAGAGATATTTGACGTCCTAAGCATCGGTTATCTATCTTCTTGGTGTGTCAGGGATATTCGGGAATTCGTTTTACTTAGAAATTGTTATCCTGATTTTGTTATTTCTGGCGACAACCTCTGCGACACCTCACAACCGTCCAAAAGATTGATTGGCGCCGCCGTGAGGAATGTCGAGACAACCGGCGCTTCAGGAAATCTCACAGCAACATTATGGGTCGGCGATCTGTCTTGCTGGGTTCGCCATGGCGCAGCTGGAACTTACGACGTGTTTATAAATCTACAATTGGCCCTTCAATGGATACCAAAACGAACGCAAGTGGTTGGTTGTTTCCACTTGGCTGAAATTTGGAAGCGGAGAGTTAATACTGACAGGCAATCTGCGCTTTTGAGCTCAAAAAAACGGACACCAATAGGGTTGTTGCTTGTATCAACAGAGACACCCTTGAAATTAACCAGGCGGAGTGCACTGCCAATGAACAAGCATTGTTTATAACTACGGCAGTCTGGACAGCACATCAGGAAAGCTGGATCTCCGCGCCAGCTTAAGTCTGAGTGTGGGCGGACGCTCCACCGTTGCGTTGTTTGTATGTTTATTTATTTGTTTTATTATCGGTTCGCGCAAAAACACTTTCATTACCACCAAGATTCTCTCTACTTATTTACACATTAAGAGAACATTATTGTACTTTTATATACTTGCCAGCGCCTATGCGGTCGGAAATGGATGCGTTTCTGTTATTTACCACAGTCTAAGAGACGTAGGAGAATCCACAAGTCTTATAATATCTTTCAAAGCATACAGGACCTTGGAAAATAAAACACAGGTGATTGCTGAAATTTATGGTCAAATATGGGAGAAATTTTGCAAAAGCTCTCCGTTAGCCTTGATCAAGTAATCTAATGCTTTTGGTTGCATCAACGTTGTCGACATTGGGTTAAACTTTTAACAGACAGTTCCAAAGCGGAAGCTACTTTTGCACAGAAGAATAACAACGCCCACTACGAGGAATAATAGGTGTGACTCCCTAATCAGCCCCTCAACTGGGATAACCCTCGCAGGTTTCATCAAAACTGGATGAACATCACACCGCTTTGCCCTCCTTTGGCATTGTATGATGTATGTAAGCCTATTGTCATGGAGGCACTGCCTTGTGTGGGATGCCGGCTGTTGGGAACGGTCACGTTAGCCATTCGCGACCGTAGTACGAAGTATACACAATAGATGTCGATTTCTATTTTGGACTCGTTTACGGAACGGAATACGACGACTCCACACGCGGAGCCGCCGGTCGGCTACCGATAGGGTGGGCGCCGTGGACAGTGGCTTACGTCCCGGCTTAGCCGTTCATTGGCTTGGTACACAACTCGCGTGTGGATTTGTTGCCCCCTACCAAGGCTCATCCCTACTAACCACGTATATCGTTGAAAGTTTTCGAAGGCTGAAAGATCCGAAGACACCCCGAGATACGAAGTACGACGGGCGTTCCGATTCGTCCGCTCATTCTGTAGCCGACAACACATCAATGTCCCAGTATTACCCTGGGTTGCGAGCCGAATGCGTTCCTTGCCCCAGCATGCCCAGCCTTGCTCAAACCATGTGCTCTCTACATGTAGGTAGGTTTGCATGTGGGTTATTGAGTAAAAAATCATTGGATACTCCCTTTCTCCTGCACCCTTTTATGAAGATCAATCTTGGCCTTACTCGATTTCGACGCGCACTAGCAGCCGCTTTAGGTTCGCGGAAGAAATCGGTTAACTACATTGTATTCTGAGCGCTTCGCCTCGTTTTTCTGTTTGCTGTTCCCTGTTCTCGTTTCTCGTTTCTCGTTTCTCGTTCTTTCTTGCAAAGCCTCCAGCCAACATGATTTACTTCATGTTGATGTAGGGTTCAGGCTAAGGGGTGTCCACGGCAGTTATGACAATACCGCGGACTCGACCTCAGGAAATTCTCACGACGACCTATAAAACCCCCAACGATGTTGAGACGGCAGCCGCACGTCACTTACCACTGTGTACTAAGAGACAAAACATTTCGTCAGGCAGAACCATGAAGGCCACCGCACTCATTATCGCGCTTCTCGGCGCTGCTGAAGCAGTCTACATCCCCAGCACCGGAACCACCTCGCTGAGGGAGGAGGCGGCTAAGAAAGACATTCTCATCGGGTCCGGGGCGATCAATCCGGCCTACCTCAATGATCCTCAGTTCGCAGCCGTTCTTGCTCTGCAGTTCAACAGCCTCTCTCCCGAAAATGAGGGAAAGTGGTCGTTCTTTAACCCGGCCGAAGGGTACTACAACTGGACCTCACTCGACCGCCTAGTCAACTTCGCGGAAGACAGCAATATGGTAGTCAAGGGACACGGGCTCATCTCGAGCTGCTGTAACCCCGACTACGTGCTCAACATCACCGACCCCACAGCCCTTCGTGCTGCGATGACGGCTCACTTCGAGGCGTTCATGCACCGGTACAACGGCAAGAGGGTGGATCGGTGGGACGTTGTCACCGAAGCTCTCAAAACGCAGGGTGGCGGCCTGAACGCCAACATCTTCTACAACGTACTCGGTTCCGGCTACATCGCAGATGCCTTCCGCATCGCCCAGGCGGCAGGCCCGGATGCCAAGCTGTTCATCAACGAGAATCTCGTCGAGTCACTCCCCTACAAGCGTCAGGAACTCTACGACCTGGTTTCCGGACTTGTGGCGGACAGCGTTCCGATCGATGGAGTCGCCCTGCAGATGCACATCACCGAAGTAGCTCCCATACCGGGCGTGATCACCGACATAGTCAACTCCTACAAGGCGCTTGGGCTAGAAGTGACGATCGCCGAAATGGATGTCCACACGCTCAACGCCACACTCCAAACCGATATCTACGGCGCCGTCATCGAAGAGGCTCTAAATGCAGGAATCACTGACATTAGTTTTTGGGGCTTTACGGATAAACACGCCTACACCTGGCTGCCGGGCGCGAAGCCATTGATGTTTACCGAGCGCTACAAGCCCAAGGGTGCGTTCTACGCTACTCACACTGCCCTAACGAGCTTCATCAACACGCCCTAGGGAGCTCGAGCACCATCGAGCCATCAGAGATTGCGCTTTTTCCACAGTTGCTGTCGCAATCCCGAGGGTTCGGCCGCACCGGCGTAATGAAAAGCAACTTCGAATCACAACCTCCATCTCTGCAGCAACTAGTCGCGATGTAACGGGCTGAGGCGGAGGGCCTGCCGGGACGGGACCGCCGCAGGCGAGATTGTTAACAATCTTTCTTAAGCTCTTGAGCTCTTCTTTTTCTTGGCTTGTGTTTTCCTTTGTTCTCTAGCTTTTAGATATTTATTATAACTGCCTAGCCAGTTATAAATGTACTCGCTAGGGCTAGTATATTATTGTATTACTACTGTTAAATCAAATATATTTAATATTACGACCTGGTCCCCCGTAACAGATAGATCCCTTATAAGCAGCTGGTTCCGTTACAGTAATTGCTACAATAGTGATTATTGGCCTAATCTTTTGCCCTGTTTGGCTTAACGGTATAACGGATCGTTACACCTTGAGCCGCCGTTGGTAAAAGCCGACTAAAGCATCACAGATTCCTTTGCTGCCTCTCCTGACATCTTCATTTTGGTAGCCAAAACAGACCAGGTTGCTCTTTGCACAATATTAGCTACTTGCTTATGAGCTTTGGGAAGGAATTGATACTTATGTATCTGAGTTGATTTTGGAGCTTAAGAAAAGTATATATAACTTCCATCCGCTTGATACTCTAGACTGCTAATATTATACAGATAAGCAATTATATATATATTTATATATTAGCTTATTCTAAAGCTGGCTTACTACCCCAGCTAGATTTGCTACTTATACTACTATTGTTTAGTATATATGGCTTACCTGGCTTATCTGGCTTACTGATTATTATCGCTAAAGGCCCCGTAAAAGTTTACTTAGCCTCTATCACCAGATTTTACAACTTGCGTTTCAGTCATCGAAACTGGAAATGTCAAGGAAATTATAAGAATGTGTGAATATATGCCCGTATGAGTGTATGTAAATGCAAGACTCGACTGACAAACCCTATGGTACCTATACATAGTATATACAATGAATCTAAGAAGAGACTGACATTTTTGTACCTACGGTTTTGCAAATAACATCACAAGAAAGCTATTCCAGAACATACAATGTTTAAGTATATTTTGGAAGCACTATCCTAAACTTCTACATGGATGATAATTGCTCAGAGTATCCTGACATATACTTCATACCCGAATCACACATGATTGTGACAACGGTAGATCCTGGTTTTAGAGTTCCTGCCACACGTAATGCAGCGGCCACATTCGCTCCCGTTGAAAGACCACAGAACAACCCTTCTTCACGTGCTAGCCGAAAGGCCATCGCCCTTGCATCAGCAGTTGAGACTCCTTGAAAATCGTCTGCAATTCCATCTTTCCATAGTGGCGTAACATATCCAGGCCCCATGCCGTCAATGTTATGGGATCCAGACACGCCACCTGCTAAAACAGCCGATTCAGCGGGCTCGACTGCAACAAAGCGAATTTTGCCGTCAAGCTGGCGTAAGCGCTCTGATGTGCCTCGAAGACAAGCCCCTGATCCAACGGCCTGCACGAAAGCATCGATTTTGCCCTCCGTTTGCTGATATATCTCGTCAGCCAACTTTGTGTAAGCAGATAGCTGATCCGTATTTTTCATCTGAGCCGTGATGAAGGCTCCGGTTTTTTCCGCTATGACATGGGCCTCCCGGATCATGTCTTTGGTGAGCTTTTCGGTTTGTTTGCCATTATCGCTTGGTATAACCGTCAAGGTAGCACCAAGAAGTCTCATATGGTCCAGCTTTTCTTTCGCAAAGGCATCCGAAGTCACGATATGAAGCGAGTAGCCCTTCACGGCGCAAATTAGAGCGAGCGACACGCCAGTGCTACCTCCAGTATACTCGACAACAGAGCCACCTGGTTTCAGACGGCCGTCGTTTTCAGCAGCCGTAATCATTGCAAGAGCCATGCGGTCTTTCATGCTCGCCGTTGGGTTGGTGCTTTCAATCTTTAGAAGAACGCGAACTCCATTTGAAGGAACCACTGTATGAAGCTGTAAGATGGATGTATTTCCAATACTTTCAAGGATGTTGGATTTGATTGAAGCCATTCTGCACTCTGTTGCCGACGAGCCTGATATAAAAGTGTTGTTTAAGTTGAAGTATTCAAGACGTTGTAGCTGGAAGCAGCTGGTACGTTATAAGAGATAGATAATAATAGATGATAGAGTGAACACAACAACTCAATGGGTAGAATTAAGTAGTATGACTCAAATTAGGTCGCTTTGGAATCTTTCAAGTCGTCGAACGTCCTATATATACCAAATTGTAATTCTCTCAATGCTGTACAATTACTACGCCACAACAATAGCACGGCTATGGCAGACAAAACTCACAAGGGTACTATTATCTCTAATGGGCATAGTCCAACAACTCCATCTAAAACTAGGGATACTATTGGCTTGAAACTGCCACAGAACCTAGCGTTAGCCTGTCGTCGGCTAGGACACATGTACGCCATGAGAAGAAGATTGCCCTTTTCTGCACGAAGCCATGTCGAAATAGACTATAGCCACAGATCTACATATCTGTAATTATTAATTGTCTTGAAATTTCATGTTTGAACATTACTGAACAAACGAGATGGAATTAGAAGGCAGCGAAAATATTTATTGTTTAATAATCGAGTGTATCTCTACCCAGTGCTTAAGTGAGCCGGAGAATTCACTGCCTGGGATTTCAAGTCGTCAAGCCTTTGGTGCCACGCCACATATGAACTTGTATCCATGACTAAACAAACGGTAGCTAGTACAAAAATTCGAACTACAGTAAACGAGTAAATGTTATGTCTAGTAAGTATTACTATGCTGGATAATGTCGAACCGTCAGTCCCGATTTATTGAATCCATTACTAATGCAGTGGGACAGCCACAGTGGCTGCGAGTGCAACTACTGTTATGGCGATGGTTAGATCAGTGGTTCTAGACTACATGCTTATCAAGACCCCTAATCTCTAAATCAGAGGCTCTTATCCTCGAGAGGATGTTACCTTTTCGACTTCTTCCCTTCGCTTTCGTGATATATCCGCTATTCTCTCTCGGAAATAACCAGCAAATATTGAGTCCGATTCTCAAGCGTCGGTCGGCTAAGTTGGCCCGGGATGGGGAACCTGACATTGTGTAGCAAGACTCGGGTAAACCGAATTTGACAATAGCCGAAGGTACTTGGTGCTCTCATAGAAAGTAAAGATGCAATAAATGTACTGCTGAGCGTCTCTTGACCCCTCAAGCAATTGATAGTCTTCGCGCGATATAAAATGCCTTCCCCCACTGGTATGCTAATCGAGTATTGCGCTTATTATCGTTTTCTAGGCGGAAAAAGCATGCATTTACTCTACAGCAACTAAGCAAGCATTTTCTTTTGACTTTAATTCCAAATGGCTGGTATTGCAATTTTAGGAGCTGGCATTTTTGCCACTGAAGGTACTTTCTATATAGTAGCAAGCAGTGAGCTCACAGGCTTGCATGATGCTGACTTTGTCACCAGCTCATTTACCAGCGCTCGTTGCGAATAAAGCGAACCTCAAAGCGGTATATTCTCGTTCTACATCTACCGCCTCCGCCCTTGTTACGGAAGCAACTAAGCTTGGAGTCGCCAATCTTGATCTGTACGCGGACGACAAGCCTGGACATGCGCTAGATGATCTTCTTCAGCGCAGCGATATTGACGCAGTGATTATTGTTTTGCCAATTCTTATTCAGCCAACCATTGTTAGGCAATGTTTAGCTGCTGGCAAACACGTGCTCTGTGAAAAGCCGATTGCCAAAGACGTGAAAACAGCGCGCGATCTTATTGGAGACTACAATAAGCTATACGCGGACAAAGGACTCATTTTCAGCATTGCCGAGCAATTCCGATTCATGCACGAGTTTGAGCTTGGTCGGAAATGGGTTGTGGAAGAAAAAGCAATCGGTGACATTACCCAAGCACATCTCAGAGTATGGCGCAACCAGCCACCAGTTGGCAAATGGTACGAAACGCCATGGAGAAAAATGCCAGAATTCCAAGGCGGCTTTTTACTTGACGGTGGAGTACATCAAACGGCCCTGCTCCGCTTCATTTCAGGCCAAGAAGTCGTCGAGACGCAGGGATTTGCTCGCCAAGTCGTACCTCACCTTCCACCCCTTGATACTCTCAATGCAGGCATCCTTCTCAGCGGTGGAGGAACTGGCACCATCTCCATGTCCTTTGCTTCACTACGGTCTGCTGGGGAGCTTACTCTCATTGGCACGAAGGGGAGCTTCCACATCGTTGATGGTCCTGACGGCTTTATGCTGACTCTTGACCTTGTCTCTGGAGAGAGCAGATCTGAGACTGTAAACAGTAAAGGCGTTGAACTCGAGATCAAAGCTTTTCTAGAAGCTATCAAAACTGGAAACGCGGAGAAACGGTCGGGCCCAGAGGAGGCGCTGAATGATTTGGCTATCATTGAGAGTATGTGCCAAGGCGGAGGCAAGGTAGACTTATACTAGGACGAAGGTCTTTTTTTTCGCCCATTTTATTAATATATAATGTCAAGTTGCGCAATTTTTTGATTGAAGAGAGCACCAGGAGTCATTTTTGGTGTTTCCGGCGAAAGAAACTAGTAGCTGCAATAGTGGTGTTGCATCGCTTTATCCCTCTGCTTGACCCGAGTCCCACAGTCAGCGCACCATTCCGAGTTTTATACTGCATGAAGCTCTTCTATCGCACAATTACTTCCTCAGCACAAACAATATTGGACAGCTCCTTGTAGGAGACCAATGACAGCTTGAATGCGTGCCAATGACGACAGTTTAGACCGTGGACCCTCTTGTCAATCCGAGCTGTAGCACTAATGTGGGGGAGTAATCGTGCGGAGAATTCACTTGGCAAGCTTGACGCTCGCTATAGTTGCACCCAATTGAGTCAGTTGCCCCTTGCAGGCTAATATACAGCCAGAAATTAGGCTAAAAGCAAACGCTTGCATGCAAAACGGTTTACCTGTAGATCCCCGAAATGTCTGGACTAGGTCACAGCCAGTATGCGAACGACATCTCCTGATGATCAGGCAATGGAAAATTATGTCTCTGCTTTGGAAGAGCTGTGACTTCAGCTAAACTTATAATTCTCTACCGTATACGTTGATATAACTCGAGTTCCCATGACAGTGTAATGGGCCGCTATTTTGATCGTAAGCTTTGTCCTTGGTACATGAAACCATCAATCATACATTTGTATAGAAATATACAACCAAACTGCTTGTATACGCTCCGCATATGCCTATGATGCCTTCTAAACTTTTCTCCAAAACTTCCGATGCCGAAGATGGTGTACATACTGATCCATTGACTATACCAAGCTCAGCTGCCGTGCATGGCGATCTTATGGCCTATACTACCTTTCTTACATGCCGGAGAATGTGGAGACTGACAGCCCATTAAAGCCTCCATTTCTCCGAGTATCTCGCAGATCTTGGCTTGTTTTAAGAAGCATTGTATATACGTATACTCCTGAAGCAGGTTCTTGATGCTAATACGTGCGCTTCTATGTCTGTACCGGTCAAGGCTCCACCATTACATCTGTTGTTTGTTATCCATCGATTGCATGAGAAATTATAAAGACTTCATACCGTAGGCATGTTAGACTTCTGTCCAAACCATTCTGGATAAGCTATCCGATTTAGACAGTAGTAATCAATTTATCTAAATGGAAACACTGTCACGATGTATCGCATTTGGAACATCTACGGTACGCCAGGCCCTTCAAAGCGCTGCCCATCAGTCTTTATGAATCCATATCATCAAAGATTGCTACTGATACGGCTTTCTTAGTTCTTGCTGCCTTTGGCACCATTGGAGGCATGATCTTCGGCTTCGAAATCAGCTCCATGAGTGCCTGGATTGGCTCTGATCAATATCTCGACTACTTCAACCACCCAGGCTCATCTCAGCAAGGTGGCATTACTGCATCCATGTCTGCTGGATCATTTATCGGATCTCTCTTATCCGGATGGCTCGCCGATCGCCTGGGTCGCCGATTAGCCATCCAAATTGCTTCTGTGGACTGGATTATCGGTGCTGTGCTGCAGTGCTCTTCTCAAAATGTGGCTCACCTCGTTGTGGGCCGCATTGTCAGTGGACTTGCAATCGGCGTAACTAGTTCTCAGTGTATCGTCTATCTTTCCGAGCTTGCTCCTTCTCGTATCCGCGGCCGAGTTGTTGGCATTCAACAGTGGTCTATTGATTGGGGTAAGAGCTGATTCTACGTTATAACTCAGATGGACAGGAAGCTGAAACAAGCTTAGGTATTCTGATAATGTACCTTATTTCTTACGGTTGTTCCGTCTCTATCCACAAACCGGCAGCATTCCGAATCGCATGGGGCCTACAAGCCGTACCCGGAGCGATTTTATTCGTTTCCCTCTTCTTCTTCCCCGAATCTCCTAGGTGGCTCGCATCCAAGGATCGCTGGGAAGAATGCCACGAAATCCTGGCGAATCTGCACGCCAAAGGCGATCGAAGCAATATCGCGGTTCTCGCTGAGCTTGAGGAGGTCAGGGAAGCGGCGAGGATTGCTAATGAGTCAAAAGAAATCGGCTACTTGGGCTTATTCGCTCCCAAGATGTGGAAGCGGACGCTGGTTGGTGTCAGTGCACAGGTCTGGCAGCAACTTCTCGGGGGCAATGTTATGCTCTATTACCTTGTTTACATCTTCAACATGGCTGGCATGGTGAGCCTTGTATACACCACCGTGCACTAAAATCATCTATTAACTCATGAAAAAGTCAGGAAATGCCGCTCTCACCTCGTCCATCATCCAATACGTCATTTTCCTCGTAACTACTGGAGGAGTTCTTTTTGTCATCGATCGTATGGGCCGCCGATGGCTGCTCATTGTTGGAGCGATAATCTGCGGCGTTATCCATTTCACCGTCGGTGCCGTAATGGCTGTTTATGGACATCATGTGGATAGTGTAGATGGTAGGCTCGCAATTTTCCCTTTCTGCGACCATAACTAATCAACGATGCAGGGAATGATATATTAAAGTGGCAGATCAGCGGTCCTCCAGCTAAAGCCGTCATTGCTCTTTGTTATATCTTTGTTGGGGTTTGTAAGTTAAACATTAACCGTCTATTGGTCAGTAAGGTTACAGCTAACGTGTTGCATAGATGGTATGAGGAAACGCTTGCTTGCCTCTTTGCATATCACCTTGTTTGTGCAACTTGCTGACTGTTTACGCAGGAATTACATGGGCTCCAGGAGCATGGATCTACTGCGGAGAAGTCTTTCCATTGAAGTATCGCGCAAAGGGGGTTGGCCTAGCTGCCGCAGGTAATTGGGCGTATGTGGCCACCAGTCAATGTCTGCAGTCAACTTGAGTATCGATTATACTAACATCTGCCGTAGATTCAACCTGGCTTTGGCCTTCTTTGTCCCTCCCGCGTTCACAAATATACAGTGGAAAGCGTACATGATTTTCGGCACCTTTTGCATCACTATGGTGTTCCACGTTTACTTCATGTATCCCGAAACGGTGAAGAAGTCGCTCGAAGAGATCGACGTGCTCTTCGATGGAAACATTCCCGCATGGCGCAGTGCAAGCGCTGTGAGCACGTTTGAACAGAAAGTAGCTCGTGTGAAGGAGACGGGAGGAATTGAGGAGGCCAAGCAGCAAGCGGATGTTGATCATGAAGAAAAGGTTTAATGAGCTTATATCCATGACAGACACTGAAACTGCTTAGAACTATTATTTACAGAATGACACTTCCCCTCTCCAATTCTTCATAACAATCGTCCAATGCACACTTTATAGGTAGTATAAAAGTTTATAAGTCTTATTTCAGCAACTGAAGAAGCAGCGCTCAGATTTATTATGCCGTTAAAATCATTTCTTATTTCTCTTTCTATTCGGATAATGCTTTCTCTGCAGCACCTCTAGCATGCAGTTCCAAAGTATCAAACATCGGAACATTTGGCCGATCCTTCTGTTCAATGAGCAACGGTATCTCTGTGCAGCCCAAAATAACACCCTGTGCTCCCCGAGAAACCAAGCTATCGACGACTTTGAGGTATCCCTGTCTAGATTCCTCTGTAAACTGTGATTTGGCGAGTTCATAAAAAATCACGTCGTCCACATATTTCTGCTCTTCTTCCGTGGGCACGATGACGTTTATTCCGAAGCGGGTTAAGTATTCGTTGGGCAGGTAAGTTGATGCCATAGTAGCTTTAGTACCCAGTAAAGCGACAGTCTGTAGGTTCTGATCCAAGATTGACTGAGCCGTGGGATCGACGATGTGATAGAGGGGGATCTTGATATCCTTCATGAACGCTTCCGAGACCTTGTGCCAAGTATTCGAAACACAGATGATGAAATCGGCTCCGGCTCTCTCCAGGCTGAGCGCCTTTCCATGCAAGTACTCTGCTCCCTCATCCCAAAGGTCGTTGGTAACGAAATGAGCGCTGCGCTCAAAATTCATTGAGTTGATAATGATTTCACCAGTGTGGAACCCGCCCAATTTTGAGCGGATGTGGGCATTTATCAGCTTGTAATATTCGGCCGTGGCCAGGTCGGTGCTGCCACCAATGATTCCGACTGTCTTCATTGCTGCTTGAATACTTGGATTTGAGAATTATGTTTAATTGTAGTTCGGGTAATATTCACAGCAACTCAAATGAGGAACATGGTGGACAGCTAAATACTTTTCTCCAGCGCCTGCTCACAACGGGCTAGAGATGGACTGCTTGATTCCGCATACTAAGTGGGCCAACTACCTCCAGGCTCCCAATGTCATGGAACGCCCTAAACGCTTGAAGGGCGCAGAGCGGGGGGGATTGATCGATCGATACTTCGAGCGCTAAATAAACTACACAGTGGAAGCTTCTGTGGCGTCTTTCCACTTACAGCATTACATGTAAAAGTTGCATTATGCTCGATAAGCATGACATGTAGAACGAAGATACGCTTGCATCTGTTATACATGACTTTAAAGCCAGCTTTATTTCTATCCGTCGACGCATCTTTTGTTGCAGAGGTTTCAGCAACTGCTCCTAAGATACCCAGCTTATATGTACTGTGCTGTTTGAAAGCAACACCTCTAGTTAGAAAGCAACAGATACCTAAGCTAGCTAATTGCTATAAGTTTAGTTAGAATTAAATTCTAAGTTTATCCCTTAGGAACTCCTTACATTACTAACTATTTAGTGTATAGTTTGTTATAGAAATACTATGTATTTCTATTAGTATTATAAAGTAAAACTAAGCTAGGTTTTAACCCTCTTGCCTTTTTCTTAGTTAGGGGTAAATGCCCATTAAGCTAGGTTAGATGCTGGATAAGCCGCCCCTTTAATAAGTGTAAGACCAAACTCGAGCTTTCATATCTCCAGATGCTGTAGCAAATATTCGAGCTGAATTTCCTACAGCAATCCGTATAACGCTATTGTCATGTCCATTCAATAACACATAAGGTCTCCCAGTTTCAGCATCCCAGAAAATAACAGAACGATCTTTAGCACCAGAGATAATCCAGTGACCATCTGAAGTCATTTTGCAACATAATGCAAAAGCCTAGAGTATGTAATTAATTAGCCCTGAGTTTGCTATGTACATACACAAAGCAATATGAAAGAAACCAACTCTATGAAGCTCTAAGCGTTTTGTAGGCTGTGTCGAAATCTCCACTATATCATTCGAGGAGTTAGAGAAGTCAATTGCCCAGGTCGTGATTGTTTTATCTAATGAGGCGCAGATAAGTGTTTGACTATCTGGAGAAAATGCGATATTATAGATACTGTCGTTATGGCCAGAAAATTTGTGCAGCATTGTGCCAGTCTTCATACTCCATAAGTATGTGGACTTATCAAGAGATCCAGCAGCAATAAACTGAGAATCAGGAGAGATGGCAACAGAAGATACGCCGTCTGTGATTGATAAAAGCATAATCTCCTTTGTTCTAGTATCATTTCGGAGATCCCACACTCGTACAGTGCGATCACCTGATCCAGAAACAATAGTATGATTATCGGAAGCAACAGCAAGATTGTATATATCTTGTTCATGCCCTGCAAAAACTTTGACCACGCTACTGGGGCCCTGAAGCTTCCAAACCTATATTATATAAAATGTCAGAGTAATATGTTGCTTACCTAAATAAATGAACGAAAATAATGTACTTACTGTAACAAGTTTATCTTCTGACCCTGCGATTAGATATCTCCCGTCGTTGGTAAAGCGAACGCATCGACAATAAAGGTCACTTTTAGATAAACTATCCACATCTATGTTGAAATGACGTTTCTTTTCTCCCGTGCGGATATTGAACACTTGAGCTGATTGGTTGCATCCTGTTGCAATCAGATTGTCGTCTGCGCTGATATCAACACAGCATACTACGCTTTGGTGATCAAGTGAACAAATCAAATTAACATCTAAAGCAGACGGTAACTTCTCGTTAACTAGAACAGTAAAAGCTTTCTGCTGCTGTGCGAGCTCACTCGACTCTGCAAGAGCTGTGGTTATTTGGTCAGGAGTAAATGTCAAGGATATTTTGTGCTTCATCATGTCTTGCTGCTTCTGAGCAAGAGCCCCAGGTTGAATGCTCATGCTTTGTTGTAAGAGCCCACCATCGGAAGAACTGGAATATAGCTGGTTCATTACTATTTCAGGTTCGAATGTTTTTCGTACTCTGGGGGGTACCAATATGCTCCCTTCTTCATGATACATGCGCTTGTGAGCATTCAAATCTCTAGGCCGCTGGAAACCGATTCTGCCTCGGGAGCAATTTGGCATATCGCAGAAGAGTCGCTTAACGTGCAGTTTTTCATGTGACGCCCTGAGAGCCTCAGTAGCAAATCCAAGAGATGTCGTTGTGCAGGCTATGAATCGACAGCGGAAGGAGCATTGCAGATATTGCTTTTGAAATATCTCCAGTTCGTTCTTAGAGATTTCATCGTTGGCAAAAGATCCCGTTAGTAGCTCACTTACAGTATCACTAAATCGCACTAATAAGGCACTAAGAAGTGTAGGATCGCGCTCTACGGTAAACTCTTCAAACTCTGCAAGAGGCAGGAGTTAGCTAGCTTTCTCTTAAATATGCGATAGCGTCTATAAATATCTCCATAGAGACCAAAGGTGTAGGAATAGAGCATGGTGAATCCACACTTGCCTTTGCCATTGCTGGAAGACCTGCTCGCGCAGTCTCTCCGAAATCCGACAATAGAAGTACACAGTGAATATACTGTTAGATGGGACAATGCCTCTAGCCGAATGTCTGTCGATATCACGGCGCTGGACATGCTATCTTGGCTTATGGCGCTCGGTTTCAATTTTGAGTATAAACCGTCATGAAGTAATTTGAAAGAGCTCAGAGCCTGCCCCAATTCTGACTCCGGGAGCAGATTTTCAACATTTGCGTATTCCAAGACGTGATCAAGCCAAAAGTGTATTGCGTATGGCAAAAGTGCATGTGCGCCGCTGAGGACGTGGAGAAGATGATTGAGCCGAGGAAGCTCTGGATCGAGAAGACATAGGCTATCCTTGATGACGGTCACACAAGCGAATGCAATGAGCTCTTCCCAGGCAGCAGAGTTAACACGCCGTGTTGACAAGTCTCGTTGCAGAAATCTTTTCGAAATTTAGTCAGAATCAACTTTCTCCATGGCAAACATCAAGTTTGGGGTACTCACTCCTGTGCGGTAAAGTGTATCAGTGCAATGCTACCATCTGGAAGCTCTTCCACGAGCGGCTTGCATTTATCGATAGCGCTTTTATCCAATGCGTTCCACTTGTCTAGTACCGGTGTTTCAGGAGTGATGCCTACTCCATGGAGGACTTCGTGGTGCTTAAGAGGGCGCTTGGCAAACACAAGCCACGCTAGTATCCTCATCACTTTGTGCATCTTGCCATCGCTGGATGCTGGGCAGATTGTCTCTAGGATTCTAGAATAAAGTTCGGGAAGCTCTCTCGGCATGACCGTGATAGCATCGTGAAGCTCTTTCACGCTATCTACGTCTGAAAGGGAATCAAGGACCAATCTTGCCCAGAGAAACATACCTTTGAAACATTAGCTTTCGCTTTCGAGTTTGGGGGATTAGAACTTCAGCCATGTACCATCTGCCTTGTCGATAATAATCCTCACAATCTCTTCCGCGAATTTTTCTCCAATTTGAAGCGATTCTTTTTCGTCTACTAGTTCTCGTAGCCGACTCTCCACAAATTCCTGAATTGTTTGATTCACAGAGTCCTTTTCGCTGGATAAGGAAATTATACCGGCATTTCTCTGCTTCTTCTGCAAGACGCGGGATATTTCGGGCACATCACGACTGCATATTAATAATTTGCAGTTCCTACTCCCCGGCTTCACAGACACTAGTTGGAGGAGATCATCGACGATGAATTTTTGCTCTTTCGGGTCACACTCATCGAGACCATCGATGAGAATGCGGCAGGCCGGGATCCCGTAGAGTAAGCCTTGCTTTTCTTCAGAACCCACGAGCATAGCCCGAAGAACTTTGAGAGATGGTTCACGGTGCTTCTCAACGAATCCTGTAAAGGCCATGGTGATAAGATCAGGGTTGGTGTCTATTATATTCAAGACTAACGTCTTCAGTATTTTAGATGATGTATCGGCCTGGTGGTGTTTGCAGAAATAAAACAGAGTTGGAATGTCGCTGTCTTCCAGTGAATTGAGGAGGCTGGCACAAATTACCGTCTTGCCTAGCTCTGATAGTCAACAATTGAGATATCTTAGTAATGGCCATGAGCTCTAATCTGCTCACCTGCACCCGGCTTGCCGTGAAGCCAGAGCACTGGCATTTTGGAATCGTTCTTCATCCAAGATATTACTTGGGGGTGCTTTGATACCCAATCGCAGCTCCCAGGTAGGCAGTCTCTTAGCACTCTCTCGCGATTATCATCCTGTGGAATGTGGTCTAGAGTAAGCCAGGCAATGACAGATTGTCGCTGCCTGTCACTCCTATCCTTCTCCCTTATAGCTACCTGTGATGCTAATTTTTCTCGCCAGAGTTTGGACTCAATTATGTCGATAGTGGTTGCCTCTTGATCTATTGCGTCGCTATGTCTAGTCATGGCTGCCAGCATGGAGTTGAAGCGGATGTCAAAGTTGGCCCAAGTGGTCATAAAGAAAAACCGCCATGCTAGCTTAAGGGTAAGCAGAAGGGAGTGAGAAAAAGGAAAAGCTCACTAGATACTCACATCGTCTTCTGACAAACTTGTAAGCTCGGCGGTGGAACTCGAGTATATCGACATAATATAGGGATAGTTTAGTAAGGAGTGTCGGATTATCTTTGAATGCGTCACCCAAATTGTTCAAGCGAGGAAGGGTCTCAGCAATGCGCCCATATGCATCGATTAGCTTGTCAAACGAGTCTAAATAGTTCGATGTAATCTTTCAAAGTCAGCAGTGGTATGCCGGAAGTATTTGTCTATAAATGATTATGTCTTACTTGGAGCATCAGCTTGATGGGTGCCTACTCTCGTTTTCGTTAGCTCCTCTGAGGACTTAGGACTTAGCTAGGAATATCATATTCTCACCCATATCCAAGGCAAGTAAGGGCTCAAGCCATTGCTAAGCGTATCAATGACCCCCGAATAACGTTCTAACCCCTGTAAGAAAGGATATAATTTGCGTAGGTTTCGGTTCTCCCGCCTCTGTTGGAGCTCTTTTTGGATCTTGAGCAATGAGTCAATCACATCCTGTACCTTTATCGTATTCTCAATTTGTTTCTGGTCGTCTGAGCTCAGGGAATCTCGGAGCCGTTCAGCAGCTTCTTTGATGTTCAAAGCTGCTGCTAAAGGCGCACCTGTCCCATCACTAGCCATATTTCAAAAGTTTCAGGGTACACCCAGTTTATGATAGTACTGTGAACATAAAACTCCACTGGTCGAGGCTGTTGTTGTGAATAGACCATGAATAAAAGCGATCAAGAGATTTACGACAACAATGATTGTAAATGTAGCCAGGCTGTAGGTGGCTGTGTAAGCGGCTCTGTACGGTAGGTGGCTGTGTAGGCGGCTGTGTACATGTAGGTGGCTATCTCTTTGAGTGTGGTAAGGCAGCTTTTCAGTATTTTCTATGTCAGCAGCGTAGTACTTGGCGCGACCTGTGTCGTAGCGGAATTAGCGCTTATTGCAAACGGTTAACTGAGAGTTTGCTAGCTGAAAAGTACCGTGAAGTATAGTAGGATCTTTTCGAGACTTACCTTGACACCTAATCTAACGCATAGCGAATATACCCTTGATTTTGTGACGCTTTGATTGGCCTAAGCGTCTGCAGATACAAAAAAGCTGCCTTACCACACTCAAAGAGAGTCAGCCAAATTAGACAGAGTCAGGCTTAGCCCAGACAGCATTCCCTTCATTCCCACTTCCAACCCATCGCAACTGCGCGTAGGTAACCGCATAGCTGCATTTTTACTTCAGGTCCGATTGTATAGATTGGCAAAGCTCTCTCTGACGGACGCCGCATCTCATGGAAGATGGAAAATATGCATCAATCAAAACGGCGGCGACTTGACAGCCCTGACAGCGCGGGGATCACGAAAACGAATCTTGATGGCACATTGGATCCTTCGTATTCGTCAGACGCAAGAACAGAGGCCGATTGCGATTTCGAGATCATCAACCGTGATTCTAGGGAGGTGAATAGCGGGGATGATGGGATATTCCTAGCTGGGCATGAAGACGTGGCCGCTGGAAATATAGTCTGCTATGGAATGGTGAGACATCCACTCTTTTGGCTCTAACTTTCGCTACTAAGTTTAGGCTCACCATTGTTCCATATTTTAGCTCGAGAACCTGCCGATCACTTCAATAGAAACCGCTGATGTGGTTGACAATCCAACTTATGTTCTCGCCTCCCTCAGCCAGAGCGGAATCGTCCAACGAAGGTCAGATGGGGCCTGCGTAGGCAAGCTCGACGACAAAGCCGCGGAGTGCCTATTCAAGTTCGGTGCCGAATCACGCGTAAACATCCAGCTGATGCTCAAGACGGTTGCTAGCCGGAGCTGCCCAGGACGAACAGCCAGGATAGTGGCCCTGGCCGCTGCTATATTATACGGGCCCGAGGACTTGGGCGATGACATCGGGGATTTCTGGACCGCTGCAAATATTACCTCCAGGATCCCTTCAACTGCGTGCACAATGTACCTTACAAGAATCCACACTGTCTGGATGGACTATTTGAAGCTCCGAGGATGACATCAGAGCTGCACGGTCACGAACTAGGCTACCAAAAAACATTTACGCCGTCCAATTTTCTCGAGGCACTCCAGACCGATGATGCCTTACCCGAGTGGTCGCAGCCATCAGGATTAAAAACAGAGCTTTGTCGGTGGGTCAATAACCTCTTATAGTTTCTTATTATCTTACCGATTTTGAAATCACTCCGTGCTGACTTAGTTGTTCCTTAGGCACCAAAAACAAGCTTTGTGGTTCTTCTTAATGCGCGAAAGTACATCTGCTTCGAAGCATGTCTGGCAGGCAAAGCCTGAGGAAGATGGCGCATTGACGTAAGTCAATCCAATCGATCCTATTTTGTATTCACCCTGCTGACATATTTAGCTATACCAATAACATCACCGGACTTCATCAAGACGTTCCGCCACCCGCCTGGAACGGAGGCATTCTTGCTGACGAAATGGGCCTCGGCAAGACCCTACAAATGATATCCCTTATCATAGCCGATAAAGCGCTCGGTCAAGAACCAGGAGCACCTCACAACAGCCCAACTACTGCGCCGCACATGGCGACCCTTGTTGTGGTACCTTTGCCTCGTGAGTTGTAGAGGACCTTTGTCAAAAGACTCGTTGCTAACTCTGGTGCTAGTGATTAGTGTCTGGGAACATCAACTAACCTGGTAAAGTTCATTCAATTCCTAACGTGGCTTAATCACCATCTGATCCTTTGCATCTAGCCATGTGCACCCCTCCTCTCTTACTTGGGGGAGGCACCATCGTAAGCGTCGGCTTATTGATGGGGTGAGCTCCTTGTGTCCTGACGTGGTGCTCACTACCTACCAAACGGTTCAATCAGAATACAAGAAACATTCTGGCAGCGAGGGAAGCCTCTTTGGACATCGATGGCGCAGAATCATCCTTGACGAAGGTTGTCGAGTTCATAATTCTCTGCACTCTCTTTTAAATATTCATCGTTCATAGCTGACAAAATTGTTCCAGCACACGTTATTCGAAACAGGACATTGACTTCGTCGGCCATTTCAGCACTTAAGGCCGTCTCTCGTTGGGCTGTCACAGGTACGCCAATACAAAACAGCTTCGCGGATATCGGTGGACTGCTACGATTTCTCCATTTCCAACCTTACGATAATGCGAATATTTTTGATAAGGAGATTGTTGAATATTTTCGACGAGAGGACGTAACAGAAGGTGTTAGGCGGCTGAAGTCACTCTGTCAGCCAATCATGATCCGACGTCCCAACAGTGTCATTGTACTTCCGACGCGACGAGATCTTATCAAAGTGATACACTTCTCTACCAAAGAAAAGCAGAAGTATGATGAAATAGAGAATGCATTTCAAGCAGTTCCGGAAGAAATGGACATGAGGCCCTCCGAGACGCGGTCATGGATAACCACGATCCAGCTGATCAATAAGCTTCGGTTGTTTTGCAACCTGGGCCTATGTTCGAGGTTCTCGGCTCTCCCCACAAGTCAACAGACAGTAGCGATCACACCCGAAACTGACAACTCAGTTGAAACAGTGGTCGCTTCAGAGTTGGCATTGGGGGTTGTGAATTGCAAGGACTGTCGCAAAGCTATCGATATTCCCAACATCGTAATTACCACTGGCAATTCGCCATATGTGTACTACTCTGAGTGCCGCGAAGTTTATTGCAACAGCTGCGTGGTGTTAAAAGACTTTCTGCCAATCACCGGATGTCTTTGCACAAAGATAACCCCTTGTAAGCTACGTCCTCTTTCCCTGGAACTGATCCAGCAAGTCAGGGACGGAGAGCTTCCTCTAGATAATGGTCTTCCCATGGCGGGGATATCTAGCAAAGTTTACGCTCTCGTCCAGGAAATATCAAAATGCCTACCTGAGAAAAGGTAAGTTACTACACACTATAAGTATAAAGCAATTGGGCCGGATGAGGCTAAACGACTTGAAACATTATCTTTAGCGTTGTATTTTCTTTCTGGACAACCAGCCTCTCTATAATCCAACAAGCGCTTACCACGGTTAACATCCGCTGTTTGCGAATTGATGGGTCTGCCTCAACCTCAAACAGGGACAAGTTGCTTCAGAAGTTCAAAGAAGATGAAGAGATTAAGGTTATGTTAATCACTATTTCATGTGGAGGTATTGGGTGGGTTTACTTTTATTATACATTCATTATATAAAAAACTAACATGGGCTAGGCTTGATTTAACAACTGCATCCCGTGTCCACTTACTCGAGCCTCAGTGGAATCCTGCTGTTGAGGAGCAGGCATTAGCAAGGGTTTATAGAATGGGTCAACGCCGCCCAGTAGTTACAATTCGCTATATTATGAAGGATTCTATTGAAGAGGTTTGTCGCCCCTATAATACTTAACACATATTATCAGCCAATATGTTATAGTTAATAAGTTATTACTAACTTGTTATTGCAGTCTGTTGTTACAGCTAAGGGGAAAAAGCAACTCCTTAGTGAGTTATTATTATACAATGCTTAATAAATATTATTAGCCAATATATTATAAGTGATAAGACCTTAGGGTATATATGGACTAGGAATAATATAAGACTAATGGAATAATTAGGATTAGGGAGCGATAGAACGCAGCGCTCTTAGGAATAAAGACAAGACGCTTTCCCCTCCCCGCTACGATACATGGAGCTTTAGCCACGAGGTTCGGATTTCGGTGCTTCTAAGATCCGGCAATAAATAACGTTGGATGATAAAGAGCTCAGAACGTGCAAATTCTCTTCGGGAGCTTTTCACAGCAGCTCTGGGTGAATTTTAATGACTAATGTTAGTCATTGGTGCCGCTCGTTATTGTTTGCGTCATGGTTCCCTTTCTCGAGAGAGTAACAACCTATGTAAAGCGCTTCAGTCATTGAGCTGCAAAGAAATTCGCATGAAAATCGAATTCTCTTTTGAATCCAGACCGCTTATGCTCGATAAAACATTATACAGACTTCCTACGATTGCTATAGCCAATCACGATGCCATCTTACCGCGGCTGGTGTGCTGAGGCAATGGTTCGGCTATTTGAGTAAGCTATTATATCATTTACCAAGCATGCTATACCAACCAGGATTGATATGATAACGATACACTCGTAGCCAATTGGCAATCGAATAGTCCTTCTATTTTCCTATTCTAGCAAAGCGGGCAAACACTAAATGGTATGGCTGGAAACAGAACCCGGACTGATCGGAAAAGATATGATGCAAGTATTGATCGCGATGTCACATCTCGTATTCCTTGACCATTTAACGTGCTTTTAAACATAAAGTGATGAGAAATCTAGTCGGTTAGCGGCACTGAATGCAGTCACCTTCCTATTTGAGGCCTACAGATAGTTATCTTTCATCGTCATACTCTTGCATCAACCCCGCGTCCCTATTGTGTGATTGTATGTAATTGCATGAAACGTAGATAAGTAACGCCTATATAATGAGTGGATTCTACTCAAAGCCTTGCCAAGAAGTCATGAATAGAGACTCCCATCGGCTATCTCGCGAAAATGCGGTTCAAGGCTGCGCTCATTAATATCCTCCTTCTCGGCTTACCCGTTGCTGTAGTGTCGAAGCCGGAACTTGGCGGAGATGGATATCTAAGATCGAGTCAAAGCACAGCTTCGAACACCACATACATTCCTAATACCTATATCGTGGAGCTTGAGCAAGCCTCTGGTATTAATGCCGCGGCTCGATTTGCTCAGAAGCAGGGCGGGAAAATAAAGTATCAAGTCCGCAAAGAGTTCAACAGTGCCAAATTCTTCTACGGATTGTCTCTGACTCTATCTGATGGTGCATCTCACAAAGCTGATCTGCTGAAGATCAGCGGCGTCAAAAATGTCTGGCCGGTCCGAGTTGTACCTCGGCCAAATCCTTTTGTTGCCGCTCCGCCAGCACCACTGAGCAATGGCACTCTGCCACATATCAAGGGCAGCTCAGATGTTAATAGGCCACTCAAGATGGCAGGTGTAGATAAAGTTCACAGCCAGGGAATCAAAGGCAAGGGTGTAAAGATCGGCATCATTGACACCGGAGTGGATTATCTACACCCTTCGCTTGGAGGCGGATTTGGGCCTGGGTATAAGGTATCTTTTGGCTACGACTTTGTTGGAGATGACTATACCGGGTACAATACGCCAGTTCCAGACAATGATCCACTGGCTTCATGTGCGACCGGAGGACACGGCACTCACGTAACGGGTAAGCAGTTGGCAGCCTTCATCTCGAGTATATCAGAATACAGCTAACAATTGGTATAAGGCATTATTGGAATGACTGACGCCTCTAACCAAGGATTTGGCCTTGTTGGGGTAGCCCCCGAAGCAAGCCTCGGTATGTACAGGGTATTTGGATGCGAGGGTGACTCTGGCGACGATGTTATCATGGCAGCTATGCAGCAAGCCGCAGAGGATGGCGTCGATGTCATCTCGATGTCCCTCGGCGGCCTCACATATTGGGAACAGGCATCGCCGTATGTTCCGCTGGCCCAGAGCATTGTGGAAAGCGGTGTCGCAATCGTTGCTGCTCTTGGAAACGACGGTGACCTCGGGCCATATGCAGTGTCAGCTCCAGGCCTGGCTCCGGAAGTTTTGGCAGTGGGATCTGCAGAGAGCGAGATCTATCCAACCGTTTATAAAGCGGTCAATAATCTCGGAAAGACGTTTGACTATATATCGGTCCTACCCTTCGTCTCTAGCCAGCCTATCACCGTTTTCGAGGCTGGCAGTGGCCTGGACATACCCATCACGGAAGAGCAAACTGGTGGGTGTGATCCCAGCGTCTGGGAAGCTGCACAGAGTGCCATTACAGATGGAGCACACACGGCAGTTTTGATCTACAATACGGTATACTGTGGGCTTGGGACGTATTCAGATCAGTTGTTGGCACTGAACGTGACGACTGTCATATACTACACCGATGACCCAAACACTCCAATTCTCTTGGACGAACCGGGGACAACGGATCCATTCAACATTCTCTTCCTTGGATATAACCAATCGCAGCAGATCGTTAAAGATATTGCCAGTCTTGGTTCTGGGAAAAAATACACGCTGGACTTTAAGTCTTCTGTTGTCCAAGACTTGCCTAATCCAGCTGGCCATACCATTGACTATTTCTCTTCCATTGGTCCGACGGTTGAGATGACAGTGAAGCCTCAGCTTTCTTCGCCAGGAGGAAATATTCTCTCAACATTCCCGCTTTCAGCTGGAGGCTATGCCGTATTGTCGGGTACCTCTATGGCCACGCCTTTTACTGCTGGAGTTTATGCTTTGATCAAGTCTCACAACCCAGAACTCAGCATTGCAGAGATCACTTCTCTTATTCAATCGACCGCAGTGCCCATGAAAGCACAGAACCTAAACATCATTTCTTCCGTCACGCAACAAGGAGGTGGATTGATTAATGCGCACGCAGCAGTTTCTGCCGACTCTCAAATATCGCCGTCTCAGCTGAGTTTGCTTGACTCGCCAAAGCCAGCAAAGCAATCAATTACTATCAAAAATACTTCCAAAAAAAGCAAGACTTACTCCATCTCTCATTCGGGTGCTTCATATATCCGCACTTTGACTAATTTCACGGGAGGGACGGAAGCGTCATTTCTGAGATTCACTCTCGGCCACGAGGCGAAATATGCCACCGCTCAATTCTCCAAAACGAGGCTATCCCTGCAGCCTGGTCAGTCAACGACGGTAGAGGTTCAATTTACGGCTCCCGAAGAACCTCACCCAGAGTCGGAGCCTGTTTACTCAGGCTATGTTAGGATTGCTACCGACACCAGCAGCTACGTCGTTCCATACCTTGGTGTGCCGTATAACAGAAATGATGTGGATTACCTTGGGCACAACACGACGGCATGGGTAGGAAACGATACACCATTCGTAGGCCCAGATGTGACGAAGCCAGGAGAAGTCAATATCGGCAATTACAGCATCTTGGGCCGCGATGGCTCAGTACCAGCCGACCTGCTTGTGCCCGTCACTGGCTTTATCGTCGTGCAGCCCACCAACTTAGTTCGCCTAGATGCTGTGCCAGTGAATACCAGTTTTGTGCCAACGTTTTACGGCTTTGATCGGTCTGTCAAATTCGACGTTTCAGGTGTAGATGTGCCACTATATGAGGGCTTCCTGGGCGTTCCAACGTATGGGATATTGTCCGTGTGGGGGATTGGCGACATCCCTCCTGGAATAGACCCACGAACCGTTACAGGTTGGCCCTACCCGAACGTTGTAAGCGGCTTCATTTTGGAATGGCCGCTTTTCATGTATGAGAACGGCACGGACTTCAACATCACGTCCGGTGCTTTCCGGCCATTGCTGCGTATTTTGCGCTATGGAACCAACGGCACGAGCCCCGAGGATTATGAATCGTGGCTGGGTCCTATCACCAATGTGTACACGACATAGGCCGAGGATATGGTAATAACAGACTGCCTCTGTTCTGAAGCTAGGATGTATAACGTGCGAGAGATGAATACAGACCACTCTGACCAATGCTGCGCCATTCATACTTGGCCCCTCGTGAAGTTTCCAAATCCGTACCCTTTTATATCTTTTTCTTTTTCTATTCCGTTCTATGTTTAGAAAAGAAAACAGCTTGCTCAAGCTACTACGTTTAACGTATTCTACAATATGTAAGGTACCTACTCACGCAACTAGTCGCAGTACTAGTGTCTCCAAGCCCACAACCCATGAGCTGTTTAATGCCGATGCGCCAGCGTTGCTATCTGTAAAGCCGCGGTTGAGAAGAGCCGAATCTTAACCTTCGTTGTTTGGTACTAGTAGCACTATCGGACTTGACGGCTCTCCACAACCAGAGGCGTCTCCGCATTCCTCCATCTCGCACGCCGCAGCCCGTGCTTTGTTCTCCGTATTTCCTCTCCATCAAGGGCCGAGTTCGCCCCTGTCAAGCTGCCCTGATCCGTCAGTTTGGAGCTTGCCCTACCGTCATCGTCACAAGCCGCATCCAGCTGCATACATGTAGCTGCACCAGCATCAGACAGCCCACCCTTCAGCTACTAACAACTGCTCCAGAGGACAATTACGCGGTGGGAACAGCTGGTTCTGAAAAACTGCCACTGTTCCGGCGTGCTCCCGCAGCAGACACGGGCAATTTGATGCCACTCGCGTCATCATGTCGCTCGCAAAGAGAAACGACGGTACGTGATACGCTCTTTATAAACCACTTTCGCCAAATCTCAACGCGTGAAATTTAACTCTAGACAAGGTTGTCTCGAGTGTCGCACGCGCCGAGTGCGCTGCGATAAGACAGAGCCCGAATGCTTCAAGTGCTATAAAAAGGGGATCAAGTGCTCGGGCCAGGGTATTGAGTGCCGGTTCAGCTCCCACATGAAATACAGCTCGCCACGACCTTCACAATCCGCAACTCGCGCGGCTGGAGATAATGCCAAAGCTGCGCTGCGTGCACCAAATCGACTACGATGGGTCAATGTAAACAGCAAACAGCCAGGATCCTCGCCGGATACAGCGCGATTGGCTTCTCGCCGATCTCCCACCACTCCATCCAAGGCTTCAAAGACACGCCCTATCATTGGCCCTACTCTTCCTAATATACCCGCATCTGATACAGATTCTTCGGCCGAGAGCTTGGAAGATGACGTGGAAGAGGTTGTGTCAAGAGAGCTGCAACTCTCCCGCCCGCAGACTGCTATTCAAGCTCTATCTCCCCAAGCCAGACAATTCTTCAACTATTGTATGATGCTTGTTTTCTTTTCCTGTTCGCAAAAACTAGTTCCGCTGACTGACCACAATCTCTTCGCATTGCAGTTTCAGAGACCATCGCACCCAAAATGGTAGTTTTTGACTTTAGTGGCAACGGCTATCGCAACATCTTGCTTCCTCTAGCATGCGAAGATGAGCTTGTAGGACAGGCTATATCCGTCATTGCAGCTTTCCACCTATCGCAGCAGGCGCCGCATATGCGAATGGCAGCTGAAGTAGGCCAACAAGCCATCTTATCGAAACTGTTTCGCGACTCGCTTCAACTAGAGCCAAAGAGACTTTTCAGCCTATCAACATGGGCGACGATTCTAGTTCTGCTTGTGGGGGACACGATCACGGGTGCGAATAACTATGTGCATCTGCTTGAGATTCTCTCAAATTTGGCAAAGATGTCCGATTCGGTAGAGCCTCTATCTACGACTACAAGGGATTTCATCAGAGAGCAAACACGAATGTAGGTCGTTCAGTGATTCTCCTGCGCAATACAAGCATAAGCTGACACATCAAAACTTCCAGGTTCGAACTCTTTGGATTTCCGCTGTCCAGCGAAACCAAAGGACTACAAATGCTGTCGAAACGCCCCGACTACTACCTAGACTTCATGTCTTCAAGTCCGTCTCTCAATAAAGACCCGGAGCAGTATGCCAATGTCTCTGTCATGAAAGAAGCTATTCGACAGGCCTGCGCCTTATACCGAAATCGCGCCCTCCACCTCATCACAGACGAAGAGTCTATACAATCAGTTGAACGGCTCCGAGAAACGGTTCTTCATCTAGATCCAAGCGTTGACGGGTCCCACGCTCTGGTTTGGACATATTTTGTGGCTGCTGCAGAGAGCATCTTACCCGATCATCGAGAGTTCTTCTCACATCGACTTCAGAGCCTCTACAGCTGCACCCACTTTGGAACCATTCCCATCGCCGTGCAGACTCTTGAGCACATATGGGCGAATCAAGGCTCTCAGCGATGGACCCAAGTAGTGACCCGACACCGCCCAATTTTAATTATGTGAAGATATATGACGCCATCAACACATGTGATATTCCTTTCGCTATATGCAAATCTTATTTATACATTCGGCCTTCTACAGTTCGTGTCTCAGCCATCCTACAGCCACCATCCCGCATGTCTCTGTTATAGCTTGGATCGACCAGCGAAATCGGCTCGTACAGTAATAGCAGCGCGGGTTCCCTCTTCAATAGCACCGTCTATGAAGCTACGCCACCCCAATGCCCAGTCGGAACACGCGAATACGATGTCGCGCTCTCTTGCTCTCATATCCTTCAAATGTGTGGATATCAAGCCAGGTGCTGGGAAGAACCTTTATGGACAAATTGCAACGTTAGCCATACGCTTCACTCAAACAACGGAGAAATGAAGAAGGAGATTTTGGTGCTTACCAGGCTCCTTTTGCAAACTCGTCCTTGGACCAGTTGTGGAAGACCAATCTTTCGATACTCATAGGTGCGAAACCTTCGAACGCGGCCTTGGTGTGTTCAACATTTTCTTCTGGATGAAAGTGATTGTGCTGTCCACCAAAGGCTACAACATGCGTATTACCAGCCGGCGTTTCTCCATCACCAAAGCCGTAAATGAGTCCGTTGTGCGGATAGCTGATGCCCGTGAACGAACGAAGATCTCGATCACTGATTTCCGCATGAACCTTGACGCATTGGTTGACGTGGCCAGTGGTGGCGGCTGCTTTTCTCCCCGTCGCCAAGGGTGGCTCAAACTTGACATCATTCAGGACATTCAAGGGAATAGCACAAATCATCTTGGTTCCCCGGAAAGTCTTGCCAGCACGGGTCGTGATCTGAACGCCCTCGCCTCCATGCTGGACGGTTGCAACGGGACTGTTGAAGGAATAAGTCAAGTTGCCAGAAGCCAGAGCCTCGCGGAAGAATCGAATCGCAAATGACGACTGGCCACCGCGGAACTTATACTTGACGAGATAGTCAATGCATCCCTCGTAAGAGTAGCCGCTGAGTGCCCACCAGTGGAGGAACTCGTAGAAGCTCGTCGTCTCAAGAGTGCCTCCGCTGCACAACAGGACGAATGCTTCTGCGCAGAGGCGCTCGTTGGGAGTGAGGTCGTTTTTTATTTCTGCGATGCGGTCGGCGACAGACATGTGGTCGTATTTGCGAGCTTCGGGGCTGAGAACTCCGCTGTGAGGGAAAGGGATAACGTTTCGACCGTGGCATCCATCGACGTTGACGAGTTTGGCAAGCGATGATTGCATGAGCTCGTCCTGGTTATAGTTAGCTTCTGTAGGGATTGTTTAATAGGGCTATCAGCAAGCCCTTGGCGGAACAAAAGCTATCTATGTTTGTATTACCTCTTCTTCATGGCTGAAGCTCTGTACGCCTTGCGGTGTTGACAGTAAATATTTATTGATACCTCTGGAGAAATCGTAAGAAATCTCGAGCTCATCCTGCATGCCGTATCTCGCAATCTCGCGCCACACATTGGCTTGTCCCCAGTATACCCATGTGCCTCCCATTTCGTACGGGTAGCCCTCAATGTTGGATGACCACGATCGACCGCCAATTCTATCGCGAGCTTCAAGCAGCAGCACTTTGAGGCCTATTTGGGAAAAGAAAATGTCAGATTTCTCTCATACTTTATTTGTCCATTTGATTTGACTTGAGGTAATGTTACCAGCTAAGCTAGCATCACGAGCTGCTGTGAGGCCACAATAGCCCGCGCCTACAACGATAACATCGTAGACTGTGTCGGTGCTTTTGACATTTGAAGGCGGTTCAATGACACCAATAGATGGAACCCCAGCCCGAAGGCCTTGGGCTTTTGTCCATGAGTAGCCGTCTTTGGATGTCATTGAGTGCTGCGATTACGAAAGGACAGAAAGCAAGTTCGGCGCGATTTAGACATTGCTGCAAAGCTCAGGGCGCCCTTTAGCTATTAATACATACGTCTAAGTTATTGTGGGCGATCCTCGTGAAAACTCAATGTTGGGCCATGCAATCGTTCAAACGGACTTTAGATTTTTCCTCAAGTGGCAATATTCTGAGAATCGGCGCCCTTTGCTCCGGAGGGGTCAAAATGCCAAAGTGCTGCCATTGCCGCATCATTCGCTGCCTTCTCACAGAATTGCCCAATGTGGTAGGCGGGCCGACACTCAGTGCCAGAAAAGATAGACGGCGATCCACTCAGTGAAAAGAGCTGTAGCAAGCGCAAAACCAATTACGATACAGCTAAAAGCTATCTATCATCTATCGTTGACAAGAGTGAATCCACAAGCTGTTGGTGGAGCAGCGGATTGATCCACTTCCCCAGATACTGAATCATAAGCCGAGCCTCAGTTCAGCGTCAGGGAACAAGATACTGGCGATAGCTTGTAGATACCACCTGTATCTGCCGATAAGATGGGCCAACTCCGAGAATGGCCTCAATGCAACATAGCGTTGGTTGACGGCGGCCAGTAACTGCAGCTCTTATCTTGTCCGGCCCCTGAAGCACGCGCGCCCAGGGTATTTGCTTATGTATGTGCATATAAGTATGATTACTAGCATCTATAAAAGCAACAGCGCGCACGCGTAGGGGGTTTCCATGTCATCTCTCTTCACCTCCAGCAGAAGTCCAACAAGAAGCTCTCGGTTCCAGGCCTGGTTGTGGCGCCCTCTGCATCATCCAGAGCCGCATGAACAGATCTCCGCGTGCCACTATCTTATCCAGACAACGGGAATAGAAACAACGTCTCGGTCCGCGCTCCGCCAGCAAAATACTAGCTGAGAGCTCGGTACGGATCTTCCCCACGCTATCTAAGGCCTTATCCACAGCTGTCTTGAGGCTATCCGGACCGCAGCGATAGGACCACAATCGCTATCCTTTCCGTCAACCAACGTACTCATTTTACCCTATTTAGGCAAAATTCTGAGAAAAGGGCTGTGATCGGTCTCGAATCTTCAGGGAACTTATCTAGATAGCACCTTTCTACCCCGCGTTTTTAGTGGACTGTTGGACTTGATCTGGGGAAGCACTTGCGAGTTTCTCAGGAAATTGCCTATTTCGGATACACTCCCACGCTTCGTATCAACTTGTTCGAGACAACTGAGGCTTCATCGCCACCAACTGTCACTGGACAAAGCCTCAACATTTGTCTACCGATATCAAAGGACGTTGATGCGAGATAGCCCGGCTAGCCAAACTATGGTAATCGGCCAAAGCCTCTAATGAAATAGATACGCACGAGACACGGTTATAATGTCCTTTCCGTGGTTTCCAGAGAGCCCGCTTTCTTGACCGAGAACTGAAGGCAGCCGGTGAATACAAATCAGGCCCATCACCACCTCGATTTTTTTGCATAATATTGTTTGCCTTTTCTTATTTCTTCATCAGCACTTTCGCCTGGTTTATTCAACAATGGCGCTCTTCGGGTCCAATGCCGCTGCATCGGGCGACGGGGCTCTTCAGCCCCGGCTGTCAACTCTATCAACAATGGCCATGGCTTTTGCCATTCTCAAGTACGTTTGTCATTCTCATTACAGATTAAGTCATATGATACAAGATGGCTAACGATCAACAACCTATACAGCACATGGATAGCACTTGCCGGCTCAATAGGTCTTGTCCTACCCTCCGGCAGCTCTGTAGCTCTGTTGTATGGATTCATCTTCTGCGTGCTGTGCTGCTTTTGTGTAGCCGCAAGCCTTGGAGAGCTCAGTGCTATCTGGCCGACTGCTGGAGGACAGTACCACTTTGTATATGCCCTCTGCACAGAACGATGGAGAAGGCCAATGGTGAGTTCTGCGATTCAATTTAGGAGTCTTGCATCTTGCATCTTGTACACTGACAATCAATACTATTCTAGAGCTTTGTAGTCGGATGGGCCAATATCGTAGGCTGGCTTGTCGTGGTAACTGTACAGGACTACTTCGGATGTAAGAATCAAACTTTTTGCCACCCGACTTACACGAACACTGCTAACCTGAGATGACACAGCCCAATTTATTTCTGCTGCAGCAGTAGTGGCCTCGAACGGATCCTATCAAATCACCGCGGCGAAAACATACGGAATATTTGTTGCAATCCTCGTCTTTACGACAGTGGCAAATATCTGGGGTAACAGGATCCTAGGCAGATGGAACGATGCTGCTTGTAAGTCGAGCCAAGAAGGTGCTTCAATAAAGCTGTTAGCCTGTTAGCTAATGCATCAACATAGTGTACTGGTCCATCTTTGGATTCGTCATCATCAGCATTGTTCTGCTCTCCATGTCAGACAAGACTAGCGCAGAGTTTGTCTTTACAGACTTCAACAATGAGACTGGTTGGTCCGACGGCATGGCTTGGATCTTGGGTCTATTGCAGTCCGCTCTCTCTCTCATTGCATTCGATGTCGTTTTACACATGACAGAGGAGATGCCAAATCCGTCCAGAGATGCTCCAAGAGCTATGATGTACTCCATTGTTATTGGTGGTGTCACGTAAGTCGAATTTGTTCATCTTGATTATACATCATTTCGAAACTATGACTAATAGACTGCTCTCAGGGGTTTCGGTTTTATTCTAGTTATCCTTTTCTGCCTCGTCGACGCCGAGACTATCCTTGCCACGCCGACAGGTATGCCCATCGTCGAACTCATTCTTCAAGCAACAAAAAGCCGAGCTGCTGCCACCATTCTCAGCTTGATGCTCGCTGTGTGCTTTATCAACGGCACAAACGCCAGTATCACTAGTGTCAGCAGACTGCTTTACGCCATGGCTCGTGACCGTGGTATCGTGTTTCACAACTACTTTGCTCACATTCAGGCTGGTTTGAACGTGCCTGTCCGAACTATCATGTTCTGCTTTGTTTTCAACATCCTATTTGGTCTCTTATATCTAGGACCAGCGGTAGCTTTCAGCGCATACGTCGCATCTTGCACCATCTTCTTGAACGTCTCTTACTCGGTTCCAATCATTGTCCTCCTCATCCGTGGACGCAAGGTACTTGACCTTTACCAGACTCCAAAGACTCATTTCAAGTTGGGTAGAGTATTCGGTTACATTTTGAATGTCATTGGAGCACTCTACGTGGTTGTTACTTCAATTGTAAGTGGAATTACTTGGCAAAGCTGAGACAAGTGAACTAACACTGCGTACAGTTCTTCTGCTTTCCTACATCACTTCCCGCTACGGCGAATACTATGAGTAAGTGTTCAAATTGACTCGCATTATATTCAGAAAAGCATAATGACCATCAGCAGATTATGTATGCGTTGTGATTGGCATTTGGGCGGTAGTCGTTGCGGGATACTGGGTTTTCTTTGGCAAAACGTTTTTGGGTCCAGTAAGTGAAGCTCGAGCTCTGTACCCCATTGATTAAAATGACCATCATTTCTAACAACGTAATTGTAGCAAGATTTGGTTGTGGCAGATTACGAGGATGTTGTCGGTCGTCGTATCTCTACCCAGACCTCGAGCCATGAGGATAAGGCTGAGAAGGGGAGTCATTGATATTTTTTGCTATGATTGATCCTCATTATTTCTTAATGAGGCTGCCTCGCTTTTTGTTATATACTTGAGAGCTTTTACTCAATACCCCTGAGAGATGAAGTCAAAAGTTGCTTTTATTATCTCTAATCTTTTCATCTATGACTTTCCCAATTCCGCAGATCGGTCTGTGGCGGCCTTGACAGCCTTGTTAACAATCTCATCAAACCCCGATGACTCAAAACTCTGTAAAGCAGCATGAGTAGTTCCGTTGGGGCTTGTGACATTCTTGCGTAGCTGGGCTGGCTCTTCTGAAGATGAAACCAGCATTTGACCGGCTCCCAAGCATGTCTGCTTGGCTAATCGAGTAGCCTGCTCTTTCGGAAGTCCCAACGCAGTTGCACTAGCAATAAGGTGCTCGACCATGGCGAAGAAGTATGCAGGTCCAGAACCTGATGCTCGTGTTAGCCAAATTCTTCGCGGGAATGCATATGGGCAACTTACCAGACAATCCGGTTACAACGTCGAGCAGCTCCTCCTTTTCTACCCACTCAGTAGCCTTGCTTACACTGCCGAGCAGTGCATCGACAAGCTGCTTCTCGCTCTCCTGGACGTCCTCGCTTGCATAAAGCCCAGATGCACCCTCTCCAACCAGAGCAGGCGTGTTTGGCATCACACGAACAACTGGTGCAGTCTTGCCCTCGCTGGTCTTCAGCCACTCCCTCAGGCTGTCGAGGGTGATACCAGCAGCAATGCTGACAACAATTGGCAGAGTGGCACGGTGAGACCATGATCCGCCCAGCTCCTCGCAGACCGTCTTGGCAATCTGAGGCTTTACAGCAATGATGATGAGATCGGCATCCTGGCCAGCCTCGATGTTGGACGTTGTGGTTCGGACGCCGGTGGCGGCAATCTTCTCCCTGTTGACATCCCAGGGCTCAGATACAATGATGTTCTGCTTGTTGATACCCTGGTTGGCCAGTCCTCCAATGATGGCAGAGGCCATATTGCCTCCTCCAATGAAGGCCACCTTGCTGTTCTGTAGTGACGCCATGACTGTTGGTACTTGAGAAATAAAACTGGTTGAATGGAATTATCAGTTGCCAAATTAGGAGACTCGAGCCCAGAATGCTGGAATAGCCAGACACTTATGAGAAACCCCGGACGCTTCAAGTCGGTGCAATCTCGACGATGGATGAATCATCAAACTGTAGCTGTGCTGCTAAAGTTGACTATCTGTGGGGAAGGTCCAGTCCCGTGACCGGCTTCCATCGGCAGAGCACAGAGGGGCCGGTGTCGGAAGGAGCGACAGAGAAACATTAGTAGCGACATAGGCATCAATCAAAAAGTTTAGATCTATCTTGGCTGTAAATGATACGGCAGAGTATATATTATCCGCACTTACGAGTCACTCTAACTGTGATCTATATCTCAAAGCTGTCTTAGGTGCGTTGTTCATATTGGACACTTAAAAGAGTCCATTCTTTATCAGTTTGTTAGCGATTGCGCTTGGCCTTTTTAGACTAGTGGGCTAAGCTACAACATGCAGTTATCATTAATAAACGGTTAATGCTCTCGTGGTATTGCTGAACTGGAATCTTAGACTGACTTCCAAAATGTAATTTTACAGCGACAATTACAACAGAAGATTCAAACCAACTTTGTACCCAAATTTGCAATGATTGACATCGAATTAAAAGGCGAAACTACCACAGCTAATCTATGAGGTCATGCATATGTTCTACAACTGGCCGCAAAAGCCGTTCTCTTTACTATTCTAGGGTACGGGTAATCAGAAACTGCTGCATAGGTAGGTAAGCCCCCTAAGCTACATGTAACGCTTGCCAACTTATAACCTATTGCAGTATTAGAGAAAGGGGCATTGATGGAAGTTGTGGCATGCATAATAGCGATTAGTATTGATGATTAGTCTTTTAGGTGCCTTTACAGCAATGAGAACTCTTCCACTAACAAGGAGATCAATCCTTTGCGCTTACCAGGAATCATCAAGACCATTGCCGGATCTGCAGGGCTCTACCGCGTCCCAGGCGATACCCGGATCGACAAGGCGTGAGTATCCGGTCCAATTTGCCTATACGGGTGGAAGATTGAACACGAACTTTCCCCTTTTCGTATTCCCCGCCAGAAGGGAATAACTCGCCCGAACATATGAACTTTGAGCCTAAACGCATCAATGTTTGCAGCATGATTCGTATTATGACTTTTATTATCATCTCTCAAGTGTAGGTTCAATCGTATTCGCCTGACGCTTGAGTAATGCTGGCGTGTCCGCCCCCGAGTCGTTGCCAGACGAGACAGGTGAGCTGGGGTGGTGGGTAATACGGAATACTCAACCGCTGACATGGGCGTTAAATCCAAGGCTACGGTTTCTTGGAGGCCTTGAATGTGGCAGCCTGCCGGTACCCTGTAAAAAATACAGTAAGCAGCTCTGTGCTTGGGAATTGAGGACGACTAGAAAGATCAATTGCCCTGCATCGTGCATGCAGCTCAGCATTGCTTCATTCAGCGGACCCTTGTAAACGTGGGATTCGAAATATGAGCTAACACGCCGAATCTATTCTGAGGTACGGAAAATGTGTTGATTTATCCATTCTACGAACTGCTTGACCACGACTATACCCATTTGTGTCTCTGCAGCCACGCTGCATGTAGTCCTTGCATGATTCTTCTTCTGTGAGTCGATGCATTTCCGTATATCCGTAATCGTGTGATGTTTTGAGTTGCCTATTTCTTCGGCAGCCCTCGGTCAATATATCTCTTCATCCGTACTAGGCGTGAATCTCACGGAAAAACTATCGCAGTCTGGAGAAAGGGCTCGGATGTCGGGTTTACCACTGCGCTCATTGGTGATAGAATCCAAGAGCTTTGTGGTCTGAAGCTTGCTCGCTAGACTACTTACTACATGAGATAGCATACTTTGATGACTTACATTTTAACCAGGTGCACTTCGAAAACTGCCTTTGAGCTCAGAATCTCAGAGCATACAGGCGAGAATAATATTATCATGTCGTCGATCCGAGGAAAACCAGGCGAACAGAGCGCACTGCATCAAGAATGTGTGAGGATATCTTTCAGGCAGCCGTCTCCAGTCAGACCATGTTTAACGCATGGCTTTCAATATTGATGACCGCCTTCTTGACTGAGATATTGCATTTTACTAAAAAGAATCTGAAGAGAGAAAAAATTACATAGTGGAAACACAGGCAAGGCGAGTAGAGCACGCTAATGTGCGGGAGATCTTACAGGCAGCCGTCTCGAGTCAGACCATATTTCATGCATTGCGCCTAATATTTGCAACCGCCTTCTTGACTGGGATACTGCAACTTACTAAAACTAAAATAAATCAGATGGACGAAATGTAAGAAACATGTTGTGGAATTTCAGGTATCAGAATTGGCTAGTACCGTTGTTTAGACATAGATTTACGTATAGAGTTAGTTGATCGGAGTGTATTTGTGATGCTGCCCAAGTACAACAAGTGCGTTCAATTTTTCAGTAGCGCTATTCAACTTTTGGTAAATCAATAAATTAAATGCAGGCACAGCCCGTCAGCCTCAAGTCCTTGGCGCACCTGAACAGGAAACATCAAACTGCGCTTCCAAGGCGAAAAAATCCACCAGTAAGCGTTGCCCCTTAACCCATGGGCGTCCCATGGCGATCAAGATCTGTGGTTCACAAACCCACGTGCCCCCTGCAGAAAAAGCGACAAAATGGAGAGATATTATTCATACGGGCATTTTTAGTCAAGGGGCACGGCCTAGAATCGATTTATTTCGCCTGATCTAGTTTGTCAGGCAACCTGCGCCTTACAAGAAACAGGCCTTAGTCAAGTCTATTTTTTAACGACCTTCCCAAAACACCATCGCCCAACCAACCAGCTGCTGTTTACAGAAAAATTGATCAGGTCTGCTTACTTTGCTACCACAGCTCAAACTTGATTGATTCAAGCGTATGATTCGCTGAATAGCAGCAGCGGAAAAATTGCACGTCTTACACCGAACGGATGCATGATGGTGTTGAAGCCATGTACCGGGCTCGCCGGGCCATGGCCTGTACTATACGAAGTGCAATATCCAAGGGTTGGCGATACCCGAAAAAGCTTTTGTTATCGATCGTGATGATGAATCAAAAGCAGCCAGAAACGGCAGAGAGCACCGAGTATATATAGAGCGGGCGATCTCTTCCTTCTTTGACTCAATCATCTCACACTTCACTTGCAATAACAACTCAGTTCGAGACTCTACAACTCAACATCTTTGAAATTTTAAACCCAAGTTTTTATAAAGAAACTAAAAACTCTTCAAAATGTTCGCCAAGTCCGTCGTTGTTATTCTGGCCGCTGCTGCCAGCGTTGTCAGCGCTCTCCCCAGCTCCGAGCCTCCTTCTCGTGTCGAGTCTGCTCCCCGAGCCAAGCGAACCACGTGAGTTTTGTAGATGAGAGATGAGTAGATGCCTTCGGATGGCTAACATTCCATCATTAGTCACTCCGGTCTTGCTACCGTTTACGACCAGTTCGGCCAAGCTGGATCTTGCGGCCAAGTGCACGGTGATGGCGAGTTCATTGGCGCCCTTACTCCCACCTGGCAGGGCCCTTCATGGCCCCCCAAGTACTGTGGCCGCAAGGTTTTCATCACCAACACTGGCAGCGGTGATGGTGTTGGCGGCAAGGGCAACAGCGTCACCATCACTGTTGCGGATACCTGCCCTGGCTGCCCTTCCGCTGACAGCATTGATCTGTCTCGTGGAGCTTTCAGCTCGCTCACCAACGGTGCTAACACTGGAAACGTCAACATTGACTGGTAAGTATCTGCGCATTCTAGTTCCATATATTAGTACTGACCAGATATAGGCACTTCTGCAACACCAACGGCCAGTGCTAAATGTCCACCACGAAGCATACCAGCTGGATCAGCATGATTGATCTGTATATATTTGCTCGACTTCGATTCTCTCTATATATTGATGTACATACTCGTTCAATGACCTCATGCACATAGTTGAATATTGATGAATATAAATCAACTTCGTATACCCGCTTATGCGTCTTATGTGATCTTTTACAAACTTGGCACGGCTTCGCAGGAAGCGCAGGCGTAGAATTACCATGATGGTATATATCACAAGCAGCAATACATTGTATGTCTGTTGGTTATGCCAGTGTTATGGTGTAATCGTAGAATTCACCAAGACGTGAACGCAGTAGACTTCGATAGAAAATTAACGTCTATGCCTTTCAATAGTTAGGATTCCTTTGATAACTGCTACTGGTCTATATGCACTTCGAAATACGTTTTCATGGACTGCATGTCGACAAACAATAAACGAAGAAGCGGTAGTTCATATAATAAGCATCATAATATGTTTAGCAGAAATGCCCAAGCTCACGAGCGTTTAATTTTATTTAAGTCGATTCTCTGCGCGTTCATGACCTGCTAAAGTTACCGCTAATCGCACGCCAAACTCCCCTATATGCCTTGGCAATCGCATGTCGTCCATCATACAGAGGATATATGACCACCGCGAAGAATGCTAGAAATTGCCATATGATAGCAACCGTCGTCCAGCCTGAAAAGAAGGATTTGGTGAAGATGTAATTCCGGTATAATGGCATTGGCCATGCGACAAAAGTGACGAGAACGACTACGACGAAGAAGATCCATGCTATGCGGTACCAGCGATGCAGTTCTTGTAACGTCGCCTCGTCAAACGGATGTTGCACATTATCAAGGTCGAGTATGCTTGGATCGCTATTGATCGACACGCTCAAATTACCTTTTCCTCCAATGTCGAGAGTCTTTGCATTCTCTGGGTCGGAAGCTGTAACTGATATATTCTCGCTTGGTGAATCTGGGGTCTCGATTCCATGGTTATTTGACTCGCTGGGTACTTTATCAGTTATAGCATCATTTTCCTTATTGCTAGAAGGTGATGTGTCAGGTCCATCGAGCTTTGGTGCTTCTGCAAGCTCAATGAGCAAGAATCGTCGCCAATCAAATGTCTCTGGCTTGTAAAGAGAAAGTACAACCGAGTAAAGGGCAGGAGAGAAGAAGGACGCAATAGCTCCATACAAAGCAGGGAAACTGGCCTCCGTGGTTGCGATATTGATAGTACCGTAGAGCGACTTGGCTGTAGCTAACCAGACACTGAGGCCCGTGAGGAACCCGAGAATTGGCGATACGACGGCCGCTAGTCTCGTCTGCTTCGACCATGCAAGGGTCAGACCAAGGGGAATGATACCGGGGCAGGAGAGGATTGGCCTGAAGTAGCCGATCCATGTCATGTCAGCTCCACCATAGTTGAGTGCCAATGAGATGCCGGTAATGAAAATGGCATGGAAGACAACGGCAAGGTGGCTGACTCTCATAATCTTCTTGTCCGATGCCTTGGGGTCGATGTATGTTTTATAAACGTCGAATGATAGAATGCTGCTGACGGCAATCATGGAAGAAGAGACGGTGCTAGTCAGAGCCATGAATAGGAGAACAAAGAATGCCACGATTCCCTTGTCACCAATAAGAGCCTTGATAGTGTACGGCATCACCAAGCCTGCATTGACAAGATCTGGAGAGAACTCGCCGGGGTATGTCGGGAAAATTGGAGTGTTGTGAATGGCCCTTGCAGTGAGACCAATGACGGTGCCAAGACCCCAGGGAATCCCGAATATAGCAACTGCAGCAAGATTATAGCCAGGCACAGTAGCTTTGACCTCAGTAGCAAATGACTTTTGCCAGAATGCCGTATCCTGAGGCGCGGAGAAAGGAAATTAGTCAAAGTGCGCATGAGGAGAATTCGGAACGAAAATTTATTCTTACCATGACCACGAGGGCGAGGTTTCCGAACTTGAGAATCAGCCCCCAGATGATTGCGTCAATGGACTTCATCGTGAGCAGAGATCCCTCGTAATTTCCTGCAATAATATTTTCCGAGGCCGTCGCCATGACCTTGTCATACAAACCTCCCAGGCCTCCCACTGCATCGTGAGTCAACGTTGTCAGGGTGAAGTAAATAATTAGGATCAAGGCAATAGCTGTGTGAAGGTAGTCTGTCAAAAAGGTCGCCTTAAGTCCACCCACTGCAGTATACAAGACCACTAACATATTCATGTTAATCGATGTATTCCATTTTACTCCGATTTATATGTAGATTAGGGACGCTTACCTCCGAGAGGAATGAGAATGGTAGCTGCAACGAAATGCATGCCGGAAACACCATAGATCAGTTGCGACCCAGTTAAGATCATGGATGCGCATCCAAAGACATTGTTTGTGATATTCAAGACAATGAATACAAGGTGACCAAGTTTGCCATAGCGCATACGGATAATTTCCAACGATGTGTGAGCATACGGCACGCGAATCTTGGCCAACACGCCAAGAGCTGCCATCAAAGCGATCTGAAAGCACAGTCCAGTGGCCCACCACTATAAAACATCATGCGTTAGCTATAATGAGTTGAAACTGACTATGGAAAGGTCAAAGCATAAAAGATGACTTACAAAAGGAACAGCCATTCCGAATTTGTAACAGAATGCAGCTGAAAATACTGTTTCGTTAATCCACATCCATGACGAGAACACTGCCGCTGCTGTTAATCCTGTGCCCACTGATCTATTGGCGACCATGAACATTTCTGAAGTCGACGAATCTTCTGACAGGTAGGCTCTCTGTATTTTGATGGCGGCCAGAATGACGCCGCAAAAGCCAACTCCCAGACCTATCAGGAGGCCATATGCGGTTCCTTGAGGGATCACAGGCACCCCGGATACGCCCAATTGGACCGACATGATGATGGTCAGATGCAGCGGATATTTTAGAGCCGCAATGAAAGGATGTCTCTCAAGTAATGGGTAAGCTGTTGAGACTTTCAAACAGACAAACGAGGCAAGTGTACCCAAGAGACGTTTTAACTACCGTCCATCGACCATTGCCAGCTTCTTATCTCACACTTGTAGATCTTACTATCTTGAGTTTGTACCTCTTCGGGGAATCGTGGAACCACAGGCCCATAAACCCAGCACGTTGCATTGGGAAGTAATGACGTTATTTTGCTTTCTCAACTGGCTTGTACTTGTACATATGATCCGTAATAACACAGAAGCCTCTCATAATATCACCCGCAAGCGTGGTGCTGCGATGAAGCACCGTAGGGCCTCTCTAACGGCCGACAAACGGACTTCGGTAGTTGCCCGTAGATGATGTTTGCCGACGATTGATCAAAAAACAATCCGGCTAAATGGGATGAAGTTTGCAGTCGATTTTAATCAGACCTTTTCACTGGAAAGTGATGGTTCCAAGTATGCGAGATCGGCCGTTGATGTGAGATCATGGTGGGAATTGCGTGCTATGCGCGTAGTGTGACGACTTTAGCGGCACATCAACCATACTTTTGCTCCATGTAAAAATATTAGCGAGATATTACTTATTAGTACAATCAATCTACTATGGTTCAATACAACCAATGAGGTGATTCGAGTAGTTGAGATATCTTTATCGGGGTATTTAGCATATGCCATGTCTACTTCTAATCCAAAAACCTTCTGATCTTAAATGAACTACCTAGTGCTGCATTCTAGCTCTGCTATAGTATACGCATCGCAAAGTGGTAATCGTCTATTCTAAAGAGATTGTCGTAAAGATATTGTTGTACAAAGCATTGAAGCAACAATGGGCGACAACATACCAGCCGCGGCCGATGGCTTACAAGCCAAAGGCAAGAAACAAATCATCTTGAACGCATTCGTCATGAATACTCCAGGCCACTTATCTCCTGGATTCTGGCGACATCCCAACAACAAAACGGACCAGTACACAAAACTGTCATTCTGGACAGACCTTGCGCAACTCTTGGATAAAGCACAGTTTCACGCCATGTTCATCGCAGATACTCTGGGGCCATACGATGTATACAAGGGGCCTGCAAACGTCGTGCCCGCATTGGCGTCTGGCGCTCAGTATCCAGTCAACGACCCATTGTACCTTGTTCCTGCAATGGCAGCCGTGACAAAAAACCTGATTTTTGGCGTTACAGCCAGCTTGACCTATGAGAAGCCTTATGCACTTGCTCGACGTCTGTCTACCGTAGACCATTTGAGCGAGGGCCGTGTTGCTTGGAACATTGTCACATCATATCTCGACAGCGCAGCTCGCAACCACGGGCTCAAGGAGCAAATCCCTCATGATGAGAGATACGCCATTGCTCACGAGTACATGGAAGTGCTCTATAAACTGTGGGAAGGGAGTTTCCGGGATGACGCAGTTCTTCGAGACCGCGAAAGCGGCACATACATTGCAAGCGACGGCGTTGTTCAGATACTGCACAAGGGCAAATATTTCGAGGTGCCCGGGCCCCATTTCTGCGAGCCGTCTCCGCAGCGCACTCCATTCCTTTTCCAAGCAGGCGTGTCGGAGGCAGGCAATGGTTTCGGAGGAAAGCATGGAGAGGCCATCTTTGTTGGTGGCCAGACGCCAGAGGGCGTAAGAAAGACTGTCGATAACATACGAGATGTAGCACGAAAGGAAGGGCGGAATCCAGACCATATCAAGGTCATTGTTGGTATGCTCATCATCGTTGCTGCAACAGACGAAGAGGCTCAGGCCAAACGGGAAAGCTATCTCCAGTACGCCGACCAAGAAGGCGCTTTAGCTCTATTCGGTGGATGGACTGGAGTCGATCTTTCTGGCTACTCTGACGATGAAGATTTTCGCTTCACAGAGTCTCCAAGATTGCAGTCCATTGTCAGAAGATGGTCAGACACTGTCCCAGGTACCGACAACCTTCCATGGACAAAGAGAAGAATTGTGGAATATCTCAGCCTAGGCGGCCTTGGGGCAAAGGCAATCGGAAGCCCAACAACAGTAGCGGATGAGCTGGAGAGGTGGATTGAGATATCCGGAGTAGATGGATTCAATCTGGCTCACGTTACAAATCCGGGCAGTTTCGAGGATATCATCGAGTTTCTTCTTCCTGAGCTGAGGAAGCGAGGCGTATTCCGGAGCGATGTTGAGAAAGAGGGCGCAACGGCAAGAGAAGTGTTCATTGGGTCGAAGAGGCTGCCAGAGGATCATCCGGGCAGCCAGTACAAGTGGCAAGCCGGCGAGGCTCTGCCAAAATATCGTCAGGGAGAAGACGGAAAGACGGCTAGCGACTAATAGAATATCCGTAATAGAAGCGCTGCCTATGCGCCATGATCTATATATTTGTGTGTATTTTTAGGTCGCTTGAGCCATTGATGTATCAGAGTATTATCAGGACATTAATAGGGCCCCTTCGAATAAATTTAATGCTCAGTTAATCGCATGTAGTCAATGACTGTCGAAGTAGTCGCAATGCATTTTGGTATGAAGGCACATTGGAGAAAATATTTGCCTGAGAGAAAGTCTCCAAAAACTCATATAGAAACGTCTTGTCGGATATGTCTTCCTGCGTGTTCGCAGCCAGCGCGAGTGTCAACGCACAGCTGAGCGTGACGTGAACAAAAACCCACGATCTCCGAATTGGACAATCGAGCCTGAGTAGTTCCAGATAAGTTCGAAGAACAGAGCGGCAGCATTCCAGATGGGTGTCTGTGAGCTCTTTGCTGTACTCATCGCCATACGAGAGCATGACTGGACGGTAGAGACAGAGTACCACTGAATCCACGAATTCGCGGAAGAAATGATGCTGAATGCAATCGTCACGATTTCTGCATATCGCGGCATTCTGAAGATGTGGAGCGGATCGCGCGACAATTTGGTCAACTACCTTTTTGAAATCGCGAATCTCAAGGAGGGAGAGCTGCCGTTTTGAGAACTTGGCCCTATTAGTAGCTTGGCTAATCTTATTAGCCGTTGTGAAGAGGTGATTGCAGCTGTGCGTGAAAGGATACTGTCGAGATGACTCTTGGGCTGGTATATCGAGTGAGATATCATCCATGACCGTGATACAAGACGGCCGCCCGTACCAAAGAGAGACCAGCGTATCTTGCCATATCAGGGATCGCCTGGCCAGTTGTTAATCAAAAGCAATAATAAGCTAACTGTTTGTGCTTATAAACAAGCATACATTTACCACTTACCAGATGTAATAATTTACGGTCGCCTCGCCTTTCTGTTCTATGGCAACATCGTCGGGGTCTGGAGAACAATGAAGGCCGAGTGTTTGCGCAAGGCGTATAGTCAGCCCTGAAGTACATTCACGGAACAATTAGCACTGTATTCTTAATGCGCCAAGTCATATTCTATCAAAAATATTCACCTAAAATGGACCAAGAAGCCCCGGCATTTGCCTGGTTCTGTAAAAAGTTGACGAGCAAGATGAGCGCCTGGATAGTATGGGTATCAGGAAAAGAGATAAAGTTATTCAGTCGCAAGCACTGCATTGAGCAGCATGCTATGAGTGTCGATGTTTGTCAGAATCATTGGTTTGCAAAATGACCTTCTCAGAGAAATCAAGACCTACCAAAGACGCCGGCTTTGAGCAGCTCAGATTCTTGTTCATAGCGAAGCTGCGCACTACATGCGAGAATGCTGAATAGTAATCCGAACCAGGTCAAGGTGCATTCAGCTGGTGGGGTTTGCAAGGCTGCATCGGGATTATTTCTTCTATCGCAAAGAAAACGAGACAATGCGGCTTCAAATTGAAGGAAATTGATAGTGAATGGCAAGATACGGAATAGCGATGTCTGGAAGTACTGAACGTAACTTTCTGTGTGTTAGTTGGAAGGCACTCAGACGGAGAGATGTTGATATTAGGACTCACCTCTTTATCTGCTCATCTTCGGGTAAAGCTTTATAAATTACTTCAGGGCCGTCTTCCGGTTTCCACAGATTGGCAAATGGTATCAAAGCACCGGAATCCTGAAGACACAAAAGTTCGAAAATGGTTTGCGGATTCGTCGAGGGCTTGAAAGCAGCTACCGGCGGGCTACTTTGGCCCTGAAGCTGCTGAAGAGAGCTGAGATGTTGAAACGTCGTGAGAAGACTGGGAAGAGACTCCGGGCCTAGATGAACTTTGGTGTTATACGGGGCAATTGGGTTCACATAAAGTCCTTGAGATATGTCATTGGCAAGGCCGGCGGCCGTAGCATCGCTTTCGCTTGTAGCAGATGAGCCCGGATTAGAGACGTTACTAGCTCTAGGCGGGTGACTGACATCCGGGGCTAGAGTATAATTGCAAAGGTCGGGATGTCCGCGGATGGTGCAGCTATCACAAGGCTGGCCAAAGTCGCACTTGACTTTGCGGCGTCTGCACGGATAACACGCCTTTGCCGCTCGGAACCTTCGCCGCTTGGTGATTTTCAAGTCATATTCATGGGTAGAGAGCTTCGGCGCCTTGTCTTGGGACATTGACACGGTTCAGTGTTCTGTTAGCGATGGTGACGAATGCTTAAATTCGGCGCGTTCCAGTTACTACATTTGTAGACTGTTGTCATCCTCTAGTTTGCATCCGCGTTGAAGCCTTGTGCGAGTTCAGGACTGAGTTCCTGCTTAGCAAACAATGGCAGATAGGACAAATATTTCCCGCATAGTCCATACTAAATGACAACTTAGGTAGTAGTTCTATTCATTGCTAAGTAGTCATGCTTGTTATCGAGCAACGAGTAGGTAAATCGCAGCCTATCAGGAGGCGTGAAACTGCCGATGCCGATGCCGCAAAGCACCGCACCGCACAACGCACCGCACAAAGCACCGCACATGATCTGTCATGTCTCTTATTAATCACGACTCTAGCTTACTACTTGAGTGGATCGACCAAACACGGTGGCTGATGCCCTATCCACACATGCCCTATCTACAAATGCCCAAAGTAGCAGGCGTTGTGTAACGCTCAAAACAAGGCATAGAACGATTTGCGGCAGATCTTTTTCCGAGTCCTATAGCTCACGGCAGATAGGTCTATACGCCAGGACTTTAGCACGCGATAGGAAATAGAGTAACAGTGTCTCATGCCGAAGATGCAGGTAGGCGGAGGAGTGTCAGAAACAGAGATTGATAACTCAATGAGCATTAGGTATGTGGAGACGTAGAAAATATGAATAGTTTACTCCTAATCGTAGCTACCAAGGGGTGTTGAGGCTAAACTTTCTACAAATGTCTGGTCTCTTTGTTCGCAATTCCACGGCAGCCTCATCGTGCACCGCCACTATCCAGCCACATATGGTGGGGTTACTGTGGCTGGTCCCTCAGCCTTGCGCAGCTCCAGTCCTGCACCCAACCAAAGCAGCCCCTCCAAGCCATTCAACGATCCTCATCCCGTTTGCTGCTCTGAAGCCCAAAGGCGATCAAGAACGTGTGGTTGAGAAACATCAGCGCCACACTCCTCATGAATCGCCAAAGACCGCGCCTTAAGAACGGAGTCGATCTCCAGCTTCAATCAGCCTTTCACGATGGCAACTGGCCGGTCGTGATCCGCCTTGCCGAGAAGCGAGCCAAGCTCTCAAACGACCAGTACTACGAGGTGAGCTTCACAACTCATGGATTCAAATAATTTCAGAGACATGGCAATGTGATGAGGCTAACTGGGCATCTTGTTACTGCAGTGTCTCAAAATATGCGCCGAGAGCCAGCTTGATGATCCCAGCACCAAGTTTGCTGCCGTTGCCGCTGTCTGGAAGCATGTCAAGGACGGCAGCACCATCAAGGATGTAGAGGCAATTGAGCTGATGGAGTGGGCCACGACAAACTTGATTGATCCGGATGACTTTGCCGAGACTCTTGGGCCGCTGAGAGTGCGCGCCGTGAAGGCTTCGCCAAAGGACAAGTATGCTGCTACACGCTGTCTGGAATCGTGCTTGCTTCACTGGGATTTGGCCAGTGCTCAACAGGTAAACACGCCATGGTATTCCATATCTCTTGATATCCGGTCGCTCACAAGATATAGATTGCGGCCATCATCGATCGCTCGTTCCCGCAGGAGAGGGACTGGCTATTCTGGAATATTGTCATCACGCATCTTCTTTCTGTGAGTATCGTAACTCAGGCCACTGCTCATGTGTGCCTCTCCAACGCTGCAGTTGCTAATGTTGGCATAGACAAGTCCACTGACCACGCCTGACAAAAGGAAGCTGTACGGTACTTTGGCTCAAAAGCAGATCGAAAGAGCTGCTCAAGCTGCGGAACAGGTATTACACTCTTCAAAGACAATCCAGTCCATTGCAATACTAAAAACCGGCTCTCTTCCTAGGCTCAAGACTCGAACGAGGCATCTAACAAAGCCCCGTCTAGGCGTGTGAAGACGGAAGAAGAGGTTCTACTGCTTTACGACATTGTTGAGACACACGGCACTCCCCAAGACTTCCGCAAGCTCATCTCTAGCCCTATTTTCTCTCCAGTTGTTCAGTTTCGCCAAGGTCGAAAGGAGGTCGTAATGCGTGCCATTGCCAAATTAAGTCGAGATGGTGACTGGCCGGCGGTGTTTAACCTCTGCAACGACTGTCTCTCCGACTGCGACGCTGATGGACAACTGACGCTCCTTGCATCTGACATTGCCATGTGGCGGCATCTGATTACTGCTGCTAGCCATGTGAAAGACACAAATCCAGAGTGAGTGATGCTCCACATGCTTATCCGGACACTGCCTAGAAGTCTACTAAAATCAATATGCTAGCTCTGCGAACGTTGTCCAAAAGCTGCTGGCAAAGCTACTATCATCTAGCCACATGCGGCCCATGTACCGGCGCAACATCTTACTAGCCAGAGTTTTGGCAGTATTCAGCCTTGGCCCGAGTGATGAATCTGACTTGACAGATGGCCAGCCTTCTTCACTACGTCTTCGAGAGCTGATGCGCTACATTGATGATCAGTATCTTAGCCCGGCATGCTTCAGTGATGTGAAGACTCTAATGGAAAGCCTCGATGCTGCCGGACTCAAGTATCTGGCCTTTGATCATTTGCCCAAGTTGGCAGAAGTTGACTCAAACGATTTCAAGGCAGCTAGCACGCGCCTACTGGCTCATAAAACGCAGTATCTGCTATTGACGCACCGAACGACAAAGCATCGCGACCAAAACCAACAGCTCAAATGCACAGTTTGTGGTTCTGCAGTGGAGTCAACGCTATGCCAACCATGCCTGTCTCAGCTATCAGAGGCTTGTGTAACCTTTTACAGCTCAATCACAAAATCTGAGGGTGAAAAAACCAAGATCAACGCCGAGATTTTGCCAGAGCTCGCAATATTGGTTGCATTTTGCAGCTTAAACTTGGCTTTCGGCGATGGCCAAGCTGGACAGCTGCTAAAGCCACAAGAAACGCGCCATCTCGTCCGTGCTCTTCTCTTGCTCGACGACCAGCTCGCTCAGAATTCAGGTCATAGCCAGCTGTCTCTTGTCCTGACGCAACTACACATACGCCTTGGTTCAGGCGCTAGAGCCAGTGACATTTGGGATGTTATTGGTGTCAAGCGTACCATAATCGACTCGCTCGGCCCCATCTTCTATGATCGCTTATCGACGATCTCCCCTGCTCTATTGTCAACTTACGACAGCTGGGGCAGCCATCTTATGGATCTTTTGCAATCGCACTACGTGAATTCATTGAAGCTAAGGATGCATCAACGCTTGATAGACGCTTTTGAATCAGGGAGCTACGGCAGCGTTATAGGAATTCCGCAGTACATCGAAAGCCTTAGATCGAGCGGTACAAGAGCAATGAGTCTAGTGGAAGCGCGAAGAATCGAGAGATTCCTAGGACAGCCCTCACGCGAGCTAGAATCAGACCCCCGATTCTGTAAGATTTCCAACCGGTGAATCTGATTTTAGAATTGAGCTAATGATGAGACAGATGAGGTGAACGATGATACGAATCTCACGCAGACTGTTGACTACGGATCATTTCCATCCTGGAACAGCAGTACGATCCAGCCAATGCACCTCAACCTTCGACTTGGACCGGCCCCGTCAGTAAGTCAAACTTCAACTACTTTTCTCTAGATATGCATTTGTACTGACTATATGAAACTCGCAGAACCGCCGGTGCCATCTGTCCATGTTAGCCGAAGCGTTCCACGAGCTACTGACTTACAAATCTCCAGCTAGCTACAAGGCCTCAGCGGGGAGCTCGGAATACGACCACATCTTCATCACTGAAACATTGGCCCGCCTTAGTAACTCTTTCCCCAGGTTTTTGGCTGGTCCAGATGATGAGATGACTCAGCCAGAGCTCTGCTATTTTGAGACCATTAGCCTGCTCTGCACTCTCTTGTCTCTGTGCATCGATTTCGATCGGTCTTCCGATATCGCCGATGCGTTACATCAGATAACGGATGTCTTGAGTTTGTCTCTTGAGAACCAACGAAGCCAGATACTACACAGTGAGAAACCCTCGATTGAGCGAACGCTTACAATGCTTGGGTCAATGCACAACATTGCAATGCTTCGAGATACAACGGCGGCAATCAAGCTAGCCGCTCAATGGATCTTGAACCACAACGAGAAAGAAAAAGCACGAGATAGGTCGGGAAGGTCTAGCCTTCCCAAGGAACTGGCGGCAAAGATTAAAGATCTGCAGACGGCAGCCGAAAAGAGCATTAAAGAGGGCCAGGCATGGATAGCAGAGCTCAAAACGGAGACCATGTCCCGAGACTTTGAGCCCCAGCTGAAGAAATGGGTATTAGAAGGCGAGGGTGCAATCAAGAGCATCCTCACGATGGACTCGCTGCCTGGGCTGATTGATAGCTGGCAGTTGAACGTCAAGGGATGGCTGCAGGTCAAGTGGCCATAGATGTACATTTGGCGGGGTGGAGCGGATGATGATGCTACGAGATACATAGATGATGCGTCGATACATAGATGATGCGTCGATAACGGGCCAGTGCAAGCATATATGCCTTCCCGAGTTCCATAGATTTTTCTAGAGCAACCTTTACAGGGTTTTCTGCCTTTTTCTGTGGATAGAGGCTTGGAAACGCCCAGGCATACCAACGCAAACAAGCCATCTCAAAGAGACATGGATTCGCAACGACAATGTGCTCTTGAGATTGGACAACCCCAGAAACCTCCATACAACAGCCACCAAAATTATCAATCGGCAAAAGGAGAAAAGTCGCCAAGTGCAATAAACGTCTTGGGCCCCATGAAACAGGCTTCGCCATTGGATGTGGAGTGAACATCGCAATCGCGGCGGGTCCCCCTATTCGCTGTGCCTTGAATGATTGCGCGTACATGCACGTCACCGCCGGTGTTTTTTTCTTTCAACTTGCGACTCTACAGTTGAGGTTCTTGACGATAGGGCCCATTACCGGTACAAACGGCAACTTTGTTACCCACTTATCTAAGAATAAGCAAGGCCTTGTCGCTGCGATTCCGCGTACAGAGTTGAAGGTTTTACGCTGAAACAGTGGCCCGCACGCGACCGATCATTACAACAGCGCTCCAGATATCAAATCTACGGGCCAGCAACAACCACAACACCCAGCCAGGATCAACTCTTTTCCCGGCCTCGCCCTCCCTTTTCTGTTCCTCTTGGCTTCACTGCCCGTTATGACTGTCCCAATTTTATCCCACAAATTGGCGATATCTTGGCAGCGCCAAGCGCTCGGCTAAGACGGCTCTGCTCCTCCCAGCACGCGCGTCCATCTCGGCTTGTGGGAAACCCATACTTGGCTGCATTGCTGCTAGGCGGCTTCATGGCCTGTATCATCTTGTTTGTGGCCTCCTAGTGGAGGGCATCTTGCGTTAGCGGTAGCCGATGGCATCTAATTTGCAGCTGAGATGCTCCGACTTGCGTTGACAGCGCGCGACGTCAGGTCGGCGCATCCCTGGGGCGTCTCCCCTGACCTGCAAGGAGCCGATGAAGGTATAACGTCTGGTTCTGCTGTGATGGATAATTGTTACTTTTCGATTCTATGGAGCAGAATTGCTTCGAAAACAACTGCAGAACAAAAGAAGAAGTTATACTTGGACGACGAAACCAGCCCGTGTTCGAACAAAGATCATGAATGGTAGATGATCCATTATGCTTATTAGACGCTGCCACTCGCCAGTCTCAAATAGGAGTCTTACGGTCATCATCATTGTGATTACGGTATTTCTTCTGACTCTCCTAGCTAAGAAGGAACATAGCAGCGGGACAAGGCAATATGAGCTGCCCTTTGGCTTGGGCATTGCAATCTCAGCACAGGACGGTTTTCAAGCAGTCAAATCATGTCCCTCAGATCTGGATCATCTGAGGCGAAAGCAGTATGGGTTGACTCGCAACGTCGTCTTTCAGAAACGCTGTTTTCGTGGCGTATATAGCAACGAGACTAGCCCGCGTGAGTCTGTCGCCGATGTCGACGAGCCACTACTAGGATCGAGAGCAGATATCCTAGATCTCGACGATGAATGCAGCATCATCTCTTCCTCAGGGTCCCTAGACCAGGCTATGTCATGCGAACCCATTCCGTTTCCGATATCAGAGCCATACCCAGCGGCCAATCTTTCCAACGTCATCTTTGGCGTTGCCACGACTCTCTCTCGTCTGCAAGACTCGGTTCCCCAGATTTCTCATTGGATGTCCGGAACGGGAGCTCTCTTGTTGGCCATTGTCGTTGACAAATCGGTTAGCGACAATAGTCTTGCCTCGTTGGAACAGCTGTATGACAGCCACGATATTAACTTAACGGCCATTCGACCGTGGAACTGCGCATTTGATGTCAACGAGCAGCACTTTGCCATCATTCGAGACCTCCATGACTATTCAAGCCAAGAGACACAGTGGGCTGCCATCATTGACGACGACACATTCTTCCCCTCTCCCTATTCCATCACACAGCTCCTCGCATCCCACGATCCGACTGTGCCAGCCTACATCGGCGGCCTCACCGAAAGCCAAGGAGCAATAGACTACTTTGGCGTCATGGCTTACGGCGGTGCTGGCGTCTTCATGAGCATGCCACTAATACGCCAGCTGGACTCCCACGTCGAGGAATGTCTAGCCGCGAGCCTCACCAGAGAAGGAGACGGCCTGTTGAGCGGCTGCATATACAACCACACACAAACGGAATTCACCGCCGTCCCCGGCCTCTACCAACTCGACATGCGAGGCGACCTCAGCGGATTCTACGAATCGGGCGTCTTCCCCCTAAGCCTCCACCACTGGAAGTCGTGGCACCAGGCCCCCGTCGACAAGATGGCCAAGATTGCCGATTACTGTGGCGAATGTTTTTTGCAGCGGTGGCGCTTCAACGGCGACACCATCCTCGCCAACGGATACAGCATCAGCGTCTACGAGGGCGGCATCACCCAGCCCGAGCTGGATCTCATCGAAGGCACCTGGGAGGCAGCGAGGCAGTACGAGAGCACAATGGGCGCGATGAGAGACAGGGTGGAAGACAGCAAGAAGAAGAGCTACCGACTTATCGACGCTGAAGAGATTGATGGGAAACTGCGGCAGGTATTTGTGCATCATGGGGCTTCGGATTTGGATGGCGATGGCGAGATAGAGGCGATGGATGAGGTTGTGGAGCTTTGGTGGGAGTGGCCACAAGACGAGTATTGAAGCATGAAGTTTGTTTTTTGTTTATTTTTGTCTTGACACGCTTGATTGATGAACCGACAGACTGGGATATCAAGGACACTGGCAATGGGAGGTAGCGGGACGGAATGATTTGTATTTTCTGCATGGCGTTTACGGTCCCTCAGCTAAACATGTTGCAATATTCATAGTATTGAAATAACGAAACAAGATCCGGACAATTTTCGCCCTTTGCCTCGACGAATAAGCGGTCATGTCAAGTCATTGTACCAATATGAGTGCTTTCAACATGCATGGCACACTAGGCAGGACTAAGCAGTAGACATGAAAGATCCAGGTCTCCGAATAGCATCCCATTTGCGACGCCAGATGGTAAGAGTTGAGTCCCAACTTTGTAAGCGGAGGGCGTCGTAGAAGCACGACCTAGCAATTGTCCGAATGGGGTAAAAATTGTCTGCTGAAATCTTAGCGCAGAGGCGGCTGGATTGGCTGGATAAAAGTGCGGAGAGAGATCTGTGGAGATTGGTGGTGGCGTTTAAACTGTAGCGGTATTGCCTGTTTTTGGCAGAACTTGAGAGAAGAGTTGCATTCTATAGAGTTGCCGGCAAGGGTACAGACGAGGCTGCATTTCAACACCATACATGGGCTTTGGTGATTGTATGGGTGCATTGATACATCTCGGAGGAAGCATGCTTGAGAGTGTATAAAAGCCAACCGTGCGGCTATTGACAACTACATTCTTTGAGAAGCGGCTTTTTCTCATCACTTCTCACTTTTTTCATTTCTCCTTGCCAATTCTGAGCGCTCTTTGTCTGTTTGATCTCTTCCTAGTCGCAGCGGCGCTTGAAGATGGACAGGCTTCGGGAGATGTCTGTTGGCAGGCTGCTAGAGACGTTCACGTCTCACCCGCTCATGGCTCTGGGAGCTGCTGTGCTCTGTCTGAGTGTGGTATATACACTTGTAAGTATTATGTATGAGCCTTATAATCCATGAGATTCTTTACTAACCACTGCGTCAATGACAAGATGTCATCAAACCGTCATAATGTCCCTGTATCCAGCCCTCAACGGCCTGAAAAGCAGTCCAAAGATCCTCTCAAAATCGATCCGCTGAATGACTTGGACTGGAGGGCCGTTGAGCCTGCCAAGTACCGACCGTTCAAGCCCATTTACCACATCACCATGGGTAAGTTCTTCCAATAGCCTGGCTTATGCTGCTTATACGCCCCCCGTTACCTGCCTCGAGCAAGAGTCTATACTCCCAATGCCACCACTAACGAACCCCAATATCAGCACTCAAAGCAGACACCCCTTCAGAGCTCATCACCGTCGACACAGACTACCTCGACAGAGTCTCCCTCCGCCGCCAAATCATCTCCCAGCACGGCGCCTTAGTCCACGGCTGCCTCCCATCCGGCGTCGAAGCCGTCCGCGAGCTTTACCACTTCCTCCTCCACGACCATCTCCCAGCTCGCTTCCCAACCATGTTCCAGCTCCGAGATCAAGGCCGGCAATTCGAAAATCTCGTGACCGGCCAGACATTCCCCACGGACGTGCCGGACGATCCAGCAGCGGCCCTGCGGATTCTCTCCGAGACTGTCGAAGAGGACATGTTTCTGCTGGTTGGCGAGCCGGAGGGACACCGCGCAGTGGCTTTTCAGTGCTGCTTCCCGTCGGGATTTGATCCGTCGTCGAAAGTGGGCAAGTTGCTCAAGGAGATTCATGCGCCGGTGCCTTCGTATGACAAGATTGGGCCGAGCATGGAGAGATTCTTTGGCAAGATTGAGGTGGGCAAAAATGTGAAGCGAACAAATGTGAGTTATCTTTCTCTTTCTTCTGCCTTTCTTCTTATATTTATGTTTTCCATCTTAATTTGCTCTCAATTCTTCAGTTTATCTTCTACTAGGGCTGGGGCCGAGGCTGAGGCCCAGCAGAGAAGAGCTGAACATGATCAAGTGTTTGCACGTAGATTCGTCAATATTGAGCTTGGGCTAATCAACGTCTTGTGCAGTGGGGCATACAAACAGACGGAAACTTGTTTCACTACGAAAGACACGATGAACCGACTAGCGACGCTCCATTGGCAGCTGAAGCCGAGACAGACATGAGCCAGGTGAGAGCACTCTTTTCTTTTCTTTTTACTAGATGAACCCTTCAACGCTGTTGGTGGTGTTACCCTGTTATCACGCACAGGCATGTATGTGGCTGCAAATAATCTGTACCACCCACTACCTGTGCAGACTTACTATGCATCTAATAATAGCCGACTAACATGGAACATCATGTACTGATTTGCCTCCAGGCCTATGCCCGCATCGAGCTGCAGACTCTAAGCCGCCTACCCAAGACTCGGGCCGTCCTCTTCTCCTTCAAGACATATCTGTATTCGCTACGGCAACTCAAGGAGGAAGGGCTGGGTCCGCAGGTGGCAGATGCCATTGAGGGCCTCAAGACGGGCAACGCACCGGGCATGTGGAATTACAAGGGCGCGCCTCAGTGGGCAGAGCCGGTTTGCAGGTACCTGAGGGCATGATGCAAGAGGATGATGCATAGGTACCTTGTGAGACCAAATATACCATGTCAAGTCATGTCCTGTCTATATGTATGTTGTGATACATAGATTAGGAGAGATAAGTGCTGTGCCAAGTTAGTTTACAATTGCGCAAAAGATGCTCGACTTGCTTTTATATGGTCAGATAACAAATTACTCATTGTCGCCATTGTTTAGTATCGCTTTGCGAAACATGAGTGGATACAAGTCCTGGTTTGTTCGCGGCTAGTGCAAGTATACGAAGATATATCATTGAGCAAAGCAGCAGAAGCTAACTGCGCAAAGCAGATACACGGGCCTATTGGTGTCTATGCCGACGATATTATTCCGTGATTCAATAGCAAACTTATATTGTAGCAATGTAATTCCCTCACTCATTTTTATAAGAAAGCGCAGATTCCCCTCCTCAACATTAGTCTAGATCTCTAGATCCAAGTCACCTACACTCAAGATGAAGTCGTTTCTCCTTCTCGCCGCTCTCCCCCTGGCTCTCGCCGCACCGCGTCCCGTATTGCCCGTCGAGCTCGGGCCTCAACCTTACGGTCCTCCCAGCTCACCTGCGTCTTATGCCTCAGCCTCACCGAACTCACCTGCGTCCCATGTCGCGCCTAACCCGCCTGTGGTAACCGCAACGGTGACGACGACGCAATATGTGATTGTTGCCCAGCTTTCAGACACGACTTTTGTTTCCACAATTCACGATTACGAGACTGCCGTTCCAACTCTGGGGACTGCTGCTCCGTGGAATCAGGATCCGCCGGCTGTGACGACTGCTGATCCGCCGTGTACTGATCTGACGACTGTTGTTCTGACGACTGTTGTGCCATTGACGCCTAGTTCATCAGCTGCTAATTCGTCGACTGCTATTTCATCAGTTGTTACTTTGTCAACTGCTATTTCATCGGCTGTCACTTCATCAATTGTTACTTCGTCGGCTGCTACTTCGTCGACTGCCATTTCATCGGTCGTCCCTTCATCGGCTGTTACAACATCGGAAGATATTCGGTCGGTTATTGATTTAATGACCCTTGACGTAACAACGACTTATGTCTTGACGCCTGACACTACTGCTGCTGCTCCAACAACCACCAGTATCCCGACAACTGTTATTCCAACGGCGGCTCCTTTGACAACTCTTGTTGTAGTAACTGTCACAACGGATAGCCCCACAACGGAGGCTCCTACAACGACTGCTGCTCCAACGACTGATGACTCTGGTATTCACACGATTTGGCCATCATCTGGTTTGCCTTACTGGGAAGCTCCTTGGGTAGTCTGCTGGAATGATGTCAACTTTGTAAGTAGTGTTTCTTTCCTTATTTATTTTATCTCTCTCAATTCTGCTCTATCAATCTTCAAGATATGCTAATACGTTCACTAGGAAACTTGTTACTTGACCACCACTGAACCGATATATATTCTTGCAGGTCGCGGCGCAACTCAAACTGCCGCTGCTGAGGCGACTCAGACTGCAGTTACCGTAGCGCCTTGAATAGGTTACATGTACATACATGTATACTACTAGTAGTAGGTCTTTGAGCCCTAGGATTAACAACTTGGAGATGAGAAAGTACAGATAAATATATGTAGTTTTGATGATATATTTATTCTTAATATGGCTGTATATAAGGATAAACGTGATAATTTCACATCATCTTTTATCATCTAACTGCTTTCTTTCTACATTGCCATGCCATAAAGCTTCAATGCCTATCTGAATGCCCTATCTTGTAATGCTAAACCACATAATCTACGAAGCTGAGATCGAAACCGATGGAAATTAATGATATTTGATAGCAAACATCTCCATTAGATACCTAGTTCCCATTTAAATTGTGACTGTTTCACGCAATAAAAGCCGACGCACCGATACCTTTACAGAGTACATGTACAATGCCCGCTGCCAAAGATCTCGTGTGTTTCTATTTACATGTATTATTGTTTCACACGCCGCAAAATTAATTATAGCACATAGCTAGGCCTATGCACGCTGCAGCTAGTAGTACATGCACCTTGCATTCACCGAAGCCACCGCATGCACAACCACCTCAGCTTGTGCGACGCCGCTGCGTGAAGCAGCAGATGCTGGGCGGCGATTCGAGCAGCGCCGGCCTTTAGCGCTGCTGCAACAAGCAAATCCCCAGGACCTGGCGCCACGGCCGCTTAGCCGCTAATCAGCTCGCCTCGCCCGCTGCAGTCAACCATCAACCACCACGAGACGCTGGACATGCGCCCAAGCAGCGCTGCAGCTGACCCGGCCTGGCCCGACATCTTATAAATTATGCACCGCTCTCACTGCTGACTCTTTCTTTTCTCCCTCTCTCTCTCTATTTTTCTCTCTTTCAAATACCAGCTCTTCTTTTTCTTCTTCCTTCTCATTTGCTCTCCAGCACCCCTCTCGTCACGTCCATCGCTCTGCATTGGCTGCGCCCCCAGCAATCAATCCGATCTCAGCTACCGCCCAAGTGCCGGTGCCTTATCGCCCGGGCTCGCTAGCAGCAACCAAAAAACTCCCCTGTAAAAAAGGCCCGCCGCCCAATCACAGCGCCCTCCCCGTCCCTTCCAGAGGGCTGAAGTGCCGCTAGAATCGCCAGCCAGCGAGCCTCGTGATCCACCTTTATCCGTCGTCGCACGGGGAACGTCACCGCAACGTACCGACCCGAAAATCCGCCAACTGCGAAGCTTCAGAAACGGCCCAGACAAAATCTCTTTTTCCTTTCCCCCATCGATCCGGCATCAGCCTCGCGAGTTCGCCCCGACTTGCTGCCCCGTCCAGCTGCTGAACGTGCCGCTGCTGCGTCATCTGCGTCCTCTCCTCGACGAGTCATCCGATCAGCGACGAGCCGCCGGATTCAAAAAAAGACCAGACAGCCTTGGAGACCAGAGACAGAGACAGAGACACTATCCGACGCCCCAGACCAGATCCTCCCGCGCTCCATCGCAGGCTATGCTCTGAGGCCGCAGAGCTGCTGCGCGCTCCCGTCCTCCCCGTCATTTCTCCGCGAGCCTGACCTGTTGGCAGCTGCCTGCGTTTGCCGGGCTCTGAAGCTGCCTGTCCGTCCGTTGGCGTGTAGCGCGCCGATCCACCTCGTTTCGCGCGACAAACCCCGAATCTGCGGACGACGCAGCTCATCACGCGGCCAACATGAGTGTCCCATGTGCGTTTTTTTATCTTTGTCATCTCTTGCGTTTCTTGCGTTTCTTGCCTTGCTTTGATCCTCTTCCCAATCTGCTCATGTCTTTGTCTCTTCCCTTCCTTGAATCATCCACCCTGGCGAGCCAATGCCGGCGATTCGATGCGATGCGATTCGATGCAACCTGGCATCGGCGCCTTTCCTAGCCGGTGACGACGATGACTAAGATGGCGAGACAATGATGGCGATGGCAATGGCAATTCTATCACGACATGTGGCTGACAAAATCCTGCTCTTGCTCGCATCACAGTGTCTTCCGACGACAAGAAGCGCTACACCGCCCTCATTGATGACATTCTCTCCACCGCCGACCTCGAGACCATCTCGCGCAAAAAGGTCCGCCAGGCCTTGGAAGCTGCGCTGGGCGGCAAGGACCTGAGTGAACAAAAGGCAAGCATAACGCGCCAGGAGATGAAAGTCCACGTCTTGGCCTCCCAAAACTAACCCGCCGGGCGTGTTCTAGGATGCCATCAAGAAGCTTATAGAAGAACGCTTCGATGCCGTCTCTGGCGCTGATGCCGGAGATACTCCTCCCTCGCCCCTGCCCGACGCATCGAGTAACAAGCGGCCGGCCGCCAACGGCGCCTCCGACTACGACGATGCCTCCGCCTCTCCCGAGCCGGCCAAGAAGAAGGCCAAGCGGTCCTCGTCTATAGAAGATGCCGACGCCCGCCTGGCTGCCCAGCTCCAAGCGCAGGAAAACAGACTTGCAAGGAGCCGCACCACACGTGGCGGTGGGGACAAGGCGCGGATGGCAAAGAAGAAGAAGGCTCCCCGCAAGAAGAGCGCCAAGAAGGTCGGAGGTGATGACGACAGCGAGGTGGATGCCAGCGGAGACTCTGTCAAGAAGCGCAAAGCCGGCGGTGGTTTCCAGAAGCCCTTCAACCTGAGCGAGACCTTGTCAGCGCTGTGTGGTGAAACGCAGGTAAGGAAGAGCTGGCTTGACATGGATTCCAATGTCTGCTTGGAACATTTTGCTGACCGGTCATGACAACAGCTTTCCCGTCCTCAAGTCGTCAAGAAGCTGTGGGAGCACATCAAGGCCAACGATCTCCAAGATCCCGCAGACAAGCGCCAGATCCGCTGCGACGAGAAGATGCAGGCCGTGTTCAAGCAAGCCAAAGTCGACATGTTCCGAATGAACAAGGACATTGGAAGCCATCTCTACCCCGTTGAGGAATCTTAAAGGGGGGAGAAAGCTTTGAGAGGCGAGGGAAACAACAAGACACGTTTTACAAAAACAGCAACACCATCATCACTTATACCGGTAGCGGCCAAAGATGAAAGCAAACGACTTCATCGGTTTGCAGTGGGGTTTTTTCTTGGCGCCCGGCGGCGTATTTGGGGTTTATATAACAACGGCTGGGTTAATCATTGTTTTTCATTTTACTATCATCCGTACAGGAGGGAAAGAAAGAGGGATGGATGGAGGAGGGGGTATTCAGCGAAGAGTGGCTTTTGGAATTTTCTTTGGTGCAAATGGAAATTTGGGCGGTGGAGGGAATGGGCTAGGTCAGAGGGGACTCGACGGATTCATCTGGTGTTTTTAGCCGTGATATCTTTATCCTTGCTTTTATTTTTGGCGGTTTTCATTGGGAGAATCCTGAATAAAGAGGAAATAAATAAAGGGGAAATAGCTTACAGTTTCTAACCGGTTGTCTATGTGCCCCAGATTACATGTGCTGTTGGTTTAAATACGGTATAGTACATATGAAAAAAGATACGAAAGCAAGACAGTGGACTAAATACTAGAGTGAACAAAGCAGCAGTGTTGATATTGTTGATACTGCTTTACAGACGGGTCACAGAAATCGAGTAGCTACATCTTTGGCGGTATTTTGCTCTCGAAGCTAATAACCAGAAATAAAATAGAGTGAATCCAATTCAAGTCAATGATTCCATATGCAGACCACCCCTAAACAGGCCTTCTACCCTTACTGCTAGCACATTCTTTGTGCCATTGATGCTTTGATAATCCCCTATTCCACGGCCGGAATGCCCGCACAGGGCAAACGTCACCGCTTCACACAATCAAACGAAACACAAACAATCACAGCAATAATAATTAACCAAAACAGTCACATTCATCTAAAGTCGGCATTAAAAGGGCTGTGAATTTGCCCCCTATTTTGTTTCGTCCGCCGAATGACTCCCACCTACCCGGCATTTGGAATAAAAGCAGCCGCAGCTGAGTCATCAGGGCGGACTGCGCGGGAAAAAACACACATGCAGCCTTGCACGGTGAATTCCGCGCCGCTGATTGGCTGCCCCAGGCCTGTTTCGCTTTTTCCGCTCCCAGGGCTTAAAGCAGAGATAGCAAACGGCTTTGCCTCGTTTGGTCGGTACAAAACCCAGGCGGTAGCCCTGCTGGAGGGGTCCCCAGAACGAAAGAGGCCAAAAAGTCCGCCATCACCGGGGAAGAAGGCAGCGAAGACTTGTTTCTTCGCCATCATTCTTTAATTTTCTTTGATTCTGCCACACCATTTATTTTACCAAATCTATTCTTATTCTCTGCGTGTTACATACATTTGCCTCTGCATAGATTCTGCATCCGTGGAGTATCAGCCAGACGATAGCGATAGCTCTGCTCGTGGGGGCTCAGCTGCAACGTTTCTTCACCACCTACACCCAACCCGAACCCACCGAGGCTGCCTCTCCGGGAGAGCCTCAGCGCATCTGAACCTCCATCTCCAGCGTTTCATAATTTCCGAGTCAACCATGACGGCCCCAGAGGGAACAGCCCAGAACACCAGCCGTGGCGACGGCAGCTCTAGAGGACGAGGCCGTGGCGGCGGCGGAAGAGGAGGCGGCGGAGGAGGAGGAGCCAAACGAGGACGAGGCGGCCAGAATCGAGGACAGGGACGGGGCCAGAGAGGAACACAAGATGCTGCTGCTGATGCTGCTGCTGCCGCTGCTACGACATTGACGGGATCAGAGGCGGCGGCGGGCAAAGAGAACAAGGCCATGGCCGCCACCAGGCCCGACGTCGACGACGGCGACGACGATGCCGACGTCTGCTTCATCTGCGCCAACCCCGTGGCCCACCACTCGATTGCGCCCTGCAACCACAAGACGTGCCACATCTGCGGCCTGCGCATGCGGGCCCTGTACAAGACCAAGGACTGTGCCCACTGCCGAGTATGTCCGAGTCCTCCTGCTGTTCTCGCCAACACATGCTAACAATTGTTCCAGACACCAGCGTCCTATGTCATCTTCACCGACGACGCCGAGAAGCGCTTCGAAGACTACGCCGACACCGACTTCACCTCCACCGACACCAACATCGGCATCAAGTACACCAACGAGGACATCGTCGGCGACTCCGTCCTGCTGCTGCGCTACAACTGCCCCGACGGCTCCTGCGACTTTGCCGGCCTTGGCTGGGCCGACCTCCATCGCCACGTCAAGTCCGCCCATCACAAGCGCATGTGCGACCTCTGCACCCGCAACAAAAAGGTCTTCACCCACGAGCACGAGCTCTTTGGCGACAAGGAGCTGGAAAAGCACATGCGCCACGGCGACGACAAGCCCGGCGCCGCCGACCAGACGGGCTTCAAGGGCCACCCGCTGTGCGGCTTCTGCGGCCAGCGCTTCTACGACGACGACAAGCTGTTTGAGCACTGCCGCATGAAGCACGAGCGCTGCTTCATCTGCGACAGGCGAGACTCGAGGCAGCCCCACTACTTCCTCAACTACGAGGAGCTGGAGAGGCACTTCAAAAAGGACCACTTCCTGTGCGCGGACCGCGGGTGCATGGAGAAGAAGTTTGTCGTCTTCGAGTCTGAGCTGGACATGCAGGCGCACAACCTCGCCGAGCATGCCGGCAAGCATGTGGGCAGAGACGCCAGACTGGTCGACATCTCTGCTTTTGACATTCGCCAGTCCTATCAGCCGGAAAGACGCGGTGGCCAGCGCGAAGGACGAGCTCAGGGTCAGGGACGACGAGGGGGCAACAGGGGAAGAGACCCCAACGAGGACAGCATTCTGCCAACTGTGAGCTCGACCGTCCCCTTGCGAAGAGACGAGCTGGCATTTCAGCGCCAAATGGCCATTGCCTCGGCGCCCTCGGGCTCGAATCGAACATTCCGCGGCCAGCTATCGACTCCAACGCCCGCCACCGCTCCGGTAACTCCTACGCTCACTCCCTCGCCAGCTCAGGCATCTTCAGCAGCCAGAAATGCTGCAGCAACACCCCCTTCAAGGCCCCGAAGCGTCGGCCCAGGCGCCGGTCCCGCAGCCGCTACCAACGCCATCGAGGCCCTCAGCCTCACCGACACAGCCAACCTCTCGCCCGAAGAACGAGCCCGCCTCGTTCGCCATGGCAGCGTCATAGAGCGGGCTGCCAACCTCTTGGGCAACGACTCGCACAAGATGGCTGCGTTCCGGAGCCACATCTCGACATATCGCCAGGACGGCTTCACTGCTCCCCAGCTCGTCGAAGCCTTCTTCACCCTCTTCTCAAACGCCTCATCAAATGCCCTCGCAACTCTCGTGAGGGAGCTGGCAGATCTCTTTGAAGACAAGGGCAAAGCCGATGGCCTCCGAAAGGCCTGGCAGGATTGGCGGGCCATCAACGAGGACTACCCCAGCTTGCCGGGCCTCGGCGGCATGCAAGGGGCAACCTCCAGCTCCAGCGGCTGGGCGAGTGCCGCGGCTGCCAATACGGGATTCACCGTCGTGGCGCCCTCGCAGCGAAACTCGAGCAGGGTCTTGAAACTTAAGAATAGCACTCGACTCGGCGGCCCAGCGCCCACCGCTTCACGAGGCCCTCCCGGCTGGGTGGCAGCATCATCGTCATCGTCTTCTTCATCCAGGGCTCCTGCAGCATCAGCTTTTCCTTCTCTGCCCACGCCGTCTGCATCCTCATCGTCCCGCGCATCGACGACCGCCTCCGCACCCTCATGGACCGCCTCAGCATCATCATCATCCTCACAATCGCGCGGCCGAGGCCCAGCACCGCCAAACGTTCGTGCCGAGGACGCTTTCCCTTCACTTCCCGCAGCGCCGAAACCCCAAACCACCATTTTTGGCTACGGCGGAGGCCGCGGCGTGAGACGCGATTTTGGCCAGCGGGAATCCGACTTCCAATGGGGAACTGCCGCAGCTCCTCCTGCGGCTACGTCTTCTGCAGTGGAGGAAGCAGATGATGCTGAGACGGGAGGGAAAGGCAAGAAAGGGAAGAAGAATAAAAAGCAGATTCTGGTACAGTGGGGATAAAGGAATAAAAGAGAAAGAAACAAGACTTAAAAAGGGGTGGAGGACAAACTCCTTTCTGTTGTCTCACCACTGTTTCTTTAGTACGGAATAATGTTTGTTTCCAGATATCCATCCCTTACTTGTTGCTATTTTTGCTTTGATAAAAGGGATTGTGTGTGACGAATTGTGACGGATATTGATTGGCTAGGCTAGGCTAGGCATTGGATTTGGTTGCTTTCACTTCACGCTTGCATTGCAATGTGTGAAATGGGGTTATTGCAAAAAATACCGTTTTGTAAAAGCGAATTGTTGGAATAATCAACGTTAAATAAGAGAAAAATGAAACAATTGAAATCACACATAGAGAGGCGTGTTACAAGACCATGTATATGATATAGGTACCTATGCTGTTGCTGTTACATTGTGAGATGAAGAGTTGAAATGCTATTGAAACATGTAAAATAAAAAATACATCCAAATGATAGAAGAAAAGAAAAGAAACAAATCAAACGCTTTTATGCTGCCATACATCTTAACAAATGACAGGAATGCTTTCCACCATGCATGACACCCTCTCCCCCTATATTCTCTTCAACCCCCTCCTTTATAATCCAGCAGGCTCATAATACTCTCTAAATCGATCCGACGTCTCCCAATGCAGATTATACACCACATTCCAGCACGTAAGCAGCAACATCGGGAACTTGACCGTCCAGTACACAAGATACCCATCCGGCAAGGACCCCACGCTCCGCTTCAACGAGTCCGACATGTCCTCGTAGTGATTGCGCTTGTTCCTTAAGGCGCGCAGCAGATCGAGCAGTTTCGACCCCGTGTACTTGCGCTGCTTGCCCAGAGAATCGACAAACTCACGAGTGAGGAGCTTCAAAAAGTCGCCCCTGATTACGTCTGGAGCATGTCTCTCCAGCTCCATCAGCGCATCCGAAGGCGGATCTCGGATTTCTTTTTCAAGCGAGTCCGATACGTCACAGAGGAAAGCTAGGCGCTTCTTCGGGGACCAGAAGAAAGGATGGGCCATGACTTCTACAGAAGTAGGCCGCAGCTTGGGGTCGGCCTGCAACATGGACGCGATGAGATCCTTGGCTTCGTATGAGAAATCGCCTAGGGAATCCAGGGGATCGAGGTTGTAATTGCCCTTTCGAATGTTGACCTCGCGCATATATCTATCACCGCAGTCGAATGGATGTGATCCGTTTGTGAGCACATAGAAGAAGACGAGTCCCAGGGAGAAAATGTCAATGGCTCTCGTCGCGCGTCGGCCATTGAGGAGCGTAGGGTCGCCAACGAGAATGGTACCGGAGCCACTGTGCGTGCTTCCATCCTGAGCCGCGGGATTTTGTCCGTCGTCGTCGAGAAGAAGCTCGGGTGCACGCCACCCAGTCGTTCCAGCCGCTCGGCCTGTCGTTGCCCCAAAGGAAGATTGAGTACCATCTAGTTTCTTACACAGGCCAAAGTCAGAGACCAACAGCCTCGGTCTGCCGTCCTTGTCCAGGTTGACCAAGATGTTCTGAGGCTTGAGATCACGATGGACAATGCGCAGAGAGTGTAGATGAGTAATGCCGTTGGTGATCTGATATAGGACGGCAGGCAAATCTTTCTGTCCGGCATTGGCCAAGTTACGGAAGTGGTTGGGCTTCTCAATCACATCTGCAAGTGAGGCAGCGCAGCGCTCCAATGCAATGTACAGAAAATCTCCTCGCATCTCCTGTGAGTAATATCGGATAACTGTGAGTGTCTTGTTAGTATGTCTTTCATCTGCTTTTTCCCCGAAAATATCATGCTCACCATTAGGATGATCGTCACTCTCGCGCAGCAATCGAGTTTCCCGCGTGGCAATGTCGTAGAATTGGATAGTCATTCTCTTGACAGCAACGTCTCTGCCATCGAATCTGCCGGCAAAGACGACTGTGCCATTGCTGCCCATGCCAAGCTCTACGTCCGTGTCCACTTCAATGTTGCCGATGCTAATGATGGAGCCTGTGACAGCTTGCATGTCGTTGTAGATCATCCGGAAGTCAGGCTCAAGGCTGGGGCGATCGCCTAGCTTTTTGGCATTGCTGACGGCCTCATCCACGGTGCTGAGTGCTTCGTCGTCTCGTGATGGTTGCCCCTCAAGGCGGTTCTTTTTGTGCTTGACACCACCCCGACGACCCCTATGGGCTTTCTTTTTCTTCTCGGAAGCGGTACCATTGGCTGAGTCTTTTGCCTGTGCGTCTGCAGCATCTAGTTGCGTGGCCGTATCAATCACCTTGTCGTCTGACTTCTGGGCCGGCTCTAATGAGTTGGAAGAGTCTCTATCTCTATCCTTGTCTTTATCTTCATCCCCAGTTAAGTCTAATTTCGATTTAGAAATCGCTTCCACCTTTTGGTCGTCAAATTGGGACAGCCGAGCAGCAGATGATGAGGAGGACAATGATGCATCTTTTTCATCGCTCGATTCGTCTCCAGCACTAGGATCCAGGGTGAGGAATGGATATATATCTTTGAGACTGCCTTCGGTCCTGAATCGGTGATATGCTCGTCGGAGCTTCTTTTCATTGTATATCAACGAGCCCACGAAAAGGATAATTAGTACGGGGTTGCTGACAAAATCAATGACGCTGTTGGCGGCACGTTCCGGAAGAGCCTTGAACTTTGTGATGATGGTAGGCTCTTCAGAAACAGCAGGGGCTACCGCATGAGCGTTATTCGACCCATTCTCCAGGTCATCGGAAAAATCATCCAGAAGTCCAGGGGGCAGTGTCAGATGCTGATGTTGGTAGCCGCCAGTCCGCAATGAGTCCAAGAAGTGGGTGCCAACCAGCGCCTTGGAGATTTTGGAACGATTGATGGTATCAAAAGCGGGAGCCGTATCCCACCAGTCGGGTCGCGATATCTGGGCCACCGGTGCATCGATGATGAGAGGATAGGCCCGGCCAGACATCGCATACCAGCTGCCACTTTCGGTTTGGTTGAGGAAGATGCTGTTGCTTCGCATTTTGGCAATGCCTTCATCCTGTGATGGCATTGGTGGCTGGGGAAGAACAACAAGATCAGGGTTGCTGCCCGCGGCAGCGTCCCATGGTCGACAAACATCAAAAACTCGTGCCACCGGGGAGGAAAATTTGTGGCTAAACAGGGGCAAATGGTTATCAGACCGGGACTGATCAAAGGCATAAACCTTGCCATCGTGCTGGCTGGTTATGTAGCGGCTATCTAGCGAGGCATGATATTGCTGGTAGAGGTCGCTGTCAAAGGTATTTGGTCCCCATTCTGCGTATTTGAGAGTTGCGATTGGGCGGCCATCTCGTCTTTGGATTCCCACAGTATACTCTGTTCTCCCCAGAGTGATGGTGCCCATGGAGCTGCACTCTTCGTTGTCTGCATCGCCAAAAGCATTGGGTCGGAGGCAGCTTTCGCCTTCATTGACGAGGGAGCCGCCGGATCCAAACCACTTAAGCACACGTCCCGTGGCCACATCCAGCGTGACCATGGTCGTCTTCTTGTCTCCTGTATACACGACCGGTGGCTCATCGCCCGCATATGGGGCAAGCTCTTCCACGAGTCGCTTCATGGTGAATCCAGTTCGAATGAGGCCTGCATCGGCGTCTGGAATCCATACATAGAGGCCGCCATCGCGGCTAGGTTCAACAGCCCATATGTAATGGTCAACGGGGCTGTAATCGTCGTCGAGGACGGAGTTGTTTGTTCGATAGTGTGTTGTTTCTACCACTGGCTGGTCGACCTCGAGGTGCCAGCGTTGCCGACCGGTTTTTCGGTCGCTGGCATAGAGGTCTCCATCGACGGTCGCCAGAAGAACAAAGTCTTCAACTTCCCAATCCTCCAGACTCCGCGCATTTTGCGGCGATGCCAGCCCAGAAGCGCTACTGCTGGGCCAGAGATGTCGTGAAGTGTGTGGTGCTCGAACGGGCTGAGCCGGAGCTAAAGTTGCGAGGGCGCTCGCATCGCTAGGGACTTTTATGTGTTTTGATTTATCGGATTCCTGGTTAGGTTGCCGGGATCGGTTCGGCGCCTTGTTGGCGTAGTCGTACGGGGCACGTCGAGCTCGTTGATGCTGCTGCGGCAGAGGCGTCGGTTGCTGGCGTGGTTGTTTCTGTTTTCTGTTGATGGTATCGAAGCTCGCCTCAGCCTGCACATCGTCGACTTGTGCGGCGTACCATTGGCTGTTGGTGGCGTCTTCGGACAGTGAGTCAAGAGGACTGTCGCCTCTCTGAGAGTGAATCCGGACTTGGGGCTGCACGGGCTGCTGCTGAGCGTCGGCAAGCTGGATCCACGGGATGAGGATGATTGCAAAAGCTAGCAAGAGCTTCTGATGCTGTGAGGACCATCGTCCCTGGCCCGGAGGTCGTCCAAGCATTTTGTGAGACGAAAGAGTCGGCTGTCGAAGGATGGATCACATGGGGATTATTGGATGGCTTAAGCTCTAAGGCTGTTGCGGTGCCAGAGTAGCCATCCCCAGCCGTGGCAGGCAAGAATAGGAATTGACTTTTGCGCGTGTTTGATCTCAGGGGGAGGCGATAAAGGAAACAAAGAGCTGGGGGCTGGGCACAAACCGGTCCCCGCTCAAAGAACCAGGCACAGAAACCGCCGAACGACCCGTGGCACGGCCAGATGCGAGTCGAGAGTGCTGAAGAAGCGCTGCGTAACGGCCTGAGGCCTCGCTTGTTGACGGACAGGAGGCGTGACGCAGACTGGGTTCCGGATCGGGCTGCTGTGATTTGAAACCGTTGGAGCTGTGTAAATAGGGATATTAGGGCGGAGTTCGCTCCCGGTAGGCAGATATTTGCGCGTCCAGGCCGAGAGGCAGGTACTTTGTACTGCTGCTCTGCTGATGTAAAAACTCTGCAGCTCCAGCCCTGGCGATGGAGGGGATTCGGGAGGGCAAGCAATGGCGATAGCGAGGGTGAGGAGGCCGGACCCGAGAGGGAGAGGGAGAGGCAGTGGCTCATACACAAGATGGTGTGGTGCGGGTTTGTGGGTTGGCCCGAAACTACAGGGTACGCGGAGCTCGTCGCTGATCGGGTTCCTCGCCAGCGCGGATACCCCCTCAGAGGCGACGCGCTGCGGGCCCGCGAGGTACTGCTGCGGCAGCGGTACGAGTCAGCAGGTAGCCCCGCGTATCAGAACCCCAACACCCCAGGCCTGTGTCTTTGCCGCTTCGCCAGGGCTGGATCCGCGAGTGCGCCACAGCCAATTGCAGGCCGCTCACGGGCGAGGATCGCGAGATATTTTGGTGCGATTTGCCGTAATATTACTGTGACCGGCCATGTGTGCCGCGCCGCCAGAGCTTGTCTTGCATTCCCTGCAGCCCACCAAAACAACTTTTGCGCAGCCTGTAAAATTGCATCACCGTGGCTCGCAGCCGGGGCTGGCGGACGAGTTACGGCATACGTGTGCACTTCTCCTGGCACTGGCTGTATTACGAAGCACCGCAATAAGGAGCGCGTATACAGTATGAAGTAGGTAGAGTGATAACAACAACATATAACAATAGAATACTAGTGGTAAAAGAATAAACTGTATGGCCTGTTACTAATGACAAGACCAGACACACACACATATTTCTTCCAGGCCAATGAGGCAGTCCAGCTTCTCCAAGAAAAAAAGTCATTATTTTGTGCCATTTCCGTTAAAAAATCCGGTGGAAATCTACCCATACATACATACACGCAAAGCACTCCCGGAATGCCTACCCATGCTAGACAAAAGAGAGAGATACACACCCTGTATCCATCTATGCCACAATCTCCTCGCTCTCCTCCAACACATCCTCGACAATCTCCTCAATCACCCGGTCGTCTTCGTTGCTTGCGCCGTCGAGCGCCTCCACCTCCTTTGTCTTTGCCTCTAGAAGGGCAGCATGTGGATCTTGCGGCAGGCCCAGGACTTCCCGCTCTTCAGCGACCTCAGCCTCCACCTCCGCACGCCAAGCATGCCACTCGTCCAGGACGCGGCGGCGGGCCTCGACGACCGCGAGATCGGCAGACGCACCACGGTCGGCGTCCTCCTGCTCGAATACTCTGCTGTACTCACGCAGGTTCTTGCGGATCTGCTTCTGCTCATCTTTTGAGAGCATGGTAGGGGGGCGTGGACGCCACTGAAACTGCTTGAATTTCTCAATAGGCTCTTCGCGGAGCGCCTCGCCCTTGAAGTCGTAAATGTGGTATCCATTTTCCATCTGTGATTCCGTGTTAGTCTCATCTCATCTCGCGATTATATGGTGTCTTTGAGCGTATAGTATAAATACGTACCGCATGCTTCCATGCCGATGCCCACGTAGCGACAAATCGGCCTGAGGGATCCCACTCGACATCCGTGACACCGTAGTGGTCGGCTGTGTTCATGAGCTGCAGGTTAGCAGTCAGGTCCTTGGCGGACTCTGGCTTCTCGCCCTCAAAATCGACATCGTAAAAGTCGAGATCCGAGCTCTGCTGGTTGGCGATTGTGGCAATGACCACAAATCGTCCCTTTGGTGACCAGTAAATGGCATTGCTGTTCTTCTTCTCGAGGGTACGCAGTAGCTTGAAGTTGCCGGCGTATGAGCCCTTTGCCTTTTCAGGGCAGAAGAAGGAGACGGATGTCTTGGGAGGGACGGCGGTGGGGCCGACGGGCTCGGTGGTGGTGATGAGGGCAAATCGGTCACCCTTGGGCTCCCAGGCAAAGTTGATGACTGTGTCCTTGATGGTGTCAACAACCTCAACGGGGATTCCCTTCTCCTTGACTCGGAAAATCTCCAGAGTTGTGGCTTGTGACTTCTTTGACTTGGAGTGTCGGTCGACCTTGACACAGAGGTAGGCCGCATCCGACTGCCAGTGCAGCTTGGCGTCGCTGACATTGAAAAGGTTGAGACTGCGGACAATCTCCTTGGAGGGGATGCTCATCAGACCGACCTTGGCAGGGTTGCTACCCGTGCCAGGCTGCCAGTAGGTGAAGAGCTGCTCATATGTCTTGACGCCCTCACGCTGAGGTGTTGCCGGAGCCCAGTCAAAGTCGACCACGCCTTCAATCTTGATGCTGGTCTTGTCGAGAAGGTTCATTCGGGGCAGTTCGTAGACGGAGATGGAAGCACCAGGGGTCAGACGAGCGACGTACTTGTCATCCGCAGACCACTTGAACGCAGGCCACTGCATCTTTGGCGGAGGCTTGCCCTCCTCTGCCTTGGGAGCATCTACGTTGGCGAATGATCGCAGAGGAGCAGCCGTCTCGATATCCCAGATGACATAGTTCTTGCCCTCGTCGTCAACTGAAAGAGCAGGGTGGCCAGTTTCGGGGATGGAGATGGGTCGGTTGGACCAAGTGACAATGTACTTTTCATTCGGAGAAAAGGCAACCAAGTTGACAAAGGGGTGGGCGAATCTGGCCTGTCGTGACCAAGATGCGCCACCCCAGAGCTGCACACCCTGCTGGTGAACCGACGCCAAGTATGTGCCCAGAGGTGACCACTGGAGAAAAGCCTCGGTCCAGTGCTGGCGGTCGACAATGTTCTCGGGCTGGTCCTTCTCGTTGTTCCAGAAGACGCCGACGGATTCACCACGGTACATAACAAATTGGTCTCTGCCGCGGCCCGAGGGGTCCTTCAGCCACCATCTCAAGTGCTCCTTCTCGGTGAACTCTTCAATTTCAGGGGCCACGTATTTCTCGTCAACCCGACCTTCTCGGCCATATCTCTCAATGTCGGTGATTTTGTTGACGCGGAGGGTGTGCTTCTTATCCAAAGGAACGCCGTCTAGCTGACGGGTAGCGGCCTGAGCCTCAGCCGGTGAGGAGTACTCAACAAAGGCAAAGCTAAACCAAGGAAAGAGAATGAGTTAGACATCTTGTCCCCTGGCGTGACGATCTAGACAGCTGGGAGAAAATGGAGATTGCGAAAAGAGAAATGGCCCTGCTTACCGCTCAGACTTTCCATCCTCGCCCATGGGCATGTAGATCAGCTCCTCCCTAGTCTTTCCAACAGTGTTGAGCTTCTTCAGCAGAAACTTGACCAGCTTGGGCTTCTGGTCCTCCGTGACCTCGGGGAGGCCATCGATGACCACAAAGGTGTCGTAGCCCTGATCCAGCTGGACCTCGAACTTCTCGCGCAGGTCGGAAACGTCAATTTCATCTTCATTGAACTCGTCGTCGTCGAGGTCAGCCTCGCGCAGCTGGTCGAAAGAGGGCGCCATGATTGCTTTTGGGGGGAGGGGTGCCGAGATTGCCCCGCTTCGGCGCGGCAAAAGCTGAGGATTGGAAGGCGGCTCAGGCGCAGATGGACGCTGAATCTCCAAGAACGGAGCGGCGATGAGGTTTTTTGGAGAGCGGCTGGATGCGTTCGCGACCCGGGGCGTGGGTGTTTGCGTAACGAGCGAGGGCGTGGACACTCCAGACGTGTGTTTTTTTTTCGGCGGCGATAGCCCAAACTAGCACAAATTTGTTGTTCCAACTTTGCAAAGTGTGCGGCGGAGAAGCGATGTTCCTGGGCCGCGAATTATCCGACAGAGGGGCAAGTCACGTGCAGCTTTTTTGGGATGGTGGGGGTTTGCGATGGGAACTGCGTCGAGGTAAAGGAGAGCTTGGCGGCGTCAGGAAAACCAGGCACCGAGGAGTTGCTAGCAGTGGCCAGCTCGATCGATACAGCCTCCTTTTACCTGTTTGTCTTTCCATTCTGCTGTCTTGGCTATAACCTCCCATCATGGTACGTCTTGCTGTTTACCGCGTTTTGAATGGCTTGTGACCAAGTCCTATCTGTTGCCCAACTGACTTATCAAACCTCCCCGCCATACAGTCTTTCTTTCCGACCCAAATTTTTGCAGAGGGCACCACCGAGGAGAAGGGTGAGAATGCGCGTTTGTCTGCCTTTGTTGGCGCCATCGCGGTGGGCGATTTGGTAAAGAGCACTCTTGGTCCGAAGGGAATGGACAAGATTCTCCAATCTGCGTGAGTGCCCATCTTGCCTATTACAAATGCTAGCCCCTGACCTGTCCTTCTATGTAGTTCCACCGGCGATATCATGGTCACAAACGACGGTGCCACGATCCTCAAGTCAATAGCCCTCGACAATGCCGCCGCCAAGGTGCTGGTCAACATCTCAAAGGTCCAGGATGACGAAGTCGGTGACGGCACGACGTCCGTTGCCGTGTTGGCTGCCGAGCTCCTCAGAGAGGCCGAGAAGCTGGTTGACAAGAAGATCCACCCTCAGACCATCATCGAAGGTTACCGGATAGCCAGCCAAGCTGCTCTCAAGGCCCTTGAGGAGTCTGCCGTCGACCACAGCAAGAGCCCCGAGGCCTTCCGAAAGGACCTCGTGGCCATTGCCCGAACAACCCTGAGCTCCAAGGTTCTATCACAGGACCGGGACCAGTTCTCCCAGCTCGCCGTCGATGCGATCCTTCGACTGAAGAAATCATCCGATCTCAGCCACATCCAAATCATCAAGAAGGCCGGAGGAAAGCTGAGCGACTCCTATCTGGATGAGGGTTTCATCCTGGACAAGAAGATTGGTGTGAACCAGCCCAAGAGACTGGAGAAGGCCAAGATCCTGGTCGCAAACACATCAATGGACACAGACAAGGTCAAGATCTTTGGCGCACGTGTCAAGGTGGCCTCGACTGGAAAGTTGGCCGAGCTGGAGAAGGCTGAAAAGGACAAGATGAAGGCCAAGGTGGACAAGATCAAGGCCCACGGCATCAACTGCTTCATCAACCGTCAACTCATCTACAACTGGCCCGAGCAGCTCTTTACCGATGCCGGCATCATGTCCATCGAGCACGCCGACTTTGACGGTATTGAGAGGCTGGCGCTGGTCACTGGAGGTGAGATTACCTCCACCTTTGACCACCCTGACCAGGTCAAGCTCGGTCACTGCGATTTGATCGAGGAAGTCATCATTGGCGAGGACACACTGATCAAGTTCTCGGGAGTGGCGGCTGGTGAGGCATGCACCATTGTGCTGCGCGGTGCCACACAACAGCTGCTCGACGAGGCCGAGCGAAGTCTTCACGACGCCTTGGCTGTCCTGTCCCAGACTGTCATTGAGCCCAGAACAACGCTTGGCGGCGGATGTGCTGAGATGCTCATGGCCAAGGCCGTTGAGGGTGCGGCCACACGAGTCGAGGGCAAGAAGCAAGTGGCTGTCTCTAGCTTTGCGACCGCCCTTCGACAGCTGCCCACTATCCTGGCTGACAATGCTGGTTTGGATTCTGGTGAGCTGGTTGCGCGCCTGCGAAAGGCCATCTATGACGGTCTGACCACATATGGTCTTGACCTGATGACTCCTGGCGGCGGCATTGCGGACATGCGAGAGGTTGGCGTTATTGAGAGCTACAAGCTGAAGAAGGCGGTTGTATCATCTGCCAGCGAGGCAGCAGAGGTAAGACGATCACTCCTATTTCTTATGAGGACATTTTAGGACGAGAAACTAATCTTCTTGGAAACAGCTTCTCCTGAGAGTGGACGATATCATTCGGGCTGCCCCTCGGAGACGGGAGCGCATGTAAGATGATAGGGTAGGGCCGGAAAGAAAATTAATAAAAGTTCAGGGCGCCACGGATCTCGACGAGTTAGAGGCCTACATAATATGGATTGTAGCGATTGATAGACGCATGAACATGGACAAACAAAATGCAATGCCATGAACAACAAACTTTTTCGGAGCCTTTTTTAAGGCTGTAGTGACGGTGCAGTGACATTGGTTGCTGCGCACTGGTGATTTGTTTGCACGTTGGAAAGGTCACTCTTGCTTCACATTTGACTCGACTCTGGTCATTGCACGCTACATTTCTTTTTCGCTCCTGCTTTTCCTTTTTCTCTTCCAAACTTTACGAAACAGCACACACTTTTTGACGTTTATCCAATTCCTGCACACCCAGAATTCCCTTTCAGTTACGCCTTTGACTACGACAACTTGATACAGCCTGATAGCTACGACAGTAGACATGGCCGACGCAACACACGATGTCATATCTATTTCTTCATCTGATGATGACTCGGACTGTCAGATTGTGAAAGTCAGTTCGTCGCTTAATGGTCGTATCAAGAGCAAAATGAGGTGGCAGTACCAGCCTTACAAATGGCCAAGGCCTAGAAGGAGCCAGAAGATGACACGCCAACACAATGAAGCCGTTGATGATGATGTTCAAGATAAGGAACCGATATCGAACCAGAATACGCATTCTTTTGAGGCAGGTATGACTGTAGTGAGCGTTGATGCCGCTCGCAACGGCTGCTCCCAAAGCATGGACCAGAGCATTGCTGGATTGCGCTTCGTCTCCATGGCTGATCATTCATCGATTAAAGAAATGAGTGATGCCAAGACGGAAAGGTCTGTGACGACGCGTGTCGATCCGACAGATCCCTTGGCGAATCGACATCATACCGCCGATCCGGAGCCGACGAGCATGTTGCCTCCACCATTTCCGCAACAAATGCCAGATCCCAGCAACCAGACATCGACTCCAGACAACGAAGACGGGCGGCGAGAGAGTCGTTCCAGGTCTTGCTCTGTAGCGACTCTCGATTTTCCGTTGGAAAAGGCTGAGCATCAGCGGGGGGACGTTCAGGGGCTAGAAGGAGATGTTCAGGGGATTGATTCTGATGTGCTGGATGAGCAACGTCGGTTATTGCTTGGGGAACCAACAAATTTGGCTGCTTGTGCCAATCATCCCCAGATAGTCGCTAATCCAGCTGTGCTGCCAAATGAAGATGGCTCTCAATTGGCCCTGGGATCGGCGCCAGAATCAAACCGAGATGCTATCAAAACAGAGGAATCGGATCAAGCTGCTATTAAAACAGAGGAAATTCAAGATGTCGATACGGGTTCACTACAGCGATTCAAAAGAGCATCAACCACGTCTCGCGGCCGCCTGCCTCGAGTTGGGAAGCGACGGGCATGGAGCTCAATCATCAACTTTGGTGCATATGAGACTTTGATTGGGCCACTGTTTACGCAGCAGAAGGAGAAGATTCGTTCTATGACGTACGACGACATGGTTGAAGAGAGAGCAGAGATGAATAAGAAGTAAGAATAGTAATGGCGAGGTGGCATCTTGTTGGCTTGGAACGACGTTGTGGGCATTGATTGGTTGTACTGAGCTGTGAAGCGTTTACCGAGAGCTGAGCATGTGGACAGGGATGATTTTGAGAAATATGGATATGCATTGTACTGCTATTGGGAGTGACGCTGCTAACGGCGAAGATCTGTTGATGCCTTTTTACAGGCAGTGTCTCTTGTCTTTCCTCACACATGGCATGCTTGTATTGTTGAAGTTAGCATCCTGTAGACTACACAAAATACATGTCTATGTATTCCAAGTTGCAACTCCTAGCTGTCCAAATCGGCATCGCTGCAGAATGAAGGGGGCTGCCTCCATCTCAGCCAAATCGCTGTGGGGCGGGCAAGGCCGATTTATTTCCCAACGGCAGGGACTCTGGCCTGGACATGCCGAAGGGATCTAGAACGTGGTTTGACCCGCCAGAGGGAACAGCTGAAGAAGAGATGACTTGGAGGATTCATCAGGAATCTCAAGATTGGTATTTATAGCAGTACTACAGAGCATGGGGACCCGGGTTATTGTCTTTGATGTAAGTGATTTCTGCGTATGCTATTTTGGGTAGCCGAGAGAACTTGCAGACAAGCGAATGTCAGCTATGATTGTCGCCGTGGCGTATTTTGAGATTTCTTTGACTTGAATGACTCGATGAATATGTATGTGCTAGGGGCCGTGCATGAAGACATTGATGGTGTAGCGGTCAAGTTATCCGTTCCTGGTAGGGCTGACTCTGTTGTGTTGGGTTGGCGTGTCCGAATACAGCAAGTAGTCATATAGCATGTGCTTGTATAAATGTTGACGATGCTGGATACATGTATGTATAGACTGCTAGTGATGTTACCGCTATTCTTCACTTACATGTTGACTGCTACAGTATCTACACCATCTGTTTACACTGATGAATGCTCCCCAGCAAAACAAGCACCGAACCAGCCGAGATTGATCATCTCCACCCATCAGGGGCTGCTGATGCGACACTGTGCCGTCGACGCGGCCCTGTAGCGGCACCCACTGTGCACAGCAGCGACAGAGATTGATGGCAGGGATGATGCTTAATTTGATGTGGTCCTGTATCAGATACAGTGCAGAAAAGCTTAGGCTTGCGAGGGACGACGCTTTGGGCAAGCTGCGGTGCTGCCTCCCTGTTTACAGAAACGTCGAGGACTTTTGCAGCAAAGGTGCAAGATACGCAGATTTTAGGTGTAAATGCACATGCAGTGCAACCTCGATAAGAAACACGGTTGTACCAGTCGTCGGAAAATAATCACCAGCATGGGATGCACACCACCAGCCTTTGCCAAACGTCAGAGGTGCGCAGCCGTGCGTTTGATTACTGGAGCGCCCATCTGCTTTTGTCCAGGCACATTTGTCCAGGCACAAGTACCGGTTCCTGCGAGTGACGGTGGTGGCACGGTTCCAAACGCCAAATTGTACAAGGCGCGCTTGTACCTGCTACGCATCCCCGGGCACGCACGCCGATGCCACGCTGCAGCAAATCCACAGCGCGTGCACAGCCCGGGCCTTGCAGCTCCCAACTGCCCTGTAGCACAGCACTAATGCCCACTAGCGCTCAGCAATCAAGGTTTGAATCAGCCAAGGAGGGGATGCGGCTGGGTACCCGGTACCTGAGGCCTGCCACTCCCACAGTACCCGGTACCGGCGCACGGGTGGCAGCACCAGCATTGCGCAAGTACCGAGTCCCCTCCTGGTTTGGAGCTTCGATTTAGGCGCCTCCTGGGCTTTTCCGTCATGTCTCTCCTCCAATCCTCCGCAATTCTTCTCTTCTCGTTCTCTTCTCCCCATTACTTCCATTGCCTGTTTCTTGTATCAACACACACTCGTTATAACATCTACACCATTTGAGGCCCAGGCCTTCATTTCAGTCGCTTTGCTTATTCTTAATCGCTCTTTATCACTTGTCTATTGTCGTTTCTTTTCTCAGTTCTCACTTTTTTGCAGTGGTCTCCCACTAATAAACGAAGCCCCCCTCAAACCGATCCGGGCATATTAGAGCGTCTGGCTGTTTCAGACCTCGAGACACCTTGTCTAGGCGAATTGCGCCAGCTAAAGAGGCTCGACTCTGCCGCGTTGTACGCGGTAAACAAAAGACGAGCCCGTCATCTCCATCGACCTTTACTTTTCTCCTCTAAACACGACGACTCAGGGCAGCTGGTTGCCCTCGCATGCGACGATGCTTCGAGACCATGGCGTCGGAATCGGCATCATCAACGGCCTCGACACGGCCGTCTCGATCCACGGCCGCATGAGCCCAGACTCACCCCCCGGCATGACGGCGTCCAAGAGCTCCAAGTCGTCGTCCTTTCACTCGCTCAACAGCGACGACGGCAGCGTCATGGCGGACGTCGGGCACTTCGAAGACATTGGCCTCGACGACCGTGTCACCCCAAAGGCTGCGCCACAGCCCATCCGCCAGCCTCGAGATCTCGCCTCGGCCAAACGAGCGCCGCACCCGAAGCGATCCTTTTCCAACCTCGACCGCACCTCCCAGGGCTCGAACCCGCGCAGCCCAAACTTCCCTACGCTGTCTGACCCGCGGCCCATCTCGACGCTGACCAAGGGCTATTCCACCTCGTCTGTGCCGCAGTCTCGCCGTCACCGCAGCACCAGCCCGGGCATTGCGCTGAATCCTCGAGATCCGAATCTTCCTGCCCGGCCGCGTCGAGGCAGCTGGCAGGTGAGCCGAGACCGCAAGTCCATCTCAGAGCTGGAGCAAGAATGCGACGACGACGACGATGACGACGATCTCCCTGACGGCCTCTTCCTCGAGAATGTTCCCATTTCTCCACGCCCACAGCATGAACGACCCGCGAGCCGGCCTTCGTCCATAAAATCCCCCTCGCCTTCTCCCAACCGCCGACAAAAGAGTCCCCGAGTTCGCAGCGTCGGCGCCGGCACGCCGCCTGTCGCCCAGGCACAAGGCTCGCTGCGGTCACCAAGGCAGCCTCCCAGCCCTCTCAGAGGCAAGGCCCAGAGCTGGAACATTGCGCTCTCGGAATTGAACGCCGACACAAAGGCTCTGACCGAGAAACTCGAGGAGCACGCCGACGAGCAGCATGAAATCGAAGCCAAGCGACATGGCGCCGTGGCAAGGCCCAACACTTGGGATCCGAACCAGTCGGTAAAGATTGATGGCATAAACGATATAAAAAAAGGTCGCGTCAAGTCTTCTTTCGCCGAGCTTCCGCCACTTCGTCGTTCCAACATCATGATTGACCCACTGCCGATTTCCAAGGAGAAGGAGGCTGTTCTAAGCCGCACGAGGCCTTCGTGGCTGCCTCCCAAAGACCCCGCCGAAGAACGCCGCCACTTGCGCGAATATCAGAAACTGATGCAAGCCAGTGTCAAGGCCGAGGAGCGCCGCGAAGCAGCGCGAAAGAGCAAGGCAAACGCGAGGGACACCAATGCGGACAGGGCCATGCACGTCTGGGAAGACGACATTCTCCCGCGGTGGAACCAGGCTATACGCGAGAAGAAGACGAGAGAGTTGTGGTGGAAGGGAGTGGCGCCCCGCAGTCGACGAGCTGTGTGGGCCAAGGCCATCGGAAACGAGCTTGGCCTGACAGAGGCATCTTTCAAAGCTGCACTGGCCCGTTCAGACGAGCTCGAGAAGAGAGTCAAGACTGACAGGGGAGATGCCGAGGATCTGAGGCGCGTCAAGTGGTTTGAGCAGATTCGCAAAGACGTTGCCGAGAAGACGTGGAGGGATCTGCGCATCTTTGAAGTGACTGGTCCTCTGCATCAGGGCTTGGTGGATGTGCTGAGAGCCTATGCCATGTATAGGAACGATATCGGCTATGTGTCAGGGTGTAATGTGAGTAGATGCGCCTCTTTTCTCTTCTTCACTGCCGAGTGTTGAGCTTGTTCACTGACTTTAACATATCAAACAGACCATAGCCGCCTTGCTTTTACTGAATCTACCAAACCCCGAAACAACCTTTATTGCCCTCGCAAACGTACTCAACCGCCCCCTACCATTGTCATTTTATACCTTTGATCGCGGTGCGCAAGCTTCAGCATACAATCTAGTACTTGAATCGCTCAAGAGCAAGTCGGATACCCTGTGGCACCACTTGACCAGGGCGGTCCCCGGCGTCCAGCTTGACCACTACCTCGCAAACATCTTCACCAGCCTCTTCACGGGATATCTGGCCATTGACGAAGCAGCACGACTTTGGGATGTATACGTCTTCGAAGGCGATACACTACTGGTCCGAGCGGTCGTTGCCATTCTCCTCAACCGAGAGCCGGATCTGCTGGTGTGCAAAACTGCCGAAGAGGTCAAGGCTGTCATCTCACGAACCAGCGCCGGAGCTACATCAACACGAGCAGTGAGCGAAGTTGGTGCCGAAGATCGCTTCATGCAGAGCATCCGCGATGCAGGGAAACAATAGACGATGCATATTCTTTCTTCCTTTTTAAGACACGGCAACAGCAGCGAGCTTTGCGTCACTTTTTTCTTTTATTTTCTTTGCATATCAAGACGATATCTAGGGGCTTCACCTCCCCCGTCAGACATATGGATGCCCATGACATTCGGTCTGAACCCGGTGGTAATGTATATCAAGACATATAGACATGGAGACAATAAGGGTTGGCTATGTGAGGTCGGGCGTTGGTCAGGTTACACACAAACACACACACACACACACACACACACACACACACACACACACACACACACACATCTCAGACCATTGGTTGATCAACGTTGAGCACGTTCTTTCTTTATTCTTCTCTATTTTGTTCATTCTTTTTACATCTGAAGAACATTGGCGTGAAATTTTCAAATATTTTGAAAGCAAGCAAGGGATTTTATCATATGGGCATGACTGGAGCTAGCCAATCTTAATCCGAAATTTAGTTGCATAGTGTCTATTCAGCTTGCTTTTGACAAGCAGACAATTGAATGGTTTTATAATCTGCATCTTTCTTTTTGATTTGTCTGCTCTCATCACTCAGACGGATACTGTGTCTATGAGACGACTGGCAGCGAAGAATTCAGAGTGTGAGAAGGTCAGATGCGGACACTGCTGCAATATTCGCAAGTCATGACTGATGAAGCTTGTATAAATAAACACCACACTATACGTGTATACTCATTTTTATGCATCGCGAAAACACATCTATGAAGACATCGGTCGGGCTGAAGTGACGGTATAAAATCACGTGAGGGTCTGTGTGGGCAATATTTACGTCAAGACCCCGTTTTGCGCGATAAGCTGGCGTCATCAACGCTGCCGGACAAAAATAACCCAACACACCGACTCTGCGACATCTGCCTTCTCTTTTCTTGCTTCCTCTGATTGGTTTCATCAAGTGCTGCCAGAGTAACCTTGAAAGCTTTCCCCGGAATTGATACCATAAGCCTTGCCTCTTAGTGCTGGAGCTGTTATTGGAGGCTGCCCTCGTTAGCATTTCAATATGCCTGCTGGGTATAAGCATGGCGACACTCCGGCAAAAGCCATGGTGCGCGGCACTATTTCATACCTCGAATCCCAGGGGCTGCCAGTGAATAAATCTGCTATTTTCCGGCACTTTGAGCTATCCCGGTCGCAGGGATATGCCGCCCTGAGCGCATCACCAAAGCCCAAGCGTGAGGATCCCGAATGGGGCGAGACACGAGGACGGCCAAGCAAGATCTCAGACTCGGACCAGCAGAAGATGGAGGAGATCCTGTGGGATGAGAACTTTGAAGACGTGAGCCTTAACTGGAATGGACTGGCCAAGGCTGCGGGCCTGGAGATGAACTGCAACCGGAGAACGCTGCATCGGACGTTGGGGACGCTGGCATACCGACGGTGTCTGGCGTGTGGACGGACTCATACGCACAAGAGGCATCGGGAGAAACGCTGCGATTATGCCAGGAAGGCGTTGATGGCGTATCCTCTGCTGGAGGACTGGCGGCGCATGCGGTTCAGCGCAGAGCTGCACTTTGCGTTTGGGCTCGACGGTAAGATGCGTCTCACGCCGAGAGCGGGCGAGAAGCTATGCAGCTCCTGTGCGCAGCAGCCCGGCCTGGACTGGCCGCGGGACATCCGGCGGCTGCACGCTTGGGTCGCCGTCGGGCACGGCTTCAAGAGCGAGCTCGTCTTCTACGACTCGTCCACCAGCCCCAAGGACAGCGGCACCATGTCCATGGCCGACTACTGCGACAAGGTGCTCGACAAAGTGGTCAAGCCGTGGCTCACGTCCGCGGGACCGGGGTCGTTTATCCTGGAGGAGGACGCCGATGTGTTTGCGCACGGCAGCGCCAGCAAGGTCAACCTCGCGCAGCAGTGGAAGGACACGCACGGCCTGCGGTGCACGTTTAGCTGCGGCGAGAGCCCGGACTTGAGCCCGCTGGACTCGCTGGTGTGGCCGGCGGGCAAGCAGTGGACGTCGGCGGTTCTAACGGACTGGCAGGACGAGACGCTGAAGAAGGCGGCGAGGGAGGCGTGGGCGGGGGTTGAGCAGCACAAGATTGACATGTGGGTGGATGTGATGCCGCAGCGGCTGCAGCAGGTGGTGGAGAGCGAGGGGAGGATGGTGGCGTGGTGAGGGTGAGAGCGAGAGTCTATGAAGAGGGAGGGATTTAGGACAACAGTTATGAAGAGTTGGAGATTGCGAGCTTCAAGGGCGTGTTATTGTGAATCTTGATTGGCATTTTATATGGAGTTGGTTGTATAAGTGTTGTTTGGAGAGAATATGGGTTTTCATTTTCTACTTGGCGTGGGGTATGGATTTGTTTGCACTGGCGAGAAGCATTTAGGTAGATGGGCTCACATTGGATAACTGACATTTACCCGAAAGATGGAGTTGAAGTTGTATTTCTTTGACATACTTTAGGTGACATGACATGATGTTGAAAGCCTGAAGCCAAACACACACTGGGAGAAAGAAACTACATGTCAACTTGATCCTGCCTAGAAACATTGCCAATCTCAGCCATCTAAGTGAGAATTACTTAGATTGATAGGTGAAATTGAACCTGTGTCTTTTTGTTATAATGACATGACGTTAAAGCTCATATTGGAAGGGTACTAGAAATACATGTAATCTGCTTTACTTGTAGAGCAATCTCAAGACTGTGCTCTCTTACACAAACACCCAATGAGGAAAAGACTACATTTCTACTTGATCCATTGAGAAATACTGTTCAATCCAGCTGTTTTGAGTAATTGATATTTATCCGAATCAAAAAGCGGCGTCACTTTGTTGTGTCACCTTGATATTGCTGCTTGGAGAGTAGCTTGCATTGGATGCAGACTAGTATGTATGTAATCTGGTTTACTCATGGAGCAACATGGGAGTCTCCAAACACCCAATGAGGCAAAGTCGACAAATCTATTTGATCCTATTAAGATATACTGCCAATTCCAACCATCTTCTTCTGAAACTGAGAGTCAAAATGTCAAAATACAAAGTGGGCATGTTCGAGAGTGGATCTCCCCGTCTCGGCAAATGTTGCAGCAAACCTGCACCTCAAAGCAGGACTGTTGGGTGGCAACGTACGATGCAACACGCCAGAGCCCAATCAAGAGCACCTGATGCATCGAGAGCTAAGCAGGCAACTAGTAGCAAAACCTACCCGATACAGCAGCTGCCATAGCACTTCGGCAGTGCCAAATTCCTTGTTTGCGGGGGAAACACAAAGCTCAACTCGGTATATTTCTCTTATCAGCTCTCTCTATCTACATATTCTCCTTGTGGAATAAAACAGCCAATCACGGCCGCGCTCATTACTAAGCCTGCGGCATCCAACCACGTGGGTTTGTTGCGGGCTTGCGGCGCATCGGCCCCACGCCCAGATCGACGGGGCAAAGGGAGAAAAAAAAAAGAAGCGAAGAGCTCCTTGGCCTCAACAAAAATCCCAACAGATGTGGGGGAAGAGACAGGTGAGAGGGTTACTTTTTGTACTGCAGAGATGTACTCCCTGCTGCTACTGTACTGGCAGTGTTACAGAGATGCCATATCTCTTTTTTTTTTTGGAAGATTGATCTACTTTTTATTTTTTAAACAAAGTACCTATTTGCAGCTGCTTGTAGTGCTGTGCCTGTAGATGTCGAAGTAATGGAAAAAGTCAATTGCAGACATCTCCACAAGCATCTACGGAAGTAACAGTGGAGAGAGTCTCCAGTTACTGCCAAGTACTCGCTGGTAGGTCATTTACATGCACGCAAGCAATCGATACCATGCAGTACATGTCCATCCCAGCTGAGACATGTACATCCAGCCGGTAAGCACCGTCTCGCCACCTGCAGGTCTCTGCCAACCCACGATGTAAAGCACAAGACAGTATTGAGGTACATACATGAGTTTCTCTCTTTTTGTTGGTCTCTCGTGGTCTGATAAGTGTACTTTCCTGCGTGACCTGACATGACACGGCTGTGCGAGATTCCGAGAAACCACAGAGCCCATCAGGAGAAATCATGGCATCAGGACTCTGCTGCTGCTGCTAGCGGTTCCAACAGAAGGGTGGGGGAAATGCGAAAGCAGGTGAGATTCACATGGCCCGAGGCTGAAATCAAAAAAATGTTCGTTTGATCATCTGTTTAAGCGTTTTGCAAGAGAGCAAGTAAACTTGGTGTGAGGCAACTTCTGGGGAAGACAAGTGACATGTACCGGGATGCTACCAAATGCATCGGGCGTAGATGCGACCTTGCAACGGGCATCATTTCCCAAGTACCGCTGCTTGTACCAGTGCAGTCCCAGCAAAACGCAAAACTCGGCTTCACATGTCTCTCCTGACTAGGTAGGTATCTCTACTGTGTGCATCAATGCAGATCGCCCATGCTGCGCTTTAGGCTCGCTCAGCCAGCCACCCCGGCACGGCCGTGTCTCGCTTCCCCGCCGCACCATCTACGTGTCTTTTGGTTTGTGGAAGAGACGTGACGGCTTGGTCTGCTGAGATGCGCATTAGAAGTCCGGTGCGGGCGAATGTCAGGCAGTACGTGCCTACGTTGCTACCAAGGCTGTAGCATCACTCGCTGTGAAGCACCTAACAGAGAGATGCAGCTCAATCAAAGACGGAATGCAGGGTGATACGGCGTAAAAGCAATTCTTCTACACATGTACAGCTGCCCACATCACCTGGACGTCGAGACTGTCGATGATGCATATTCACCGTCAAATGTCTTGAGCGAGGGAATTTGAGTCAGCCTAGTGCGCCATGGGAGCGTTGCTTGTGTATCTCGGAGATGGCTTATCTATTCCGCCATCTGCCTCATGTTGCTTTTTTACATGTGACGGTGGCGTAGGGCGAGGCTCTGCGTGTAGCTTTTTTCGTCTCCAAGATGCGCTCTGAAGCCGCATTTGCATCAGGACATGCACTCACACTGCAGCTTGCGATGCCCAATGCTCAATGCTCCAAAGCTACATGTATAAACTACAGTGGACTACAGTGGTTCGAATAGCATCGCAGCTAATTCCCGAGACGACGCTGCAACCACCACCCACTTTCTCAAGACCCTGGCCTGGCCCAAAAAAAAGTTGGAAGAGCCCTAGAGAAAAAAAAAAGAGTGGCACTAGGGGTAAGTTGACCCGAGTAGGCAGTTCAGGCTGTCCATCCAGGGTCCAGTTAATGAGGGGGGGAAGCCAGATCTGGCGTTAAGCTCGCCTCCAATTGGCAATGCAGGCTTTAATTTTTTTCAACGACCCCGAGGTCAACGAAATAATGGAAGAAGAATTCTTTGCAAATCATCCAGCAATGCAGCTCAATTGAGCAGACAAAGTAGACCAAGATGGAATAAAATCACAAGAGAGTACCTGGAATCAATCATGTGTTTTTTTGCCTCTGGACGTCTGCGCCGAAAGCGAAGGCGCAGCCCCACGGTGGGCGGGAGGAAACGCCCCCCAACAAAAAATTCAACTCGCATCTGCACCTCCGGCTGGATCTGCCACTCCCGGAGCCTGACACGGACAAAGAAGGGGGCCAGATTCGGCGTGTGCGAGTGTACCTGTACCTCTGATGTACTTGTCGAGGCACAGACACCAGGCTGTTGCGGGTGTATCTTTTCGTAGTGACATGCAGCCGTGGATTGGGCTTCTGTGCAACTCGGGCTGGCCTTGTGCTGCTCTTCGCCTCCATTCCTCGTTTGTCCGGTGAAACGAGACTATCCCTATCGCATCTCTCCTCTTTTTTCTTCTTGCTGCCTTCTATCCTCGTCCCTCCACATAAAGGACAAAAGGAAGGCGGCCCCGGTCCCGGCACTCTCTGCTTCTTCTCCTTCTCTCGCTGGAGGCCCGTAAACCACACGCCTATCTTATCTGATAGTGAGCTGTGCTCGTGTCACTCTTGGTTTTTCTTTTTCCTTCTTTATTTCCAAGCCTTGTCTCTTTGTTTTGTTTTCTTCTTCTTCCATTCACCTCCACCGCATCCTATCTTCATCCTTGTCTTCTTCTTCTTCTCCCTTCTGCCCAGCCATGGCCTCCACCGCCATGCCTCTGCCTGTCAAGGCCTCGCTGCGGCGCAACATCACCGACTCGACCGAGTCCTCTGCGGCCGTCTCGCCCATGGACTCGCCCAGACCCTCTGCCTCGTCTACCTCGCTCTCGTCCATGTCCTCGGTTGATGTCAACGCCGCCAAGCCCAACTTTGGCCGCATGGTCGACACCTACGGCAACGAGTTCACGGTGCCCGACTTCACCATCAAGGACATCCGCGACGCCATCCCCAAGCACTGCTTCCAGCGATCCGCGCTCAAGGGCTACTACTACATCCTGCGCGACATGGCCTGCCTGGCCACCACCTTCTACGTCTTCCACAACTATGTCACGCCTGAGCTAATCCCCTCCACGCCCGTCCGCGCGGGGCTCTGGGCGCTGTACACGGTCCTGCAGGGCCTGTTCGGCACCGGCCTCTGGGTCATTGCCCACGAGTGCGGCCACGGCGCCTTCTCCGACTCCAAGACGCTCAACGACTTCACCGGCTGGGTGCTGCACTCGGCGCTGCTGGTGCCCTTCTTCAGCTGGCAAATCTCCCACCGCAAGCACCACGCCGCCACCGGCAACATGGAGCGCGACATGGTCTTTGTGCCTCGAACCCGCGAGGAGCAGGCCACCCGTCTCGGCAAGCTGGTCCACGAGCTGTCGGAGCTCGCCGAGGACGCGCCCGCCTACACGCTCTTCATGCTGGTCATGCAGCAGCTCATCGGATGGCCCAACTACCTGCTGACCAACGTCACCGGCCACAACTACCACGAGCGCCAGCGCGAGGGCCGCGGCAAGGGCAAGCACAACGGCGCGGGCGGCGGCGTCAACCACTTCAACCCCTTCAGCCCGCTGTATGAGCACCGCGATGCCCTGCTCATCGTCTACAGCGACATTGGCCTCGCCCTGGCCGGCACCGCGCTCTACTACCTCGGCAGCACCTTTGGCTGGTCCAACCTGGCCGTCTGGTACTTTATCCCGTACCTCTGGGTCAACCACTGGCTCGGTTAGTCTTTTGCTCCCACGATGATATCACAGATATACTGAAAATATACTGACCTTGTTCCTCTCTAGTTGCCATCACCTTCCTCCAGCACACCGACCCGACCCTCCCCCACTACACCGGCGAGCAGTGGAACTTTGTCCGCGGCGCTGCTGCCACCATCGATCGCGAGATGGGCTTCGTCGGCCGCCAGCTGCTGCACGGCATCGTCGAGACCCACGTGCTGCACCACTACGTGGCCACCATCCCCTTCTACAACGCCGACGAGGCCTCCGATGCCATCCGTCCCGTCATGGGCAAGCACTACCGCTCCGACACAAAGGACGGCGCCCTGGGCTTCATCCGCGCCATGTACCGCAGCGCTCGCATGTGCCAGTGGGTTGAGCCCAGCAAGGACGCCGAGGACGCCGGCAAGGGCGTGCTCTTCTTCCGCAACCGCAACGGTCTGGGAACCAAGCCCCTGGTGATGCCCAAGCCCGAGTAATGGAATGGCATGGGTAATGGAAAATGGAAAATAGAAGTGTGAGGCTGTGAACTGCAGCAAAATAAAAGTAGACTTTTTTCTTTTCTCAATCTCCAATGGCCAGTGGAACGGGTCGCGTGATCGCGTGAGCTGCTATCCCTGCAGTCTTGAGTTGGTTAAACGAATATGAATTCATATAGAGCTAGAGCTTAGACGTATATGGAAAAAGGATACCAATAGACACGATCCAAAGAACTCGGTGCCTAGATTGATGTCTTCATCTTGCTTGTTTCCACTCGTAGTGATGATGATTGTAGATGAAGTGCAGCAGCCGTGTTGGTCTTGAGAAAGATGACAAACAAGAGTCTCAATTGGAATGTTAAGCGAACCAGGTCTGTATGCGGGGATGTGAACTTTGAGCGAGCAATAAATAACCCCACAGTCGTAGCGGTGATGTGGCTGTGTTTGGGCCTCCGTCTCTTACACCGGCCAAATATCAACATCCTACAGGAAGCTCAAAAAGACTACATTTCGTCTCGCCACATTCCATTGTGTGATTCATTGAGTCTCATTCTCGGACGTGGAAAGCTGGACACTCAGCTGGGATTTGGATGCTTTCTCGCTGACACCAGCCAGGTATGCATAAGCCGGGCATTCACCCAAAGAGGAAATAGTTGGACATGGATGTCCGAAATGTCCTCTGGCCGGCAGAGTCCGTGAGTTGAAAAGCCACGGTCTGAATTCGATTCGGGGGGTTTTTGTTTTGTTTTCGGAGGGTTTTTGGAATTATCAAGCGTCAGCTTTTGGGGAGGGGCGTGGAGCCAAAGCCTGGTGGGTGGTGGATGACTGCCAGATGATGTATTGATTGCATTTATACGTGTATTCGACACAATAGTGTGAATTGAGTTGTCGTGTATCGTGAACAGCCTAATCTAAGATGAAAAAACCGAAAGAGATGATTGAATGGTTTTTATCGCTATAGTGTAGATACTCACTTGGGTTGGTGAGTTTTGTAAGATCTGAGCACCTGGTAGCCTCCTCACAGATACAAACTACGTGTAATAGACAATGCACAACTTCCACTTCTACTGACTTTTGCTCTTCTTCCTTCCCACAACAATCACACCCTTCAGAACCCTCGTCCTATCAAACCAATCGTACACCCTCCCAACCGCACTATACCCCGTCAGCGATATCCCATACGGCTTCAACGCAGCATCCTGTCTTTGCAAAAAACCCGCCAGGCCAGCAAACACATGATCCGAGATATCCCTAATCTCAATATCCCCCCTGTCGTAGCCACATTCTACCAGTTGGTCGCGGTACTGCGCCTCTGTGAGAAAAGTCTGCCATGGACAGAGTAGGACGAAGCCTAGGAGCCGAACGGCCAGTGTTTGCCACAGGGATGGGTTGTCGCCGAGGATGAGGTCAAAGGCCATGACGTTTGCGTCTATTTTCTGTGATGCGTGCTTGAAGATGGGCTTTCGGGAGGGCGAGAAGTGATAGAGGCAGTCTAGGCCCAGGAGCCAGCGCTCGGAGAAGGCCTTGTCTGAGAGATTATCAACAGCGGTAGTGATTGCCTTGTCCCATGATTCTGGCTTTGCCGCATCTGCTTGAAAGAGCTTGATTGACGTATTCTCAACGTCTCTCTTGTCAGCTGCCAATAGGGTGGCATCGAGTCTCTGCTGCGCCGCTTGCCGCTGCGTCTCGTTCAGAGTAACTCCGACGTAGCGGAACTGAGACCGTGATGGAGCCAGAATGAGCTCTGCAAGTGCTACGGTCTGGTCACCGCATCCGAAGCCCACGTCTAAGACGGCGACTGAGTTTTCGGTGCTGTTGTTGGATACAAGGCCAGCAACTTTCAAGATGTTGGCGAGCATGTTGCGCGCAGCCTCATCGAGGTGCTGGATGGGAGTGCCGTCATCATTTGTCCTATACGTGAATTAGATACATAAACTACTTTATTGATATATATGTAATGAAAAAAACTTGCCAGTATCCCAAGTTCATCCACATTGACGGAAACGGTGCCTTGACATTCAGCTTCCAGTGGCCAAGTCCGTACACATCACCAGACTTGATCAGTGAAAAGGCCACCAGTGCCAGCACGACGACGATGGCCGCACATCCTGCCAGAAAACCAAGGATGAAGTCTCCCGCCGCCATTAACGAGATTGGTCAGACTAAGTCGTTGTATGCGGGTGTAAGATTTCAAAACGTCACTCTAAATGTCTAGCAGTTGCTCCGTACATGTATATCGTCATGCATTTATTTGGCCGAGTTTACGTAGTCGCCCTGCTTTAGATGCTTATGGTGCAAAGCCACCCGCAGCCAAGGTCAGATTTGACAGCAACAAGCGATTTACTACTGTAAAATCCAAATACAGCTCTGACAGACACCAGCCAAAACAAGCAACTTCTTTTGGCAGCAATTCAAAAGTGGCAAATGGGTGGATTCATTTCAATATTCATTAGCACGTGCTAGTCAATCTAGGGGACCAAGAGAAAAAAAAAATAAGAAAAAAAAAAAAAAACTGGACTCGCACTCGCTTCTGATCCTCGGCTCCTGCTGTAAAGAAAATGGCCGTCGGGGGGTCTGAAACCCCCTAGTCAGCCCAATCACAGCGGATGATTTGCAACTTTGTTGGGGACTCTGGCTGCCAAATCTTGCTAGGGGTTGCAGCCTCGTCTGACTTGATTACTTGTAGTTGCTTGTTGTCGCGCCATTAAAATGTCCAGACGTTGCATGTATGAAATCATTTGTTGGACGCGCTTGCTGTGATGTTGATGCGGGCGTGCCTTTTGATTTCTTAATTTTACCTTGATTATTCCTAAGCTTATTCTTGCTTCTCATCTTGATTTTTAGTGGCGACTACAAAAGAGGCATCCCAGTGGTCTTGGCTGCTGAATAAGGAGCACTGAATGAATACTACTAGTAGTAAGCAACAGAAGATACTTTGAGATGCATCAGAATCAGCCACGGATCAGGCCAGCAGATGGCCACAGTAAAAGTCGGGTTGCCATCATCGGCACCGGATTGGCTGGCCTCACAACTGCCTATCTGCTGCACCAGGACAAGCAGAAGCGCTACGAGGTGACGCTTTTCGAACAGGTAGATGCTCACTCACTCACTCACTCACTCGCTCACTCAGATATCCTCAACTCCAGACTAACATCACCAGGCCCCCAAATTCTCCCTCGACGCCGCCTCAATCACGCTCAAAAATGAAGCCACCGGCGCCCTCGAGCGCGTCGACATCCCGCCGCGCAGCTTCTGCCGCGGCTACTACGCCAACCTCTGCCGCATGTACGACCATCTCGGCGTTTCCTTCCAGCGCATCCAGCTCATCTGGGTCTTTGCCAAGGTCTCTGCCGCAGCGCAGGCCCAGATTCCCAGCGCCGACGCCGCGCAGACGATGCCCGGCAGCTACTTTGTCTACGGCAAGCGGCTGCACGAGCTGCTACTGGTCTCGCCGCACTTCTGGCTCAGGGGGTCTCTGCAGAACGTGCTGCTGACATTTTACCTGGCCGTCTGCCACGCCTGGTTCTTTGTTGCGTGCTTCTTCTTCCCGCCGCGCATGATTCAGCCGGAGCGGTATTTGGATGTGAAAGGATCTGCCAAGAATGGCCAAAACTGCGAGTCGTTTCGCCAGTATCTGGACCGGATATGGCTGCCGCAGTACTACGTGCTGTACTTTTTGCTGCCGATCCTGAGCATCATCTGCAGCTGCTCCCACGCCGAGATGCTGGATTTCCCGGCCAGCGACGTCACCAGCTTCATGAAGGGGTCGTTTTTGCGCAAGACGTATGTGGCCAAGGGGGGCATCAACAGGGTGCAGGCGACGCTGGCGGAGGGCATCCAGGACGTGAGGCTGCAGACGCGAGTAAACAAGGTCGAGCGAGTTGATGGCGGCGTTTTGATCCGCTATGAAAGCACGCAGGACGAGAGACGTTCTGCCGAGGAAGTGTTTGATCGCGTGGTGCTTGCTGTATCGCCAAATGTTGCAGCAGCCATTTTCAACCCGTCCAAGCCGCTCCTCAGCGTCATCCCCACCGTCCCCGTCACAAGCACCGTCCTGGCATCTCCAAACACAAAGATATCTCTGGTCGATGAGAAGACCCACGTTCCGTCAGGCGAATGCTCATATCGTCGCGGCGAGGCCCAGATCATGGCCTTTCGGACCACCTACTCCGACAGCATCGTCCAGACCGAGTCGCTGCACTATCTTGAGGGCGGGCTGGTGGTCCGGACGAGTCCCTCGGGGGATGTGCCTGAAGTAAAGGGCACGCTGGACACGTCGAGATTTACCAGGACGTTGCGCACGACGGAGAGCAGAAACATGGTCCGGAAGGCGATGGAGGCGGATGATGGTGCGGGATGGGTGAATGGAAAGGATGATGTGTGGATCGTGGGTTCTTGGTGCTGGGATGGGATGGTGCTGCTGGAGGGATGCGTCGTGTCTGCGATGCGAGTAGCCAGGGATCTTGGGGTGAATGTGCCGTGGTAGGTGTTGTTTTGTTCGTTGGCATTGATATCCAAGTGTTTCGTGTGTTAGATTCCGTTGGTTGATGAAGCGGGTGGTTGTAATAAGCATTTGCATCTTGAGCGCTCAGAGCTTGTTGATAGAGACTCATTCCTATGATATATACGATACCTCGTTATTTTTTTATACAGCCCTCTAGACTTGGAGAGGACTCATCGGATTAAGACTTATACCCTACATAATGGCATGGAAATGAATACTTGCTGGCGGTACTTGAGTTGACTATATGCATTATCGTGTGAAGAGCCATGATTCATACGCTGGGGTTGTCGGTTGCTGTTCATAAGAGCCTGCTGGAAACTGTCAATTGCAAGGGGCAGACTCAGCAGTTATGCTTGATGGTTCTTCAAATAGACACTTTACTCACGGCAATATACCCAAGTATGTAGTGCCAGCTCTACCGGCATGGACAAGTAGACTCGCCTAGGTAGCAAAGGCTACCACTTTTAGGTGCTTTAGGCGCTGACTGCGCAAGCTTCATGGGTTTTAAGTTCAATTAGCCTCCATCACAAAACTACGATGGAGCTAATGCAATGTGACAGAACACGATGAAACTTGCTCAAATCAGCGGCACTTGACTCTTTGGAGCTCCTCGTCTCAGCAACATTGAAGCCATCGTGTATCCCTCCGGCAAAATCACCCAAGCTCCCTACCAACTTGTCCCTTCTCCACCACATTACGAATCCCTACGGCAACTTACCCATCCAGCGATTAGCAAATTGAGCCCGTGGCGTCTTGCGCAGGCCTTTCATCTCAGGCACAGCCCCTTCGAAACAAAGCCAAGAAAGCATATTTGGGGGCAGAACAGAGGAAAAGGAAATGTTCATAAGCAGTGGACAGCCAACCAGAGGCTGCAAAAGCCGCCGTTAGTCGCGGACCGGCCTTGGCGAGAATGGCATCCATGGCGCCTTGGCTGAGAGATACATGCTTCACTAGGTAGACGGTACTTGTTCTTTGTTTTTGTTCCTAATCTAAAGTTCTTAGCCCTTAGTTTTCTTCTGTTTCTTTGGTTTTTTTCCATCAGCTGGAAAACGGGAAAATGATTCCATGCCAAAAGCATACAATGCCCAAAACCTAGGCTGTACTGTACAAACCACTACCCTAATGCATGCGTGCATGTCACGGTGGAGCAGAAATCATCAGCTGCTGCGTGAGAGCGCTTTTAGTAACTAGGTAAGGTAGTATTAGCACATCGATTCATCATAGCGAAATCGAAGAAAAAAACTAGAGAGAGAGACACGCATAGATAAAGAGGCCCGTTTGCAGTGCACTACGTAATGCAGCAGCAGGGCCAACAAACTCGGCTTAACTCGAACTTGGCTGCCTCAGATGTGGAGACGCCAATCCGTGGACGACGCCCTGCAGGTTATTAGCAGTTGGTTAGTCGATGCAGCAATGGCTTTTAGCTGTGGTATGTTGGGATATGCAGCTTCTGCAGCGTAAATGACTCGAGTTGAGGAGTAGACTGGGCAGGGTATGTTCATACCAGGCTTGCAGGCATATCATATCAGATCATCATACTGTACTTGGCCTGGCATAGCCACAGCCGCAGTCTGACGCGGGGTCAGCATGCAGATGAGATGCTACAGCTATTGATAGCACTGTATGCTGTGCTGTGTGTATTGTACGATGGACATGAGACACAAGACACAAGACAAACACCGGTGTAAAATAACAAGAAGAATTATCATTAACCCTAAAGGCGGGCCTCCCATTTGGTAATTTGGTAATATTCTCTATCAATACACCAAAACTGCAATGCGGGTTTTCCTTGCTTTCCCCTCCCCCCCCCCCCCCTCCCCCCCCCCCCCTCCCGCTCTTGCTGTAGCATAGAATGCCTCATAATCCCTATAGATAGATTTCACCTGTGACCCGTGACGCCGAGCTGATAGCCAAAGCCAAGATGCCGTTCCGTCTGTACCATCCGTGCCGTATATCGTCGGTCCCTCCTGGGAACCGTTTGTGGAGTGGGAAAAGTGTAATAAAAGAAGAATTCGTTTAAAAACAAGTCGAATGGAAAATCATCGCCAGCGGTGTTCCGCTTCGCCCTTTTGTCGTAAAGTAGCCCGTGGATCAAGCTCGTAGTGTGAAAACAAGAAGAAGAAGCAAAAAGTAAATAAAAAAGAACCATAATAACAAGCGAGTATCCTTCTCTTTCTAAAGAAAATCAAGCGGCTGAGTCGAAACAAGTATGCAGGGTACGGTACTACTGGTGATGAGTAGAATTAAAAGTGAACCGCGACTATGGAGCGTATTCGTTTGAATGTGTAGATGCGATAAAATCGCCGGTAAAGTGTAGTAGAATTAAGAGTCAAGAAACATCAAAGCCGGCTTCCTCTATACCATTGATTGGCTGATGCTGGGCTTTCGCTGTCTTGTTGGTGACCAGCTGTTGCGGGCTGCGGCCACGCCGCCAAAGCCAAACAGGCGACATCTGCGGCGGTACGATCTCCTAGACGTTGTGCAGATGTAGGCGGCGCCAAAGATGACGGTCAGGGCGACAAACAAGAGGCCCAGGTAAAAGGTGTAGTGCTCGCCAATCGTCAGGAACAGCGCGGCGTCCCAGCCGTGCCAGCTGCTGGCGCCGCCGTGCACAAAGATGGGTGTCGTGACCTTGCCTCGCAGCATGTGCGGCGCCATGTCGCCATGCTCGTCCGACAGGATATGGACCTTTGTGCTCTGGCGGCCGGCGTTGAAGTCGCGGACGTAGGCCATCCACTGGTTGGAGTAGAACATGCAGCCGGTGCTCAGCATGTTCTCGACGTAGGGGATGCGCATCGGCAGCGCCCAGTGCAGGTCGTGGCTCGGCACATTCTCCAGCAGCTGCGTCAGGAACGGATGGCCGGGCTGCGTGGCGATGAAGGCGTTGTTGACTCCCGCGGGATGCGCGCCGGGCGAGACGTACGGCAGGCGGACGATGGGCGTCTGGTCAAGAGGGACGCGACAGGTGACGTCGAGGTCGACGTAGATGCCGCCCGAGTGGTGCAGCAGGGCATATCGCAGGATGTTTGCGCGCTGGATGTTCTGGGCGTAGCCGGTGTAGTGCGGTAGGATGTCGGGGTAGAACTCGGCGATGAAGGCCGTGGCGTTGACGTCGGTCCACAGCTGGTGCTTCCAGTCGGGGTGCAGCGCCGTGCAGGACGAGATGGCCGCCTGGTACTTGGCGACGCTGGCGTTGCCCAGGGCGATCTGGTGGATGATCTTGGGCACCACGACGGGGTTGAGCGTGGACGAGGCCGAGGTCGGGTCCTCGAGCGATTCGAGCAGCGTCGACGACGAGTTCTCGGGGTGTCGGTACAGGAGGTCTGGGTGGCTGTTCAGCAGCGGGTAAAAGGTGCTGTATGTGACGACGATCTCGCCCAGCTCGTGGATGTGACGGCGGAAGAAGACGACCAGCCAGAAGACGGCGATGGCGGCCAGGGCCACGATACTTCGGGTCCGCATCGTGGACGGGAGAGAGAAGGAGGACTGAGATTCGCTCGACTTGATTGTTTCGGATTAGAGGCGAATGCGGATGCGAATAAGGAATGAGACGCTGTGAGAGAGGTGAAAAATAGACGAGAGAGGAAGAGATGGAGGAGAGATGAGCAAAGGTTGGTGGAGCTTTCGCGGCGCTACGTTATAGGCAGTTGAGCACCTGTGAATGGAAACCTGCGGTACTTGTAGGGTATAACAGGGACGGGATTCAGAGTGTGCAGATAAGAATAGAATAGCGGCATGGAATAGCGGCATGGAATAGCGGCGTGATCTGCTGTTCCCCTTAACCCTTTTTCTCCAGCCAGCTCCTTTACCTTTTAATCCTTGCGCAGGTTTCCTGCCAAGCGAGGCCATCGAGGCAGAAATATGCCTACCGCGTTACCACTATCGCTTCGGACTCCGTCACCACGAATTAATTATGGGGCCCGGCACACCCCCCTTTTTCTTTTTTTTTTGCTGCATTTTTTGCCGTGGAGGTTTGCTTTTGCCGTGGAAGCGCAAGCCTTGGCCTTGCGCAAATCGAAATACAATTTTTAGCTGGTGGGACCCCCGCCCTGGCGCCTAAGCACATGTCTATCCCTTGTCCCCTTGTCCTCGCGCCGTGCTGAAATGCGGTCGCGGTGGAGAGTACCGCATACCTGGGCGGTACCTGAGGCAGCGGCACATTTGCCGTGCGTACCGTCTACTTGGCGGCGTCTAGGCCTGATGCGTGCGAGAACCGGCATTTTCCCAAGCCCAAGCTGGTTGATGACGCTTAGCCTGGCTGTCTGACAGAGGCTGCTGCACGAACCAAACTGGCTGAGCATGCCGCTGGCAGCACGTCCTTGGCGTCTGATACTTTTGCTGTACAGTACAGTAGACTCCAAAACGGCTTCACGGCAGACGCTGCAGGGAGAGGGGGGACCAGCCGCGGCGTGATTGGCCGCAGGTGCCTGGCTGAGGTCTCAGCGGATCGGCGCATCCTGGCACGAGCGACACAGACGAATGAGCGCGAGCAGTGTACGAGTATCGCTGGGGCTGCGCTGAGGCGCCGTTGTTTTCTCGCTGGCTGGTTATGGATAATGCCAAGACAGGCTTGCTGCTGAGCAACATGACGGCGCAGGATAGTCACGATTCCTTTGAGTCTTGGCAGAGCTGAGGCCGGGGTTCGGACCGTTGCTGCTCCCGGCAGATAGGATGAGATGCTTCCGTTTCTACGAGTGTTGTTCCTATATTCCGATTACATAAGGTACGGGAACGCAGACTCAGACTTACTTACTACCGACCTACGGACTGCTGGTACAACACGGTCTCCGTGCGCGATGGAGACCGATTGGGGCAATGGAGCATCCCGGAGAAGGATTAGACTCTTACGAATTATACGGCGCCACGGCCGGCAACACGGGGTCCAGCATTTTCCAACTCCGCATCACCTGAGGGGTGGCTGATTCACATAGGCAAAATTTCAACAAGATTAAGTAAGAGAGACCGATAGCGAGACCAAAGCACTACGGCGAGTCCGCAGCATATTCCGCCGCTTGCAGAGTGGGCGTGGTGTGATGGATTCAATTTTCATATCTAGTTGCTTGACATCACCAGTTGCCTCAAGACTCAACGCCTGATTTCAGCTGCTTGACAAACAGGGCGTTGTATGACTGTACTGTATCCATCACTAGAAAGAGAAAGAAGCCTCGGCCTCGGCCGCTGCTGTCAATGTCTCCTGAGCCTGGCAGAGAGAAGCCGAGCCAGGCGGGTCCGAATCCATCCTCGGGCCCGATTATTCTAGAAAACCCTCCCGTGCCTGGCCCGAATTATGGGAAAGCAGAATAAAGCTAAATCGCTGCCTCGGTGCGGATAGCCCCGGGGACAAGGTCGCATTCAGAGATTGGAGATTCAGTGAATCGGAGTCCTCGGCAGCGTTTGAGATGGCGAGATTTGGCATCAAAACGCAGCCACGTGAGGTCAGTCATCATTTTTTCCCAATTGCCGTAGCTACGTCATTCTAATTTGCATTTATACCCTTTTCGTGAAGTGTGGGTTTTAGGTGGCATCCGCGCTGAAATGGCGGGAAAAAAGAATATCCCGGAATCACGTGACTCTCCTTCGTACCCCTGCATCTTCGTTATCATTATCAGCATCACAGGCAATCCATCGGTGCAGGCCAGTCCGAATCGCTTGAAGATGCCGCTTTCAGGCTGCTTTGTACATGCAGCAGCTGTAACCTGAACTGCTCCATTTGCCATTTGAGAGAAGCCAATCGAACCAAGCGCAACACCCGAGATGCTCGCCTCAATGGCGTCGTGCTTCAACTGGCTGCTGGCGCGCCGTTTCAGGAGAGTTACAACCATCTTGGCCGGCCTGATACTCTCCATCGCCACCATTGTGTTGCTTGTCAACAACTTGGGCCCGGCTCCGACTTTGCCCAAAGGCAAACCAAAGACGACATCTTCCGGCGAGGAAGCAATAAGCTCCGGATTTCCTCTTTGCAGCGATCATAAAGATCCCAACGTCACCTACCCCGTGGAATCATGGCGGGCTGCAGCTGAGACTAAGTATGGCGGGCATCTGGATGACAAGTTTACGTATGTTGAAGCTGCTGCTGCTTTATTACAGCTATTTGCTAATAACAAAATCTTGCAGGATCGCCATGTCGACTTTTCATCGTCCCAAGGAGCTCCATCGCACATTAACCACCCTCCTATCCGCCAAGATCCCATCGCTACACGAAATAGTCGTTATATGGAACAACTTTGACGAAAAAGAGCCCGACAGCTTCGTCTCCGAGTACGGCGTCTCTGTGCGATACCGCAAACCAACTCGCGACAGCCTCAACGAGAAACTCTGGCCGGATCCCACATACCGCACAAAGGCCATTCTTCTCACCGACGACGATGTCTTTTACCGCCCTGAAGACCTCGAGTTCGTGTTCCAGATGTGGCGCAAGTTTGGAAAGGATCGCATGACGGGAGCCCTTGCTCGCTGTGTTTCGGCTCTCCCGTCTGGCGAGTGGGACTACAACTTTTGCTCGCAGAGGGAGCACGAGGACGTTTATTCCATCGTCTTAACCAATCTGGCCTTTACGCACATTGCATTCCTAGACTATTACTTTTCTGACGATCCCGCTGTGACAAAGATTCGCAAATACGTGGATGATGCCTTCAACTGCGAGGATATAGGCCTCAACTTTGTCGCTTCCATGTTGACCGGTTCAGGGCCCCTTTTGGTCCGCGGCCGCCATCAGTACGTCAACCTGGACCCTGCAGGCGGCATCAGCAGAAAGCCAGGCCACATGGAAGCTCGCAGCAAATGCCTCAACGTTTTCTCTGAAGCCTTTGGATGCATGCCACTCGTCAACGAAACGGGACGGATAGAACATGGAGTTAAACACAATGTATGGTACAAGTCCCTGTGGGACGTGATACACGGCTAGCGAATGCGCTCAGGCACAGTCTCCATTTTATGCTCTTTTTATTTGGACAAAAGGGATTTTTTCAACGTAATATTAATGATAATGGGACGATACACGCACATATACTATATATACATGTACAACAGCAGATGGCGCGTCCTAAAGCAAGGGCGCCTGGTTCATTATACTAGAGGGAAAAACAACAAGACGCAATACTGCAACGGGATAGAAAAATAAGGAAAAGGTACCTCCTCGATCATAAAGGATATGGTACCGTGTCAACTTTACTGAAAACCGCCATGAAATCGTTTCGATATAATCCACCACTTAGTCCATGTCACTGTTGAGATCACCAATGTTAGCATTCGAGTTCCAGATGATTGGGCTGACTGAGAAGATTAAAAAAGAATTCACCTACAGCAAAGCCAGTGTCAAGTCTCCGTGGATCTTCGCCTTGAGCTCAATCTGAATATCCAGATTCAGGTCGAGTCGCAGCTTAAGAGGATCCTTCTTGCCGCCATCCTTCTGGGGCTGCTGCATCTGCATCTGCTGCTGCTGCATCTGTTGTTGCTGTTGCTGGTACATCATCTGCTGCTTCTGCTGGTCCTGGCGGGGAATCATCTGGCCCTGGTCCTCTTCGTCGTCCAGGTCCTCGACCTGGCGCTGTAAGGGCCTTCTCCTTCGGCGAGACTTGGTCTTGGTCTGGGTCTCGCCCTGCGGCTTCTCGCGCTTGCGCTCTGGCTGTGGGGGTGGTGTTGCGGGCTCATTGTCGTCCTGGTCTTGGTCGTCTGACTTGTCTTCGCTCAGATCGCCGTTCTGGTCGTTGTTTTGCTGCTGGTCTTCGTTTTCATTTTCGGCGCCAGAGTGCTGTTCTTCTTGGTCTGAGTGCTCTTCATTGGTGGCGTTGTTGTCCAAGTCCTTGGGCTTCTGAAAAGGTGGATTAGTTCATATTTCATGATATGCGTCAGCTCTGGAGACAAACCTCGTCTGAAGACATGATTGCTGACTATGATGAGTCACTTAAAGAGTTGAGAGAGATGAAAAGGAAGACTAAGCGGCGAAGAGTTATGAGAACAAACAAGTTAGGAGTCTTCTCATCAATTGGTCTTAAACAATGGCAGATATTATTGTCAGAGTTCTTTAGTCTTTTGGCATGTCAAAATGAGGCGTAGGTCCGCGACGCTCGCTTTTGTGGCTCTGGTTCAACTTTTTGATCCAGGTCCCACTACGGGATTTCTTTGATATCGAGTGACGCAACAGCGATGTGTCTCCTCGTCCTTCTACGAAACTAAAAAAAAACAACAGCAAACAAACCCGGCATTAAGGACTGGCCAAGCTTTCTTCACTCCCCCCCTGTTGAGTTAGTGGCGCTTATGACGTGCCAACATTTATGCTCGAAAAAACTTGGAGACGATATATCATCTGGGACAGGCCTCCAACCCTCCAAAAGCTCACGCCATGGGCGTCGGCCCTCATGTGAGGTGAAGTCATTCTGTGCGGGTTGCATGGGTTACTTACAGTATGTACAGCTAGCCGGGAACTTTAGCTGGGACATGGGTCATGAGTCCCCACAGCAGCTGGAGGATCTCGATCGTCTCATGCAAGGCCCTCCTAAATAACGACTATGGAGTCATTCAGAGAAGATACACGTTTCAAAACAATATACACGAGAGGATTGCCAAAAAACGTCATTCAGATGGAAACCTCTCCATAGTCTGTTTTGTTTTGTTCATGCCAGAACTATACACTCAAGCGCCGATTACACCATGGTCATCGGGCTCCTCGCCATCACAGCAATACCTACCGTGACGGGGGTGGGCCAAGCCGTCAGTGCCCAGAAGAAAGCAAACGCAGCAAACAAGGAAAAGGAAAAGTTTCACTTGACGGCGGTAGTCCAAGACGGGGAACAGGAAGACGACGACTACGAGACGGATTTCTGCGTGCTCAAAGACGGAAAGGTATGGCCACAAGAACTACGAGAACAACACATGACAAAACGTCTAGCGGCTGACTTTTGACGACAATGGCTTAAACAGCTGCTTGTCAACATCCCGCTCGATGCCGACTTCCCTGGCTACGCCTTTTGCGGCTACTATTTCACGTACCCCAGCGAGGAGCAGCATCTGGGGCTGGTGAGCACCATCTCGGACGATCCCCCAATGCTCAACTGGCTCTACATCAACAAGGACACGCACGCGGTGGAGTATGGCGCTCGCAAGGACACCCTGGGTCACGTCATTGGGCCCTGGGGCTGGAGCGCGGACGAGCAGTTTCTGACGATCCAGGGCAACGACGATGTCTTTGTGGCGAAGCTGGAGCGCGACGAGAGTGGCTCAGAGCGGTGGGTGGTGTACTGGGACCCGGAGAGCGAGATACTAGCCACGACGGAGGTGGAGGAGGAGTGCAAGCCCGTGAGGCTGAGGAGGGCCATGTTATTGGGCATGCAGAGCAAGTATGTGAGGGACTAGCCACAGTTTGGAAAAAATTAATTAGTTGCAGTGATAAAGCCTGTTTGGATTGAATAACAGGGGTTTAGCTCGCTTTTTGCTTCATCACGATGCGGTGGCTGCTGATTTGCAGAGAAAAGGGTATGGGGTAGAAGTTGATTCTGCGAATGGAATAGCTGCCGCGGAATGAATGGTCACAACGTGGTGGGCTTGTCTCCGCAATTGGTGGCTTTCCGGTGCATGTTAGCCCAAAATAGTACATACAGTATGATGCTGATCCCTGTCTATTCGATACAGAGAATTAATTAATTTATATTAAACCGTATTGGCTCATGATGACTTCATAGACTTGGTTCTAAAGGTGAGGGCGTGTAAAAGAAAAAAGAAAATTACGGAATAGCGGCAGATAGAACAAAGTGGAGATTTTGGCTGCTAGAGAAAAGATGGAAACAAGGGGTGAAGAGGAAAACCGGTTCGGCTGACGACGTAAGGCGTCTGATTGCAGAATGACCTACTGAATAAATGGGGGTATATCATTATGATGCTCCGAGAATTGGATGGAGGGATGCGAATGTTGGATATACTACTAGAAAGGCAATAGCCAAAGGGGTCTAATTCCTGTCTTCATATTCGACTTACACACATACCCACCAGGAACTTTTAGAAACTCTTTTTTTCTACTTTCAACTCCCCATCTCATCTCACAACTCCATCTCGTCTTCGCCTCTGTTATCAACTAAGACAGCAACACCAACAACACAACCGCCAACATGTCAAATGCCACTGAAAAGGACCGCACCGACTCCGCCGAAGAGTACGGCTCCGACTCTGCCCCCGAGTCACCGCCTCCCCAGCCTCCCCGCCGTGAGAGAAGACAAATGACGAGGACCCAGCGCCGCGGAAAGTCCCAAGGCGGCGGCGGTGGCCAGCTCGCCGGGCTGGACAACCTGCCCGTGGCCGGTGATTTGGGAAATCAAGTAGGGCAAGTTGGACAGACGGCACAGGGAGCAGTTGGCGGCGTCACAGGCGCATTGGGAGGCGTCGCGGGCGGCGCGGTGCAGCAGCAGGGCGGCGGTGATGACAAGAAGAGCGACACGTTGAGGCTACGGCTGGATTTGAACTTGGACATTGAGATTCAGCTCAAGGCCAAGATCCACGGTGACTTGGAGCTGGCGTTGTTGTAAGTCTTCAAACCTCCCATTTCCTTTCTGTTTCCTACACTCAATCTTCTCCAAAGTTTTATGTAAAAAAAAAAAAAACAACCTCCCCCCTTCTTCGAGTCCCCACGAATTACACACATATATTTTGGGTTTTATCACATTATCTTACAAGTGCGGCCTCTCTTTCAGGACTGGCTAGTTATGGGGCCCTACCATATCACCCGCATATGCAAAATGATGCGAAAAACTTCAAAACTAGAAAGAAAAAATTATGTTTCTTCTCAAAGGCAAGATCGGCTAATGACGTTGCGCTTGTTCACGTCACCAGGAACTGAGAAAAAAGATCAAAGCGATTGTGACGCAATTTTGTTCAACGACGACGACGACAACGAAACCGGCGCTTCTATTTTTCTTATAATGAGAGAGATTTGATGCGATTTCAGATCTCGAGGCGTATAACCGGGATGGCTCTCCGTCGATTTTCTTTTTTTTTTTTATCGACTGCTTTTTGGATGCTTTCCTTTTTGTTATTGCTTAATTTTGTCTACATGAGCCTCATACTAGGAGGAGAACGTTATAGCGTGGAGAGGGTGAGGATAACTTGTCCTGGATTTGTTACGATTATCTCACGCATGTACTGTTACATAAAGATGGAGGGGTGAACGAGCAGGATGATAGCTCTACCTCTAGTTAATGACACTATTACTTGACCTGAACAATTCACCTCGTGCCAAATGTGCAGATGATGAAGGGCATGAAAGACAGTTCAGCCACAGAGTCACCAGCCACACTAGCTCGAGCCACAGTTACGCAACTGCAACTGCCGTGAGAGCCACAGTACGAGACGCCACAGCATTGTTTTAAGCCACAGCGTGATGAAAAGCCACAGCATGGGCAAAAGATGGGCCAAAGCCACGAGTGACATGCTGTGGCTGCTTGCCTCTTTGGACCATGTCTCGATTCGGCATCTTCCGACCGAGACTAACAATTTGACACGGAAGAAACGTTCCACGAAAGCAGGATTGAGCTGCGTCTTTTTCCTCGGAAAAACAGGTATCTTGAGGGCTTTTTTTTTTCTTCTACACTATAGGAAAAAAGCAACATGCAAGTCCGTAACATCTACAGTTTGCGGCACAGTATCAAACGGCCCTACTGGCGCCGGCGTGGAGAACCCCTGTCTCAGCGCGATATTCTTGGAACGATCGGCGATGCGGATGATGTGGGCGTGTGTCATCGCCCCATGGCGGGCCTTGCGCAAGGCTCTTTTGCACACGATGACGCAGTTGCTGCTGCTTGTCTACTAGAGGGCGGCCTTAGGGGAATTCTTGCGCTGCGATTGGGCTCTGCTGGTGAGGAGCGCATCAAGCTAGTTGTTGTCGCTGCTCTTTACTGAGCTTTTCAGTACATTTTGCGTTGAGAGAAACTCACATTCTTAATAATTAATCAAGTTACTTTATACGTTACATACCTACGTACTTGGCGCTTCAGCTGAACACAATGCCGCATCAGCAGTCGTCTCCGGACAGCCCCAACTTGCCGCCATCCGGCGGTGATCGTCAGGGACCACCACGACGCTCTTCCAGCCATAGACTCGTCATGCTGCCCCGAACAACAGAAGACAGCAACAATTCAAACTCACAAAACGGGGACAAGAAGAAGAACCCAGACATCAAGATCCCCAAGATCCAGCCCGTGGAGCAGGGCGAGCCGCTCGCCGAGCTGGCCCAGGGCTTAGTGGGCAGGTTTGTCGACGAGTTCGGCAACATCCTGGACTGGGATGGCACGGTGCTAGGGTCAGTGGAGGGCGATCTGCCTTCCATGGTGGGACGGCCGGTGTCCGAGTCGGGGGAGATTCTGGACAATGCCGGCGAGGTGGTGGGATATGTCTCCGAGAATCATACGAGGCCGAAGCTGAAGGATCTGGAGGGGGGGTTGAGGATAGATGGTGATGGCAACATTTACAACAAGCAGGGCAAGGTTGTGGGCAAGATGAATCCGTCCACAGAGGAGGGAGAGGGATCTGGGCAGCAGCCGGCACACAACGAGAGCGAGGGCACAAAATCTCAAGATAATGCTGGTAAAGCGAAAGAAGATACGCCGGGCCCATCAGATGTGTATTTGGATGTCAAATCAACACACGATGGCATTCAACTGATTATCAGGATACCCACGGTTTTTAGAAAGGGTTAACTCGAACCATTGCAAGAGTGCGTCTTTTACTGGTAATACAAGGATCGGAAGATAGGGGGCAGTTTAGGCGTTGGCTCAATAACTGGTCTGGGAATCTGGCGATAGCATCATTTCGCAATATAGAATAGCTATAATACCACGTGCTTTTCATAAATTCCTCGCATCTTTGATAAGCTCAAGATATCAGCGTCATAGCCAAGGCGTCAACTACGAAGCCTTTAATCTATCTACTACAGCACTAATTCAAGGGGTGCAGAAATCCACCGCCACACTTCCTCTATCCATACTCCCCTATCAGAAACCTGTTTAAACAACAATAGACAACATATTCAACGCCACATGATAAATGAATACGACACCTCCTCAGTTAGCCTGTGGCGAGTGTGGCTTGCCTTGTGCAGAAGAAGATCTCGGGCTCGGGTCTCGCATGGGACATCCCTGTTTCGCGACACGCACTACCATAAGCTTCAGAGAGCTCTTGGGCCTATGCTGAAGCTCGAGAGACAGTTTTGTGGCTTGTCTGATATCATTGTGATATGATGTTCCCCTTGAATATATGGGATCTTATGTTCTAGTGGTTGAGCCGTTCATCTATTCATTGGGGCTTATCCATGTTGGCAAGACGTAATTGAGCTCCGAGCCTGCGTCATGCCGCATCTGAGATGGTTGGGTATTGGATGCGTTTTGCTCATCGAGATGCGTGCAAGTAATTAATTCATGGTGAGTGACGCTGTTGGATAGGCAGGATGATTTGCATGTGCCAAGTTGACAGAAGTTGCGTATGCAGATGTGAAAAGTTGGATGATGAAAAGGCGCAACCTTAATTCCCGTCAGCATTTGTGTATATATAGTAGGAAAGAGTAATGACAACTCAATTGCAATTCAAAACACTTTGAAAACGTAAAACAAATTCAATTACAGCTACCAAAACTACTCACTCAATTTTGTGAACCCAAACTTTTTTTATATTTTTAATGAGTTACTGAGTCCAAAATGCCGTTCCCAAAGCCCGTAAAAGTCCAAGGGGGATGGCAAGCCAAAGACAGTCCTACCACAGAGCAGAGAGATCCAGGTAGAGTACTCTTCTTTGACAATAACTGAGTAATTGCACATCTAACAGCTACTACCCCTCACAGTTGAAATGCTGCGGTCTATTCCTCGATCTGCTGCTGGTGTTGTGACCGACACGGGAGACATCCTTGATAGAGCTGGCAAGCCTATCGGACACATTACCGAGTCTGGAGAATCCTCTGATCTTGTGGGCAACGCTGTCATGGCTTCTGGAGACATTCTTGACTCCTCTGGAAAGGTCCTTGCCAAGGCCGACATCAACACCGAGGAACTGGGCGACGAAGAAGACGAAGGTGAGGAGGGAGATGAGGAGAATGAAGAAGGCGACGAGGGCGAGTACACCACTGGGTCTGGCCAAAAGAGTCCCCAAAAGTCCGGCGGCTGGAACCTCATGGGAAAGACCAAGTCGGCCTACAACACCGCCAGCAACCTCCAAAAGCCCGTCTCGCAGGGCCTCGACCTGGTCAGTAGCAGGATGCAGAAACCAAGCGAAGACGAACAAAGCTCAGCTGACTATTCGATTCAGGCCGGCGACGAGGACAAGCAGCTCCAGGAACGCGGCAAGGAAGCTGGTGAAGAGGGGCAGGAGGAGCTGAAGGAGCAGGAGCCCATTGCCATGGAAGACAAGTCGGAAGAAGCTGGAAAGGACCTCGACAAGACCGAGGCACCTGAGGCTGATACCAAGGACGTGGAAGAAAAGACGGACGAGGCCAAGGAGGGCGAGCCAGAGACCAAGGATCTGGAGGAAGCCAAAGACAGTGAGATGCCCCAGCCAGACACCCAGGACTTGGAAGAGAAGAAATCTGACGTTGCCGAAGAGGGAGAGAAGCTAGAAGAGGGAGAGAAGCCAGAAGAGGGAGAGAAGCCAGAAGAGGGAGAGAAGCCAGAAGAGGGAGAGAAGCCAGAAGAGGGAGAGAAGGTAGAAGGCGAGGAGGAGCCAATTGATTTCTCTGACCTCAAGGGATGCAAGGTCAACAAGGCCGGCAAACTGGTCAACAAGAACGGAGATGTCCTCGGAGTCGTTCTTGAAGGCGACATCAAGCACCTCGTCGGCCTGAAGTCCGACGAGGAGGGAAACATCTGGAACGACTCTGGCAAGAAGGTCGGCAAATGCCGTCCTTTGAACCACTCGGAGCGCGGCGATGAAAAGGAATTCGCCCCCTTTGAGAACTTCCCTGACGCTGTCGTTGAGGCTGATGGCCGTGTCATGTTTGAGGGTAAGCAGGTTGGTGTCGTCGTGGACGGTGACCCAAAGCATCTCAAGGGCGCCAAGGTCGATGAAGATGGTGACATTCTTGATCGACGCGGCAATGTTGTTGGCAAGGCCGAGGCTTGGGACGAGCCCGAGGCTGAGCCCGAGGCTGAGGTCGATCTGTCTTCCTTGGCTGGCAAGAGAGTCAACAAGGCTGGCAACATCGTCGACGGCTCGGGCGCCATCTACGGCCGAGTCGTTGAGGGCAACGTCAAGTCTCTCGTGGGCCGTATGTGTGACAAGAACGGCAACATCCTGAGCGAGTCTGGAGACATCATCGGCAAGGCCGAGCTTGTTGGCGAGGGCGAACGTGAGGGCATGAAAGAGGGTCCCTTTGCCGAGCTCTCTGGCTGCACTGTCGCAAAGGACGGCACCGTTGTCACGCCTTCGGGTGATGTTGTCGGAAGACTCACCGAGGGAGACCCCAAGAAGCTGTTTGGCCGCCAAGTCGACGAGGATGGAGACGTTGTCGACAGCAACGGAAACGTCCTGGGCAAGGCCGAGCGCTGGGAAGAGCCCGAGCCCGAAGAGCGGAAGAAGGCTCCCTACGCCGGCCGCAAGGTCAACCGCGAGGGTAACGTCCTGGACGAGGAAGGAAACCTCATCGCCAAGCTTGTTAGTGGTGATATTTCTGCCTGCGCTGGCAAGGAAGTCGACGAAGATGGCGATGTGGTCAACTACAAGGGAGACACTGTCGGCCACGTCGCTCTGCTTGAGGACATTCCCAAGGAGACCGAGGAGGACATCAAGAAGCGCGAGGAGGCTGAGAACGATCGCAAGCTGGCCGGCAAGCTGGCTGGATGCATCGAGCAGTCTCTCGATAAGCTGCGGCCCATCTGCAAGATGATCACCGACAAGGTCAACACCGCTGAGAGGACACCCAAGGAGGAGCTTGACGAGGAGGCGCTGGTGCGGGAGGTCAAGCCGCTGATTGAAGAGGGCGGCAAGATCCTCACTGAGACCAACGGCACTATTCGTGGCCTTGATCCCGATGGACGTATCCAGCGGAACGCAAAGCACAAGGCCGGCACGAAGGAGGCTACGGCGGAGGAGCATCATCTGGCCGAGGTGCTCTCCGAGCTCACAGGTACTGTTACCGAAACCATCGACAACGCAAAGAGCAAGATTGAGGGCATGCCCCACGCCAAGAAGGAACTCAACCCTCTCTGGGGTCTCTTGGCGGAGCCCTTGTTCCAGATCATTGCTGCCGTTGGGCTGTTGCTCAATGGTGTGCTCGGCCTCGTTGGCAAACTTGTAAGTGTCTATTAATACTACAGCCCTGGAGAGTCTAATGCTAACATTGTCATTTACAGCTGAGCGGCCTCGGTCTCGGCGGAATCGTCGACAACCTCCTCGGAACGCTGGGCCTCAACAGGGTCCTCGATGGCCTTGGCCTGGGCAGCATCACGGGCCAAATAACTGGCAAGAAGCAGGGCGAGAAGAAGAAGGGAGGTGGCCTTTTGGGCGGCTTGGGCCTGGGTGGCTAAACGCTGTTCTTTTTCTCTCTACATTCTGAGAAACGCAGCTGTTTTAATGATTAATGGAATTTAATGATGGTCAGAATGTGTTGGAAATTATGGACAAAAGGGAGGCTCGGATATTCACGAGTTTGTATGGACGATGTATTAATGCTTGGTGTTTTGAATTAGTTTTGTACGATTAGGTAGTATCGCTGTAACGTAATTGATGCTTTTACTGAAACCTTTTGTTTGTGATACGATTGAGGCCATAGACTAAGCACTACTAAACCCAGTATGTTTGTCTGCCTAGGTTGCACATGCTATTCTGTGCACTGTCCCGCTCACCCTCGTCATCACTGTCACAATTTCTTTTTGTGTTTTCATCATCATCGGTTTTTTTTTAAGCTCAATTGATCATTTATCATGGCAAAAGTTATCTTCTTAATGGCCGATTATGGTCATGACCCGACAGGTGAGTAAACAAACATTCAAAGCAGGACATTAGTTTGATTGGCTTGCACTAGAAACATGCGTGCCTTATACGGCCTTTAAGAATGCCGGCTTCGACGTCAAATTCGCAACCGAAGCGGGCAAATCGCCTCAATGCGACTCCAAGATGCTGGAAGGCCTCACGCAGCGCTTTTTGGTGCGTTTTTTGCCATCTCGCGCATCTTGCATGCTCTAACATGGATGAATGGGCGAATCATAGGGCGCAACGTCCTTCAACGTGAAAAGATACCACGCCATGGCCGACTCGCAAGAATGGAGGAATCCCCTCTCATGGTCCGACGAGCAATTTTCCCTGGACGCGTTCAACCTCGCCTTCTTCCCCGGCGGCCACGATAAAGCGGTCCGGCAAGTGATTGACTCGGAGAGAGTCCACAAGCTGGTGTCCGATTTCTTCCCCGGCACCAAGAAGCCCAGCAACAAGGCCGTCGGCGCAGTCTGTCACGGCGTCATGGTGCTCTCAGAGTCCAAGCATCCCGATGGGAACAGCGTCATTCGCGACTGCGCAAGCACGACTCTGCCGGCGCGGTTTGAGCAGCTCGCCTTTTGGGGCACTCGCCTCTTCCTAGGGGATTACTACAAGACGTATGGAGCGGGAACCGACGACGTCGAAGTCTTGGTGCGAAAAGAGCTGGCAGATCCTGAGCTGCTCAAGATTAGCATCAAGCCCTCACCGTGAGTTTTTCCGGAAAAGAAGAGTCCAGTTTTTGTGTGTCACGAGTTACTGAATATCGACGTCTTTGCTAGCTTTGTTGTCGAGGACGAAAACTTCAATTACATCACGGCGAGGTACCCCGGCGACGCAGAACTTTTGTCGCAGAAGCTAGTTAAGCTAGTGCAGGGCTTTTGATGGACTTGCGGAGAGCCGAGTCTGAGATCCGGGGAGTCGCGGAGAAAATGGACGAGCTGGTTTGCCAAGTGAGATTTTGGCGACGATGGGGATGGAGAGTATCCACCTGGGTCGCATCAGATTTGTAACCCTTGGTTTTTGTTTTGATCTTGCGTGACAGCTTGGAGTTGATTATTCTAGAATGAATTACCTGTTTATGCTTCTGTATATGTTATGGTATGGATTAATTAGTCGCTGTTACAGGGTACATGTACAACCAAACACAACTAACTGGTTACATTATATTCCACCAACCAGCTTTACGATACTTGCATGTATAATTCTAAGCTGGCACACAATCAACCCCGTTCCTTAGCCTCGATTATAATGGTGTTGCACTCGGATAGCCGTAGCGAATGCCATTTGCGAGCTGCAACTCATGTTTACGCGGGATGCTAACAGAAACAAAAGACAACTAAAAACTCAATGCTACCATGCCATGGACCTGTTTTTGTCTTCGTGGGGTTCTCAATACCACTACAATTACCCAATTGATCATCTCTGTTCACAATTGGCAGGGCGGAGTCCCTTTTTACGGGTAATAATCCGGGCTCCAAGCCAATCCAGAGCTGCGAGCTGCGTCGAGCAACGGCATCCGGGTAGCAACCCTTGCCATGACGGCGAAAAGTATCTGCGTGCGTGGGGAAGCATCAGGGAATTCGCAGCTTTCCCCTGCAACGTCCATTGCTAGCCTGAGCTTCCCCCGCACGCCAGCAGGAAAAAGGGCCGAGACTTGTTGTTGATGTGCCTGGCCTGGCCGGCAAAAGGCAGAAGATGCAGAGATGGGATGTGATTTCGCCCCTTGGACCTGAGCTGGCGGGCAGGGATCTGGCGTCGAGGCGAATATGCCGAATCGGTCAGTGGACTGTGACATGTTGTTGCGTCTACAGCCCCAATGCTACTTTCTCCGCGAACGGCGACCCGCAGACATGGATGGGATTGGATTCTGCAGACATGGATAGGACTTTGGGGGACGAGTCTAACACGACTTTGGCCGTCTGGGGTATCCGTCTATCCGTGTGCCGATTCTGGCAGGGAAGCCTGGGATGGCATGGAGCGAGTAAAGATGAATAATACAATATCCAGTAACGGCAGCAATGACTATATAAGGACGTGAGAGGCCCCGATCGGCCGTGAAAGGGAGACCTGGTTACTCCAGCGATTGACCTGAGGCAAAGGGACGAAGAAGCAGGTTTGAGGCTGATCTCACCTGTGATATCTCTGTAAGATGAGAGCCGTCTCATTGTTTCTCGGCCTGGCTGCCGTTGTAGCTGGCACCTCTCTACCATCTGAAGGCATCGAGGCCAGACACTCGTCCGGCTACTGGTACGAGAACATCGAGCACAATGGAATCAGCCCTTTTATTGAAAATGGCAAGAACTGGACCGTCTTTCGCAACGTCAAGACGCACTTTGGTGCCAAGGGCGACGGCGTGACGGACGACTGGGCTGCTATCCAAGCTGCTTTTGACTATGCCAACGCCACGGATACTCGCAATGCCAGCGTATGGGGCACCACGGGCGCTCCAGCTGTTGTTTATATTCCTGCCGGCACATACCGTCTGAGCAAGCCCCTCCAGTCGTACATTGACACCGTCGTCATCGGAGATCCCACCAACCGACCGGTACTCCAAGCCTCGTCAGACTTTTCCGATCCCTTCCTCTACCTTGGCTGGGACCCCAGACTAGACCCAACAATCAACTTCTACATTGCCTTGAAGAATGTCGTTTTGGACTCTACCAAAGTGGCTCCTACCCACAACATCACGCTGCTCAACTGGGCCGTGAGCCAAGCCGTGCAGCTGACCAACGTCTTGTTCAACATGCCCAACGGCGGCGTCGCTCACACGGGACTGTCGATGCCTCAGGGAGGCTCTCCTCTGATAATCAACGATGTTGTGTTCCAGGGCGGATCTGTTGGCATTCGCATGAATGAGCAACAGTACCATTTCAAGGGGATCACGTTCAAGAGTACGTTTTATATACTCAAACCGGTGCATAGCCCTGCTAACATGACCATCTGATAGACCAAGACATTGGTCTGAAGCTCGACAAGCTGTTTGAAGGTACCGGCCAGGGCCTGCACTTTGAGTCCTGCAAAGTGGGCATCGAGACTACAAACAACAACACCGGATTCTTTGCTCTTATTGACTCGACTGCCAAAAATGTTGGCATTCTGTGGAACGCTGCCGCCTCGCCCACAGCTCAAGGCTCGATTGTGCTTGAGAATGTCCAAGTTGACAGCAAGACCGGCTCTGTAAGTCATCATGTGCCCTGAGAGGATATCATCTCATTTCTGTACGAAGAGACTAACATTGCCTGCTAGACCGTTACCGCTGGAGGAAAGAATGTCCTCAAGGGCTCTGTTAAACCCGGCCAGTCATGGATCTGGGGCAACGTCTACGGATCTTCAGGCCAGCGCGCGCAGGGCAAATTCTTCCCGGCATCTCGCTCTGCGGCGCTTGTTGACATCACGGGAGCCTACCACGTTGCCACTCCGCCAACTTTCCAGGAGTACAGCGTGAACCAGGTCATCAATGTGAAGAGTGTTCGCGGCTTGCCCGTTGCAGGTGATGGTGTTACTGATGAGTGAGTTTTACTACAAAGCCATTATCAAGACATGTGAAGCTAATCCATTTATTAGCACCAAGAACCTCCAGAGAATCATCAATAGCGCTGCGGGTAGGAGTGTCCTGTACTTCCCTCATGGAACCTACCTTGTTAGCGACACCCTTGTGATCCCCCCCGGAAGCCGGTAAGTGATATCAAACTTCATTATCTCCATATTAATTTGCTGATGGAGTTACAGCATCCACGGAGAGGTCTGGTCTGAGATCAGCGCCACTGGATCCAAGTTCAAAAACGCCAACAACCCCGTGCCGATGGTCCAGGTCGGATATCCCGGCCAGGTCGGCGTTGCGCAATTCGTCGACATGCTCTTCACCGTTGCCGACATCCTCCCCGGCTGCAAGCTCGTCGAGGTCAACATGGCCGGCCTCAAGGCTGGAGATGTTGGTTTCTTCAACTCCCACTTCCGTCTTGGAGGTGCTCGAGGTTCCAAGGTTCAGACCAACTGCGACGATCCCGCGACTTGCAAGGCTGCGCGAGTTTGCGCTCATCTCACGGCTCTGTCTTCCTCATACTGGGAGAACAGCTGGTGCTGGAGCGCTGACCACGATCTAGACGATGACAACGGTGCTAACCCTTCCACTGCCGGTGGTTTCTTGGTGGAATCCATCCGATCAACCTGGATGCTGGGTATCGGCAGCGAGCACAACTCCCTGTACCAGATCAACATCCACAAGGCACAAAACGTCTTCCTGGGCTTCCAGCAGAGCGAGACGCCATACTGGCAGGGCAACAACTCTGGCTTATTGACGCCTCTTCCCTGGACCGGCTCTCTGTTGGACAGCGACCCAGACTTTAGCTGGTGCGCAGCCGACGATGCCCAGTGCCGCATGGCCATTTTCCAGTACATCCACGACTCTAGCAACGTCAATGTCTACGGCGGCGGCTACTGGGTCTTTTTCAACGGCATCAACCGCGATGGCTGCTCTGCAGAGTGCCAGCAGAACGCTGTCATTTACACCGATAACAAGAAGCTGTTCAGTTACGGTGTGAGCACTCATAATGTTAGAACAATGGTGCTCGAGTCCACGGGAGGGAAGGACGTGGCTGAAGTAACGGATACTGCAAACTCGGGAGGTTGGCAGAGTCATGGTGGTGTCATGGCTGCGTACTTGGGACAGAGCGGCTATTAAGATGCCGATTTGTAGATATGGTTATGCAACGATGAATGAAACATGGGGAAATTCGAATCACTTTTAATGCTGCCTCTTTAATACTCCTGCACATATACTGTACGTTCTCAGGACATCTCCTGTGTTGAGCTTCCAGAGTGACTGGGGCATACTACATACAGCAGATGTAGGTTGTTTGTGAGCTATGTTGGTTTCAGTTCGTATAGAGAGGCCGCCGTATGTCTTTGAGTGGGTTTTTCCCAACACAAACGAGAAAATCATTTGGCGATTCAATCTTCGACAAATAGCATATTGTCAAGTCCTATGAGCGAGCAAGCTTGGGGTTAGAGATCATTGTGGGGACTATGGAGTTTTAACCGCTGGAATGGGGAAAATGTTGCTCGCTTGGCTGCCATATTTGAACCCGTCACATTCTCTTTCCCTCATATTGAACTGTTCAACATAAAAAAATTGTAAAAGACGAATACTTCTTATTCTTAAATTCATTTGGCAAACAAGAGTCAACAAACAAGAGTTACTCGCAATGGCTGACAACTCCGCAAACAAACAAATTGTGCTCATCACGGGCGGCAACCAGGGCATCGGCTTCGAAATCGTTAAGAAGCTTGTCGCAGAGCAGCCAACCTACCATGTGCTCCTCGGCTGTCGCGCTCTATCAAAGGGAGAAGAAGCCATATCAAGACTCGAGAAGCTCGCCGGCTCAGTTTCCCCCATCGAAGTAGACGTCTCTTCAAACGACTCAATCGCAGCCTGTGTGGCGCAAATCGACCGCCAACATGGGAAACTCGACGTGCTAATCAACAATGCTGGCATTGGAAGACATGCAGTGGAGGACCTACCGAGCCTCAGGGCCAAGATGGCGGCGCTATTTGATGTCAATGTGTTTGGTGTCATGGAGATGACAGACGCAGCTATCCCGCTTTTGAAGAAGGCCGCTGACCAGGGCTCGGTGCCGCGAATTGTCTTCATCACTTCAGAGATGGGTTCGCTGGGGAACACGCTCAATCCCTCGTGGAAGTATCATAAGAGCAATACATCCATCCCGTACAAATCTAGCAAAGCCGCTGCCAACATGATTGGGGCGTGCTATTCGACATTGTTTCAGGATGAGGGCTGGAAGATCAACTGCTGCTGTCCTGGGTTTCGTAAAACCGCATTTAACCACCACATGGCTAATGCTATGGACGTGGAGGAGGGCGCTGTGAGGGCTGTCGAGTTGGCGACTCTCGATAAAGATGGCCCGACGGGGACGTTTAGCAACATTGATGGAACCGAGCCGTGGTGAAGGAGTGTTGAGCGTAATGAAACTGGAGGAAACAATTATGCAGCCCTTTTAAGCAAAGTATTCACGGACGAATTGATAAAGCGACTTATAGCGAGCAATTTGTCGACGAAAGATATTACAAGGAAATATCTTTATTAAAGTCTCACATTATTTTATTTTAATCTATAAATTGCGTCTAATCGTGTCGGACATGTCCATATGTATACATTGCACTAAGTTCAAACAAAAGTGTAAAAGGCAGCATCGAAGTCGCTCTTACATCGCAGTCGGCGGAAGCCTTAGCCAGTCAAACGTGTCCAGCAGTCCAAAATTAAAATCGTTCATGTCTTCCGGCAAGTTTGTATCCCATGCCATTTCAAATTCTTGCTGAGGCGCGGGATTTGGCGTGGGATTCAATGCCTGCTCGATTACTCGCTCGACGACCGTCCTGATACTGCTGCACAGATGAGCACCCGGCGTTGACGGCCCAATCCACTCAAGAAAGCCAACCAGCAAAGTCAATTGCTTTATGATCATGGATTTTGTAATCTTGGCCGTTGTCGGTGACTCTGCCGTACCTGAGCAAGTCCTCAAAAGTTCCATGCACAGAATCCCCCCTGCAGGTCCCGCATATACCATGACGAGCCACTCGTAGTCTCCTTGCAGACCGTCCAGGCGGTTCTGCTGCGTCCAAAACGTAACGGTAAGCGAAATCATTTCTAGGCTTATCTCGAGTGTTTGTGCGCTGTAAAGGCCATCTCCCTTGTACGACAGCTTCTCAATGAAGAACAGGCTGCTTAGATGTTCCAATCGTACTATTAATCTGCTGTAGAGGGTGATGCCGTTAATTTCAGGATCACTAAAGTCTTCGTTTCTGAGCCGCAGTCCTATTGGGAATCGTGCTATCGTATCCATTTCTCGTTTGCGTAGTTCGCTTTTCATATCTAAGTTAGTGCAAGTTAAGTGAAGAGGGCTCAAGAGTTCACACGTACTCAATATCATAGTTACTCGCGAGATTGGGTGCTTGGAGCACCATCTCCAAGATTTCGCTCCGTATCTTTGAGTTCATGGTTTGAGCTCGTGTAAACGTCATAGGGCAAAAATTTCCATCAAGATTCCATCCATCCTTGTCCAGTCGATAGTCGGTGATCTTGGGATCGAATAATAAAGCATTATCAATCTCCAGAGGTGGTGGTGTGGAACAAAGCCTGCTGCTAAGCAGCGGCGGCCGGCCAGTTAAAGTCGACAACATCATATCGGTATTGAAGACGGCAGCAAAGACCTTTCGCTTCGCCTGAACGGCTACCGATTCTTCTGGCAGTGAGCCGGACGACTGAGGTGTGTGGAGACCCAGAAAGGTGGCCATGGCGACGGCTTCTGCATGCAGACGCCAGAATTCCGCACCTGAGTTGGACAATTAGGAGAATCCATCATAACTGAGCATTACTGTAGCGTTGAATGCGATGAAGCTTACCTGTGTCACCGGTGATGAGCGAGGCTGTGAGGCTGCTCATGTGTGTGAGAAACACCATCATTGTGTTGTTACTGGTACCCAATCGGCAAAGGTCGAGGCACTTGTTTGTGCCACTTTTGTACATCTGCATCAGCTTTCTACGGTTGTGATCTCCAAGTGATTTGCACTGTTCGACGTTGCCGTTTTCTAATAGCGAAGTGGCTCCAAAAGTCCAATATCCGAATAAGATACCAATACTTTCCCATCGAAAATTAACCCCAGAGAAGGCCTCATACCATTCTTCAGGGTCTGTGAAATCTTCTCGAAGTGGTTTGGAGCTATTTTGAAAGAGCAACAACGCCATCTGTGACAATGCCTCGTTGCTCCTCTCTCCTTCTAAGAAATGTCCCAGTGTCTTCCATAGTGAGTCGTGGAGTTTGTCGACGGCGAGGCGGCACCATGAGTCTGCAGGGTTCACATTCCTTGCGTATAAGAACTTGGCTCCCCCCTGTTCTGGTATTAGCCGTAGCACTGCAAAGGCAGCCTCAAAAGCAGCTGCATCTGGGACTGCCGTGTTAGTCGATGCTGTGCCGCTGTTATTGCTGCCGGCTAAGCCGTCACGGGTTGGCTCAAGGCCTGCTACACAATCGAGATGCTTTTGAGTCTCGCGGTAGAATTCCGGGAAGCTCGTGGCCCCCAAGTAGCCACTAATTCTATCTGAAGGAGAGGCAAGATCTTTAAGAGTTGTCGGGCTTAATGTTGGTGGGCTGGGCTCTGCCGGCTGTCCATGCTGCCGGCTATCCGCCGATTGGCGTCTTGTAGCACCGACTGAAGACAGAGCCGGCGTTACGAGCTGGCCCTTGATGAGGTAACGACAGCTTTGGGGGGCACTCTTTCGGATGCACCTCGAGCAAATAGGAAGTCTGTGGTCACAGGCGACTTTGCGCCGGCGGCACGGCTCGCAGGCCTGGGGGCGGCCGTTGCGCCTCCGGGGAATTTCAGAGGGAATAGCCAGGCTTTCACCCGTGCGACTTATCATGATAGCGATAAATGGATCCGATAGAAACCGCCTTTCCTTGCTGAAGCGTCTTACCGGCGGAAATGAATATGTGAAGACGGAGAGCCGAAGGCCTGTGATGGGAGAGAGTGGTCTTCGAGAAGGGCGGCTCTCGGCTTTCGGTGATCGGCTTGGGGTGCTCGGCATTCGGCCCCATCTTGGTTTGCTGACTTGGGCCAAATAAGATACAGGTACCTGATCCAACATTGAGGCAACAGTTCATCGACTTACACACAACATACACCAGTATTTCCTTGTTAAACGAGACGAGGCTTAGACTGGAACAGACACAAATAGCATCAAGTGTTTATGTGGCTGCGTAGCGCCTGAAATGCCTACTAATCATTTACACCAAGTCCCATCGGCAAATACACAAGTACAATGCTACTTGGCAATGCATCAGTGCATCTTACAGCTACGTAGGTATACTTAAAAGACTTTACGATTTTTATGATGATATAGAAATGCCTGCTTCTAAGATGGATGTTTTCCGTGTCTTTGGTGCCTAAAGATTATAAATTGCCATCACGCCCTTTATTGCTGCATGCGTTGAGCTAACAATGATGAGCCACAGTTCTTACTTGCATATCGCAACGATTGGTCCGCGTGTCGACTGCGCCTAACAGTCTGCCTGCACTTCTGCCCCCGCGCAAATTTTAGGCAGCTTTTCTAGGTAATCTGGTATGTGAAGTGTGGAAGAATGGTTTTATATTCCCACATATAAGCTACCCGTGGGCACCTTTGTCCATAACCACTTCTTCCAACATCCTCTAATCTTGTAGGTTATCACAACCGCTGAACACTTTGAGATGGGTAAGTAATGTTCCCATGTCCACAACTTACATCATCCAATCTTGTTCTGCCACAATTGAGACTTTTCTGTAGAGGATAGGAAGGGCCATGATCCCATTACTCGCATGCTAGCTCCAAAAACACATGCAAATCAAGCTATCGACACACTATGTGAAGCATTAAATTACCTCGACAACGCAATTACAATGAGCCGGCTATCACGCTGCCTGCCAGCGTCATGCAAATTGAAGGTTTGCCCAAGGCCTTCTATGTATATGCTTGGCATCTCCAAATTCTCGATCGAGTGCTCCATCGCATGGAGAAACATTCACGTAATCTGTATGGTCCGCAAGACATTCAGAAGAAGCACGTAGCCATCCACCAACTTTCCGAGGTCTTACAAGGCCGGTACCTCCAAATCCTGGCCCAGTGTGTCCTAGCACGGTCACAGGAGGTATATGAGTGTCTCATAGACACCAAGGATGACGCAGAGTTATCACAGGAGCTGTACAATTCTCTCAACGGGACCAGGGATGCTGCGGAGATTTTGATAAACCTGTTGCGCGATTGTCTCGAGAAGGATAAAGATAATGAAGAGACGTCACAGAAGCTGAACAAATGCCTCAAAAAAGCTGAGAGTGCTAAAGAGACATTATGGTACCCAAACAGATACTTAAAAGATATCGATAATAGGGTTATATTACCCAAGCTATACGAATGTTTGGAATTAAATGCGGAAATCGAGGCGCTGTTATTGGGGCTGCAACGCCAATATAACCTCCCTGGATACGGATGGTATGACCCCTCTGAATACCAACGAGATAACCTCTCTCGACACCCACGACTTAACCTCCTTGGCATCCAACGAGAGAACATCCCAGAATACCAACGCGATGACCCCAGGGGATACAGGCTTCGCCAGGAAAGATCAGGGAATCTAGATTTGGGGAAGCGGGATATATGCCTCAAAAAAGCCACGGATGTTAGAGAGGTTCTACGGAAGCTATGCCTATACCTCCAGTACAACAACGAGGGCGGGGAAATATCTCAGATGCTAGACAAATGTCATGAAAGAGCCAAAGGTGCTTTTGAGATGCTATCTAGGCTGCGTCTCGAAAATGACAGGCTCGGCAAAGCATCACGAAAGCTATGCCTTGAAAGGATTAGGCTTACTAGAAATACACTATTGAAGCTATACGAGTTTTTAAAAAAGGATTATCATCGCGGGGAGGTAGAAGATGTGCTATGCATATGCCTCTATAAAGCCCACAATGGTAGAAAGTCATTACAAGAGCTACACAGATGCTTTGGAAAAGAGAAGGAGAGTGAAAAGATATTACAGGAGCTATCTGGATGCCCCGAGGAAAATGATGATGGTGAGGATGGTGAAGAGATATCACAATCGCTGAGCAAGTGCCTCGAGAAAACCAAGGCTGCCGGAGGTATGTTATTAGAGGTGCTCCGCGATTGCTTCAAAGACAAGCAGGATGAGAGATACATGTTACCGGAGCTGCTGCACGATGACGACGGGAAATACAGGCGTGGTTGGAAGACATCACAAAAGCCGGCCTCACAGAAGCTGAACCAGAAGCTGAACCAGAAGCTAAACAGATGCCTCGATAAAGTCGAGGACGCCGGAGAGATGCTGCGAGAGCTATGCGAGTACCTCAAAGAAAACGGCGGGGAATTAGAAGATGATGCTAATTATCTTGTCGGAAAAATATTCATGGCCTCCATTACATGTTCGCCTGATGAAGATGTTAAAATGTTGCGGGATACCTTTATCCAAATGAATTTAATAAAGCCGTCTCGAGAAGAGGGCCCAGGCAAGCTCTCGGCCCAAATGACGACAGAGTCTGATTGTGCTGTGGAAATTTCTTGCGCAATTGCAAGCCTCCTTTCAAACTCGAATCCTATCGACGCGAATGACAAGATGCCAAGGCCCTTTCGTGACAGATTACATCATGGTAATCCACAAGTATGCTCTGTATATCGACTGGGCTGTAAGGAACACTTTTGTGCCTTGCCTACTGGGCACACCCGGCTTCATGAGTTTTCAGGACCTTGCAACGCAAATTGCAATAGAAACTGGGATTTCAGCACGGATTCCAGACTCCCGGGACTCTTTCCCCAAAGACTGAACCATCAAAGGCTGAAAGTTTCTTCTACATATCAACTCGGGTGTGACGAAGACAGATGTACATCGTCCCTTGGGCATACTTCGCCTCATAAATTCCCGAGCCGCTGCAGTGCCGGCTGCATTCTGAGCTCGGATCATAGCGGTGCTCATTTGTTTCCACATACATTATCAACAGACACTGATCGTATGCATAAGAAATCAATAAAAATGAAAGCAGCAGCTGTGCAATTAGTGGATAAGGCGATATGCACATCCCTGCTTGACCAAGGCACTGCGAGCGCAACTTTGCCTAGAGCGTTGGCAGGCCAGTCCTCGGACGAAGAGAAAAAGGCCATGATGGACGAGGCAGCGCGGAGTGGACGAGCCGGCGTCAAGTCGAGCGAGCACGGCATGCACATGGATGAGGAGGTGGCCGATCTCATTTTGGAAAAAGACGCCGTCTTCGTCGCTACGCAGCACATTGATCGGCTCCTGGCGCAAGACGGGGATCAGCTGCCCCCTCGAAAAGATATTCGTGCGAAGCTTGCAGTCAACACAGCAGGTACAAAGGCCATAAATGGTCCTTATTTGAATCTTGACATGTCAAAGAAACAAATTTGTCTGTTTGAGCTATATCCTAGCACCAACGCATCAGAAATCAAAGGCTCATTTCATTGCGTCAAGTCTTCGGCACATGAATATATTGCACTCTCGTACACCTGGGGGAACGAGGCGCCTTGCCGAGAAATCCAAGTTGACGGTGAGAAAGTGAGTATTCGAGAGAACCTCTGGTGGTTTCTCGGCTTACAAAGTATCTCAATTTCTGAAGCAAAGTTCTTTTGGATTGATGCCATCTGCATAAATCAGTCCAATATCAAAGAACGTAACCACCAAGTTGGTTTGATATCACAGATTTACACCAATGCTTCAGCCGTTTACATTTGGTTAGGGCGTGAATCAAATGATAGCGACTTAGCCATGGAGTACATCACACGGCAGGCATCCAAAGAACTCAAAACTGAGGGCATGAGATATCGACCACTCTGGTCTCAGCAAGAAGGAAGAGCTCTTGTAGAACTGTGCGAGCGGCCGTACTGGAGACGGATGTGGATTATCCAGGAAGTGATAAGTGCTAGAAATATCATAGCATTTTGTGGGACGAAAAGATTTGATTGGGGATGTCTCACGAAGCTTTACCAAAAGCTCAAAGTCCTTGAGTCCACCAACTGGCTTGCGCATCATCCCTTTGCATTAGCAGTATTTCAGAGCTCAGCAAGCGTCATCATCTGGCAACGAGCGTATTGGAGGCATCCAATCATTCCAACGCCCAGTTTGAAAAAACTAATTAGTGTTTTTTCCAGTTGGCAGTGCACTGATCTTCGAGACAAGGTATATGCCTTAGTTGGCATGGCTAGCCCTGAAACTGCCGTTGTTCCAGATTACTCTAGAACGACATATCAAATTTGCCAAGATATCTGGGCGCAAGATGCACATAAAGATGCACAATATTACGAAATGCTCATTCGAGTTCTTGAGCTCTCTAGAGATCCGTAAGTACGACTACACCATGACAAAAGTAGCCAGTAACGCTGATATGACAACAAGAATGAAACACATCCTCTACAGTATTTAATCCTGAGGAAGATATATTTATCCTATTAACAAGCATTCATCTCAGCTGAGGCAGACTAACCCCATTGCTTCGGCGAGGAGACCATGTTACAGGAGGAAAGAGTAGCTACGCATCTGCTTTTATGAGCGAATGCGCAGCTATCCCGGCTATCACACGAGACTCAATTTCCATATTGTAGTAAGCATGTCTATATAAACATTTGTGAGCTTAGCTGACCTTATAGAGAATCGGTACGATTTCATTTCCCCATAGCTCGGCTAGGTGCGCATTAGAGTTACTGTAACCTAGCACTCTAAAAAGACTTTCACGACCCAACTCTTGTGACTACAACAGATATTTCAAACTGAATCAACCTCCAATTCGCTGATAACGTATCAGAAATATCATCTATCTACACATTTTCTTTAGCAATAGAATCGATTTCGTTTGGACTTTAAATCGATCTTCTTGTTAAGAAATCGTAGATCTTGTTTGAACCATACAGAAAGTGATTTTGTCGCAGAACAGCTTGCCGCCTTGATCTAGTAATCTTCGTCGGGGGTTTCTCCATCTCCCCAGAATGGAAAGATCTGCCCTTCAAATTTCTTCATTCCGGGAAGTACGTAGGCAACCTCTTTGTTGCCCTCCATCATCACATAGCCACCATCTACGTAGCCAATGCTCTCCGCAATCCTCCTGGATGGGATATTATCTTCGCTGGTTACAATGCACATCTCTTTGATGCCGAATTCATCTTTCCAATATCGCGAAATCCTCGCACTCGCTTCTGATGCGTAGCCTTTCCTTCGGTAGTCGGGAGCTACCGCCCAGCCAAGGTCCATAGGGATCTCAGGAGTACGGCGACAAAAAGAGATAAGTCCAATTGGCGTGGCTGGCATATCTTTAAGGTACATGATATATATGCATGGAGTGTCTGGCCGGCGCCCGTGGGCCTCAGACGGCTTCATCATCAACGAAAAGCAGAGCCGACGAACGTCGTTCTTCGTCCAATTCCCATCGGTTGGACCGGCTCCTGCCAAGATAAGATTGAATGTCTCAGTTGAGAATTGCATGTGTGTGTCGTTTTTCATGTCGAATAATTCGTATCTGAGCCGCTCTGACTCCAGTGTAGGGGCAAAAAGCCCCTCTGGCTTCGCATCCGTTACCGTCGACATGGAGATGTGGTATTCGGAAAGTAACAATACTATTGAAAGGAGAAACTACAAGGATCTGGTTCTTTTTGAATGCTGCGTGGCTTCTATTATACTAGTTCTAGTAGGAACTGACCATCACGGTTAGCGACTCCTTCGCGGCTATTGCGGGCGCCTGTGGGCGATGCGACCTGGCTAATTTTCCCTAGCCATCAATAGATCTTTGTTAGAGATGTTAGCGAGATAAGATCTTACTTTGCATATTATCCAGTAACAGCCTATTTTTCGAGTCAGTGGAGTAATAATGGCACTAATGATAGTCTGAGTTGTTTCCCTGTTCCTTTGGGACAAAAGTTCTGACTATTAGTCTAGATTGCTGAGAAGTAAGTAGTACTTATTCCGCCTACTTTATAGCGTTTAGCTTGACTAGTATTCTAAAACCCTTCCAAAGGGTGCCAGAAGGATTTTTGCAAAGGCGGATATATACAAATATGTATGTATGTACAAACATAGAGAGTAATAGAATATACGTAGAATGGAGTGAACAGCGGCAGCAAAAACAACTTGCTAGTTATCAATCTAGTGGTTCTCCGAGTCTTTAGCTCGTACGATTCATTCATCATTGGACTCGCTACGGTTAGCTTAGCCGCCCCAATTGCTGACAACGCCACCATTCATGTTCCCTGTACGGAATAGATAAGAAGTTCTTCATAGCACTATAAACTGTCGCATTTCCGGACCACATTGTTTGCAAAAGCGATTTTGGCCTTTCGTCTGTCCTTTCGTTCAAACGAATCGGAAGCTAATTCACTTCTGGTTGTTGGTCGCACTTAGCAGGTAATACTGGTAAGTCAATCATGATGCACTGGTTGTCGGAAGCGACATGATCTTGAGGCAACGTTTCGAGCTACTCTGAACAGATGTGAGCTCGTTACTTTCTTACCAAGGTGCTCTATAATTGTTTGGGCTATAACTGTCTGCTATTACGCTGTGTTTTGGGTTCCTGCTTGACGGTACCGCCATGATTGGTTGTCTACTGTCACCATACTTTAAGATGACAAGGCAGGAGAGTGGTGACCAACGTTCGGGTTTAACAAGGTGCTAAATCCATAACGTTGGATGCTTGTTTTCAGAAGTAATCCTGTTGGCTCGTCTGAGCGATTTTACCGTATGCGCTTTGACCCAACTATGCACCAGCTGTAGAATACTATAAGATTCCGAAGAGGAGTCGGATAGAATGCGGTAGTGATAGTAGTAGTATTATGTGTTGCCATGAAATGCGAAACTTAGCCCCGCTGTCCTCTTGGAAAGCCAATACCAGTTTTATTATGAGAGAAAGCCCTTGTGTATACATGTATAACGGAACCACTGGAAGAAAAAGTCTCTTGACTGCATTTCCACTGCGCTGACGGCCCGCGGACAGTCCGAGCTTCGAGCACTAGTTGGAAGGTTCGCTCTACTGTAGTCGATGATATTGCCACGAAGGGCCAACATTTTGGTTCTTGGCAGCGCTGCTTGGTTAGCGAATATGATTTCAGAGCTCGACAATACCGCGAAGTTAGTTGTCTTCCATTGTTAGTAACGTCCAGGCGATGCGTCGGCCTCCTTAGCGGCCGTGGGCCGAGTCGGGTCCTAGATCCTCCGGGGTGACAGCCATTATAAGCAGAATGGTTAAGTCTGTTCTCCAACGGGATCGAACTAACTTTAGCTATTACACGTCCTTATTTGAAAAGTTATAAGAACAACAAATCATTTAGCGGTCATTATGGAGCAGGCCACAGCGATTCTCGCAAGACAAGCAGCAATCGATGCTTTGCTACGGTACACAGACGGTCTCGACCGTGCCGATGAGGCCCAACTCAAATCTGCCTTTACTGAAAAGGCTATTCTCGACCTCTCTCAATTTTCATCACTTGGAATGACTTACGACCCGATTCATGGTCTCGATAATATTACTGCCGTATGCATGGGAGCAGTAGGCAAGGCTCTGGAAACAACACATTCGTTGACCAACATTCTGGTCAAGCTGGACGACCAAAACAATAGCGCCAACATTACCTGCTACTGTGAAGCGCAACATATCAAGCAAGGCCAGGCCTTTGCCTCTGATTCTCACGATAATTCATTTTTAGTGAAAAGTCGGTACAACGCATTGGTTTCACAGCAGGGGCCTACGTGGAAAATTGAGCGATTGGACATTGTACCACTATGGAGCAAGGGCAGCTCGAGTGTTTTTGGGCAATGAGTGAGATCAAGCTGTTTTTGCGCCTCTATTAATGGCTGGTGGAGTGAAATTAAATACATGTCATTTAGTACCTAAACTTTAACTCTATCAGACTCTCGCAGCTTTCGAGAAGCATGGGCGACATCTAAAACTCTAAGCAAATAATATGAAAGCAGTTGCGTCTTCCTCTAAACACTGAAAGCTAAACATGTTTCTTTTGTGCTCAAATTTTGTGCTACAATCCTTCCACGTGGGTGTCCACTATCATTCCCGAATCGTTTGTGCCGTCCCGCAGATTCGGGATCCGGGGCTCATAAAGTGTCCCGTAATGTCGGTACGGATGTCACTATTTCTCCAATTGCCTTTTTTGACTCTCAATGGCGAATTAGATAAAAAGAAATGAACCTACGGATACCGATGATGTATGCAATAGAAAAACTCTTTCTTTATAATTCGTTACTCATTATTTAATTGCTGTTCTATATACCTCACTGATTTCGGCAGATACTCCAAGTCGCTTCTGTTTCCTCCTAGGAACATTCCTATGAGATCCTATAATGGCTCATTCCGCTCAACAGCCAGAAAAAGCATTGGGATTGTCGCCCTTTGCACTTGACTTCCTCATGGGAGGAGTGTCTGCTGCCATTTCCAAGACCGCAGCGGCCCCCATTGAACGAATCAAGCTCCTTATCCAGAACCAAGATGAGATGATCAAAGCTGGTCGCTTGGATCGAAGATATGGCGGCATCGGGGAGTGTTTCAGACGTACAATAGCCGATGAAGGATTTCTCAGTTTATGGCGTGGCAATACCGCCAATGTAATTCGATATTTCCCAACGCAAGCACTTAATTTCGCTTTTCGCGACAAATTCAAGAGGATTTTTGGCTATCAGAAAGATCGTGATGGATATTCCATGTGGATGGTGGGAAATTTGGCATCTGGAGGCCTTGCTGGAGCAACTGGGCAGCTCTTTGTGTACTCTCTCGACTACACGCGAACTCGGCTGGCGAATGACGCAAAGAAGGGAGGGCAGCGCCAATTCAGCGGTTTCATCGACGTATATCGAAAGACATTGGCATCAGATGGTATCGTCGGTCTCTACCGCGGCTTCTTTCCTTCCGTGATTGGCGCTGTTGTGTATCGCGGTCTTTACTTTGGCATGTATGACTCTTTCAAACCACTTGTTCTGATGGGAGCTCTAGAAAACAACTTTCTGGCCTCTTTCTGCCTAGGCTATCTTGTCACCACGGCGGCGGGTATCGCTGCCTACCCTCTCGACACAATTAGGCGGCGAATGATGATGACCTCAGGAGAAGCAGTCAAGTATAAAAGCTCGTTCCATGCAGCCAAGCAAATTGTTGCAAGTAATGGCGTACGTGCTCTCTTCAATGGTGCGGGAGCTAATGTTCTACGCGGTGTCGCTGGCGCTGGCGCGTTGTCGATCTATGAGCAACTACAATTGATTCTTTTCGGGAAAACATTCAAGGGAGAATAGTGGCCGCTGTAGTGCCAGAGCTATTTTTTAAAGGTCTTTGGTACTAAAGTTTTATGAAAGAAAGATTGGATAAATAAGATCTAGAGATTCACTAATGAGATTATCTTGAACTAAGCTTCTAAATACATCGCAAACAAAGTCTTTAGCCAGCATTCTAAAGCACGGTAGTATAGCTGCTTTGTGACTTAGAGGTTCTGATAGATTGGTAACTTCCATCCCTGCGTGTTCTCCTGCAGAATCCAGTTTCCAATATTGACTCCAAAGAAAGAAGCTAGCCCAAGGAGCAAGTTGACCATAGCAACGGCCAAAGATGACGAAACCATCTTGTTCCAAAAGACAGTATTGTCACCAATGCCATCTGTCACCAGCTCGATGAACGGTCGAAATCTATCATCATAAGCCTTAAGTGCCACATCAAGTCCTTCGGTAGGCTTTTGACTTCCGCTCTTTGCATTTCCGCAGCAACGGCTGATCTCACCAGCCAAGACATAAGCTCCTACAAGGCCGGAGGTAGTGCCCATGCCTGTAAGTGGCGACGGACAGTACGCAGCATCACCGACAAGAGCTACGTTACCGTCAAACCAAGAGTCGAGTTTGACCAAGCCCAGACGCTCACAGTAAAAGTTTTTAGAGTCGTACATGTCTTGCAAGATGCTCTTTGCGCTCCATCCAGCATCTTGGAAAACTTCCGCCAAAGCCTTCTTTTGCTCTTCGACGCCGGCTCGGTGAGCCTTCTTCATTCGTTCCGACTCAGTATTACAGGGCAGATATATCTGGATCTCGTCCGGAGTGTGCCTTCGAGTCATGATGGCACGTCGTCTAGTTGCCAGATAAAACGTGCAGTTATACTCCTCTCCTTTCTGGATAGGACGAGGGATTGTAAAGTAGGCTGTATAGGCACCCTTTACTGGACGTAATGCGTCTTGAACACCAGGGCCCAGCATCAGTTTTCGAGTGTTTGAGCCCATGCCGTCGGCGCCAACCAAGAAATCGAATTGTTCCGTTTTGCCGTCTGAGAAGTGTACTTCGACCAAATTGTTCTTTTGTTTAAAGCTCTCAATCGAAGTTCCGAAGCGAAAACTGACTTTCTCTTTAATAGCATCGTACATGAGCTGACAGAGGTCGCCTCTCATGATCTCGTATTGAGTGGTAAAGCTCTGTCGTCCTTTGCCGGAGTTGTTCACTCCAAAGTAGGCACGTCGTCTATTTGCGCTGTCGACTATAAGCATTCCTTGCTCCGGCACTGACTTTGCGCGGAAAGCTTCGTCAAATCCCATAAGCTTTAAGACCTCGATTCCGGGACCGCGTAGGTCTACTTGGAGGCCGGTGGTTCGAAGCTCAGGGAAACGTTCAATAACAGTGACATCGTGGCCTAGCTTCGAGAGCCAGTAAGCGAGAGCATTGCCAGTTATACCGGCACCGCTAATTAACACCTTCATTTGTGCCATTGGAGTGAAACTGAAGAGAGTTGGATTCAGAGCTGAAAGGATGTAATGGTATTGATGTTTCGGTGAGATATTCTATGCTGACTCTTGAGCTGTCGGAGTGAAGATGATGTTATAGACTGATGGTGTCGATGGAAGAGATAGAACGGAAGAAGATGCAGATATATATATATGATATTCGCTCATATAATCATGATCTCGGTATTTTCCAACTAGAGTATGTCCGCCACTGCCGTCTCGGCCGAGTGAGGGATCGTTACAGCATAGCATTCTCCTCACCCAACCCCTTTTCAGCACATCTCGCTCATGATTCAGTCATTATGCAATGGAGTTCTTGTGCATGAAACTGTTGCGTCCCGTTTCTCTAAATAGTAAATAATCCCGCTCCCCCTATGGCTTTGTGATCGATCGAAGCAGTGTTACGCGACCCTCTTTTTGTAAGAGTGCATTCAAAATCCCAGTCGATTGCAAAAGTACTTGCACAAGATGTCTTTCTACTTCTCTATACAAAGGCTTGCTTTTAGCAAAAGCGTAATTGATCAGACTCTATTTCTAAGAAAAAAGAAATAAGAATTGAACAGTTTATGCACCTCTCTGCTCCATTATACCACGCCACACAGTTGATTATACTAGTACCTAGTACTTGGTCTATTTGCTCTGTGCCCCCTTTTTTCCACTTGTGCCATGATCGTACGCTCATAAAAGGTGGTTCTTGACAATGTGCAATACTATTTTTTAAACCGGTCCGCTGTAAGAACCTTTCATGATAACTCAAAAGACAGCTTCCCAGTTTCGTTAAAGAATAAATACAAAGTGTTTTCCAGATGGGTTGCATAAGTAGACCAGCTCGAGCCACAAAAAATAAATAAATAGGAAAGTATAGGAGGCATGCTGGACTTAAGCACTCTCTACAGTATGATAGAGTTCAAGAAGCATTTCATTGGAGCTTGGTTTCGAGGATGGTCTCGTTTGCTGGCTCGAACAGTGGAAAATACAGTATACCATCTTCTTTCCTTTGAAGAGCTACTATCTAAATGATCATATACGAAAGGTGTCCACTGCGTGATTTAAACCTTGGGACTCTGGCTGAAGTTGGTGCAGTGAAATATAGCGCCAATCTCACTTAGAGGAAGTATGGTCCCAGCTTTATGTCTCCATGGTCATATACAACGACATAGCCGGGATCCGTATATCATAACGGCTCTATTTCATAACTCTAACTGTATTGAGTAGTAGTACACGAGGGCCCGGCATTTCCGACTCACCAACCGTTGACGTGTCGTAAACGGCATGTGAACAAGGATCTCCTGAGCCTCTGTTTTGTTTCCGGAGATCATGCACTCGGGTCCCATGTACCGGGAACGACTCGGATTTTAAATCTCAGTTACACTTGGCGTATCTGACTTGTCATTTATATGAAAACGGAAGCACATACAAGTATTGTCTCATTACACAGAAATAGTACTTACGGACTATCTTGTTGTGATATTTTACCCCCTGCATACAAAATTGCGGGCTTGGGTCGGATCAGACAAGTTGGTGTCTTTGATAGCTATACAAGTGGACAGGGCCTTGGCAAGGATACGGCCGCCGCATAATGTTACTCTGATCATACTTGGAGAGAGCCCGCTGTTGTGGTAGAGCCATATTTCCCATTGGATGGGGTAGCGCCAGCTATGTCTCGGCGGTATCGCAAAAAGCAAACATTGGATTTAGCTCAGGAGACAGTTTTATTAGAGCTACATTCGAGTAAATAAAACTGTGGTGTAGCGGAACAAGGGTTACTAGACACGTCAATGCAAGGGAGAGAAAGTTCTGTAAACGAGGCTCGGCCAATTCAACTCGGATACGAGAGGTTCACCGAGACTGCCTCCATGGGTTCATCCGAAAGAGCTTTGCTGTTCTCTTGGCACCATTCCGATGCAGGCCATGATCTGCTCAAGTAAATTGAAGTGCTTCGATTTACACAACCATCTTCGCATCGCGTAGCACGAAATAGCCGCAGCAGCCTCGCAATTTTCCTCGCTCCCATTTATGTAGCACAGGCTATCACCTGTTGTGTCTAAGCAGCATGGAATGGTGTGAAACGCCAAATATTGGTACAATCCTGACTTGCTCAAAGCCCGTCTTCGTATACAGCGGCTTTCCAGCCGGCGTTGCGAGCAGGTAGCAGTCCTTTTTGTCGCCTGCTGCTCGGCTGATGCCCCAATCCAAGAGGATCTTCCCGATCCCCTTCCGCTGCTGCTGCGGATCCACCCCGAGGTAATCAAGATCTTAGCGCGAAGAGTCTCATGTTAGTTGACCCGTTTTTGGTAGCTTCCGGACAGTTCATCGGAGAGTTTAGGGGCGGCGGCGGGAAGCAACTTACGCCAGACATCCTTGATGCCTCTTTCTCCGAACATCTCCTGGTGGTCGGACGAGACAATTGCGCGCAGCTCAGCAAAGGCCTCCTGGTCAAAACAGGGCGGCGGCGGCTCTTGAGCGCTGGGCTGGGGCTGATTGGACGCCTTTTCGGAGTACACGTCCCAGAGCGCAAAGCCCACTACTTGGTCGTTTAAGGAGTCGTCCACCGCTACGACCATGAGTGCATGTGGGGAGGACAGGCTTGCTGTCTTTTTGGCATATCTCCATGAGAATATGTCATTGTCTAGAGTGGCCTCTGGCTGTTGGGCAGGGAATATGCGCGCTGAAATGATGTCTGTTTTGGGATGAAAGGCTGCGGCCGCAATGCGAGCAATGGCGGGGAGGTCGTCCTTGGTGGACTCACGCACACGTATCGCCATATTGAAGAAGACCAGTATAGAAGGTTATAGATTGCAAAGAATGTAAAGCATCGTCAAGTATTAAATACTTGGATAAGACATCTACATAGCATAGCCAAGATATACGTGGACGCAGTGTCAAAGAGTCATAGGCGAGTGGGTATGCCGACGCTAGGCTTCGCCCAAAGTGTCAATGTCAAGCAAAGGGCGAGGAAGTGGGCTTTTATAGGTCCATCTTTTCACGTGTGTTAGATGGAATTTCTAGCTTTGATGAAAGAAGAAACAGAATTAATAATCATTAATGCTCATAAGAGAGTAATTGCATTTGTTTTTGGACGATCTTTTTGCATTGTAATATCTCTTCGGCTCTCGGTTTTCGGCGCAACTACCATGCAGCTAACACTGCCACTACTTCTCGTAATAGAAGAGCAACATAATACCCGGGCATACAACATCTTCATAGAGAACCTAAGGAGCACAGATGAAATCCAATAGAAATTCAAACTAATCAGCCAGAGTTTTATGCTACCATTACTTGGTCACATAAATTAGACACCCATACCAATTCAAGAACTTGTAATTCACCATAAGTTGCAGGGTAAATACATATTCAAGTGACGCTCAGTACACCAAAATTGAGTGACACCTCCAAGCAGCTCCGCATTTTACTAAGCGGAAAATAAAACTCGAGCTAAGCGGTTGGCGCTATCTTAAAAGGGTTCCGAATTTCTGGGGCCGGAGGAAGAAATGCATGTCACATTGAAGGTGGTATAGCATATTGTTAACCGGCTAAAGAAATTTATGAATATAACAAATCGCTTCACGCTTGTTAAAGGACCAAGATCCTCGTCTTGAATTTACAAAGAGTCTGAATCTGAAATCTCCATGGCACTGGATTTCAGAGATTTACAGGGCTTACAGGTACTGGCGGTCCGCGGATACCGGGAATTGCTCTTTATCCCGACAACTAGCGTATTGTGCCTGGCTGAGGCTCTTCGCTCCTTCGGTGTCCAACTTTAAAGTTGTCCGTCAAATTAGAGCGTGTTGGAACGCATCGTCAGAATGAGGAGCTCATATTGTACTGCTTTCGATTTCTAAATCTTCCTAGTATAAGAAGCAAGCCATCTGCTTCCTTGTTCCAGCAACTTGGTCATGACCAGGATTAGCAAATGGCAAAATACAAACTAACGGCATGGACAAACTTAGTCATCCGAAGCCGCTGACTGTCTCGCGGTTCGGACTCTTGTCTCGGTAAGATCAGCCAAGAGGCATGTACGAGTAAGAGTTTTTAAACACACTGGGGAATCATTCATCAACTTTTCTTAATCAAAGAAAGAAGAGAGAAAGACAACAGTAAATAATGATACAAAGGAAGAAACAACAAACTGCACATTTTCATCATGATACAGAAAAGCGCCTGTCTTTCGTGTCGCACGGCCAAAATTCGCTGCGTGCTGGATACCTTTGCCCAACATGGCAAATGCAAGCGGTGCTTCAACGCCAACAATGAATGTGTGTTCAGCACCATTGCGCCAAGGCAAAGGAGAAAAAGAACTGATACGCGCGTGACGGTATTAGAGAAGCGGCTCTCAGAGCTGCAAGCAGCCGTGGATTTGCAAAAGCTGGCGCAGGATGATGGTGACGCGCATGTCACCGCCAGCGAGATTGCGCTTGCGCCACCGCCAGGATATCGCGATGAAAATAGGATAGCAGTTGGTGCTGAAAGATATCCGCTCGATAGAGAAGATGAAAGCTCATTTCACGATCTTCGCCACGAGTCATCCTTAGAAAGGCTTCTTGCTTCAGGGCTGCTGTCAACAGACACCGCTATACGTCTTTTCAACGACTTCATCAACGATGTCTTACCGCAATATCCCATCTTGACATTATCCAGAGCCGAGAACTTTGATTGGTTCAGAGCACACCAGCCTACGTTACTACTTGCCATTATCGCTGCTGCCTGCAGAGCATCCAACCCAAGCCTCTTCCGAAAGCTCAGTGTCCATTTACGAGGGGACCTATCAGAGCAGGTCATGGTCCAGGGGAACAGATCTATTGAACTGGTCCAGGCTGTTTTAGTAATGGTGGAGTGGTACGATGTGCCTGAGGACTTGACACGCCTGAACTTCTACGCATGGATCCAGACCGCAGGTCTCATGGTACGCGAGCTGGGTCTTTGGCCATGGAGCGAGGACACCAATTCATCGGTGGGTCTTACCATGGCCCAGTGGCGCATTTCGTTCGCTACCTATCTACCTTTGTCAACGTGAGCAACTGAAACATGACCTCCCTATTTCTTTCTTTGCTTCTTTTTGTTTGCCGTCATTTACAAACGAGATGGCTAATAGATGAGCTAGTGCTGCTGTCAGCCTACGTCGACCCATGCCGTTAGTATGGACTGAGAGCACGCGCAATGGTGTGGATGTCTTTGAGAAGAACAGTGTGCTTGATAATGACAAACGATTGGCTGCATGGGTAAGATTGCAGATGATAGCGGAAGAGGTCGAGGCATTAAGGGTCAAAGCATCATTGGCGGCCAAGGTGCAAGGCGAAGCTGATCCTTCCGGCCTCGTTGATCAGCACACTCTGTCGTCTCTGGAAAGCAGGTTTAGTAGATGGCGAGATAATCATCAGCTTGTTTTCAATGGTAAGTTGCCTTGAGGGCCTGTTTTGTGTAGTATCATTTGGCTGTCGGCTGACTCGCAACATGCTGCGTAGGCTCACTCCGCATGCACTTCTTTTACTGCCGCATTAAGTTCTACGAGCTGGCTGTGACCTGCAGCCCGTTCCGATCATCACACCCAAAGTCACAGCCACCGTCCTTGGCACTAGCTAGGGATATGACTTACGTTCGGACTATCATGTCTTTGATACAGTCCAGCCACTCAGCTCTGGATACATTAGTACTTTTTGACACGGCAACATACCGCTGCTGTCCCACAGTCGTTAGTGTCCGGGCTCTTTACGCGCTACAAGAGTTATTCACCATATGGAAGGCTGTTCGCAGCCGCCAGGGATACCTCTCCGAGTTTGTGACTGAAGAGGTGCTGGCCCTCAAATTCTACGCCAGGCAGACGGAGGATTTTTTCAAACAGGTAGTCGGGGCAGAAGGATTTGGTGTTCCTCGGATGGCGTTGAAGACGCTGCCTAATCTTTTGTTCTCTTTGGACGATATTAAAAACCACGAGAGAGAGCGTCAGGTACAGCAGCCGGAACGTTTTAGCCAGGATGATTCACCCCGAGCCACAGCCGACTCGCCAAGCCCGTCGGCCAATGATCTCGAAGAAATATTGATTATTGATTTGGGCGAGATCCAAGCGCCTTCGGTAAGTCAGAGTCGAGACCAGGTCCAGGATGATACAAGAGCGGATGCAGCACTGGAGTGGCCAGTCACAGAGCCTGGTAATGGCGACTTCAATGTTACGCTGGAGGATGCGCTTTTGGTGCCCGAACTGGGGACACTGATAGCGCCAGATTCGGTGTTGGACCCAAGCTGGCTGTTTTCCGAGTAAATTCGGGAGCTTGTATGCCGAAATACGAGCATCAATGCAAGGAAATTCTAATGAGGAGTAGACGTAGAAATAGGACGAAGTTTGACCAGCCTAGACTGGCGAATCAAATGCCATTCATCAACATCTCCTTCTTCCTATTTTTGCTTTTTGTGTTCCTTTTCAGCTGGCTGGGCATGCCAACGCCTACGCGAAAAGCGTTCAAAAGGTCACTGGAGGGGCTTGATACGTGTAAGTCAAGAAAGACTGCCCGGTCACGCAGTGAAACCCTGCAATGTTTGCAACCCAAGCGGGGGTGAGTTGTTTAAGTGAGGCTGCAATTAAAGGAAGCAAACGCCACCAAACAAGGGCCCTATCGGCGAAATTTGTATCGGGTGGCAAATAAGCTGTGTTTTGTTTCGGTTTCTTGCTCTTTCGGCCTCTCTTTTCTTGTTTATGGGTGGATTAGCGCTGCACCTTGATTGTACGAAGGAAAGCCACAACTGCCGAGGTGTCAAGGCGACCAAACGGCCGTTAGATTCTTTAATTTAAAACTTGCTAGGTCCGATGCTAGTGTCTCAAGTAAAAGATAGAAACAGGTAGTAGACTACATGTAGCTTCATAGGCACATGCATATGCCGGGACTATATATAAAGAGATCTTGTAACCTCTTCGGGAACAGCTAGGAAACAAACAGGTTTAACCAGTGGGTAATAGGGCAATACGTTTGACCCGAGGTTCAGGATGCCACACAGCATAGTAGAAGCCGCCGGCATCGCCAATCTACCCGTGATTTGAGCGAAACATGGCCGATGGTGCCGGCGTGCTGCGGCTGAAAGCAGGGGGTGATATTCCTACTGTGTACATGGCCAGGGTCTGAGGCTGTCTTGGGTCTTGGGGGCCTGTTTAAGCAGCGACGCCAGCCAGGTTGGTGGTTCTAAGTGGTGAGGTGAGACATTTTGGAGTGGATTGTTGGAGGTCCTGATTGCCATCCAGGGGATGAGACCGATGAAGCAGGCATCGATGCTGACAATTAGACTGCCTGCGCCTCGGTTTTACAGTGATGATATTCTGTCTTGATACGGTATGACATTCCCTCTGCTCTGAACAACGCTCCAGAAACAGATCAAAGATGTAGATGATCGACATGGCTGTCTCCCCTAGACAAGCCCACGTGCTAACGCGTTGCCCAGCTGTAGAGCAACTTTCCATCTGTTAGCACTCGTATTGGTGCCCGATGGTAAGGTAAGGAATTGTAGCGGAAATTATAGCGCCCATCTCGTCACAACTGAAGCTCTGCAGGCGCCAGCATCTCGCTATTCGGCGTACACTGTGCGCCTATAATTGCGAGAGCGAATCTCATCTTGATAAGGGTCCACTGTGCGGGGTAGTTCAACGGCCGCTAAGCCATTTCTAATTGTTTGTAGCCAATCAGATACCCAATATCAGCATCCACGTGACCCACCGCTCTGCCAAGACTCTTTCAGCTGCCCCACCGCGGCCACAATGGCTGCCAGATCCCTTCGCCGTTTTGAGATCTCCATCTGCGATTCTGGTTTTCGGTCCAGGCCCATCGGCACCGTTTGATTGCCGGGGTGGGAGGCCGTGATTTTTTGAATCCTCTTCAGCTTATGATCCTTACTCTCTTGATTTTCTTTTCTTTTCGTTTGGCGTCCCCCTTTATCTTCCAAGACACTGTCTTGTTCACTCACATTGACTTCTTCTCTATATAATTGGCTCTACTTTTGTAATTTCCAGGATTGTTTTATCATTCCTTTCGGCTCTTCTCCACGTCTCGTTTGACTTATAAGCTTTACGCTCGTTTAGCTGCGAATCAAACATATTTTGTATCATGGAAAAATGGGCAAATGAGATCAACCACCACCAATGACTGCGTTGGAGGAATCCCTTGCTGGCCCCAAACGGCATAAACACTCTTGTTATCAGTGCAAGCGGAGGAAACAAAAGGTTCGTTGCTAAATAACACGATGCTGTACAGTGCCAGAGACGCTAACCTTTGACTGCAATGTAGTGTGACCGAATATGGCCCTGCTCGCCTTGCGCCACTCGTGTCGAGTCGATGGAATGCTCCTTCAGTGGTAACCCATCACGTCGATCTATTACGAAGAGTTCAAAGGCAGCACGTAAAATTCGCCGGCAGAAACTTGCGGCTGCAGCAGAGGCGGCTTCTCTTCATACTGGAGAAGAAGCCAGCAGCGCAGTCGTAGTACAGGCAGCGGACAAAGAAGGGCGTCTTGATGCAGGCCATGGCTTAAACGTGGACGGTGAATGCCATGCGCAAGACGTCGGCAACAGCACTGCCGTGCAGCCAGACTCGCACCGCTGCGAATGTCAATATCCCGCGGCACGTGAAGCTGAAGCAGAGGTAAGTCCTTTTTGCTTTTTCCATCGACTGTTCGAAGGGTTCTTATTCTGACACATCATCTCTGATGTAGGAGAAATTGCCCCCCTTTGAAAAGCGACATGACGATCAATACTCCAGATCAGCTTCAGATTGTGAACAGCTCCGAGAAGCCCTGAGAGCTCTCCCTCAACAACGGGATCGTATGGGTATGCCTCGACTTTGTTTTATTGATGCGGTAGTGTTTGTGTTTGAGCTAACCGGCCATTGTGGTTTCAATGCAGATGCGCTCGTTCTGAGCTTTTTCCAAAATGTGAACCCCCACTACAGTCTGGTTCACCAAGCCGAATTCGCCGCTGAATATGCAGCATGGTGGGAAAAGCGAGCAAAGAACGAACCGTTACCAGTCCCATGGACCTGCCTATTACTTACTCTCTGCGCGTGCGCGTGTCAGCATCTGCCTGTCGACATACAAGAGAAGCTTGAAGAAATGTTCCACGCCAAGTGCCAATATCTCACAGAAAAGTACCATTACCAGGCACGAATGCTCTACAATGTGATTCCCGAGGGTCAATATTACCGCCATAATGTCATGTGGATGCTGCATTCGACCTATTGGTTCAAAGCTGAGGCTCTGTTTACTGAATGCTGCCACGTCTTCATCACGGCCGTTAGAGAGGCTCAAGAGCTCGGTATGTCTATATCACTACGCAATCAAGGCCTTAGCAGTCATGGAGATGTATGATCGTTACTAACTGGCGCTAGGATTCAATAGAGAAGAGTGTGGAGAGCACCTGTCGAGCTTTGAGCGCGAGATGCGGCGGAGAGCTTGGTGTATTATAGATTGCTGGGATTGGTGAGTCCTGACACCGGTCATTTGATGTGGCCTTATCCCTTCTATTCAAGTTTTATATATGGCCCAGACTCGTGTCGTAATGCATATAGGCAACTGACATCATTTTAGGCAAATAGCTTCCGGACTCGGCCGAGATACTCTTATTGACCATAGCATGTGCAATGTCCAGCGCCCATCATTAACATTAGAATTGGACGGACAATTCTCCCCCTTGATGCATATGAATATGCAGTCAGACTTGGTGCATAAATTGGCTGAACGGTTTCATTCTCCTGCCAAAATCATTACACCTATCGAGGTAATGGATTACAAGGAAATAATTGACGAATGGATGCGAAACTTTCCTGCCATCTTTGCGCTGGAAAATCCCGACACATCACACGACGAAGAGCAACCTTGGATCGAATATCACCGTTACTACAACTATACCATGGGGTTCATGATGCTTCTCAATCCGTTTCGACAGCACATGAGGCAATCTTTCGAACAGGACACTCCAGAAGAGCAACTGGAGCTGCGTACTATCGCCGTCAATATGTCTATACGATTAGTCAAAGTGTTGGACAACTGGATAAATTATCTTACATTTCGCGACGGACGGTTCCACTTCATCATATTCTCACTTGTCGATGCGGCAACGATGCTGGCCGATGTCATCCGCAATGATAAAGCCAGGACTGCGACTCGTCGATACGAAATGTACCAGACACTCGAAAAATCTCGCTTGCTACAAGGAAAGCTCCAATGTCTCTCGAAATCTGCGGACAAGGGATTCAGAATCGTTCACAAGACCTTTAAAAGACTGATGAAAGACGCTCCCAAAGAGGATTATGTCTATCTGCCAGATGGGAAAGACGATACTGAGCAAGAAGTGTTACGAGCTGCGATGGAGTCAATATCACTTTCTGCGGAAAACCGCATAGATTCTGGAAAACAAAGGCGGAAAGCGAGAGAAGCTCTTGCTGAGGTATATGCTGCTAAACCGGGATTGCAGTCTTTGCCTTTCAGCCATGATGATGACTGCCATGACTGTCATGAAAATCACGGACATGATGGAAATGGCGTGCTCGAATCTGCTCATTACGGGATAGCCGCGAATGTATTCCCTGATCATTATGTGGCCGCATCCGAAGATCATAGACTGCCAACGTCTTCAACTTACGATCTAGCTGCGCCTGCTGACTACTCTGTCGCTGCTCCTCCGATTGATCTTGCGGCGACTTCCTCTTATATCGAACTTCCTCGGAACCCCGGTTACAATGAGCCTCTACCTTTAGAATATGTCACGTCTGCGCCTCTTGATTATACCACAGCTGCGCCTCTGGTCGATCCCGCAGCGGCTTCGGCTTACGTTGAGCCTGTTGCTTCAGACCATATCTTTTCTGCGTCCCCAGGTGATGCTGGAGTTGCATTCTCAAACAATGCTATTGCACCTAATTTATACGGGAATACTTTACCTATAGACTATGGTGCAATCGCCTCTTCTGGTTTTGACGCATCTCTTCCCTTGGGCTATTCTACCACTGTTTCTCCTTATACCAATGCTATGCTTCCCGTGTATAATGCGTTTGCATACTTCGAGAACACTGGAGTCATGTCTGCAGACAACGTTGATACGAATCCTCCGCTCTTTTCTGCTCCCACAGCATTCGGTAGTCTTGTAGCTCCTCAAATCCAGCCCTTTCCGGGCTATGGCGCTACTGCACTGGATACTACTTATGGGTCGTATGACAATGTTACAGGCCCTCAGGATTTGTTGTCTAGCACTGCTCCTATGACCTATGCCACTCCTGCGACTTCTATCTCCCAGTCATCTCCCGAAAGCTACCCATATTCTGAGACATATGTCGCTCCTGCGTTGTACAATACTGCCGCACCTTATTCTGATCCCACGATTCACGTCGATTCTGCTACATCTTCCACATCTCCTGATTCGAATCCTTCTTCCGCGAACTTTGATGCCGCAGAAACTCACGCAGCCGCAATAGTTACAGCGACCTATGGACCCTATTCTATTGCAGGGTATAGCGAAGAAAATGCCCAGCAACCGCACCACTTTTAGCTCTTGAGCGCATTTACATTCTTTTATCAGTTAATCCAGCTCTTGTCAACGAACTGGCACATGGGCTGTATATCATTTCGGTGCTTGCAATCCAATCAAGCAAGTAGACATCCATATAGGCCAACCATTATACAGTCACTTGGCTTTCTTTTATTTTACACAGCTTGCGGGCGTGCAATGCATTTTTAGCGTTCAGGATGGATATTCTTTTCACGCATGGTGTGATGGCTTGGGACCATTTGGCAGTAGCCTTGTCTTTCCTTATGTTCTTCTTTTTGTTGTTTTTCAGTCTGGATATTGTACTATGTAATGTCGCGAAATTACCGAATTTTCCTTTCATTAGATGCATCTCGGGGCTTTTCTTTCCTGTCTGTCACAATGCTCATCTTTCTTTCATTTCCATTGGTAGTAATAAATGTCGTCTATCCTAGCTAGTGGAGCCAAGAGAACCACCGTATTCTTCACCATCAATCTCAATTGTTTATTCTACATATAGTTCAATAATGAAAGAATACTGCCCACGTGTATTCTAGTTTTCCGCAAAGGGAGAAGAGAAATGGAGAAGATATAAGAGACCCATCTAAGTACATAAGGTAGATGAACCCTCTTACCACATAGAATACAATTACTGCAGGTACTTCTGCAAGACACAAAAGGTCCTCAGTCTATCAATTTCGGTGCTCGGTTCCACGCCGGCGCACGCGACTCGGCCTTCCCAGAATGGCTTTTCGGTGATGCAGATGCAAAAGTTCCATCTCGGCATGGCGCGGTTTACCCCACCAGGAGCTTGGAGGACTCGACCCCTCATGGCAAAACCTCGGCACTAGCTACCTAAGCTCTCAGGGTCTCTTTGGTGGCGATGGTGACAGATGGACGCAGCAATGCAGGTACTTCCAGCTCTATTGAGTCAAGGGGTTTCAGATCTTTTTATGATCAACAAGTATTCCTGCAATTATAGCACTGTAATGGACTCATTCGTTTTGCACTGCGTTGAAAGCTGCTGCATCAAGAAGCTCCTAACAGCTGCATGTGCATGCCAGTAAATGGGTACATGTAGCACTCTATTAGTGGCTGGGAAAAAACGCCCGTGTCAAGTTTTTCTTGCCATTGTCATTCCTTTAACGCGAGCACTTCTTCCTCTCTCTGTCCACCAACTGAACAGCGCACCCCCATAGTGAAACACAGCGGCTGGCGGTCAAACGGGCACTGAAAATAGTCAAGCTCCAGCTGACATTGATCCTTTGAATACCTGCTGGTATTAAGCAAAGCACCAAAGACCAGAAATCAACTGCCCTCTGATGGGGTGGCTGCAGCCTCTCCGGGCCGTCCACGGCCTCCCCCCACCCTCGCTGAGGCGCCTGGCCTGGAGACGCAGGACCCCGCCGTGGGAGCTGCCAGGCGAGGGGCTCCTGAGCCAGAGCCAGAGCCAGACTCAGAGACGTGCCTGTGTCGCCTGCCGCGCTTTTGCTACCTGTACTACTGCTGCTACCACTTCCTCTTCAATCTCTCCCCCTCCTCTTCTTCTCTCTCCTTCGTATTCTCCATCACCAATTACTGGTCCAAGGCTTCTGCTGTCTTCGCCAGCTTCTTCTTCTCTTCTTCATACCTCATCCTCTTCTCCATCCCCGCGCATTGCTCGTCTCGCCAGCCGCTCTCCTCTCCGTCTTCCGCGCCGTCTTGCTGCTTCGACTCGATTCTGCTCCGCCATGTGTCGCTCCAGAGCTGGCCTCGAGGGCTCGTCGGTTGCGGTCCAGAGCCGTGAGCTGCTGCCCGCCAATGTCGTTCCTCGCCACTACCATCTGACCGTCGACACCGACTTCGACAAGCTGACCTACAAGGGCACTGTCGTCATCGACCTGGACGTGGCCGAAACCTCAAACTCCGTCTCTCTCCACACTCTCGAGCTGGAAATCCACAGCGCGAAGCTCTCCTCTGGTGGCCAGGCTGTCAAGTGAGCAATTCCCTTCTCTTTTCTCTTTGCGCTCAATTCTTCCTTCCAGCTTGGTTTGCTAACAGCTATGGCCCTTCTCGTATAGCGCCACCCCCGCCATTACCTACGATGAAGCTACCCAGGTTACCAAGTTCGACTTTGGCGGCTCCCACACTCTCGCGAAAGACAGCAAGGTCCAGCTGGAGATTGACTTCACTGGCCAGCTCAATGACAAGATGGCGGGCTTCTACCGCTCCACATACAAGAGACAGGATGGCACCGAGGGCATCCTGGCGAGCACCCAGATGGAGCCCACCGACGCTCGCAGAGCATTCCCCTGCTTTGACGAGCCGGCTCTCAAGGCCAAGTTCACTGTCACCCTCATTGCTGACAAGAACTTGACGTGCTTGAGCAACATGGACGTTTCCAATGAGACCGAGGTCCAGTCCAAGGTCACTGGCGGAACCCGAAAGGCTGTCCACTTCAACACCTCCCCTCTCATGTCCACCTACCTCGTTGCTTTCGTTGTCGGCGAGCTCAACTACATTGAGTCCAAGGATTTCCGCGTCCCCGTGCGAGTTTATGCTCCCCCTGGCCAGGATATCGAGCATGGTCGTTTCTCCGTCGACCTCGCCGCCAAGACTCTGGCCTTTTACGAAAAAGCGTTCGGTGTTGACTTCCCTCTGCCCAAGATGGACCAGGTCGCCATCCCAGACTTTGCTCAGGGAGCCATGGAGAACTGGGGCCTTGTCACGTACCGTGTTGTCGACTTGATGCTCGATGAGAAGGCCAGTGGCGCTGCTACTAAGCAGCGTGTTGCCGAGGTTGTCCAGCACGAGCTGGCTCACCAGTGGTTCGGTAACCTGGTTACCATGGACTGGTGGGAGGGTCTCTGGCTCAATGAGGGCTTTGCTACTTGGGCTTCATGGTACTCCTGCAACATCTTTTACCCAGAATGGCGCGTTTGGCAGACCTACGTCACCGACGACCTACAATCTGCCCTATCTCTAGACTCTCTCCGAAGCAGCCACCCCATTGAGGTTCCCGTGAAGCGTGCTGATGAGATCAATCAAATTTTCGACGCCATCTCATACTCCAAGGGATCTTGCGTCCTTCGTATGATTTCCACCTATCTTGGAGAAGACAAGTTCTTGGAGGGTGTTCGCCAGTACTTGCAAAAGTACGCCTATGGCAACACCCAGACCAGCGACCTCTGGGATTCTTTGGCTGCCGTCAGCGGTAAGCCCGTGCACGAGGTCATGACTGCATGGACTAAGAAGGTTGGATATCCTGTTCTTACTGTTACCGAGAAAGGCGAAAACGCCATCCACGTAAAGCAGAACCGCTTCCTGCGAACTGCCGATGTCAAGCCCGAGGAAGATCAGACCTTGTACCCCATCTTCTTGGGCCTCAAGACCAAAGATGGTGTCGATGAGACAGTAGCTTTGAACGAGCGAGAGAAGGAGTATAAAGTACCGAGCACCGACTTCTTCAAGCTCAATGCCAATCACACCGGAATCTTCCGAACGCTGTACTCCCCCAGCCGCTTGGAGAAGCTTGGCCAGGCTGCCAAAGAGGGTCTTTTGACCACCGAAGACAGAACTGGCATGATTGCTGATGCTGCTGCGCTCGCCAGCTCCGGCTATGGAAAGACGTCTGGTGTCCTCAATCTCCTCAAGGGATTTGATTCCGAGTCCGAGTTCGTTGTTTGGAACGAGATCGTCTCCCGAATTGGCTCCATCCAGGCTGCTTGGATGTTTGAAGACGAGGCCGTTCGCGAGGGTGTTCGAACATTCTTGAGAGAACTTGTTAGCCCCAAGGCCCACCAGCTTGGATGGCAGTTCTCCGACTCCGACGGCCACGTTGAGCAGCAGTTCAAGGCCGCGCTCTTTGGCAGCGCTGGTCTGAGCGGCGACGAGAAGATTGTTTCCGAATCCAAGGAAATGTTTGCCAAGTTTATGGCTGGTGATAAGTCGGCTATTCACCCCAACATTCGCAAGAGCGTGTTCGCGATTGCCCTCAAATTTGGCGGCAAGAAGGAAGTAAGTCTTTATTTGGTCCCCCGGTTCGCTTTTGTAGGAAATTGCTATTAACATGTCTTGCAGTATGATCAAATTTTGGAGCTGTATCACTCATCAACCAACAGTGACGAGCGCAACACCTGTCTCAGATCGCTTGGTCGAGCCAAGGAGCCCGAGCTTATCAAGAAGACTCTCTCCTTGCTGTTGAGCGGCGAGGTCAAGGACCAGGACATCTACATGCCTGCTTCTGGACTGCGCACCCATCCCGAGGGTATCGAGGCGCTGTTCACCTGGCTGACCGAGAACTGGGAGGAGCTCTACAAGCGACACCCACCTACCCTGCCAATGCTCAGCCACATGGTGTCCCTTCTGACGTCTGGTTTCACCACCCAGGAGCAGCTTGAGAGAGTCGACAAGTTCTTCAGCGGCAAGAACAACAACGGATATGACCAGTCCCTCGCACAGAGCAAGGACTCTGTCCGATCCAAGATTTCCTGGTTGGAGCGGGACCGACAGGATGTGGCCGACTGGGTCAAGGCCAACGGATACTCCAAGTAGGTGTAAACACGGCTCCTACTCTTACGTGGCATGATAGCAATGAAAATAAAAAGCAACAGAAAGGAAAAACAAAGAGAGGGGTTTGGGGCGAATGAATATTTGGTCTTAGCCCATATGTAACAACAGTTTACCATTGCTAATATACCATGATGAAGATTAATCTTGCCGCACAAACTGTGACTTCTTGCGCGCGAAAATGGAACTGGTCGTTGAGAGTCAACCTTGCAGGTGCAACTCATGTAAGGCTGAATAGATACTTTCTGCAGGCAGGACAAAGAAGAACCCGCGGCCAACGAATGGAAATGACGCGTATCCAAATTGGAATCCAGTCATCTCCTTTTGGCGACCACTAAATTTTCGTTCTTGTTGCAGCGCCGAAATGTAAGAGACTCATTGGCTTTACATTGCCGCCCAGAAAGCCAACCGAGACCAGCTGCGCCCCAGACCGCCCAACGAAGGCCATCATGCAGGCCGCCCTACCAACCGCCCAG